TTTCCCTTATTTCCCTTATTTCCCTTTTTTCCTTTTTCCCTTTTTTCCTTAAACCAGCATCCTATAAATAAATTTACACTACACGGTTTTCTACTTTTGGAGAAAATATTTGTCACTTCGCCACAAAACTTCATCGTAGCCGCCTATGGTGTTCTACATGATGTATGCCTTATTTACACTGTCAAATGAACAAAAAGTATCAATACATTTCATATTAGGACGGGCAGAATTCCAGTGGGTCAATCACATCACATATCCCTCGGCATCCTGTAGTGCTACCATCAAAACCTTCCGGAAATTCGGTGATAGTTTTTTGTAGCAGTGTTATACGCTTGGTCACGTGACTAACATTACCTAACCTACACCATCAACACCTGCCTCGCTGCGCGACGCCTACATAGAATACGAGACATACTTTATTCTGCTTCTTGATTATAGCTAGTGGAGCCGTTCCAACAAGTTTTCCACTCCCGTTTTAATGTCCGTGCGTAAAGGACAGATCAGGTGATCGGCACAAACCAGATAGCTGGTTGATCGGCGGTTGACTATTGGATGTACTCCAGTTGACCCCGGTGGTTTTGTTACGATAGTGGAGAGGTGCAGGAATACTATGTATCTTTATAGCATTGAGTCTCGCCTAATACCGCCTGATAGTCACGCGTGGGAGTTGACGCCCGCAAATGTATAAGATTTGATGAATTCAACTAATTGTTGATATATTTCAAAGATATCTTCTACCCATGAACCTGTCTAAGATAAACGAATTCAAAGCACCTTGACTGTAATGACTGTGATTATATTCTTACTTATTAGAATGCTGGCTCTGTCTATCAATAAATAGCTGATTAGCTACAGATTAGTGTTACGGTCCCTTGTTAGTTAGGCAGACTCGTCAGGCAGAAAGCGCCGATAATGGCAGCGCTCGAGCAATTGACAGCTCTTACCCGGTAAAATCTTTGATTGCGCATGCAACGCCCATAACGGTCACACGTCACGTGATATACTTCCACCATGACTACTATTGGTATACTTAGGGTATAGCAAGAACACGGGATACGATCGGGTCGACCACGAAGTAGGCCTCAGATAGTATGCATGTTGATGGTATACAGAGGATAGGATAAAGAACGACACTTTTTCATGTACTATGATACTTTTGTTCTTCGTGCTCAAGCGATAGAACACTCGTCCGCACTTACCTTCAAGTAGCTGCGCAGCACTAATCGGCCTTACTTCTCTTCTCTTATCCAAGACCAGTTCTCCTTAGATGGTCCTCAGTCTGATACACCTTCGACCAAATTCAACGGTACGTTTACACAGTGAACCTAGGCTAACAGGGACAGGGAAGCGATCCTAAGATTTGAAAATATGTTATTGTCAAGTTCAATGTATATAGCAAAATTGACTATATTATGAGAACTGAGAGATAATGCCCAAAAGCTCTTAGATAAAGAATTTAATTATATTCCATTTTCAATCATCAAGTTTAGAATATACATATCATTTACTTTATTACTATATTATCAAAGAATCTCAGCTTCCTATTTAAACCAGCAGCTTTAGTACATAATTCAAAAAGGCAAAATTATATGTACTGTATAATACTTCGAAAGCTACTTTTTTCACCAGCTAATAAACAAGTAAGGTTAGGCTGGGCTTTTACATATCTATACTAAATATATAATCAATATAATCAAATACTTTGAACTGATAAATTCTGGATAACTTCAGTGTAATACATTGTGATGGTGAGCCACCTGCTCGGGTGTGTATATGTTTGTATAAGCAGGATTATAGGGGTCTGCGGGTAGCTGCGGGCAATAATAGTCTTTGTGACCTTATATAGACAACACCTCTAGGTCAATCTATGACACGCACGTTAGCAACCTTCCTGCTTGAATACTGGGGCGCCTCAGAGTAAAGTGGAATATAGGATGCTTGTAAAGAAATATGCTGGGACACATATATTGATAAGAAACACTTCCCCTCTCCATTCAGCCTAATGCCTGTGTATCCAATTTCCTAACAACATAACAACATAACAGCAAAGAATAATCCATTATATACACCGTAGCCTCCGATCCAATCAAAGCTTAAGAGCCGTACTTCTCCTTAAGCGCCTCAACAAGGGAAATGTACCTTTCCTGAGCCTCATCAGAGGTGACACCCTCGTCATGGAGTCTCTTCCAACCGTTGTACTTGTACTTGCCCTGTAATGTGAAAATATATATATTAGTGATCTGGAAATCATGTGGGGGAAGAAAAATAGGGAACTGCAAAACCGGAAATGGAGACTAAGTCAGACTTACCGCAAAATCAAAAGTACCAGGCTTGGGAGCCTCAGCGAAGTTGCTCTGGGTTCCGACCTTATAGAGACTGTAGAGCTGGAGAGGTGATTGATATCAGTTACAGTATGGAATACAGATAATTTCCCGCGCTTGATCGATGAGCAAAAAGCGTACCTCAAGCATCTCCTGATCAGAGGGCTTGGCCTTAAGGTGCTTGACCTCAGCGGCGGCAGTTTCGAATGCACTCATGCTAATGCTGTAGTAATAGTACTACTACTAGTAGTAGTAGATTCTTCGAGGGAAGGAGAATGGATTGAAGCAGAGATGGAAGTAACTTGAGACGGTGTTGACCTGTTGATCCAGTTTTAGATGAGGAGGAATCGGCAGCCATTAGTCTTCACCGCGATAGCTTCCGCCTGAATTGACCGCTCTTCTTCATGTCCACTCTCGGCTGAACCGTGAAGCTGGACTGATGCGTGGGGCGGACGGGGAGAATGTGTGGAGGCCCGAGTGCAGAATTTGATACATCATATCTGACCTAGGATGACCTTGGCAGGCGTTCTCTGAGTTTATCGCGATTTAAGCTTCCCCACTACACCATCGACCTATTTTGGAAGGTAGTATCATTTTAAATTCAGAGCTAGCTAATGTCAGTTTAGTCTAGGTCATGTATTATTATCCCCTTAATCTCTCTACGTAGTTGGAGGCGATCGGCGACCATACCCACATTTCCCGAGTCGCTGGATTCATCATCATTAGCCATGTCGGAAAGGGTTACGGATCGACGTCAACGGGTGAAGATTGGCAAAATTATTCGATCTATGGGTCTTCTACTTCGCACATATCTACTTATACGATCCAACAAACTCCACTGTACCTGTTTTAATGTATTTACGTGGGCCCGAGCTGGTACATACTGGTAGAAAGCTCCATCCACTTGCCAAATATCTCGATAATGGCATCCACATCGACAGTTTTGAGCGCTATCTGATGATCAGCATCGCGGCCATATCTTTGGGTACACGGTACTTGTACTGGGGCCAGCATAGGTGATAAAGAGGCCCTCTACATAGACAAGACAGTATAAGCCTTCAGACTTAGCTTAGAGGGAACAATAATAGTATTTATTCGGCCGCCATGGAGGCAGAGAATATAGAGATAGCAGATAGTATCATATTATCTACTTGGAACATCGCAGTCAGTCTAGAGATATTTGGAGACTGATCTAGTGTAGACATTCGCAGTAGAATCAGGTGCACATTACGGTGGCGTAACAATAGTTTAGGAATTGACCCCAAACTTTTTTTCCTGGGGTCCGATTAATGCGGGATAGGTCCAGCAAAGATCTACACAAAAAAGGGAGCACTTTAATCTCAGGACATTTCTGCATGAGGTCTTTGTATCTTGTTTAATCGCGGTCTCAAGTCTAATTCTGGCCTCCTTATGAACACCTTCGCCAACTGAAAAGGGCTCCTCCACCGCAGACACCATGACCCTTGATGCTGAAGTCCAGATAGATCGCAAGGTTAAAAAATATGGGGGACACGTTAGCAAGGGAGATGTCGAATCCACTGAGACTACTGGACCAGATAACCTGGAATCGGATTGGAAACCGACTAAAGAGGTTTTCTTGATCCTACTGTGCTTGTCAATCATTGCAATCATGGCTTCGTTGGACATGACTATATTTTTATCAATCCTTCCAGCGAGTGTTCTCCTTATTGCTCAAACCACCCCTCAAACCATTGATAATTCTAATTGCTGAAACAGAGTATTGCCAAGGACTTGAACGGTGATGCTACCAGCACTTTTTGGGTGGGCAGCGCATACTTGGTGCCTAGTGCAGGGTTTCAGCCCATTATGGCTTCTTTTTCCGACGTTTATGGGAGAAGAAGAGTACTGGCCATGGCATTGGCCCTCTTTGTGATTGGCTCAATTGTGGGATGTCTCGCCCATAATATGGCTACACTTCTCGCCGGGCGTGTCATTCAAGGAATAGGAGGAGGCGGACTCATTCCGCTTGCGACGATTATAATTACAGATGTAGTGCCTCTACGTCCCAGACCAAAATACGCTGCCTTGGTTCAGGCATCCATGGCACTCGGTACTATCCTTGGGCCTCTAATAGGCGGTGCCTTTTTGGAACATACCAGTAGCTCAACGGGCTGGCGCTGGGTGTTTTACATCAACTTCCCCCTATCCACCGTTGCCGGAATTTTGCTTTTCTTTTCGGCCAGGTTCAAAAGGGGCGGGGCTCAGCTTCGTGCCGTTGATTGGTTTGGCCAAGCTTTGTTCCTGGCCAGTATCTCCATATTCCTGATCGGCCTCTCGTGGGGTGGAGTGCAGTACACATGGGAAAGCTATCACACTTTGGTTCCATTGTGTCTTGGGGTTGGAGGTATTGTCGCGACGGTGTGTTGGGAAATACTGGGGACTGAGCATCCTTTTGTGAGGATTTCTGTGCTTCAAGATCGATCTGCTTTGGCCGTGTATGCGGGGTCTATTGTCCAAGGAATTCTAGTAAGTTCTTGTATTGGCGCAATTTGGCACTATGTATAATAGGCCCTTACTGACCCTCAACTAATTTCCCAGATGTATGGCGAGCTTTATTATATTTCTGTGTATCTGCAGGCTGTGAAAAGCATGTCCGCGGTCATGACTGGTATTGGCCTCCTCCCAGTATCGGTTGCGCTCATGCCCACAAGTATAGTCGTGGCTATTTTCATTTCGAAAACTGGACGCTACCGCTGGGCGCTATGGTTTGGTTGGGCCACTACCATTGCAGCAACGGGTGTGACCATTATTCTGGACAGTGATACCAACACAGCCAGCTGGATCTTCATTTTTGCCTTCGTTGGTTTTGGGCATGGAGTGCTATTCAATGCGCTTTTAATCTCAGCACAAGCCTCGTGTGCAGCAGCCGACGCAGCATATGCAGCTTCGATGTATACCTTCTTCCGCACGCTAGGCTTTGCTATTGGAGTGATAATCGGCTCTACTGTCTTACAGAACTTTATGTCCATGAAACTCAACGAATTGGACCTTCCGACTGCGATCGCTCAAAATGCGGAAGGCTTCATTGAAACTCTTAAAACACTAGCCAGCGGGTCAGCTCTGCGTGAAGGTGTTCTAACCGCCTATGTATATGCCTTGGACTCAATCTTTGAGGTTCTGACAGGTATTGGAATTCTGGGCCTTTTAGCCACTGCATTCGTTGCGGCAAAAACTATGAACAAGCCGATTGAGTCTGACCATGTTTTACACGACACTAGTGACTCGGCCAAGACTTGACTGATGGGCTCCTTCAACTTCCGGTGACTAAAACAAGTTATGCACAGCAGGAGAAAATTTGTAAATGTGACTAGCTTATACGAGTACGTGAACAAGGTGAAAGTAAACATGATCTTGTTCCTTAATGGTGCTTGTCAGCGGCGTGTATTGCGTTCAGAAACACGATTCATGCCAAGTACTGGACCTCCTCGGCACAGGTATAAAGTAAAAGGTTTTGGAAGTCAACTGGGCAAGGAGCATGCAAGCTAATTCAGGGTGCAGCCATCAATGACTCCTTGATATGATAAATGAGATTTCGGTCACAACATATTATACAAAGCAGATTCCGAGTAGGCTACTTAACAATATGGGACGAACAAACCAGTTTCAGGAATTTATTATGGCATGTCCGAAACGAATGCAATACAAGTACCTGATTTACACCGAAATCAGATACATGAGGAGCGATTCGCACTTTCCTGCTAAAAATTCTTGTCTAAAAGCCTGTACCCAACTATTCAGAGTCACAACTAATATATAGGGAGTAAGGTATGTTGCTGATCATTGTTTCGGGTTTGCTTATAGTTGTGCTGGCGCTCCTACAGAGACACCCTCCCCTCCCAAAAAATAAGCAAATGATATTGCCGCCTAATAGAATCGATGAATATAAGGTACATTTTGGGCTTTATGAGCTGAAAGATGCAAGGTAGTTACTACATTTCTGAACAATATTGTACTATATTGGTTAGCTAGTTATTGATATTATCTATACTGAGTTTTTATAGTAAGTATTGAAACAGTTTAAGGTACAAGAGTGATGATCAGTATTTATATCATAGAATTATAATTTGAAGTAGATATTTCTGAGCCGAGCAGTATTATACTTTGACCTTATAATAATTAATGGATACTAATATATTTATGTAATACAAGACACTAAGGAAGAATGGTGATTTGAGACTTGTAATAATGGGTGTATGGGTCTTCAGGTTACCAGAGTTTATAAATCTCTAATTCTTCTTAGTCAAGAATCTAGTTGTAACTATTACAAAAGCTTTTTCTGTTACGATGTGCTCTGCGTATTACACACAGGATAGCTTTTTTTAAGCTTAATAGGAGATGGATGCTGCTACCATTCACTTCTAGTATAACAGTCAGTATTAGTCTTTGATCTGCTGCAAATGCTAGTGCGTTCTTTTGTATTATTTTGTATTGTGCCATCCCTGTACATGGTATCAGATTTATGTTTGCACTATAATAAATACTAGTTATAAAGTGTTTCAGAGGGTGCCCGCCCTCGTGAGGATCACGATTCAATTCAAATTCTTATAGCTGATCGAGGCCGCTATGTAAGATGCTAGCTATCCAAGTACTTTACTGTTTGAAGCAAGAATATGGCCCTGAACGCTGTTGAATCTCCCAAGCTCGTAGTAAACACGTAATCACGAAGCAACGCATGCTACGACCTAGGAAGGTTATCGTCGTAACTAAACACAACTAACTATAACAAAAAGCAAAGCATAGCAAAGTCATATAGTAAGTATAGATATAAATGAGTGTTAAAGCCAAACAGCTGCTTACAAGTCTATTCTCTCTATTCTTCGTCCATGTTCTTGCTTCCAACATGCGTGTTTCTTTTATATGCCTGATATTTCCCGCTAACTTAAATAGGGTGTATGCGGTTTCTCAGGCGTAGATGAAAGGACCGAAATACATAAATATTCCGATTGAACGACTCCATGCGAAGATGAAAGTTTGGCGAAGTAGAACCCATCCGTTATCCTTGAATAAAATTGCTCCTCGCAAGTGAAATGTTGATACAGAACCGGAAAGGTAACGTTCTTTTGGTAGGGGAACGGAGTTAAGACTTATTGGGAAGTGGAAAAGTAGTTGATTTGGCCTCCTCGATCTACGCTTGAGTTGCTTTTGGCACCCTCTCTGTTGATATAAACTGAATACAACAAGCGACGAAACACCGCTTCCGAAGTGAGACAGTGTCCCGGCATTTGACAACTACGCGATGTCTAATCAGCCCGCTCTACGGTTTCTTCGCCACAGTTCGGTTTGTACAAATGAGAATGGATAACCAAAGCGACCTCTATCCCCTATGGGGCGCTTGATCGATAATTGTTGAAGATGTTGGTAAGAGATCACACGATGTCCTGCAAAGTATCCGCCGTAGGGCTTAGTAGCAAGGGCGACTCCCAAAGAGCCTAGGGTGAGACACGGGAAACAGTACAAGGTGCATCCATTTTGTCGGGACTGTCATACCCTTCTAAAGTGCAGCTTACTTACTGGTCGCGGACCTCATAATCCCATGTCGTAATTCCGGAGGGTGGGGTATCCGGTCCAAGTTATCTGCTACCTGGATTTACGAGTCACCCGGAGAACACTAAAGGTACTTACTCAATGCTGTGCAGACGGGATACTGAAGGGTGCTGCCTATACTAATGAATTGCATGCTGTATAGTACACATTAAGAGCGCCTTGCTTGATAGGGTTACATGCAGCAAAGATGCTGCAACTTCCACCCAAGAACGCCTGTCACAATGTCTTGCCTATAATCCCATAGTCAAGCCAATATGGCTTGTTCGTGTTTCACCAGGCAGGCCCCTTGTCTGCTGTGTAACACAGAGCAGTATAGTACCACCTGACACGCCTGCGGGATCGCATACTATACCGGCTCCAGAATTAGCTCAGGCGTCCAGTGAAGTTCTCGCTATCCTAGGTGGTCAGTCGTGAAAGATGCTTCTTGTTTACTTTTACAGACTCAGATTCGGACAGATCATATCCTCTATTGAAGCAACTCGGCCTTGGCCTCGTATAGCCACTACCTCTTTGAGCTATACGAGGTTGCAGCCGCTCCAAAATGCCGCTGCTAGCTATTTATGACAATATACATCGAATGGTTCACCGAGTGGTCTACAGCTTAGTGGAAGTTAACAGACAGAGATATATAAGTACGAGCATATTCCGGAGGCATCCTCAAGTTCGAAACCACATCCAAAGACCTTTCTCCTCATCTTATTCAATCCTCTTCTTGCCTCAACGCTCTATTGCGATCACAAAAACTAGCCCATTCTCAAAATGAAATTCCTCAGCCCTATCACCGCCCTCACTCTCCTCGCCTCCGTGGCATCCACCTCTCCCACCCCCGCCAACCTCATCCCCCGCGCCTGCACCACCATCGCCCCAACAGCCATCGACGTCCTCGACAGCGCCAACCCTAACACCCCAAGCACCGGACAACAGTTCTCCCTGGCCCGAACAGCCACTACAAACACCAAGATCTCCGCCCTCACCTTCACCGGCATCCCCAACGGCGCCACGGGCTGCATGCTCGCGATCGACATCCCCGCACTCGCGCAGCCTATCGCCACGGGCTCCAGCCAAGCTGACATCTGGACGACCAACCCTTGGGACTTGACTTCCGCCCCTACGTGGAACAATCAGCCTACTAGGCGCGAGATGGTGTCGACTTTCCAGTTCCCAACTTCGCCAACTACATCTCCGTTCCACACGATCCTTGCGTCGAATACGTGCTCCAACACGATGAGCTTCTTGGCCTTGCTGTCGACGTGGCAGACTACTGCTGGGAGTGTGGATTTCCCGAACTCTATTGGAGGAAGTCAGCCGATTGGGTTTAGTTTGGTTTATAATTGTTAGTGGACTGGACATTCTATAATATTACTGTAGGGAGGAATGATAATGATGAAATTCGTAGACTAAGGATAAGATTGCCAGCGCGGAGGGGGAGGAGAAGGAAATAGGACCTTTGAGCAAGTAAACTTGGAAAGGCTCTATTCAACATAGTGTCTTGCGAATGTACCATTTTTCCTGCACATGTATCTAATAATAGCCCTGTTGTTTCACTCCTGCCGTGGTTTGGCCCTAAGAATGTGACATGTGCCAGATGCATCTGCCGAATAAACTTCGCTCCCTCGTTCATCCCACTCACCCACATCCTATGATCAGCGTTCGCCAAGTCCGGCCTTTTCCCCTCGCATCCATGAACATGATGCGGTTACATCCGATTGAGCCAAATATTGTGCTGGATCTAGCTTCCCTATTGAGATATAGACCAAGTGACCCCGGAGAATGAATACACCTTATTTCATCGCATTTAACCTTTCCCTGAGCTGCCGGGCGTTACTAAACGACTACGATAATCATCACATCACGAATATCCGGTGTACTTACGGTTAGTGCTGTAATCAGCAAAAGTGCTTTCTTAAGATACTCTCCCAAACTGATTCGTATCAGCTTAGCTCTGTGATGCTGATAGTGAGGGATGAGGGTATTGTGGTACAGCCTTTCCAGAAACTGCTGTCACCATTCACTCCCTTCTGTTGTTTCCGAAACCCTCCAGTGAAACCAAGCTAAGCTATCTTTAGACTAGTTGATGATATTCGTATTCGTTAATTATACAATGAAATGGTCATTACTAGTTAATTTATAGTACAGTACCGAGATTGATTAAGGTAGAGATCATAGTTAATACGGCCTTTTGTGACTAAAACTATATTTAACTCTTGTTTTCTAGGTCCAGTTACATGTACTTATGCGGAAGAATAGTTGTAGTCAGTAATTCGATAGTAGTGAGGGTCTGGTTCCCTGTGATTACAAGTAGTTGCGGATTTCAAGTGATACCAATGAAAGTGATTAGACAAATGAAACCGGATTTTAGCTGACTTATAGCCGCTTCGGCTGGATTTCCAGCTACTCACTGTCCCTCATGATCGCTAGTATACAAGAACACAAATGAAAACAGATGCCAGTCAAACATACAGGGGTGCCCGGGAGAAGAAATATATTGAGATAGTACTTGTGATCATGAACAGTTTCCTACTAGTATCAGGCGATGGAATATATTGCGGTTGGTCAATGATATCTCTCCACGCTATTGGCCACGCACGAACAAAGTGACATCATTACCCCGCACCGCTTGGTCGGAATTTCATCTCCGCTCGGATTGCCTACAACTTCAATTATCCTCGTCACCACATTTGAACTATGTTGCCACAAACTTTATGTTTCTCGGGAAAATGACATCTTCCAACAGTCAAGCTCCACGGACTCTTGCTCCAGCTACTATCATTAGTCCCCTTGCCAATGATTCCGCTCAAGAGACTGTCGTCAAGCCAATCCGAAAAAGAACAAATGCCTGTGAAGCATGCAAGAAGAGGAAAACAAAAGTATAACTTTAAACCGTCTGCCTTGAAGATATCTAACTGAGAACCACTTTACAGTGTCTAGGAGAGCTTCCGTGTGATAAATGTCTTCAAATAGGCACAGAATGTCATTTCGTGGAAGAATCTGATAGACGAAGAAAGCTTGCACTGCGCCGTATCGAACAGGAACTGAGCTCAGCCTACTTGTTGCTCGATCAAATCAAAGTGGCTTATGGAAAAGGTAACAAAATAGAACTTGAAAGACTCATTAACATATCGAAGGATAAGTCGACTTTGGCTTGGAGGATTGAAGTTCCAACGCAGCAGAAACTACAGGTACGACACAATTTATTAGGAATCCACAAGGGCGGGCTGACCAACACACCAGGATCTCGAAGAGCGTATGTCCTTTTATGAACAGTTAGTCGAGGAGCTATCCACTAATTTCCATTCGGAGGTCTCTGGCTACATAGCGAATTCATTGAAGGTGAACCTTTACTCTGAACATCCTGATAAAGCATCTAAACTTAGTACTAGCCTCTTACGTCGAGATCCTATGCTTTGAAAGAGCCTCAAAGATCTCGTTCTATTTCACCCTCTTCGTCAATGGGCTCGCTTAACGATATTGATACTGTTGATAATGATGTGAACAGAGATAGGCAAAGCAGATCAACAGGGTTCATGGGAAAAGGTTCTGAGATTGCTTGGCTCCAAAGACTTCACGCTGAAGTCGGCGGCTTAGAACGTCCCGGTACCGAGCAACACGTCAAGCATGATAAAGGAAGTCTCGCTTCTCTCAATTACCACCTCGATAATCTGGTTATAGCAGAACCAAGTTATAGTGATCTCAATGCAATGCCACCAAAGCCTTGGGCTGACCAACTGCTTCACACTTACTTTTCATTCATACACCCAACATTCCCACTTCTTCTCAAACCTTTGTTTTACCAGCAGTACGAGAATGCTTTCCGTAATCGCTTGTCAGCCCCTCAGCAAAGCTGGCTCGTGATCTTCAACCTAGTCAACGCTATTGGAGCTAAACATTTTCAGTTGCGCCAAGAGCACTGGGACGAAGATGTTGATGATCGTATCTTCCTTTCAAGGGCCATTGCACTCAATGCAAAGCATAATACGATTTTGGACTATGTGGACTTACAACAGGTCCAAATAAGGATGCTTCTAGCACTCTATTATCTCGTTGCTGGTCAAATTAATCGGTACGCCTGAATCCGCCTAATGCATGCTATCTTAAAAGGGTATATTTTGGTCGGCATAAAGGTCTGACTCGTGACAGATCATGGCAATTAATAGGCTGTACTGCCCGATCTGCTATAGCTTTGGGGCTTAATCTCCGAAACAGTGATGGGAACTTAGATCACGACTCGAAAGTATTGCGTTCCAGCCTGTGGTGGTCAATCGTCTATCTGGAGCAGATACTTTGTACTGCAACAGGCCGTACATCTTGTATTGACTGGAATTGCTGCAGTATCACGGCTCATGTATTATTGAAAGGAGATCTACTTCCCGAGTCAGAGGCAGCCGGTAACCTTAGTACTGAAGCACAAGAGCAAGAACTTGTCTTCATATTATATGCCAATGACTTGCAGTTGCAGGAAAGGACAAGATATATACAATCTGTTCAGCCAAACAGCTCCTTATTCTCCTTCTACTTAACTGATCTCGCTGTGATTGGCCACGCGGCAATTAGATCAGTGTATAGTCTACAATCTCTATCCGGCACACCGAGCGAAAAACAGCATCAGATCAGCAAGTACCAGAAGAAGCTGGAAGAATGGCTATCATCATTGAAAGAGTATTGGAGCTTTACCGATAGCCATGGACACTACACGAAGAGCATGGAGTGTCGAGAAAAGATATTACTTGCGTTCAGCTTTTATAGCATCGAGATCGTTCTTAATCGTCCCTGTCTTACCCGCCCCGAATTTCAAAAGAATTCAGAAGTCAGGCGCCCTCGCTCTAGGTTCGATGATGACAAGGCACTTGTCTGTTTACAGTCTGCCCTTAATATGACTTCGGTCTTACCTGATCTCCCAGACTTGGAGTGGTTATGCACAATGGCACCATGGTGGTCCATAGTTCATCACTTGATGCAAGCATTGGTGATATTACTGCTTCAACTGTGTGTAGGACCTGTCGGAGCCTCCGAACACGGAGAAATCACTGGAGGTGGGGGAGCTGTGGGCACAGCAGAAGAACCAGAGAAGATACTCCAAGTATCAAAAAAGTGCCTACGTTGGTTATTTTCTATTGGCAATCGAAGTTACAGTGCGAGAAATGCCTTCATAACTTGTGATCGCCTTTTACGCAAAATTGCCAGCGTTCGAAGATTGGACCTAAGTAACCTACCAGCTTCGTCGAATCTAGCTGATCGAACTGCCGACAATAATCTCCTGCCCTACTATCGTGGGTCCTTCAATCCTGGCTCTACTCGTCTACTGCATCTGAAATCATCGAACAGCTCGTCTCACAATAATGATGACTGCTGGGGAGCAGATTACACACATCCTGAGTCAGCCACTGACGAGCAAGAATCCACTCCCTTAACCTTGGACCCTGCGCTGCTTGAGGTATATGAAACTCTGATTGAAAATCGCTCAACCAGTGATATCGATGTCTTTGAAGGCGACATTGAGTATCCGCATGGAAGTTACTGAGTGACCATAGTCCTTGTTGAATGCCATCTAAGGATTATCCAGTTCTGGAGTTTCGCCGGATATGGATAGGTCACGAGCCGCGTAGTTGTCGTTTGTGGACGCGCAGCTTCCAACGGGGAATATAATCGCGTAGCGCACTTCATGGTCTTTAGGTCTTTGAGACTGCGTGATTATAGGGTTGGAATGGAACCAGATCATTACTTGTCATCGCATTCATTAACTCAGGTATTTCAGATTATTGAATTTCTTGCTGTTGAATACTTGTAAAGAAATAAGCCTTGATCGGCATAAAAGTGAGAGTTGGAGCTCTGGGAGAGATTTTAGGTTAATGAACCCTGTTGTGATGTTGTGATACAAAACTGCGGTCGTCATACGTACACGGCTTTACTATATTTCCGTATCTGACATAGCTAGCCTAGCCTGGTTTTATCTCGGGGCTGCTAATGAGAACGAAGAGAGTAATGGGTGACTCCAGAATCCGGCAAGGCCGTATAGAGTGCGGGGAGTGCATGTTCCTTACAGCCTGCGGGACTTCGTATCTAGGATTCACATGAAGTGTGCTTGATATAACAGGAACAACTTGCATATTGTAATTCTGTAGAAGTTGAGTCAAAAAAGAAGCAATCTCAATAACACCCATCCGACACACCCAGCTAAGCCTTATCTTCCACATGCTCCGCCCTCACGTCGTCCTTCTCATCCCCTCCGCTCCCCGCGAAAACATGCGTCCTCCACCTCCGCGCCGGTACCCTCTCTGTAAAAAACATAGCGACCTCCAACCTCGTTCGTCCCTGCGTCTCACCCACACAAAACCACACCCAAATCAGCGACGTCAGCGTAGTACCCGCATACACGAACCCGACCATTGGGCCCAGGCCAGCATCATAATACAGATACGGCGCGGTGAAGGAGATCACCCAAAGGAAGAAATACAGCGCCACGATGGACACCGACATGATCTTATTCTGGTTCACGCCGACCGAGATTTCACGGGACACGGCGTAGGTGAGTGGGCCGAGACCGAAGTTGTAGGCGCAGATGACGACGTAGGAGAAGACGACAATGATGTATTTAGATGCTGTGGTGAGAGTGGATTGGGTGCCGAGACCGCCGATGATGATGAAGGCGACCAGGATGAGGCTGGTGCTGGCGAGGAGGTTGGTGCGGCGGCGGAGACGGTTTCCTGTGAGGATGGATGCGGCGACAGCGAAGATCTGTAGGATCATGGTGATGAGGGTGATTGTAAAGGGCTGGGACACGCCGAGAGCTTCGGCAAACACGACGCCGTAGTTGTAGAAGAAAATGATGCCGCAGATTTGTTGGGCGTACATGCCGCCCGAGGCCCATATTAGCTTTTTCCGTTCGATGGGGTCGAGGAGGAGGGAAAGCCAGGAAGATTCTTCGCCTTGGGCTTCTTCGTAGCGTCGGGCTTGCGTGAGGAAGGCTAGATCGGCTGTGGGGTCGTAGGTGCGGTTGTTGCGGTTGATTTTGAGGAGGGAGCGTCGGGCGTCCTCCAGTCTGTTGTGGAAGACATACCAGGTTGGGCTTTCGGGGATGAAGGGTAAGAGGAAGAGCATGAAGAGGGGCAGGATGACGAGTCCGCCCATTGGGAGTTTGTAAGATAGAGACGAGTGGATGGAATTGGTGCCTTGGGTGAGGCCGGAAGCGACGAGCTGCGAGCAGGACTGCAGGAATTGGTACATGTACAGTGCTGGACTTCGTATCTCCATTGGTGCGATTTCTCCGATACTATGGATGGTCAATGGTGTTTTACATTTGTGTAGAACCGACACAACAGCACTCACTAGAGTGCGACGTAACCGTAAAGTTGCCCACTCCAAGCCCGATCAGAATGCGGCCAAGTACAATAACACCCTCAATGTTCGTGTCCGCGACCTGGGTCACACCCCCTGCGAGCACAAACGCCGAAGCAATCCAGAGGACCGTTTTCCGACCAAAGCGATCATTGAGGGGCCCTGCAATGAGTGCACCGAGCATATCTCCGATGTAGATGCTTGAGGTAGTCAGCGAAGTAAAGCTCGTCGCCAATGCTTTCGCCCCATCCTCGTAATGGTCGCCGTAGTCATTCTTGAATTCTTGCATGCCTAGAATCCCGCTGTAATATGTGTTGTCATAGCCAAATACCAGGGCGCCGATGGCGGAGATGGAACAGTAGATCAAGGCCCACCGGTGACGGCGGAATTCGATGTCGAAGCCAAACATGATGGGATTTTGGCATTGTCCGTTGACATAAGAGATGGTGACCTCCAAGAAGCAAGAAGCAGTGAGGAGGCCATGCGGGAGTTTAAATAGACCTAGCCGAGGTTGTAGCCGTAGCGCAATACTATTCCCAGGGTATGAAGTATGACGAAGGTAGGCACGAGAAGAGAGCCAACCGAGTACCACCCCCACGCCGATCTGAACGACATCGAGGGGGCGATTGGCTCGCTTGCTTCCGACTCTCCTCCCCCAGATGATGCCCCCACGGATGTGCCTTGATTCGCGGGGAAAATGCGGGGGAGGCCAGACTAGGGCTGCGCTTGTCTGTGCTCGATCAAACACAGTGGCCTGACGTTCAGTATCCCGGGCGGAGTCTAAGCCCAAAGAAGGCAGATGACGTGCGGCGCTGTTACCAAAAGAACAATGCCTTCTTGTCGTACTCTGAAGAGGGGCTATGCATGGTGATCTGAATGGATAGTGCACTTCCCGCCGGTTGGGGTCCATTAATTGCCCCAACCAATCGCAGCTGGAGAGTTGCAAGGAGCGACGAGGAGTCACCGGTCTCTGTCACTCCAGCAGCGTCTACCGGATGAATTCTGTGCCGGAGAAAAACAAAAAGGTAACGATTTTGTTCTCCTGAGCAGTTCAAACATGTGGGATGAAGCTCGTCCACTCAACGGTCACATAAGAACTCGATGGAAGTTGTCGCAGGCTGATGAAAGCCTCGATGATGATGAACAAGCGGGCTGGGACCAGACACGCACTGATAAAAGACATGACAACGTCCAGCACCCAAGCACGCCACCCTTTCTCTTCTTTACCGCTAGGCTGCACCCAGATCCATGTCAAGGACTGGTGACCGTCAAAGCCTAACGCAGTGAGAGTAATCCGCAGCATGCTCGACAAGGGAAGACCAGACGCCAGGAAGACGCTCATGATGCGCCACATCAATTGTTCGGTACTCGTGGGGAACACATGGTTCCATCCTAGCAGATGGACAGCCGGATGTACCATAGCTTGGATGGATACCAGTATCCAGGTGCGCTGACTTAAGCCATTGAACACAATCTTGTCATCCGGCATGCGCTGTAAGGGGCTTTTCTGCGGGCGGAGATTCTCGAGGGTCGGTCGGCGATGCCACCGTTGGTGTGGCTTCTCCAGGAAATCAAGTGGTGTCTCGCGGAAGGGCTCAACGCCGATCTCCCCGGCACTGTTGATCAGGCCGTTGACGGATCCGCTCTTGAGTTCGATAACGGTCGGTACCCCGACGCTCTGTGGCTTGTGCATCCAGAAGTAGTAGGTTGTGATTGTGGATAACACGAACGCAATGGTGAAGAGCTCGAGAGGAGATACGGCGAGACCCTGTACGGCCCGGGCAATGGACTGGACCACGAGCCACACCCCTTGCACCAACGCCACGCATTTAGCGAACGTATCTGCCTTGCTCTTATCCCAGATCTCCTCCGCTGTGATTGTAGGGCAGTCGATATGGTGAGTCTCGACGAGGTAGTGGATCGAGGCGGCAGTAATGGGGAAGGGAGGGTAGTCTGTCGATTGAAGGACGAAGCCACCGCTATTGGCGTAGAAAGCGTGTTTGAGTGTCCATTCCTTGTACCCCAGGCGGTGCATATCGCGCACTGATTCCTGGGCCGACTCGTACTGCATGGCGGAGAAGCCGACCAGCATGTCGGGGGCCAAGATAGCAAAGGTTCCCCAGCGGAGCTTGCGCCACAGAACCGTCCAAAGGCTATCATCGGGGGCCGGAATATTCAGATGTAGCACTGTCCAGAGAGCGGTGGAGAGGACCAAGCAACAGCCCCAGATAATATCGATGGTACCCCGATCGTTGGGCGAGTCCACCCAGCCACTCACTTCTCCCGCGGGCAACGGCGCCATGATTATTGCACCACAATGTTCGGGATTGCACGTGCTATTGGAAGAAAGATATCAACAAGTCGGTTTGACCAAGATGGAAGAACAAAACGAACACCTCCCACTGAAGGGTGTTTGCGCGGATCTTCATGGTTAATGAACCCCTCCACATGCTGGGCCATGACGGATCTTTTGTCGGCCAATAATGCATTAGTGCAGACGCAGGGGATGCATATTCCGACCGGCGAGTCACAAATGAGAACGAGAAACAAGAGATAGCATACAGAGCACGATGGAGTCTCGCGCCAAGGGCCCGGAGCGTACAAGTGCGATATCAGGATATTACGATTGGCATGCTGCATGAGCTGACAGGCCTAGACGCAGGGTCTTGATTGAGCAAAGACCATCCTCAAAACATGATTTTTCTCTGCGTGGGGGCCAAAAGTGCAGATCGGACTGGGACACCATCTTGTCCGGAATTGCCTGATGTACTTTTGATTCGAGCACGAGGGTTGCGACCGGCGAAACCTCTGAGACAATGACAACATGCGAGGAATGTCTAATCTAGTCTATAGTAAGCCCTCAGCAGGCACTGTGATGCTTGGGGGCCGAGGAGCAATAGACTTCGTCAACTGCAGTGGAACAAGGAGGGCAGCGTGGCTCTGGATCAATTAACTTGGACTTTAGCGGCTTGAGGGCCCGTCCGCGATAGGCCGCGAGGGGCCGCTGTGGGGGGAAGTCGAGAGCACCGGTGCTGACAGGCGCTGACGGCTGAAGGGCGAGAGCAGGCGAGCGTGACGCGAAGGAATTGCTGGTGGAGATGGGCGGGTCTCAAGCTAACGGGAAGGAGTTGTCCATCCGCAGGTTGATCCCTGAACAGCAGCGATTGGCGTCGCTTATCCCTTCAAGGGGATCCAGTGCTGTCCTCGGTGTTTCTCCAAGGCCCAATCAATGTGGCCAAAGCAACCTGGTCAATCTCTGCATACTTAGTATCGGCAATTTGGGGGCCAAAAGTTACCCCTGCACGAGCGGGGATGTGACTTGAAAAAGGAGAAGATACAGCAACGCCTTCATGTGCATCCCAGGCCTCGTGGCCGACCACGAGGACGCCTAGTCGACAATGCATGCCGACGGTGGGTCAAGTTTGTACACAGAGCACACACTCCCACACGGATTCACAGTATCTACGGAGTACTCAGTGTCTCACCACTTATGCCAAGCCTAAAACCTCCCAAGGGCATGAAACTGCCCAATAGATATCGGGACCAGATTCAACATGTGGTGTAATGATGATAAGCCAAGTAATAGCCGGAGAATGGCCGGTCGCACATATCGAAGGGAGGCACAAGCTTCAGGGGCATCGCACGTTTCCACAGTTTTGACTCACGGGTCTAGGGTCGATGATCTACCTTTTTGCAATTCGCTGTAGGCAGGTTAATCGGAGCAGTTGAACGTATCGCTGCCCTTGGGCACCAGGTGTAACGCCGGCTATGAGGGTTGCCAGCCGCTCTTGCAGTGCCTATTCGTAATCGAATTGTGGTACAGCTGACGGAGAGTAAATGCCCCTTGCACCGTTTCAAGAGTAATCGAACCATCATTGGGTCTTACTGCTGGTGTAGACACCCTCGAGCAAGCAAGCCATCTCTCTCGAAGGCGAGATGATTGTTGCCCGGTGTCTGCTGCATACAGGTTACACCCATGCCCCACCAAGGTCTCACATGCACCTTGTAGCATGCGAAGTCAATCGATCGCAGCTGGAAGGGATCATCGCAACTCTCCGTCGAAGATCACTTTGAACGACAAAATTAGACCATAATCTCGAGACCCGTACGAGGTCTGCCCGAGCTGACCCGGTGGTAAATGCTCTGACAACCTATCAAGTACGTGTTCTGCATTGCTATGCTTCTCGCCCCGCCAAAGCGCACTGAATGTCACCGGGGAATACCAGCAAACACCGTATGTGAGCCACGCGAAGAATGTCTCTGGTATCCGGCACTAAAAGGATACTGTTCGGCCGACAAAATGCCGAGATGAAATATGCACGTTAGAGAGACCGTAGCAATTCTATTTCATCAGAAGGATTTTGGTGGGTTTTGGTGGGCGCCCACAATCGATATCATCTTACGGACTGAAAGGGAAGGCAGATAGGCAAATGCTCCACTAGGGATAGTCTAGACCATAGGTCAGTAAGAACTAATGATGTACACTGCCGAGGTTGTGAGATCTTCCCTCTTACCTCTGTAGGTCGCGTTGAGGTCCCCTTTAGTCCTCTGTATCCCGGACAGGTGGTGTAGTCGGAGAAACACGGTCGCAACAGCCCGTGCTTTGAAACAGAGCTAATCGAGTGCATATGCTTGTGAAGCATACTGATATACCGTTTCTCACGTCAGACGAGATGCCAGCGGAGATTTACCGACGCGAGCGACCACACATGGGTTGCAGTGCTGACCACAGTCAGCTCAAGATACAATCGCCGGGTATCATCGGCGTCAAACCCCTCCGCATTCAGCGTTCGAGCGGGCCACTGCTTGATCGCCGAGCCATTTGCTTCAATGTTACAGTGTTGAATCCTTATGTTCACATCTAAATGGACGACTGTTAGACAGGGGACGATGCATAGCATAGTAAAATTTGGGCGAGAACCATATCACTTACCGTTGGCGGAGACCCGCTCGAGGCTCCCGTCACCAATCGGGGACCATTCTCGGTCTTACCACGATTTGACTTTCCATTGGTGACGCATCTTGGGGTCTGTCGAAGCCTCCAGCCGTCGCATATCAAGTGTCAGTCTCCTCCCATACAATGTCCGAAGCACCTAATCCTCCTGTTCAAGGCCGCCTTATTAGCCATTTTGCCGACCGGTACGCTGGGAATTTTTGCTCGCATCAAAGGCCCGGACCGAACCTAGCTAACTCATACCAGGAGAGCGGAGGACCAAGGCTCAGGCTGGTCCGCACTCTGGGACTCCAACGAGAGCGTTCTTTGGGATAGAGGGAGTCCTTCAATTGCACTAGTCGATGTAGTAGAGCAGCAGCAGGATGTCTTCTTTCCATATACTCGCGATGGACGAAGGAAGAAAGCTCTCGTTCCGGTAATTCTCTCCCCTTTCCACCAGCCAGTCAGCAGGCCGGAGGTTCGCGGAATCGCTATAAAGAATCTTGTATAATATACTAACTAGCTATGATACTCTTACAGGGCTGTGGACGAGGCTATGATCCCGTCATGTTAGCTCTGCATGGCTTTGATGTCTACGGTCTCGATATATCCACCACTGGTGTTTCAGAGGCAACAAAGTACGCCACCTCTGAAATGCAGAGTCCACAAGGGTATAACTTCTCCGCAGGAGCCGTCACTACTAGCGTTGTAGGGAGTGTAAAATTTATTGCGGGTGACTTTTTCAGCTCCGAGTGGGAGAGTCAAGCTCTACAGGATGGTGACAAGTTCGATTTGATCTATGACTATACGGTATATTACCCCCGGCCACCCGGCCTATGTGCTACAGAACAACCTCCAAAATTAAGCAACGAAGCTCACAATCAACAGTTCCTCTGTGCCCTCCACCTGGACCTCCGTCGAAAATGGGCTGAGCGGATGAGCCAGCTCCTCCATCCCGGAGGCTTGCTCGTCTGTCTTGAGTTCCCCATGTACAAGGACACCTCCTTACCAGGCCCACCGTGGGGACTGAATGGAGTCCACTGGGATCTGCTCGCGCGCGGCGGGGACGGGATCACTAACATTACTAAAGAGGAAGAAGACGAAGATTCTGGTATTCAGCTGTCAGGGCAGTTTCGGCGAGCACAATACTTTAGGCCTATACGGTCGTATCCAAGCGGCAAAGGCACGGATATGCTGAGTATTTATGTGAGAAGGTGATGGGTAAGCAATGTGGACTGAGTCGAAAGATATTCTCATACTTACGGATACTCAGCCCCGTCGCCAGTTCGACCGCCCAAAACACCCAGGTGATGGCGATTACTAGGGTCTTGTGTCTAGAGGACCATCCTGCAAGGGTGAGATATCGGCTTAATGCCTGAGGCGAGACGGCCGGCGTATGGATTCGGACTAGCGCAAGAGAAGCCCAAATAATGATTGGTGCGGTTGATGAATCATCCCCAAATTTGGCGCTAGTCTTCTTCGAGATTCTCGCGTCATCATCATAGTTCCCCCTTACCTCCTCTTTAACAGTCATCTTCCACAGAAAATTCTGTTCAATGTCAACTCCTCAGCAGATTGTTACCTAGCTTAGGACTGATATATTTAGCTACTGAATGCTTGTGAGAAGACAGCGAGCAGCATTAGGTGCGCGCTGCGGTCCACGTCCGCTTGATGGCGCGTGATCCCGTTCTAGGTTGGCAAAGTGCCAGCTTGTCCCATGCGACAATAGAACACAAGTGGTTTCAGTTCCTACAATTTCGTCAACACCAATCGTCCTGCGCATAAACACAGTTCCGGTAGTATGGGGCTAAAACGATCCATTGACCTCTTTCGTGCAATCGGGACCGTCATCACGAGGCCCGCCGCGGCACGATGCCATGAAATCTCCGAGAATCGGTGATTCAACCCCCCAGACTACTGTCATTGGTAATGTATCCCGAGAAAATCTGCCCGACCCTAGCAGGTCTCAACTGTCCATTGGTTCGGACTCGGGGTGGCTGCCACTCAGCGTGCCGCATTCCCCGCGTTGACCGGATTACGGGGCCCCGCCGGTACTCACTACCTCGAACCCGGCATGGCTGTCCGAACAGACCCCATACAGTGGTAGCACCAAGCCCGAATTGCTGCGATTAAGGCTTGTTGGCGCCGAATCCTTCGCAATTCCGTCGTTACGTCACGCAGAATATTTGACAATGTCCGGGTGTGAGGGCTGCCGGTTAGACGGACGATGACCGCACTTCGAATCAGCCCACTATAAAGGCGACTCATCGATCCCTGCTGCCGGGCTTCACTTCATCATTCCTCCAGTAAACATCATGCGGTTGGCCTCCGGATTTCTAGCACTGACCTGCCTTGTGCCAGGGATTCTGGCCACAGCGGGCCTCGAATCGTCTGATGCGAATGGTGACAGCCTAACCGTTCGGACTCGTACCGGAGTGTATACCGGAGTAGTTGAGGATCAGTACCCCAACACCCGCATCTTCAAATCCATCGCTTTTGCAGAACCTCCTGTGGCCTCGCGGAGATGGCTACCTCCGGCCAAGCTTCCCAACTCCACGACACATCATACTACATACCATTATCCACCTTCCTGCCCGCAGTTTGTGTCTTCCGCGACTTCCCTGTGGAACCAGTACCTGGGGCCCGGGGATGAAATATACAATGGGAATCAAGGGTACAGCTCCGGTCTCGTGGGAGAAGCGACATCTGAAGACTGTCTGTACCTTGCCATCTGGACGCCAGCCAACGCTACGACCGCATCCAAGCTCCCTGTCCTATTCTTCATGACCGGTGGAGCTTTCACCACCGGCGGAATCAACATTGGGTGGCAGAAACCTACAAATTGGGTCGAGCGTACCCAAGAACACATTGTAGTGACTATCAACTACCGTGTGAACATCTTCGGCTGGCCCAATGCGCGGGGACTGAAGGAACAGAACCTGGGTATTATGGATCAGCGCGCTGCTCTGGAGTGGGTATACGAGAACATTGAACAATTTGGCGGTGATCGCTACAAGATCGTGCAATGGGGCCAGTCGGCTGGCTCGCAAAGCGTCGACTTCCACTCTTATGCCTATCATGACAACCCACTGGTACGTGGATACTTCATGCAGTCCGGCACTGCACTCAAGTCACTTGGATTCTCGGACTACGACCAGACGAACTTTACCTTTGTTGCCAAGCAGTTCAACTGTGACTTCCCCAATCCCGCAGCCGAGCTCGAGTGCATGCGACAAATTCCCTTTGCGCAAATCTCAAATTTCATCGGCCAGTACTCAGACAATGGCACTGAACCCGCGCTGAGCTTCAGTGTCGTTCCCGACGAGCGCTTGATTTTCAGCGATTATCCCGCCCGCTCAGCTGCAGGGAAGGTCGCACATCGCCCTGCAATCATCTCCAACTGTGCCAACGAGTACGCATCCTTGATCACCTATCCCGTGAACAATTTGACTGCTGGCCCGGACCCGGATGCCGTATTGGAGGGTGATCTGACTGACTGGATCTGCCCCACGGCCAACTCGACGCTTCTTCGCAACCAGCAGAATATCCCCGTTTACCGCTACCAGAATGCTGGACAATATCCGAACCTGAATCCATTCCGCTGGCTCGGCGCCTACCATGCTAGTGATCTGCCGATGAACTTTGGCACCTATCCTATTCAGGAGTACCTGGGGAATAGCACCACCTTCGAAGCGGAGGTCAGCCGGACCATGCAGGATCATATCCTCGCCTTCCTGAAGGATCCGTTGAACGGACCGCAGTCACTTGGGTGGCAGCCAGTGAACTCCTCGCTCGTATCGGGCGGCAAGGTGCTTCGCTTCGGGGCTGATGGTAAGGCAGTCCAGCAGTTGGATCGTGTTGAGATTGACGGACCGTGCCGGGGGATTGGCCAATACAACCAGTTCCCATAAGTGTCCGGATGATGAGTGAGGCGTACATACATGTATGCTATGGAGTGATGATATGAGCGACTTGCAGCCTGATTGGATTATCTTATGCCTCTCCTTTGGGCGAAAAGGAAAGGAAAGAGAAAAAAGAATATCTCAACGATCACTCCCGCTATAACATATTTGGCCTAGAGCCGGCGTCAGCGTAAAGCTAATGCTCGGTGACACTTCTTCGTGCTCCGGTCTTCGTTACAGACTCATTGTTGCGGTTGAGTTAGGTGGCTGAAGGAACTTTGAATGACAAAGTTGCGGCGAGCCTGATGTTTCATTTTTGTCACACATTGATATCCGCCGAGTCTGTTGACCTCTTCCATCAAATTTTAAAGTTTATTATCTCCTTCTAATGGATAAGCTCATCAGTGACTCGGTCAAATGCACGGATTCTTGTGTAACGGCCCAATGCAGCAGTTGATCCGGCTCAAAGGGCATGTGTCACGAGGCGGTTGCCCATACACAAGTGACTTATCACGGCGACTTTCCCGGGACCACACCGCTATTACCAATAGATCTACATAGCTCATCCTATACCCATTACTGACGCTACTTGGCATGACTCGTGTAAGCAGTCATTGTAAAGATCTAAATTGGATGTTCAAAAGCTCAGCTACACACTGTACTCGTTGCGAGTGCTTCAGCAGTGGGATGTTAGTACACGCTTTCAGCCATACGATGACGTTACGTACTATGCACTTGAATACATCTATGGTTTGTCACTCGAAGCTAGCACCAACCAAGTAACTAGGTAAACTATTGAAATGTCATATCAGCCTTGGACGTTGTATTTCTAAGAAGATCGGCACACGCAGCAGAGGGAGATGGAGCGACCACATAAGTCGTAAGGCTTTGGGCATTCCAAAACTATGAGAGCCTTTGATGTCCGTAACTTTGCTTTTGTGAGGCTGGAAGTTCTCAGCTGCGGAGTGCGCGATTTTAACCTTTCTTTTTGTGATCTTGGTCTTGATAGACTGATTCTACTCGATCTCTCTTACTATGATCATTACGATCTAATTGGCTCTGGAAACTATCCAAGCCATAATCCATCTTACAACATATCTCATCTTGCTGAGCACATTGGCCCGGGTACGGCTTTCACTATAAAGGCCACCCAGACCTGCATATTCCGTATGTACTGACAGCACCTTGACACGTCACAGACCTCTTTGTTGCCCTATCGCCCTCTCAACTGATTACTCCTTCAAACTTGTTAACATGCGTTTCAATGAACTTCAAGACCAGTCAGACAAAAGTCTGTCTGAGATCATGTCAGAAGCGAGGTCATTATTGACTCAACTTCTCACAACCGATTCTCCAGCCCCATCAGACCCCATCTTTCGAAAGCTCGATACCCATGAGATACAAGACATGCAAGATAAAGTCATGCCGGACGATCATCCTCGAGATCTCGCTTCCTCCATTCAACAAGCCATGACACTCTTTAATTACCAAATGCGCCTCAGTCACCCACATTGCTTTGCTTATATACCAGTTTGCCCAAACCCTATTGCCCGTCTGGGTGATGCCCTCACTTCCATCTGGAATGTAAATGTTACCACCTGGGATACGAGCTCTGGTCCGAGTGCGGTTGAAAAGGCCATGATCCTCTGGCTGGGTGCCCAGCTGGGGCTGCCAGATTCAGTTGGAGGGTGCTTTGTTTCCGGTGGTTCGATGGCAAACATGACAGCCATAATTGCAGCCCGGGATGAGAAACTCCAACCCTCGCAGCGAGCAAATGCCACTATCTACATGTCCGACCAAACACACCTCTCCGTTATGAAAGCCCTACATATCGCCGGCTTCATGGACTATCAGGTCCAGAAGATACCAACTGATGATGACTTCCACATAGATGTGGATATCTTACGCCAAGTCATTACTGCGGATCGTCAACTCGGACGCGTTCCTTTCCTTCTTGTCGCCAATTGCGGGAGCACCAACACCGGCAGCATCGATCCTCTCCATGAATTAGCTGACATCGCACGAGATGAAGGGCTATGGCTCCATGTAGACAGTGCATATGGTGCATCCATCGCACTATCCGACAAGCATCGCCACCTGATTGATGGCATCGATCGGGCGGACAGCGCTTCCTGGGATGGCCACAAGTGGCTCTTCCAGACATATAGTTGCGGAATCGTGCTCACGCGGCACGTCAACTCTCTCAGACACAGCTTCTCCTTTGATGCCGAATATATGAATACTATATTGGCACCGCAGGACACGATTAATTTCAATAAACTCAGTCCAGAGCTCAGTCGCCCCGCGCGTGCGATGTCTCTTTGGCTCACTCTCAAAGTCTTAGGTAGTCGTCGTGTCGGTGAGATGATTGATCAGGGGTTTCTTCTTGCCCGTCAAGCGGACCGTAGTATCCGGCAGTATAAGAACTGGATCATTCCGGCGCCAACAGTTGCTAGCATTGTGGTTTTCAGATATGCACCTCGCGGGTTCAGCGAAGAGGAGCTAGACTCACTGAACAGTGCTATTTCACAACGGCTTTTGATGGAGAATATTGCTGCCATACTAACTACCCAAATTCGGGGACGGAATACTCTTCGACTTTGTGCTATGAATCCTGCCGTGCAGCCCGAAGATATCAGTGATATAATACGTCAAGTGGATAAGGTGGCTCGAGCCGAGGCGTCTAAGATCCAAAAGACATATCCAAGGATGCCTAATATTCTGTGTAGTCATCTGCCAATTTGTCGTGGGTGTTGAAGTTTCTGACTATGCTTAAACTACACTTCATTTCATGTTTCGGGAATAGATGAGTTACGTTTTGGCTAATATTCTCTGTATCGATCTTACATGAAGCTTATAGCATGATATCTAGACAAATTCTTCAGAGTTTAGGTTAGTCTCAAGAGATCGTAGATCTTACAGGTTCAAGGAATGTCGTGTTGACAAAGGTGATCCAATACTGTAAGGTTAGATTGACATCTTCTCTGACCGGTGAACTTAATGTCCCAGAATAAACCGTACACGTTTCTCTACAGCTGCCGTCCCTTCTTCCTCCACGACGAGATACGTCGACAGAAGGCTATGGTCCCACTGGTTGATTCAGGTAGCCAACTGGATCAGATTGGGTTGTTTTTCATATTTGCTAGTTCAGGATCTCTCCCCTTATAACTAATCAGAGGACTCTTCTGGGTTATTTCTTATATCCATGGTTATATATTTTTGACTGCCATCAGGTGACCAGTAAATTTAATTATCATGTGAAAATTGAGAATTACCGGGGGGGGGGGGGGAGTGACATTGCTTTTTATGTGAAGCACGGTGTCTTACTAGACGTCCCATACTAGCCAATAGGAGAGCAGCTATTGAGTAATCCCGAGCCCGACCTTACTAACGTTAGCTGATAAAAATGGTCTCCGGAAACCCCAACAATGATAGTAATTATCGCATTTACTGGAGGGGAAATATCGTATCTCAGAAAGTAAGATCCATTCCCGTGATCAGTCCGGAGAATTGGGCTTACTTCCCGGTGAGAAAGAAGGAAGGAGCCCGGCTCAGATTCGAAACCCGGTTTGCAGATCAATGTGTTTTGAAGATCACTTGACATGATCCAAGGGTGTTGCTGAAATGGTGCAGATGGTTAGAGAGTCTTCAAGGTGTTTTTTTACAAGAATTTCTCTATCATGACCAAGAAAATTGGAAAATCAGATATGATTCCGGGACCCTTTAGAGAGCACACACCACGCTGAGCACTAAGTCCTTCGGGATCTGGACGGACCCATCAGGGATCAGGGATCAGGGCTCAGGGCTCAGTTTTTAGTGCGCCTACGGGTCAAGGGAAGCTTGTCCCGAAGCTTGATTCGGTGTTGTGGGACGGGTATGGGATCTGGTTGGTCGGTTGCGCTGTCCTTAGTCTTAGCATTGTTGACAGTGAACACAACTGAAAAGGTACCTGGCACAGACCCAAGGTGCACGATGACCCAGAGGAAGCAATTAATTGGTGCTATAAGGCATATTTTGAACACTAAACAATATGGGCGGGAGTAAATGATCAACAATCTGCCTAATTCAGCTCACACCGTACTGCAATCAGAAGCACATTTGCCACACTACAACCCAGAACCCAAGCTTATCACATACGATCGGATCCCCTCGGAATTGGATGGTCCCCGAGCTGACTCGCCCTCGAGCTTAGCGCCATCACCGACGAGATCTCGCATCGTGATTCGAAATCGAGACCCCTAGGGTGCATCTTAGCTCTTTGACTAGTGTGCGCTTGACATCATATGCATGGATTGTGCCACTATTTTGGGACTAGGTGATCTCAAAACAGAGTTTCGATGGCTAAAGGGCTGAAGCCGTGTGGCGAAGAAATGGCGCAAGCTCGTAGTTGTGGAATAGAGGGGTCAACCCGCTGCTGCTGCTGCTGGGACTGCGCTGATAAAGCTGGACGATTCCTACGTCTCTGTTTCCCTCTCCCTCCATCTTGATATTTCTCCTTCTCATACTCATTTCGAATCCATACTTCATCCATTCTATACAATCTCTATCAACATAGGCCTTTTTCAAATACACCATGGACTCCTACGGACAAGACAACTTTGGCGGTGGCCGTCGCGGTGGTGGTGACAGTTTCGGAGGCAACGACTCCGGCTTTGGAGGTAACGACTCCCAGTTTGGGGGAGGTGGCTCTGGATTCGGAGGAAATGACTCGGGCTTTGGAGGCAACGGCGGCGGTAACAACTTCGGGGGCGGCAACTCCGGATATGGTGGTGATAATGGGCGCGACAACAACAACTTCAGCGGTAACGACTCCAACTTCGGTGGAGGCGGTTCTGGGTTTGGAGGTAATGACTCGGGCTTTGGCGGGGGTGGTGGTGGTGGTGACTCCAACTTCGGAGGCAACGATTCCAGGACATGGCGGAAATGACTCTGGATTCGGTGGTAACAGCTCTGGCAACTCTGGCTTTGGCGGTAATGACTCCGGATTTGGCGGGGGCAGGAATAACCAGGATAACTTCGGAGGCTCTGGTGGTGGAAATGACTCCTTCGGTGGCTCCTCTGGTGGCCTTGGCGGCTTGGTGAATAAGGCAGAGGGTTTGTTTCCTTTCCCTATCATTCGAGAAGTGACTGGCTTGGAGGTTGGAAATGGTGACTGACAATAAACTCTTATGAAGGCTTACTCAACAACCACGGCGGGAACAACAACAATCAGAGCGGCTCTAACAATGGAGGACAGGGTGGTAACTTTGTCGACTCGATGGTTGACCAGAAGGTTGACCAGTATGTTCCTTCTGGCATGGATGGGGCTGTTAACCAGGGAATCAACCAGGAGGTTAACAAGTTCTTCTAAGTGTTTGCTTCACGAATTATTGATTGCCCATGTCCCTACGCATAGGACGCTGTCTGCCAGTAGTTAATATGTTCATGTTCTATTGAATACGTTGAATCAGTGTCATGGAGGATGATTCCTAGCTCACCAGCGCGTGCTTATTTTCGTAGCTATATACATCAATTTGTTCAAGGGGAACTCTTAAGAGAGTTCCAATCATCTGCCAGTACTATACATGAATAACATCAACCTCACAGGTTGTAGGTGTGCGAGTCGATGTTGATGGTCGACACAGTCCAAGTCTTGCCGTTATCCGAGGTCGACAGTCCGGAGGAGCTGGCCTCGTTGATAGACAAGGTGTCGCCAAAGGAGTTATCCTCGGCGTTCAGGATAATAGTGGTGTCAAGGTACTCTGAGTGTCTCTGTTAATTCTGCTTATTTCTTCCGAAAGACGATTTAGGTACTTACTGTGAGCTCCTGCGGTGCTCTGGCACGCATCATCCTGGCACTCAACTGCCGTGCCCCAGCCCTGGGCTTGTCCCGAGCCTGGTCTTGATCAGTATACAAACAAAACCATAAATTATAATCGGCGAAACGCACTGGTCGAAAGAGTTGAGACCACCTCGCCATTGATCGAGACGGTCTGGTCGTACTTGCCCGTGCTGTCGTTGTACTTGTCTTCAGGTAGATGGAGGTTAGTTTCCATCCTTGAGGGGAGCCGTGGACATAGCAAATGAGATGCTTACAGTGCATGGTCACCTTGTCGCCAGCAGAAGCCGGGACTTCCTTGCCGCCGAGTTGCGTACCTACCACGAAGTTAGCTTGACCAATACTGGTATAATAAAACCATGGGGACTCACCTTCAAGGGTGCTAGCCCATGTACACCACTGTCCAGAGCTGGCACCACAGTTCCTGTAATCACCTTTTAACAAGTGTCCCGAGCAGTCGTACTCTTACTCAATCTACTTACGAGTTGGGATCAGAGAAAGAGACAGCGAGGGCCTGGATCAGATCACCACCGCTTGTACCCATGCCGGGCCAGAGAGCAAGACGGTCCTTCTGGGGGCTAGGAGCCTCGGGCAGAACCAAGGTGGTGTTGGCCTCCCTGATCCACGACTGAGTAGGGCCCAGAGAAAAGTAAGGGCCGAATCCGACCGTGCTCTGGCCGTGAGCGGCACCAATGGCGGCCAGGAAGGCAAGAGCGTCAATTCCACGCATTGTGATGAGTCTGATGATCCGTGATAGGGTATGGCAATAGACTTCGACGGACGGGATAGGCGCTGATTGTGTCTTTTTCCCGAACAGACCTACCCTGTCTTTATAGGCAACGAACCGGACGGCAAAGGAAACATGCCCGTGTTGTTTCAACAAAGGGGGATGACTCCACTCCACGCCGTAAAGTGCCAAATAAGAACGGTAATTGTTCCGGAACCGCGTGATGGTCTGGATCACCACTTTGTAGCCACTTTCGCAACGCTTTCGGAGGAATTGCCGTTTCACGCCCTGTTCGAGGTCACCCCATAGGGTATTTTGCAGACCCTGGGGGATTCTAGCGCGGCCCTAGTGTCAATCCTCGACGCTCCGAGGCCCACCAACGTTTCATGGCGGTTCCGGAAGTGTCGATCTCTACCCGGAGAGGCAGAGAGCAATATACTTTGTTATATAGGGCAGTGGGCTGTTTTTGCACGAATCTCGCATGAATCAACGGCATATTGACACTCACTCTATCTCTGAATAATGCCTCCTTTTAGCTTAGACTGAAAGTGCCTCTGCGTTGTATGGACAATAGATTAAGCACCGATGCAGCTGTTCCATTCTGGATTTGGGCTCCCCACAGGACACCCTGGGTCCCTGTAGTATTACCGCGAAGACTACAGATGATATTAAGTTAACGGAAATCGGTATGAGGGTGCGAGGCGGGAAATGATAGAGGAAGCCGAGGTCATTTGCGAGAAATACCTAACCATATCCCACAAGCACATGAATTCATAACAGACAATTCCCCCATAAATGTCTACAAAATACAACGGTTCTGCCAGGTCTTCGTCTACATGACGAGTAACGGTCTACTTGTTCAACTCAAAAGATGGAAAGACCAAGTGGGGCTCAGGTTCGAGAAAGGACTTGGTCTCTGCTACAGATATTTGCCCCACTACCAAGCTTTGGGGCACACGGATCTTACAATTGCAACGCGTGGCCATGGTACTTCGGTTCCTCAAAAGCAGCAGGGCTGATGGGTTCATCGGACCGTTCCGGGAATCCGTCAAAGGACTTGGCGTAAGTCGCAATGGAGTGGGCAACGAGCTAAGGTAAATCATCCCAGTTAGCAAAAGAATGATCGGCATAACAGTAACTAATGCTGGATGCGGTCCTACCTTGGTGTTCCACTCCCACGCAGTCAAGTTCACATTGGCCACCGTATCGCAGATCTGATGGTAACACGGGTCATACCATTGGCCAGCAACCCCACCAAACATGTCCGCTTCCTCGACAGTCTTGATACCCTCTGCTCCCGTGGCAATGCCACCACCCGGAATACCATGCCGAATGAAGGCATCATAGTCGCTGCGTCCGTCAAACGGAATGTACGTGTAGTTGAACCCATGATCTTCGTAAAAGTCGGTGTACAGATCACGAAGCTCCTCAGATCCCTCGGGGTTCACAGCATTAGTGGCATTGTAAACTTGGTACGCAAAGTTGGGCGAGCCGAGCATGTCGTAGTCCATGAACAAGCGGATCTTGCGGTTCTCTTCCGGGGTGAGAACGGACACGTAATAGTCAGATCCGAGAAGGCCTTCCTCCTCGGCGGCCCACCAAGCAAATCGCACGCAGTTGTTGACACGGAACTGGGTGAGCAATGTGGCAAGCTCCAAAAGGGTCAGAGTACCAGACCCGTCGTCATTGATACCCGGGCCCTCGGCCACGCTGTCACTGTGGCCACCCAGCATTACACAATTGTTCGGGTCACCATCCGTGGTCTGCGCGATGATATTGGTGGTGTGGATGGTCTCTACTATGGCATCAACGTAGGCGATAGCGTCCACCTTCTCGCCTTTATTCAACTTCTCCAGGACTGGGGCAGCATCCTCGTCTGAGATACCAAAGGTAGCAACATGATCGGGGGTTGGGTTTCCTAGAGTTCCGCTTAGGTCACCCCGCTCGTTGTTGTAGATGACGGCAGCAACAGCTCCCGCTTTACCAGCTAATTGAGACTTGGTCCCGAACGGACAGCTTCCCCGACTGATAAATGCAACGGCGCCTTTCAAGTTGGACGGGTAGTCCGAGGCCTCACACCCGAGGTTGGATACAGCAACCAGAGAGCCATATACCGGCTCCTTATTCCTCGTTGGAGGAGTGAGACCCATTGGTGTAGCTGACTTGGGAACATCGTGACCAAGGACAAGGCGAGACTCGAAGACATTACCGCTTACGGCAGGGAAGGACTGATTGACGACAGTATAATAATCACCGAGGTCGGTAAGGGTGGAGTATATGTAGTCGAGCGTGCCAAGGTGACCTGGGGAGCAAAGGTTGTCAGCTAATTATCGTATTCCAGGGACATGATGAAAAATATATCGTACCTTTACTGCCAATGACGCGAGTGGGGTGGTTATACTCGTCTTCTCCCAGCTCCGCAATCTTGTAAAGCTGCCGGGCCCTGTCCAACAGATTCTCCGCCTTGACCTGCTCTTGAAGCAACGGAGAGCTAATTAGGGGTTTATCACCTGCATTTGGTTTCTGCCACTGTGAATTGGAGTCTTGGACCAAGGGTAATTGTAAAGCACCGACCTGGCCCAGGAGGACTGGGACCAGATGTAGCGCCGCGGAGTCAATGCGCATGGTGAGCGAAACAAGGCACTATATGAATAATGATATCTAAGGAAGAATAAAGGATAGAGGGCTCCAGAGAGAAGGGGATGGAGCCCGTTGAATGGAGGCTGGAGAGAAGGCGAGACAGGGAGAAGAGCAAACAACAACCTGGGGAGGAATAAATACGAGGAGCTGGGAAGGGGAGCTTCTGCCAGGAACCGGTCAGATGATAAGCGATAAGATAGACCCGTGACACCCACCTGACCTGCCTCATCGGGAAAGGCGTCACGCTCGGCCCGACTGGGTTAGTGCCCCCTCCAGCCTCATTTTCAAGGCAATTCTCCACCATTCCATCTTCTCGGCAACACCAGGAGTCACCACCCTTCCGACACAAAGTGCCATCCTGCCTCCGCAAAGTAAGATGGGTTTCTTTCTTCGTCCCACTGGGAGTCAGTTCGCAAATCCCGTGCAGTCAATCGGAATCGTTCCGTGGATTCCAACGGCAAGCACAGGGCGCCCTTCCTTTCCCAAACCGAACGGACCCTTTGATCAGCATCACTCGTGAGCTTGGGTCCCCATCGCACTCAGCATGACATTGAATAACTGTTTTGGCAAAGTAGTTAAACAGATAGTCTTGCGGTTCTTGCTGTTCCCGGTCTTGACTAAACAATTATCTTCCAGATCGGATTAGAAACCCGAGCCGTCAAACTCCTGGATCGATCCTTCAGGTCACAGTCTAGCCCGATGATATTCGTCCGAAACAGAGCAAGCCATTGCTGGAGTCGATGCCAGCGCAAGAATCTGATACCTGTTCCGCAAGTGTCAGTTGTTGTGATACACAACTAGACGGTCCCTTCTTATTGTAACAAGCACTCTTATGACCAGGGGGACACAGTAATGCTGTGCTACGTCTGACTAGAGCCACTGCTGTCGGTCGCCTATATCCGGATACTAGTATTCGGTACAGTTATCGGGAAGTTGAACTGCGCCAGTTCCATGGGATTTCCAACGGACGGTTACCACCCATTTTCTTGGGCCGAGTTACGTCACTGCAGCCTCATCTAGAACAGACAAAGGTTGGTCAGAGCCGTAGCAGCCCCGTTCTAGAGCTCTTGTAACTTGACTTTCCTGTCGGGCATGCTTCTTGCTGTAGATTGGAATCGAATCGAGCAATTACCATCGTGAGATCACTAGCTGTACGGTCAAGGGGATCATGTTGTCATTCAGGTCAAGATACCCTACGTTTTGAATTTCATCCTTGAAGGCAACGCTTGCCAGACCCTCTTCCGTTAATATACAAGGCATTGACTCGAATATCTCTGCGAAATGCAAAATTATGAGTCCCAAGACACACAAGTACCAACGTCGCCAGTCTGCATCGCCATTTGGAATTTTTCCTCACAATGGTTTCTCCTCCCACAAGGTACTGGCGTATTGGCCGTTATTCTTCATCAACTGGACTACCAATTCAAGGGCTTGCGTATTATCTCTGTGATAGTTTGGGTATATACAATTGTTCTCCTGGCACTATGCGTATCCGTCTACCTTGCGCGAATCTTCATGTATCCACAGAACGTCGCACGAGCCCTCCGGACAAGCATGGTAGAGGTATCATGCCTTGCTAGTGTCTCTATAACATTCACGACTATCATTCAAATGATCGCCTTAGCCGTTGCTCAGCAATGGGGTGCAGGATGGCCAATGGCCTCATACGTTCTGTGGTGGATCAATACGGCTATGGCTTTGTTTGCTGTTATGGGGATACCGTACATTTTCGTGAAGCTACAAGCTCCCGGGATCAAAGCTATTGTACCTGCCGTTCTGCTTCCATTGATATCTGCGTTGACCTCCGCCGCGGGCGGAGGTGTCATATGTGAGTATAGTGGAATTGGTGCTCGACTGCAAGTCCCGGTTATCATTGTAGCATACCTTGAAGTCGGCGTCGGTATTCCCTTGGCCATGGTCTTTGCCGATGTCTTCATTGCGCGTCTCTTCGAGCGCGAGTTCATGCCCATGGATCAGGTCTACCAAGATATGATTCTCTGTGGCCCGTTTGGGCAGGGCAGCTTTGCGCTGCTCATTCTCGGGCAGGTTGTACGTTCTGGGGCATTTGCAGAGTACAATCGGGGGTCATTCCTGACCGCTGAAGCAGCGATCCCAATTGGCTTTGCCAGTCAATTTGCCGGTTTGCTCTCTTGGGGCTACGGGACATTTTGGTGGGGCTACGCCATCATAAGTATTTTGCATACTGCTTTCAAACAACCCGGAGGCTGGCGGAGGATGCAGTATTCACTTTCAGCCTGGTCTCTAGTTTTTCCATGGGTGAGTGTATGCTCATTTTTGAGATTCATGATCTGACAGGATATTGCAGGGTGTATATGCCAATGGCGCCGTCCAGCTTGGGAAAGTCATGGACTCCCCCGCATTCAAAGTGTGGTCCACTGCACTAACCCTCATGCTTATCATTATCTGGATTGTGAATCACATATTCACCATTAGAGGCTTAATTACGGGGCGAATCCTGTCACTTCAGCACGGGTGGCGGGTCGGTCAATACCAAGCCGGAGAAGTCGATAAGCAGGTCTAACGCGAGTCAAATACAACGGCTATATGCGTGAAATATCTCGACTTTTATTATCCAGTAGTATATAGTATCTTCAGTATCAATGGAGTTCCATATCCATTTCACGTATCACATGTTGAACAGAAATGACCGTCTCAGAACACATCAACATGCGCATCCATAATTCAAGACACTAAACCTAATCAAATTTATCATTCGCAGCCTCAAAGGCATCCGCCTCATCCTGGCCTGAGACGCCTCTATTCATCCTCGCACCATCTGTAAACGACCACTGATCGGTGACCGGATTACCATACTCATCGACGGTGGTCTCAAAGTATTCCTCTGGACCCCAGCTAGAGGTCGGATCGGCTGCCAGGGATGCTGCAGTGGCTGACTGCGATGAAGATTGCTGTCGCTCAGCAGCTCTTTGATTCTGGGTGGTGTTGCGAAGACGACGGCTTTGCTCATCGTTCTGGGGGTATCGGAACGCGGTGTCGGTTTTGGTGTGCGGCATTTTGATTGTTAAGCTAGCTACAAATGTGAGATGACCATCGTCTTATTAGTTAGCAATTGGTAGTACACACTTACATCCACTTCAACACTCAATCAATGATTAATACTATGCAGTAGTGTTTGAATTCATCTCATCTCATAATGTCAAGAATGGTAGTTCTTCTATGCACATGTACACCAGCCAACGTCCCAATCTATATAATATCCCCTTACCACTAACAGCCCGTAAATGACGTCCCCATTTCTCAAGTCCACCTAATGCATGACGCATTTGCCATCGCCACCATCAATACTTTCCCAAAGACAACATCTTGAAGATTTCTTCTGCCCCTGGTTATCCTGAACTGTGTCTTTCCGATGTGGATAAAGTGGGTCATATAGTGCACGCGGGATGGCTGCCTCGATCTTAATAAGCTTAAGCTTCGCTACAATGGTATTATCCCGCAGACTTTGGGTTTGGGTTGAAGTCGAGGTTTCATCATTGCCATTGTACTGCTTAGAGGCGGTGATATCACGGTGAGATACATACAATTCTATGTGATGATGAAGAATGTCATACATCAGGATCATTGAAATACACCGTTGCCTGAGGCCAGAGTGTTATTCTGCCACCGCCTTTTTTTCACAGAATCCCAGCTGCTTTTTCTGGGACTGTATGTTCTTAAATCCGTTCAAACCCGAGGTATCTTACTCGAGGTTCGCTAGGTTCTACCGGTTTTGACGGACTATATGGCGGTCAATCTTCGTAAAAGTTACCTTTCTTGAAAATCAATATGATGCATTGCACTGTTGGCTGTATACCCCTGCTCAAATGACTGTGGAAATATCTTTCTGTGCTGAAGTTCGCAAATACATGTTAATCGACTGTCGACAGAGTACACAGGATCCTTCTTACGTTGCACCGATGCCTACTGTTACTATCAAGGTTACTGCCCTAATGTTTGATCCCCTATTTACCACAATGCTTGTAGAGATATTCGAATAGGACGGGGAGTAGTCCGGAAGTTAAGATATACAAGCGATTAAATTGTACAGCCTAGATGAGAAGCAGACGGTGAACTGTGAAAGAATAAGGAAACGAAAACGCCGAAAAAAAAAAAAAAAAGTCATAACAGGACGTTAGATCATACAGTCATGAGATATCAGCAGGGCAGGCCCAAGTACCACCTCACTTGCTGCCAAACCCTGGGATCGCACTCCCCCAACTCCTGGCTCCGCTAGCAACGGAAGACCCAGCCGACTGTATTCCAGTAGCCAGTCCCTGGCCTGCCTTTTTAGAGTTGTCGACAATAGGATCGGTTGCTCCTCCGAGGGGTCCTCCATAAGAGCCATTTTTATCTTTTCCTCCACGCTCAGCGCGATTGAGCCCCTCCTTGGAGACCATGTTACCGACAGGAACCAGCAGACCGTTTTCGCCCAACTGGTTTCCAACGAGGTTATTCACGTCGTCTTGGATCTGATCGGCTTGCTTAACGCCGGTGACCTTGGTCTTGGAAAGGTTATCTGGTTGGGACAGTTAGCATGGGCAGGAGCAGACAATATGAAGAGGAAGCTGGCGTACCCTTGGTCACGTAGGAAGCCTTGTTATCACCTTTGCCGAACCACTTAAGATATTGGTCCTCCAGCCAAGGTATCCACTTCTCGTATTGCTCGTTGTAGGCTTCTTTGACCCACTCCGTGAAGGACTGCTTATTGCGTTGCTCGGCAGGAAGGCTGTCGTATAGCTTGCGCTGTTCTTCTTCGGTGTGGTTGGGCGTGGTAGCCATGGTTTGCTTGATAGTGTCCATTTTCGATGATTGAAAAGCTACTGTTCAACTCAAGATGAAAGAGATATGGTCCAGAGCAAACACGGTTGATGTAGAATGATTCCGAGCATTCTGCCCCTCGATCCTCCACTCAAAGTATATATGTGTGGTGAGATGGACTGGTTGAAGAACGGCATGACGTATGTGGTTTTGCCAAGCTCAGATACATGACGGCTTTGGTACACATGTGGTACACAGTAGTTATTAGGTTCTGATGTATGGATTGCGGACGTGGTTCACCTCCAACGGTGGGCTGTGATCAAGTGACAGATGGCGAGGGACGCGTCGACGGGAGCTGGTATGATGTCATGGCACATTCGCGTTTGCCGTCCGCTGAATATACATAAATACGTCACAGCTGAGATAAGTAGAGACTAGTCACCTGACTTATTCACTTTATGCGACTTTATTATTTTCCACCAATCGGTAATATTGAAGGCTTGATGAGACTCGGGCTGGCCAGAAGAGGAAATATCTGCGGTTGGCCAGAACAACTGACATCTTGATCTTGCAGCTGCATCAGGATCCTTGGATTGTCAAAATTGTGGATGTGTGGTCTGTCGTGGTCCATGACCCTGTTCTTGCATTCCGTAAACTGTTACCCGATTTTTAAATATCAAAAGTACCAGTAGTACTACTGGTATGCTTATCTAGAATGGACACTCGATCAGTTGAATAGCGGTTGTAGTGCGCACATAATATCAAAGCTAGGTTGATCCGGAACATAGAGGTCTACATGCGGCAAAGAAGGACGACTTGACAGTTCAGATGCATCAGCTGCCACCAGCAAGATGGCCTGCGCATTATACTATTCATATTGTGACAGAGAAATAGGTACTAGCACAAGTATCAGGAAGGACCAATTCATTCGATGGGTGGAAGAGCATGTGGTGTTGGCTCGTTTACTCGCTAGATGGATTCGGCGGCCTCACATCATCTACACTGCCTCATCAAGTTCAACAACTACTTCACCCCAGATTTTCTGATTCTCTATGGATTACATTCCATTGAAATTCCATATATTCGTTCTGTGTGCTCATGTAGGGTCGCTAACTCATTCAAACAAATATAGCTCATCACGCCATTTCGTCATGGGTCGACACAACTCCCTTTTCTTGGTCAGCCATGTCCTTGTGCTTGTGTCGCTCAACTTCTTCGCCGAAGCGGTCATGAATCTGGTGCGTCTTCCAGGGCTTCATGTCCGTCTCAAACATCAAGTCAATGTCTTCAAGCGATCGTCGAGCAGTCTCCGGGTAGAAAAAGAACACATGGAACGTCATCACAGTGCAAAAGACACCGAAGATGATATAAGTCTTCCACTGAATGTTGGTGAAAGCAGGTGCCACAAAGTACGCCAACGCGAAGTTGAAAATCCAGTTACCCGCAGCTGAGAGACCGACACCCTTTGCACGGTACTTGAGGGGGAAGACTTCAGAAGCATAGATCCACGCTACTGGGGCCTATATCATGTCACGTTAGCTGAGGGTGACTTTGAATCGCCGCGAGGGATTGAAAACAAACAACGTACCCAGGTGAAACCATAAACGGCAACGAAAATGTACGAGCAGGCGATGACACCTTTGCCGGGTGGTCCCGTAATTGACCACTTCAGGTTCGCATTGCCATCGACCGAGTCAACATGATGACCACGTGAAGCCATAAGACCAGCAATAGCAAAGTGGCAAGCCATGCAGAGGACGGATCCAGTGAGGAGCAAAAGCCGTCGACCGATACGATCAACAAATGGCAGAATAGTACCCGTTGTGACTAAGAAGATGACGTACTGGATGGCTGACGAGTACAGGGTGGTGTTTCCAGACTAAGCAAGAGCGTCAGTTGAGCTTCATGGGCTGCCTCTTGAAGTAGAAATAGACTTACCATGCCTGCCATGTTGAAGATGTACACGACGTAGTACATCGCAACATTGCCTCCGAGCAACTGCTGCCAGACCTGGGCGCTGACACCGCAAAGGGTTCGCTTCCAAATCTTTGGTCCGAACAGTGAAAAGAAAGAAACGTCCTTGGCCTCTTGGGCAATGCGTGCTGCTTCCTGCACTTCTTCGTATTCCACTTGGACCACGGGATCGTTGCGGTCGCCCTTGGCATGCAGCAGAGCTAAAGTATCCAAAGCCTCCTCCCAGCGCTCTTTACTTGCCAGCCAACGAGGAGATTCGGGGAAGAAGGGTAATGCGGCAAGTAGGATGAGGGCCGGGATACCCTGAACACCCCATGATACTCGGAAAGAAGCTGCTCCAGCCAGACCTTGGCCGCATCCGTACGAGATCAGATACATGATGAGCATACCCCATTCGATGGCCCATTGCTGAATGCCGACGATACGACCACGAATCCGAGCCGGAGCTAATTCAGCGAGATAAACGCAGACCTGTGAGGATGTGATACCGACTAGAAGAGTTGTTTAGCACGTGCAGGACTCCAGATATACAGCTGAGGATTCATACCGGACAGGCCGCTGATTACTCTCCCGGCGACCAGGTGGGCGACATTTTGGGCGCTACATTGAATCGCAGCGCCGATGACCCAGATGCAACACGCTAGCATAAGGGAGTAACGACGACCAATTCGGTCTGATATGAAGCCGGCAGCGAGCGCACCGGCAAAGGAGCCAGCAGACATGGAAGCGGTGATCTAGAAGTGCCCCATCCTACCATCAGTACTTCGTGTATATACCGCTGCTCTTGAAGTGGCTCGGTTACTTACACCACCTTGCAAGTCGGAATCTGGGTGGTTGAAGTATTCCAGATACTGATCCGTGCCAATCCAGGCACTCATGGAGCTGACATCGAAGCCGAACAAGGCACCGCCAATGGTGCCGAAGCCAGCCAGGACTGTGACTCCGTTAGCTTTAGCAACGCGGCCGCCGTCAGATACCTAAGCCATACCGTAGATATTCGAAATGCGATACATGATGTCCAACGGTCTCACCGAGCTGTTCACGACGAGTGGACTGCAACCGGGGTGGAATGCGGAGAAGCAACCCGGGACCCGGGCTACATTTATAGAGCACTTAGGGACTAGCTGCCGAAGCTGCATCGCGCCGGTACGGCTTCAACGGCATGGCGTCACAGACGGACTCGTGGTGCAGTGGGTGGTGCGAGACACGCATGGCCGATAAACCCCGAAAAAAGGAAGGATCGCCGGGCCTTAATGCGGAGGTCCGGGGATTCAGGATGGAGCACGAATCAGAGATTCCGGGGACGGACGGGGTCTGCCTCCCGAGTGGAGGGCGTCACGGCCCCGGATCCAGTCGGTTGATTCTGCGACGGAGATTTTCCCAGTTCGTGCCTGCCGTCCGGCTGAATGCCATTTTAACCGAGTTCGGGTGAATTGACACTGCCAGGGAAGTCAGTGGCCCATTTCTGGAGACCTCCATGCGGAGTAATTATTATCACTCGTGAACTGGCTCTCGTCATTGAATCCTGTCTGTCTCGGTAAGGCTTCGCTTGAGATCCATGGCATGTGTTCGCGACAGCCCGGCACCTCGCCATTCATGGGTTATCCAGACAGTGCCGACAAGAAGGGTTGAACGTATTCTCCGCTCGGCCACCCAGACGCACTTACTAGGACATGCAATTGGAGGTCGGTTCTCTGGTCACATATCCAATCAAATAATTGCAACGTGATGGTTGCTGGCAACACGAATACACATGCATGTCTCATGGCCCCAACTTTGACCTTCCCCATCGCCTATTCGCCCATCATCATCTTCACTCATTAACGAACGTAGATGATCTAACTGGGCAACCCCAACTGCCAATCTCAATAAATCGTAGAACACTATATAAAAAAACATGCGTTCGAATATCTTCAAAGTGGCTGCCTGGGAGTGGCTGGACTACCCGATTAGCCCATCCCATGGCTTCGGGTATGCCTATTGTCACTCCGTCGGAGGCGTGCTCATGACCAATCGGAAAGGTCCTGGCACGGCTACTGTTTGATCATAGCTCCTGACTGCATCTGACTCTTGTGATAATATCAAAATCAATGAGTAAGCGGATATTTATGCAGTTTTCCGCTGCGGATTTGGGCTACTGGCACCGTGTGTCAGAAAACGACAGATGGATTCAGGGAATTCCCCAAAGAATTGCTAGGGGGTGTCGACCGATTCCATTCCCAGATTTTCAGGCTACGTATAATATGTTGCTGGGGGTTTGGAGAGATTCATCTTTAGACGGGTACTAAAGCCCTTCGCATTCTCCAGCAGCCAGTGATTCATCAACTTAGTTACTAGGATGATGCGCCTCTGAGCATGGTTACGTTTCGCATCCCTGGCCTAGCCCTGCTATTCATCTTTAAGCGGATCCTGCAAAGTGCCTGCGTGTCTCCACTACCAATGCGACAGTTGGGGGAAGGTGAGACGAGATCCGATGTTCCCATCTGTCCCCTGCTCCATGTCAAATAGAGTCCCTGAGCGTCGGGGACCAACAACGCCATTATGCAGCCAGATACTAACCGTCAGTGTTGTTCGAACTTTGTTCTATAGGCAGACTCTCGCACATGCACGCAATACCATTGCTGAAAGCGCTTTTGAAACAACATCGCGACACGCCGTTTTCTGACCAGGATGTGCACTCTCACAGACTGTCATTGAATGCAATCCGAATCCAAATCATAACAATCCACCAGCACTAGAAGCAGCCCATATGCTCAACATGGAATCAGTTCTTTGCACTAGTGGTTCCTTGCTCTGGGATTATTGGCTGCCCGAACCTCTAGTCGTTCAAAATGTCCCGGAGAATTACTGGAATGGTCTACAGATGTCAGGCATCCCAAAGGAACTAGCTTGTACCATATACTACCCTTTCCAACGATTGTGGCAGCCGATGCTATGGTACACTCTGCCATAAACTTAGCCGATGCATGGGATGTCTGGGGAGCTTTAGAAAAGGCAATCCTTCCGATCGCTTATAAATCGATTCTCCACTAGCTCCATGTCGCGGAGCTTTATCTGGTGGAGAAGGTGGGATGGCGGAGACCCTGGTTCCTGAGGAGCGGTCTAATGACTCACAACCGCCTATGAATGCCGAGCCAGTGGCTCAATTCGCGAGGTTGATGCTTGCATTTGGGATGTCACACAAACCATCACCTCGTCTTCGGAGATTTTATTCGAGTCCGGTACTGATTATGCCTATTACCCGCCCAAGATGAGAGTTTCCTGCCTCTCCTAAGCTGGAGATGTCTCCCGAGAGCTCAAGAGCAAATACGAGATATCGTGACTATGCTGAGTTGATCCGATCGTCTAGAAATGCTGCCTTATGTCAACTTCCATCCTCACGTTTAACTCATGTCATAGCTATGACGGCTCTTTGGCTACATTTACTCCAAACCTGCGTGGTAGCTGAAGGTTCTTTAGCGTCCTTGTTCATCGGCTGAAATGTTCGGCATACAACCGATGCACAATGAAAGAACGAAACAATGAATACCAAACTAGTTTCATTGTTTTGCGGAAGCTGGCCAGGGCCCGCCGCGCAAGGGAGTTCGTGACTACAATGGTGTATCTAGGAGTAGCTGAAGGCACCAAAGCAGCGATAAACAAGCACAAGCACTGGCGACCCTAAGTGATGGGATCAATATGAGAGTGCATACTCCAGTTATCATCAAGCTGATCTAGCCGATGTCAAGGATGAATGTCAATCTCGACTCCCAATCGGGGTCAGTGGTCACAATCGAATAATGAGGGTGACAGGTTCGAGTCGAGATGCAAGGGACGACAATTTCTGCCGCAGGTATTGCAGCTTCGGGCATTGCCCCCGCAGATCCGACTACATGGCTGAGTGTCTGGCCTCTCTGTACGCCTTGGAACATCCAGTGACTACTGAATTAGCGGTGCGTTCGAAGCCAATCATTGATATGGCTGCCGAATTCAGAACTCAGGAGATACTACTCTAGAATAGTCACCCTTCCGAGACTCTTCGATAACACTGATCCCCAGAATGAGAGAAAAGGGCTCCTCAGCCGCTATACGTTGGATTAAGTTGCAATGGGCCACGGAAATGCCAGACGACTGTCAATCGGAGCGATGCGACCGTAGAAAATGCAAGGGTCTCGGGTCATGTAAGTAGGGTTCGTCTACAGGGCAATAGCATCGGGGCAATATAGAACGAAAACAAGCTAACTGAGGGATTAAGCTCTCCATGCAAGATCTCAATCCACGATCGGTTACGTACGTGTCGCATGGCCGGCAAGGTTGCAATGCCAGGTAGGATATGGTAGCCACTGAGGTTATTATTGTGCTTGCCTTGCCGGCCAGCGCCCAATCGGCGAGTCACCCACCACTGGTGGCCAACATCCCATAAACTTTGTACCACAAGAGTTTACTGTCAACTCACAAGAGAAGACTAGCAGGCATCATCAGAACCCGACCGTACCTCCGTTGCTACCCGCATCTCCTTCGATACGTACCGGACTGACAACAACCCGAGGGGTTTGTTTGCGAAGAGCCAATGACCCCATCCCAGGTAGCTGGGTGCAGGCGGCGCAGCAACAGCTCTGCAGGCTGCGAAGGCTAATTCGATAGCTTAATCCACCTCCCCTCAGAGGGGCCGCAGGAGCCAAGCTCTAATGATTTCTCGCCTTTGCCCTGATTGGCTTGTCAGCCTACGCATCCGATTACCCCAACGGCAGAGAGATAACAACTTAGACTAACCACCAGACTAAGCGTCTATCTACCGCGGCCAGAGATAACCATCCTTCGCCCAAACACCGATAGCCGGATGTCTCGACCCCTGACGACTTGGATAATCTCCGTCCCCTCCTTGTGTCTTCATGTACTCCGCACCGTTGGTTAGGTCTGGATCAACCCGGCCTCCCCCCGCTGTCTCAGCTACCAGGTCGGTTGCCCATTGTGTTACCGCCGTTCCCGGTGTCCAAGAGGTAAGGGATATGATATGGCACACTTCGGGAACAGCCTTTCCACGCTCTACCCACGCGATCATGACATGAGGTGGTCATCCATCGGCGGACTGACCTTTCCTGGGCCTTCACCCGCATTGGCTGTACCACCTATCGTCCCCTCCGGCCCAAGCCTTTCGAAGTCTATAATGTAACCCTCTCGACTTAGAGGGCCCATGAGGCGCACTCAAAGAGGTATCATTTGCGGAAATTCGAGGGAGTAGATAACATGGTACGCCCAATTGCCCAGAGGGATCTGGAGGATGCATATCAGCTGATGGCACAGACCGTGTGGTTCTGATAACGACCCACGGTCGAAGCGCTACAATTGGCAGCCGGGGCTTTGGTTATCAGCGATGTCACCAAAAGATCATGGCGTAACCTATCCTTCCAGAAGGTTTCTGCGCCTGCGTCAGTTCGTCCGATGCAGGATGCTAATAAAGTATGCGGCACGCACGATACGACCGGGCCAGGGGTGTTATCTTTATCTCTGCCTGATACTAGCCAAGCCCACTAATGGCGTGATACCAGACCTCTTATCTGGCAAGTATATCGGTTGCTGCAACACGCCAGTCTGATTGGGAGGGAGACGTAAGCTCTTGCTCTGCGTTGCACGGCTGTGGTGGCAATGTTATAATTCTCCTTATCCCCCGGCCGCGGTCGACGAGGCTTGCTGATTTTTGTCTCTTTCATCGTCTTGAATTTTGGCCTGTTCTTTTTCTTCCTCTTGTATCGACCATCCCTTAATGATGGCCGATCACTCTACCATGGCGGCCTACGAAACGTCGAGTAATCGGAGCCCGCAAGATGCTGAGAAGAAAGGCGAGCCCATGGAGCGCTGGGCATCTGTGGATGTTGACTACGGTGCTGAGACCGATCTCAAGCGGAGCTTGTCCACGCGGCATCTGACTATGATTGCGCTGGGATCATCCATTGGTATGGGATTATGGCTGGGAAGTGGTGAATCGCTGGAGAATGGTGGTCCGGCAGCCATCTTCATTGGCTACCTGCTGAGTGGCACGATGATATGGTCCGTCAGCCACTCCATCGGTGAGATGGCCGTTATGTATCCCCTGCCATCCGCATTCACTCAGTGGACGGAGATCTTCATCGACAGATCGGCGGCCTTCGCGCTGGGCTGGGCGTATTGGTTCTCCTACTTCATCACGATTGCAAACGAACTTCAGGTAGGACATATGTATCTGGGTGGCTAAGAGTTCTGTGCTGACTGCTTAGGGTATCGTCACGGTCCTCAACTTTTGGACAGATAAGGTGCCCATTGCGGCTTGGATAACAATCTTCTGGGTGGTGATCATCTTTATTAATGTTTTTGCGGTCCGATTCTTTGGCGAGGTGGAGGTCATTGCCTCCTCTATCAAGTTTGGATGGTTCTTCGTGGTCATTATCTCTCTGATCGGTTAGTCGCGTGCGCATGATCTCCTTTTCATCGAATCCTCCAACTGACGCAAACCCATCTCGTGTTTGATAGTGGTTTCCGCCGGCGGCGCGCCCGACGAAGGACCGATCGGCTTCCGTTACTGGAACTCGATGCCATTTACCAACGGCTTCAAAGGGTTTCTGTCCGTCATGCCCACCTGCATCTTCGCCATGTCCGGATCGGAGAACTCGGCGCTGGTCGCAGCAGAGACCGATAACCCGCGCAAGGCGGTGCCACGCGCCGTGAGCTCGATCTGGTTGCGTCTATCGCTGTTCTACGTCTTGGGATCGCTGATGATCACCATCACGGTGTCACCGAAGGATCCTAACCTTTTCGGTGGCAGCGGCGTCAACGCATCGCCATTTGTCATTGCCTATCGCAACGCGGGTCTTGCTCCATTGGCACACATCATGAATGCGGTGATCTTCATCTCTGTGTTGTCCACGGGAAGTATCTCTGCCTATGGTGGTTCGCGGACACTGATGGGGTTGACACACTTGAATCTTGCGCCGAAGGTTGGTCTTCGCTCGCTCTCAATATTATCCAGTTCATCAATTACCTGTCTGAGTCTCGTCACTAACTCCTCTGCCTACAAACCTAGATTTTCGGCAAGGCCGACAAATCCGGTCGTCCCGTCGCCGGACTGGTCATCACGCTCGTCATTGGCGGCGGCCTGGCCTACCTCAACGTCAACAACAAGGGTTCGACGGTCTTCACCTGGTTCTCGAACCTGACCTCCCTCTTCACGCTCTTCGGATGGGGCACCATCTGCCTCTCTCACCTCCGCATGCGCTACGCCTGGAAGATCCAAGGCCGTTCCGTCGAAGACCTCCCCTGGCGGTCCTGGACCTACCCCTACGGGGCCATCTGGGGCTTGACCTGGTGCATTCTGCTGATCATCGCCGAGTTCTATCTCAGTTTGTGGCCACTGGGCGGCAATCCCACGGCCAAGGGCTTCTTCGCGAACTATGTCTCGGTGGTAGCGATCGTGGTGCTGTATATCGGGGCGCGCTGCTACTACCGCGGACGGTGGTGGGTGGATGCGAGCACGATTGACCTCGATGGCCCTCGGCGGTTCTATGCCGATGTGGCGGATGTCGAGGCGAGGCCGGCCAAGACGGGGGTGAAGAAGTATGCGTCGATGGTGGTGTCGGCTATTCTTGAGTAGACGCTCGGTGCGATATAGGTAGTAACTTGTAGGGTATATGGTAGGTTTAGGTTAGGCGTATATATTGGTTGGCTTTGTCAATGTATATTCTTCATGGAAGTTGGGTATTCATCTTCATTGTTTCTCAGTTTGTATTTCGCCCCTTTCAGTTGCAGAACTCTACTGCCAGAGTCATCTTCATAATGGACCGATGTCAGAGACTAGGGCCCTTGTAAAAGGAAGCGATATGCAATCGATAGTGCTATTTGAGTGCCATTATGATTATTTCCAGTACTACTACATACTAGTATAGTAGTAGTACTGAGCGGAGGGATACCATAAAATATATATTGTCGCGAGTCCCAGAAGTCCAGCTTCACTTAGACCGCGAGAGTGTCATAAATGACCACTACTTACACATTGAACAATCAATCTGCAAACTATTACTACTACTACTACTACTACTACGATGACGGCGTAATTACTATAGACATACATACGTTCAACATGGAGCTCGTCATAGTGATTTCTCCCTACGGTAGAATTATTCCCCTCCCCCGCCCTCTGACAAGGATCGCGACTCTCACCGCCCAAGGCATCATAGCCCCTCTCTTTCTCCATCGCCCAATGCCGAGGTGAATGTACGGTACTTTGTACGAACTCCTGACCGTGCAATTATGGGTTTTCATCGATGTTGAAGCTAGGATAGGGTGCAGATGGTGGATGCGACCGTGGGAATGTTAGTTGCGTGCGCCATTGGGGGGTGAGGGTGGTTCGGGAGCGGGGGAGATATCGAGTGTCGCGTGTGCGGACCGTACGTAGGGTATATGGATCGCATTCTCCTGCAAATTGAATCTCGCATCGGGAGAAGAAGTGGATGCTATTGTGATTTGATTGAAGTGACAAGCCTCGTCATCAAGCCTCGTCGTTGACTGCCCAGGAAGTTCAAAGAGCAGAGCACCGATTTCGTGCCTTGGTGCCTCAGGTATTATATTGGGTATCTCGGGTGCGATCGCAAGGCAAATCCGGATTATGGATGGCGTCGTCTATTTTCAGCAAAGTGGATTGCTCCAAGTAAGCTGATCCCATTGACGATGGCCAGGCGAGCCAGCTGTTCACTCGATTAGGCCGCGTTGAGAGAGGTTGGACCAGTTGGGCCTGATCGGGTTGTCCATACGCTCCATTCTCTCGACAGCCTGAGGCAGCGGCAGCCGCGATAGACTCTGGGTTATTTTCGCATCACATGTTTATCAGCTGCGAAGAGGAGGATTTCCTTCGAGTGAGTCAGAGAAGACCGGAAGAATGACGTTAGATGTGCTCCGCACCGCATTCCACAGGCTGTGTCTGGTCTAACTAACTATCTGGTGCCTGGAGGAAAGCCAGGCAAAAGAGGAGAACACGAAGGGTCGAGGATGGCCCGCAGGCGGAGAGACCCATCATAAGTATAAGCCGGAGGATAGCCAGAATGCAGGAAAGCATTGATTTGGGAAAGTCGGACGAGGCGACAGCTCAAGTGGCTCAGTTGGGTGAGTTGGCCGGGGAACTGATAGGCTGCGGAGGCGCCAGATCAGCAACTAGTCTTAAGAGTATTTCTTTCTATCGCGACTGGTTCCATTGCAGCAGCCCTGCAGCTGCTGGTTGTCAATCCACCGCATCACGATCACATCCCCCCGTCCCCATCGACATGGATGCCTGCCCCTTGGCCAGGGCGTCCCCCTGGTCTCCATTCTGCTTCTTCGTTGTTTCATGTTTCGTGTTTCAGCAAGGTCGATTCGCGACACTTGGAGCATGCCTCTCCAGGACACCAGCCATCAATTCCCCCAGATGAGCTCCACCCGAACAAGCTCGTCCCCGATGACAGGATGCTTTGCCTGGCCGTTGGGCTGCACAAGTGGCGGTGAATGGCTTCACTTTTCGTCCAAACCCGGAAACAACCAACCATGGCTGGCTTCCGGCCACACACTACCTGTCGCCCCGTCATAGGCAGTCCGGAAAGAATGGTGTCTGACTGACTGAACTTCCCTTCCATGACTGCCGGACTGCTTCACTTCTCGGGGATTTCTGCTGCCCAGCCGGCATCGCTGTTAAATATGGCCATGAGGACGCTGGCTCCAGGAGATTTTCCCAAACACTGCAACCCCCCTCCATGACCATCTGCTGCTTTGCTCCTCTGTGAATGACCAACAAGTCTTTCATCTTTCATCCCTTCATGCTCCCGATTGTCGGGCCCCTCCTTGCACGACTGTTTGTCTATCCGTTTCGCAATATGGACTGCTCGATGACCCGGCCGTCATCGACATCGCGGTTCCCCTTCTTCCCCTTTTCGCTGTGGTCCTCCAAGCGACCGCAGCAGTCGACCGCGTCGACACAGACTCCGGCGCAGACCTCGCCACGCATCATGGCACAATCCCAGACACAGATCCAGGCTCCTGCCCGATCAGAGCCTGAATCACAATCACAACGACAGCCCGAGAGTCTTCCTCGGACTCCGGTCCCTCCCCAGCCGACACCAGAGGAACTGGCCGAGCGCGACCGTCAAAATCGCGAGACGGCCCGCGAAGAGGCTGTCCAGGAGCTGGACAGTCTAGTCGGCCACGACAACGTCAAGCGCCAATTGCACGGCGTCCAGACCTGGGTGCAGATCTGTCGTCGCCATGGACGCGATCCCAAGAGCGAGTGGTACAACATTGCCTTCCTGGGGAATCCCGGCACAGGCAAGACCACGGTCGCCCGCATCTACGCCAAGATGCTGTACGCCATGGGCATCTGTGATTCCCATACCGTCTGTGAGGCCACTGGCGCCGACCTGGCCAGCCGGGGTCCCGACGGAGTGCAGCAACTGCTGCGCACCATGACGGACGCCAAAGCTCCGGTCCAGACGGCCGGAGTGCTCATCGTCGACCACCCCCACACCCTGATGGACGCGCCCCAGACGCCGGCCACCGAGCAGGCTCTCGAGGATATCCGCCACGCGATGGAGCGCAATATCGGTCGCATTATTGTCATCTTCACTGGCGACGCCGATGAGATGAATAGCTTCTTGCGCGAGAACCCCGCCCTCCAGCAACGGATCTGCAGCTCGCTGCGCTTCAACGACTTTGACCGCCAACAGTTGACGCAGCTGCTAGCCCGCCGCATCATCACCGAATACAACGGTCGCATGCAGGTCGAGGGCGGCCTGGAGGGTACCTACATGCAGGCTGCAGCTCGCCGGCTGGTCCGGGGGCGTGCCGCCAAGGGCTTCACCAACGCCCATGCCGTGCGCGAGATGGTCAAGAGCATTGCTCAGCGTCAGGCTCAATGCTTGACCGACCAGCAGGACAGCGGCATGGACGAAGTAGACTACTTTTTCTTTTCCAAGGACGATGTTCTTGGTCCCAGCCCGGCGGAGACCCGGTCGACCAGCGAAGCGTGGGAAGCCATGCAGAAGCTGATCGGTCAGGACGCCGTTAAGGCCTCGGTTGCTGAGGTCTTCGACACGACCGAGGAGAATTACTACCGCGAGATCCGCAACCAGCGTCGTCTGCCGCTGCGGGTCAATCGCATTTTTGCGGGGCCTCCAGGCGCCGGCAAGAGCACGGCCATCCGGATGTACGCCCAGATTCTGGTGGATTTGGGTGTCTTAAATAATGGAGAAGGTAAGCGCCCAGCCCAGATCTACTATGAGATAAGTACTGACGAGTTTAGTCCGTGTCAAACCGCTGTCGGCCCTCTGTGATCTGCCTGAAGAGCAACTCCGTGCGACCGTCGAGTCGACGATCGGCAATGTCCTCGTTGTCGACGTCGACACCGATCGCCAGGAGCGCCCGACCGTGCCGGACGCGGTCGTCGACATCCTCGCAGCGCCGCGCGACAACCACTGCACCATCCTGGTCGGTACGCATGACAGCATCAGTCAATTCCTGCACCGCGCGGGCCCCAAAGCTCGCGGGTTCGAGACACAGCTGGTGCGCTTCTCTGCGTTGACGCGCGAGCACATGGAAGAGCTCTTCCAAAGCAAGCTCGACGAGCAGGATCTCGATGCGACTCCGGAGGCCTTCCAGGCGGCCATGGATACCCTTGACAACGCACGCATGCGCAAGGACTTTGACAATGCCCGCGCCGTCGAGCATCTTCTCGCTGCGGCTATCTACCACTTTGAGCGCCGGTCACGCACGGGTGCTAGCGCTCAGCCAGTTGAGCGTATCCTCGAGGGACGCGACTTCAACCCGGAGCTGGTGGGCGGCACGACGGCGCTGGTCTTCCGCGAGGAGCTGCGCCACTCCATTGTGCCGGACGATATCATTTCCATCTTGAAGCGGTATCATAATGAAATGAAGGCTGCCTGGCTACAGGGGCTGGATCCGGGCGCACGCATGCCCGCCGCGTTTGTATTTAAGGGTGCACCAGGTGAGAACCCCTTATACCATATCCATGCGAATGCAAATGGCTAACAATATCATAGGCACCGGTAAAAAGACCGTCGCCCGCCAGCTGGGTACCCTGTACTACCGAATGGGCGCTCTCAGTGACGGAGCCCTGGTGCCATGCTCGGTCGCCGACCTACTTGCACCCGACGTCCACCCGACCTCGGTGCGGTCGCGATCGCAGCTCGACCAAAACAAGGGCAAGGTGCTCTTCATCGAAGACGCCCACCGACTAGCCGATACCGACACCACGCAGGCCGTGGACGAGCTAGTCTACCTACTGCCCAAGTATGCCTCCACGATGGTGGTGATCCTGGCGGGACCGGCCCAGGAAATGGACCAGTTGCTGGCCAACCGGCCGCGCCTGTCCGCCCTCTTTCAGGAGGAGATTGTCTTCCGCAACCCAACCCCACGCGAATGCCTTCGTCTGCTGGACCGCAAGCTGGACGAGCAGCAGATCAAGGGTCCTCGGTTGTACCTGACGGACCCGCGCGCGCCTAGCCATCGCGAATTCACCCGCGCCGTACAGATCCTGTCCATGTTCCCTTGCTGGAGCAATGCTCGGGATGTGGAGGTGTTGGTGCGCTGGATGGTCGCGGCGTGTGTCAAAGACCTGCCGCTGGATAATAGCAGCAGTGTCAGTGCCTTGCCGGCGATGCAGTTGTCTGAGGAACAGGCGATGAGTTGCATGGTCCGGCTGTTTAATCTGAAGCGTGATCGCTTGAGATTCAATCAGGATCCGAAGGCTAGGGCTTTACCCAGGGTGTTGTCGCAGCCTAGGTGTACGGATCGGACGGGTGTGAAGTTTCCTGTCTGATTTGTCTCGGTTTATTGACTTTGATATGTTTTGCTTTGTTGTTTGCGATGTTTCTTATGTGATATGCTTTGGTGGGTTATGTATTGTATCAGACTGATGATCTAGCGTGTGTTTGTGCTTTTGGTTTTATGGCTTATGTTGCATCTGCATCTGACCCTCGTCAATCATTGAACTCTCCTTTGTCCTGTGATTTTTGCATGGATGCTTTGGCATGTATGGTGCATCAGACGGATTACTGAACGTCGTGGTGGTGGCATTGACTAGTATACCATTAATATAAGGCTGGTCCTATCATAAAGACTACGATGAGAACTTAGCATTTTACTGGAAGACTCATTGATTACTGTAACAATTTATATGATTTGTGCATTTCTCTCACTTTGTTATAATGCCATTCTCTAGATCTTCACATTATCTCTCTGTACCAATACAGCAAATTTACCACGTAGCATATTTCATCACCGCATCTCATCGCCCCAACTCAGAATCACCCATCTATGAATCTACTCTTCCAAAGCCAAATACTCCCCAACCCACTCCGCTGCCCTGCAACCCTCTCCCTCACTCCATCCCCAAACCCCCTTTGCACCAACATACCCATCCGGCCTCACAGCCATCACTCCTACCTGGTCCCTCTCCATCTCTCCTATCCACTTCTTAGTACACCCCTCCCCGCCTTCAACATCATCCAGATACACTGTCCATCGACTCTTCTGCAACAATTCCGGCAAATCTCCCAACTCAAACTCCCTCTTCTCACTCCTCGTCACCAAACCATACGTCACTACCTCCGAAACAGGGGTATACCTTTCCAGTGGAAAATACTTATCCCCGTCACTCAGTCCCCGAGGACACTTCTTATATGACTCCTTTGCCACAGAATGCACCCCCTCCAAGGCATCCGCCCCACAAAACCCCTCCAAAAACCCCTTCCCACCAACCACATCCCCCACAAACAAAACCACCCTAAACTGTCCCATCATCGGGATATCAAGCTGCAGATCCACCGGATTGGCATCGATATACCTCGTCACCTTAGCAGGACGAGTCAATGTCCCCGGCTGAATGCCACCCTTCACTTTACTCTGCCTTGATTTTGTAACAACACCAGCGTCATACTCAGCCCCAACACCGGAGATAAACCGGATGTTCTCTTCAATGTTCCTCGCTAGGGCGGTCTCGCCTTTCTCGAACGCCGCGACGTGACCCGCGTCGAAGGCGATTAGGTCGTTGGCGATCTTCCGTCGTTCCTCGGAGTATGTACTCAGTAGAGATGCCGGGGCGAGCCCGCGTGAAACGAGGTTCAGTTTCCACGCCAGGTTGACGCTATCATGCATGCTGGTGTTGGCGCCTTGGGCTGCTAGGGCGGAGTGAACGTGGCCGGCCTGTAGTTTTTTAAATCAGTACACTGGTGGGAAAAAGAGGGATAGGAATGGGCATACATCGCCAGCAATGAAGATCTGGTTTTCGGGATCGCTGAACCGACGAGCGACGCGTTGGCCAACGACGTAGTTGCCGAACCATTCTATCTGATCAGTATATTTCTCCATATAGAATATGGGGGCGGGGTATAGGCATACCGATAAACTTCCACTCCAATCGGAAAGGCTGCATCGCCTCTCGCGCCCTAGCCATCACGTACTCCGGCGTCGCCTTGGCTCTATCGACCCTCTCTCCGTCCGTGGAACTAAGCTCAACGTATAACCGCGTCATACCGCGTTCCCTGGGAATCCAGAGAATAGACCCCGCTGTGTGCGAGCGAACGGCTACTTTGCTCCAGAGGTCGGGGAAGTCGGTATCGATGATTCCTATACATACCATATAGCACCCGTCAGCCAACCAGAAAAACCAGTGAAGGAAATAAGGAGATAAGTACCATCCAGAACACCCCAAGAAGCATTACTCATCTCGCCCTCTAACTGCGCCCCGGGAATGAAGTCCCGGACTTTGGACCTTGCGCCGTCGCACCCAACGAGATATTTCGTGCGGACAGCCTTTTGCGTATTTGTTGTGTTGTCGTTGTAAATAACTTCGAGTTCTCCACTCCCGTCTGATGTCTTAGAAACAGAAACGAATGGACTGTTCCGCTGTACACTGCCCCCTCTTTCTTCTATATCTTTTATCAAGACATCCTCGAGCATGCCCTGGTGCGCGAGCAGAATGTATGGGTCTGAGGCGCCGACCAGATGGTCCGGGTAGTGCGTTTGGCGGGATGTGCGGTTGAGGGTTGGGTTTTGGGGGGTGGATTCCTATATCACCATTGATATTAATATCAATTGGCATTTTGATGTTGTTCTTTGTTGGAAAGGTTATATACCCAAAAACAAATATCATACACCTTAGCCCCATTGCGGAGCAACTCATCCGACAGTCGCAGCTGTTTTAGAGTTTCGATGGTCTTAGGCTGCAGACCGTCTGCTTTTCCGGTTGATGTAGCTGTCGGGCGGTCGTCGAGAAGAATTACGGGTGTGCCGTAGCGGAGGAGGTTGTTTCTTTTCACATCATTACCAGTCAGTGGGGAGTATTTCATGGTGATTGTGAGTGGGGGAGGTACGTTAGCATTAAGCCCGAGGGGCCAGCGCCTACTACCACCACTGTTGTGGTGGGTATGGTGGAAGGGCTGGAAAAGCCCTCGTTGATGGCACTTGGAGACATTGTGTGTAGTCCTTGTGTTTGTAATGGTGATGATACGTTCATGGTCGCTTCTGGATGAGTATTGTTATAGTAGTTGGTTACTAGTGATGGGGTTCGGACTGATCGCCGAGTGAGCTGATAACCCCACTTTTGGGCGAGGATAGCTTATGCGGGGGATAGCTACCCTTTCGATAGTCTTATTGATTATGAATGATTGCGTGATATTATCAGTCTGATTCAATGCACCTAGTTATCGAAATTGCAAAGATAATAATAACTAGTTACTACCACTTAGTCACCCCCCCATCCACGATCACATCCTGCCCCGTCATGTACGAACTGGCATCGCTCGCCAGAAAAACACACGCCCCCATGATATCCTCCGGCTCTGCGATGCGGCCGTTCATTGCTGCAGATTTCCACTCTTCGATCAAATGGGGGAACTACCACATTCTTATCAGATAAACTCATACTGCTAAGTAAACTAGGGACACTCACAGCAGCAGTCATCTCCGTCCTCACATACCCCGGCGAAATCGAATTCACGCGAATACCCTACACCATCAGCAAAAACCCTTAATTCTCTCTCAACACCGTAACAACAGGATTGGACTTACATATTCCGCCAACTCCTTCGCGATAGCAGGACACATCGCCCTCACCGCCCCCTTACTCCCACAATACGCACTGCACAACTGGCTCCGCACCGCCACGTGGCTCGCCATACTCGCCACCAGGACGATGCTCCCATGCTTCGTGCCATTGGCAATCATCTGCCGTGCTGCCAGCTGGGCCGTATGAAACAGCCCCAGCACGTTCACCCCTAGCAGCTCCTGGTGGTCCGCGTAGTTGAACTCGAGGAACGTCTGGTGCCGGTTGATACCTGCGCAGGGGACGCAGATGTCTAGGGCATTGTCGAAGTCTGTTTGAAAGGCGCTAAAGCCGGTGGCGAGGGAGTCGGGAGAGGATACGTCGACTCTAGAAACTCGGTTAGGACTTGAAATATGATATGTATAAGCTGATTGAGGAGGGGAAAATACTCGTAATATGCAGTCCGCACACCATAGTCCTTCTCGATCGACAGAAACCCTTCTTCAGGAGGTATCCGGTCGAAGATGGCTACGTTGGCACCTGCTTGGGCGAGACCACGCGCAAAGGCGAGGCCGCAGCCGCGGGCACCGCCAGTGACGAGGGCAGTTCGGCCGTGTAGGGAGAACTGTACAATTAGTTATTGTGATGGGGGATTATTCCTAGAGGAATCAACTTACTCGAGACATAGTGCAGGTATTACTGGGATGGATCTGCTGGTGATTGCTGGAATACTGTCTGCTCCGACCGGAGGGTGTACTTATTCCCCCGCAAATGATATGATAAGATTGATGCATCCCCTCATGCCCGACCCCCATTCTTGTCAGGCACGCGCTTATCCCCCATTTTTAGGAGGTAGAAAATGCACTCAGCTAGGTCTTGAGGTAGGTTTATATGATGGTTTAGAAGCTGTGTCTACTGAGTTATACACTCTCTGCTTACTATCACATTTACAGAACTGGTACCATGACGCCCCCTATCCACATCAAAGAGAAGCGCTCCCTCCCCGACAACTGTCGGTTGCAGGTACATCCTCTTCTCCCCTTACATTCTATTTCTATGTCTAAGCTAATGAAAGATCATCATCATCGGTGCCGGCCTCGCCGGCCTCGGCACCGCCATCTCCTGCCTCCTAGCCGGGCATGACGTACACGTCCTCGAAGCGACGCACGAGATCCGCGAAGTAGGCGCCGGCATCCAAGTCCTCCCCAACAGCTCGAGAGTCCTCAAACACTGGGGCCTAGAACCAGCTCTCACGCCACACATGACGCACCCGCGCGTCTGCAACTTTCTACACTGGAAGGGCGAAATCATATCCAGCTTGAGTTTCGTTGACTCCGCGGCGCAGTACCCCGGGACGTGGTATCGCGATTTCCACCGTGCAGATTTACAGCGCTGTCTACTGGAAAGGGCGGAGGAGTTAGGGGCAAAGATCACCTGCGCTGCGAGGGTCGTGGACATCATCCCTGACGGGGATGGCGGCATGGCGACAGCGGTGGCGAGTGATGGACGGTCGTGGAGGGGGGATCTGGTGGTTAGTGCTGATGGGGTGTTTGGGAAGTTGACCGAGGTTATGCTTAAGAGGCCGGACCCACCGATCAAGACCGGGGATTTGGCGTATCGGTTGTTGTTGTCGACGGAGGAGATGTTGAAGGATCCAGAGTTGAGGGGGTTTGTGACGGACCCGCAGGTGAATTATTGGTTGGGGCCGGATAAACATGCTGGTTCGTATTCAGTTCACCAATTCTGAAATAATGGGCTAATGATGCCAGTGAACTATGTGTTGCGACAAGGGGAACTGTTTAATATGGTGTTGCTTGTGCCTGATGACATCCCCGAAGAGTCGCTGGCTTCGACGGTCGAGGGCAATGTGCAGGAGATGTGTGCGTTGTTCGAAGGATGGGATCCGAGGTACTTCTTGTCTCCTGCTTCAAAGGGCGAAGACTGATTTGTAGGATCCAAAAACTCCTGAAACTCTGCCAATCCGTGCACAAATGGCGTCTCTGCATCCGCTTCGGCGACTACGACTGGACGCATCCTTCCGGGGCGTGGGTCATGCTAGGCGACTCTGTGCATGCTACACTTCCCTATCTTGCTTCTGGGTACCTTCTCCATACCAGCTTGTACAAATTGGAATGCTACTAATTCTCAAACAGTGCAGGAATGGCCTTCGAAGATGGGGCCGTCCTCGGCGAATGTCTCTCGCGCCTCCCATCTGGCCCTAACGTCTCGAAATCCTCACCCGAGTTCATCGCCGCTAAGCGTCATGCCCTGGCCGTATTTGAGAAGTGTCGCAAGCAGCGCACGCAGATGGTTGTGGAACGGGGAAACACACAGCAGTATCTGTATCATTTGCACGATGGGCCGGAGCAGGAAGAGCGCGATCGGAAAATGCGCATGGTGCCCACGCCAGAAGGGGAGGCGCTGGCGTGGAGGGATCCGGGATTGGCGCCGAAGTTGCTGGGATACGATCATATTGCGGATGTAAGTCTTTCTTGTATAAGGGGAGGATCGATGCTAATGGTCTTAGGTGGATGCAAACTGGGAAACAGTAGGGGAGAAGGTGGATGAGGTGGTAGCGAGGTTGTGAGTACTGCATTAGAGCTGTGTGATTTGCTCTGGCTGAAGGGTTGGCAGCTATTAGAGGCTTATAAAGATAATATCGAGTCAGCTTGAGGGTGAAAACTATTGTGTATATTTTTTTTACTGCTGAAATATTATATTATATATTGAACAAGCGAGATTGCAGATATGTGGAATAGTCAGGCATTTCTGGCCGTCCACCAATCTATGTCCATGTCCTAGTGCTAATAACTATTGAAGATTGAGTATCTGAAAATATCTTTCGTTTTAACTCTAAGGAAATTATATCGTGTATCCACTGACATAGATATCCCTCAACCGTCTTATCGTTCGTCTTCGAAGGTACCATCATGAATGATTTATATGAAAGACCCCGACATTATGTTAACTTAGCTCTGGATGAAATCATGCAACAGCAACGAAGAACCCTTTCTCCCCCTCCTTCCTCTTCACCTCTGCCTTTTTCACCAAGTCATCTCCAACCGCCAGCCTCAACTTCTCCGCCGTAGCTGGACTATCCAGGACCAACGGCCCTTGTACACCGAAATCCGCCCTCGCGCTCTTCAACGCGTCCCTCAACGCAAATAACACCGTCGACCCCATGAACAGCGGCGGCTCACCGATACCCTTGCTGCTCTGGATCGAGCGGAGATGGCTCCACGATACACCTTGCAGGAAACTAACATTGAACTCCTGCGGGATGTCACTGAATCCGGGAATCTTATACGTGCCCGGACCCCGCGTCGCCAACTGGCCACTCTGCGTCCAGAGAGTCTCCTCCATCGTAAACAACCCCTGTCCCTGAACAAAGGCCCCCTCAATCTGTCCATAGTCAATAGCAGGGTTAATGGACCTTCCCACATCCATCTTAATATCCGTGCGCAGCACAGTATGATCACCCGTAAGCAGGTCAAGCTCGACCTCAGTGCACGCGACGCCCTATGATCCCATCAGCATACCCCCTATCCATTCAAACAGAGGAAGAAAAACATACCTGAGTAAAATAATAATACATCGGCTTCACCTTCTCCACATCATACGTTCCCCACTGATACCCCACCTTGGGCATCTTCCAAAAGCCACTCGCCGCCAAATTCACCCGATCGCGATACGCAGCATGCGCCATCGTCGCCATATCAGCATCCTTGCCGAATTTCTCCCGATACGGCTTCAACCGCTCGTTCAGCTGATCGCACGCATCCTTAACTGCCATTCCGTTCAGATCACTCCCTGACGAGGCAGCAGTCGGTGACGCATTCGCCGTCTGGTACGACGAGCTATCCTGCGTGTAGACGCTCTCTGCCGGAACACCCAGCTCCTGAGCTGCGACCTGCACCATCTTCGTGTACAAGCCCTGGCCCATTTCAGTGCCGCCGTGGTTCAGAAGTACTGAGCCATCGGTGTAGATTTTGACGTTCGCGCCGGCTTGGTTGAGATGGACTGCTGTAGCGAAGGAGATGCCGAATTTCGTCGGGATGAGCGAGATCCCTCTCTTCCTGTAGCGGTGACGTTTATTGAACTCTGCTATTTCGGCCTTGCGCTCCGCGTACCGCGCCTCCTTGCGAACCTGCTCCAGCAGCATTGGAACATGCCAGTCCTGATCGATTTCCTGGAGGAATGGCGTCCTCTGCCCCTGGGTATACAGATTCCTCATTCGCAACTCATCAATATCCATCCCCAACCCCTCCGCAACAGCAGACATATAACTCTCGGCGATGAACATGGCCTGCGGCCCACCGAACCCCCGGAAGGCAGTATTACTATGTGTGTTCGTCTTGCACACCCATCCGCGGATGTGCGCGTTGGGGAAGTAATAGCAGTTTTCGATGTGCGTGCAGCACCGGTCCATCACGGCACCGCTCATGTCCAAGGAGAATCCCGCGTTGTTGTATACGTCTGCGTCGAGGGCGATGAGCTTCCCGTCGTTCATGACACCCACTTTCCAGCGACATTGGAACGGGTGCCGCTGGCCAGAGGTCATCATGTCTTCGTCGCGGTTGAGCATGGCGCGCATAGGGCGTCGCGTTTTCTTAGCTGCAATAGCGAGTAGGCACGCCAGTTGCACGCTGCGGGATTCCTTGCCGCCAAAGGCGCCACCCATGCGTTTTACTCGGGCGTTGATGCGCGATGCGGGGACGGAAGTCACCTGGCTGACGTATTCTTGGGTTTCCATCCTATCCCAGCCATTAGCATCGCTCACACACAAATGGGCATAGAGTGGGGATAGACATACGTATTCTGCGTCGACGACCAAACCTCCATACTCCCGTCCTCCGAATGAGGAATCACCACCGCAGCATTTGTCTCGAGATAAAAGTGCTCCTGCCCGCCCATGCGAATAACACCCTCGAAAACATGATCACACTTCTCAAAAACATCCTTCATCTTCTCCGGCGTCACAGCCACCCCTTTCCTTAACTCCTTCCCATGGGGCCAGAAACTCCCCTTCTCAATCGCCTCATCGATTGTGAGTATAGTCTCCAGATCCTCATACTCTACCTTCACAGCCCTCGCCGCCATCTGCGCTTTCAGCGCCGTCTCCGCATAGACCAACCCAATCGGCTGCCCGTGCGAAGTCACCTCATCCACGGCAAAGAACTGCTCATTCTTCACCACAGGGCCCCAGATATTCTTCTCCGCGGGGATACTCGTATGGTCTATGTATCCCAGGGCCAGACCCGGCTGCAATGCGGGCGTCCAGTCCACGGAGAGTAGCTTGGCGTGGGCACGTTGCGAGAGGACCATCGCGCCGAAGAGCTCCCGGTGCTGCGGGGGCATGTCGTCGACGTATTCAGCTTCTCCGGTGGCGTGCTTCAGACCGGACAGGTGGGGGAGTTGTTTGCCGACGACGCGCTGTTCGTGCGGGTTGTGGTTGTCGCGCGTGCCGTGGGAGATGTGGCGATGGATTTCGGTCGCGAGGGATGGGTCGGCGGTTGTGGAGGTGAGGTTGAAGTCGGAGATAACTTCGTGCCAGAAACGGAAGAAGAGGGATGTAGCCAGGGTGCGTCGATAGTGCGCCATTCCACCGGGGACCGAGTAAGGCAGATTGAAATCCTGGAGGAGGGCGTCGAGCGTGCTGTCTAGGACGGCTTGTACGCCCCATTTCTTGCCCTGGAGGACGGCCATGGCCTGTCTGGCTAGGAGGGTCGTCGGAGCCATGCCGCCATAGGCGAGGGCGATTTCGCTGACGGTGTTGTCTGGGGCGAGGCGCACGCGGAAGGCGGCTGTTACGATGGCGATGTCGTCGTCTTTGCGCTTGGCTTGTTTGTAGGATTTGGTGAGTTCGCGTGTTTCTGGCGGTGGAAGGGGGATGCGGATCGAGGTGATGATGCTGTCTTTAGGGAGGGCGGTCTTGCGGTAGCCCAGAAACATGTTGGTCATGGGGATGGTGGTTTCTTGGGTTGGGGTGCGCGCGACGATGGTGGCATTGATGGCTAGGAGCACAGGGTTCATGTCGGAGATGGGCGACGCCGTGGCGATATTACCGGCTAGTGAGGCGGCGTTGCGGATCTGGCGACCTGCAAAGTAGCGTAAGACTTTGGCTGTGGCTGAGAGGACGGATCCTCGAGGGCCAAGGACTGGGACGAGTCGGTTGCATTCAGTTTCGATGTCGGTGAGGGGTGTATTGCCGCCGATGACCAGCTCGGTGATGGTGCCATCTTTCTCGACGGGCTTGATGTATGACAGCTCGTCTAGATCGCCGATAAAGACGGACACGGCGAATTCGGCACCTTTGAAGCGGATGTCAACTTGGACCTCGCTGGCACCGCCGACAAGGGTGGCCGATGGGCAGCGGGCCAGGATGTCCAAGGTTTGGGCGAGTGTCACCGGGCGCAGCCAGGCCTTGCGGTCGTCGGTGTAGCAGACGAGCTGAGGGGTCGCTTTAGTCAGGGCTGGGGGGTAGATAAGCTCGGTGTTGGGAATGTACGGCTTGAAGTCGAACTGTGGTACTGTGCTGGTCAAGTCCTTCTCTGGCTCTGTATCTGGGGTCGAGATACTGGTGCGCGAGCTGTCACGATCCGAAGAAGACGAGCAGGACGACCCCGGAGTATCACGACAGCATCCGCCTGGACGTCCGCAGGATTGCGGCCGCGATGTGTCCGACTCAGACTCAATCGGAATCTCCATATCTGAGGGTCGCGTGCGCACAGCCAGCCGGGCCTGGAGATCCTCTTGGACAAACGTCTTCGCCGCCTGCAGGATGGGCTTGTAGCCCGTGCACCGACACAGATTGCCATCCAAGTGACCCTTCATTTCGATCTCATCCTCCGTCAAATTGAATTGGCCAGTCTGGGGATCGTATGCATTCCGTACAAGAGCGTATAGCGACATGACTATACCCGGGGTACAGAAGCCACATCTTAACCTGTCAGCATTGCTCGTCCATCAGACCACGGTCAACTTACTGCGACCCGTGGAGCTTCCCCAGCCTTTCCTGAAGCGGATGGGGATGATCCACATTCCCGAGCCCTTCAACGGTGATGACATGCTTTCCGGCCACTACGGCTGTCAGATGCGATCGCACCCATGGAACCAACACACATACCTCCAATGAGCGGATACAAACAGGCGTTCACAGCACGGTGGCGGATCTGCGCGCGCCCGTCGCGGGTCTGCAGCACAACGGTGCAAGCACCGCAACCGCCCTCGCCGCAGCCCAGCTTGGTGCCCTTCAGGCCATGTTGAGAGCGGATGAAGTCGAGGAGGGTCCAGTGGGGGTTAGGATTGGCGAGGACGATGGGGGTGCCGTTGAGGTAGAAGGAGAGATTAGGGGTGGAGGGAGCAGTGGTCAGGAAGTCTTGCAGTGCAGTTGGAAGAACCATGATGTGGCTAGAAGTGCATAATTACAATGCAGATAAGGAGAATGAGAATGAGAGAACAATGGCAAGCACATTGTGGGAGAAGTTCAAGGGATGGAAATTGTACTGCGAGGGGGGCACTGTGCACGTGAAGCTGGACCTGAAGGGCATCCATCAGGCCCCATTCTTACCCAGCATGAGGGGTTGAGCTGGCATTGCAGAAGATCGAGCCTGTGAAGAAGCGCCACTACGTCAGAGATGCATTGGGGCTGCAACGCTGCTTGAAGTGGAGTGGAGGTCCAGAGTGATCGGGAGTGGATGCCTTATTCAAGGGTGGGGGTTTGCCGATCGGATTAACTTCCAGCAGTTATGGTTGGCTTATCGGGTGGCCCGACAATCAGACAATAGATTAATTATCTGCAACATTGTCTCCACTCATCTATACCAGTGTACGTTCACAGATCAGTCTCAGTCAAGAGTGGATGTTGCGAGTAATCCAAAAATGGAGGGCATGCGAGTAGAGATTCTCAAGTGCTGGAAAAAGTCATCCTATATGTACCGTAGCTATACCCAGTCCTATAGCAAATTAACAACCAATTCAGACAGTCACATAGATCAGATCCTGCAAAATGGGCTCCATCACGCCAATTGACCATCTCTTTCACCCCCTCAGATTGGGGTCTCTCTCCCTATCTCACCGCGTCGTCCAAGCACCATGCACGCGGATGCGTGCCACACAAGAATCAGAGGGCGTCTATGTCCCTAACGCCCTCATGACCGAATACTATAGCCAGAGAGCATCTCCCGGTGGTCTTCAACTTACCGAAGCAACCCCCATCAGCCGCCATGTATGCTACCACATTCCTACCTTTGATACATAAGTCCTAATTTGTACATGCACAGGCAGCTGGCTACCCTGGTGTCCCTGGAATCTTCACCCGCTCCCAGATAAACGCCTGGAAAGATGTCACCTCCGCTGTCCACGCCAAAGGCGGCCTCATCGTCTGCCAACTATGGCACGTCGGACGCGCAACAGTGCCGGCCTTTATCGAGGGCCAAACCCCTCTCTCATCCAGCGACATTCCCATGACCGGGAATGCACTCACCGGGGAGCCATACTCGGCTACTCCACCCCGCGCAATGACCATCCCTGAGATCGAGGCCACTGTGGCAGAGTACGCCGCTGCCGCGACGCGTGCCATAGAGGCAGGATTCGATGGCGTGGAGGTGCACGCTGCGAACGGGTACTTACTCGATCAGTTCCTGCACGATAACGTGAACAACCGTACAGATGAGTACGGAGGAACCGTGGAGAAGAGAGCGAGAATTGTTGTCGAGGCAATCAAGGCCGCATGTGATGCTATCGGTGCGGATAAGGTTGGCGTGCGCTTGTCGCCGTATAACTATTTCCAAGACACGAGGGATTCGGATCCGCAGGGTCATTGGCAGGTCGTTTGTCAGATGATTGCAAAGGAGACCCCCGGGATAGCGTACGCACATATGATCGAACCACGATTTGATGAGGTGTTGGATGAGGGGGCCAAAATGGGCTCGTTGCCTGGACAAGGGAAGGTCAGTTTGGATCCGTTCAGAACTATCTTCAAGCAGGCTGGAATTGGGTTCATTGCGGCTGGGAACTTTGATGGCGAGGGAGCAAAGAAGAAGGTCGTTGAGGATGGGGCGGATGCGGTGGCTTTTGGAAGGTGGTTCATTGCCAACCCTGATCTGCCTAAGAGGTTGATGGAGGGTGCACAGTTGAATAAGTATGACCGGGCGACATTTTATGGAGCTGACCCGAAGGAGAAGGGGTATACGGATTATCTGGCATTGAGTGTATAGACGATCTTATAGATAGATACCTAAGACATTCCACATTCAGGGGGGCTGCTATTATAATCATACCAGTACTCAATCAGTGGCAACCAAAAGAGCGTCGAGATGGTTGGAGACGGAACTATTGTTTGGATGACTTATCCAATGGAACATTATATATTGTAGCAACCTTGGGCAGTAGTCCTTCATTGCCGCGAAATACTAGCACTCTACACCTGTTACTGGGTTCAGTAGCCTCCAAAATATATATAAATTACTGCCAGTTCAGCAGAATTGAATTGTAATGTATAGTAGCAGGTAACCCGAAGTGGAATTTGTAGTATACTTACTTGTCGCCCATTATGGAATATTGTGCTTAGCGTAATCCATTCTTCAATGTAACGGCATTGGATCGACGACTATGGGAGCCTTTCACGCGTTGTCAGCTTGCTTGGAAACGGTCCTCGGTTCCACTACGGAACTACTTAATGCGAATTACTAAGGATTGGGAGCAATTTTAGTCTCCCCAGTAGCTATCCATTCAAATCTAGTGAAGAGGAACTTAAGCGGCACGACGAACAACAGGTGCAACTCAAAGATAGTGTGTATCTGTGGGATCTTGTCAAGGACCAGTTCGGCACGGATAACAGTGGCTGGGTGCCTCTTGAGCGATGGAAACAGACGAACAAGTTGAACAAGTATCTCTTCGATATGTACATCGAAACAATGAGCGAAGTGCTGCCGGCAGAAAAAGCCGCGAAATGGTGGCCCTTTCTGCGGAATATGCGCGGAAAGACGCTTGAGCTTCCCGAACCGAGATGTCGCCTCTCCAGATGTCGAAGCTTTTGCTTTCTTCCGATTACTAATAGCCTTCACAACTTTACCAGCTTCCAAATTTATTTTCCTTGTGGTGTTTCAGTCTCGCCAGCAGTTGCGATGAACCCGTTATGCGAAACCAATGAAAACAGACCTCTTAATAACACCTACGCCCCATTCAAAGATTAGTAGGACACTACCACCGTGGAATTGCACCACACGCTGGAATGCCTCCAGCCAGCCTGCGAACCAGAAATGGCTGCTTATCATGTAAGCTAGGATCCCCACATGATCAGATCAGAGAAGAAGGTCTCTTGTTCATCCAGGCAAATTTAGGTCGAAAGCGCCGCAAGAAGTGTGACGAGTCTCGTCCACGTTGCACCGCATGCACTCGAAACTCGCTGGAATGCAAGTGGCCCTCTGAGGGTAATCAGCTCCCAGATGGCAGATCCCGGCAATACAAAAGGACTAAGGCTATGGTGCGCACAGTAGCGCTACCAGGAGTGTCGCAAATACAACTCCCTCCGCCCATCATGATGCCGGCGCCTTTTTCATCATCGGAGTCCACCTACCTATATCGATATTTTGCCTCCACGATCTTACCGCGTTTTGTTCGACGCAACTCTTTAGACAAGACACACATGCTCCGCCTCGCGTTCCAATTCTCTCCTCTCTTTGGGGCAATGGTGGCTGTGGCCGGAATGCAGCTGCCAACCAAAGACCGGTGGCCTGCCCATCTTGCCCTGCAGAGCTATCTGCATGCAATTCATGCCATTCAAATGTCACTGACTGATATTACCAAAGCTGCCTGTGATGATCGGATCCTCGCAACTGTGTCTCTGCTCGCCTGTTTCGAGGCATGTGCCAGATCCCTTAAATTCGTGTAAGCAAGCTAATTTCTATAACTGTAGTCTTCCCGATCAGATGCGACACCCACTGTGGCGCCGCATGTCACGGCTGCGGGCCTCCTACTTACCAAACGCCGACCCTGCGAGTTTCGCACTAAGGCTGCGGCCACGTTTGATCGCATATGTGTCGAGTCATTTTTATACCAAGCATGCCTCATGATGATCTTTGACCCGTCACTTGATGCGCTCCCGGATGATAGAGAGCAGCTGGAGCTCCCACTTTATTTTGATCGACCCACAAGGTCAGACTCTACGCCAGGAGAGACTGTTCTGCAGGCGTCTTACAAGTTCTTTTTACTCATTGCGGATGTTACGAAACTATCTCGGCTATCAAGACCGCTTGATAGCGCTGAAGTTGCCAAGTGGCGAAGTCTAAGTTGGGAGTTGTCGCACTGGAGTCACCTCATCTGTTCCGCAGATATGTCTCTCGCGTTATGCTACCTAGCACTTCAAATCTTACTCCAAAAGGTGAATCCGAACATCACCTCCGGTGAACGGGTCCGGCGAGTGCACTCGTGTCTCGCAGGGGGTTTACAGCGGGTACCTGCGTTGGAAATAGATATTTACCCGCCCGTATATCTACTCTGGCCCGTGGCTATCCTCAGCTCTGTTGCCGTAAGGCTCGAGGAGAGGGAAGTCTTCCGGGGTGTTGTCGCCTCAATATCTGCTGCAAAGCTAGGTGGACATGCAGCGTGGGTACAGACGAGGTTAGACAGGGTTTGGACAACTATCGGTTCTGCACCTGAAGACCCAGAAGCCAGTCTTGTTGGTCTCCAGCTTCTGCTTGATCAGGGGTGATTCCGATCATGGGCAGAGATTAATAATGCGATCAAGACAATATCTGCAGCTCTCTTTGGACCATCAAGAGGCAGCCTCAAGCCTCTGGGCCATTTTTGGGAAGATAATGTGTTGTGATTGGTTCAGCCGCGGCTCTAGAGACCCACTGCACGAGAACCCACCAATCGTTTATATTTGCGCGCTCCCCACAGCATTGAAATGATATCCACTCCATGGAAGACACTGCCTGGGCTTGCTCAAAAGCTCTATAAGATGAGCACATTACCGTCGTCCTCCCTCCTTTTCGATCTTATTTCTTTTACATGCCTTACAAACAACCCTCAAAATGACCAGGACAATTTCATCCCTCGCTGAAGAGCGTTACCGCGACTCACAATCCTCCACCTTTCCTCTCCCAACCGACCCGTCCAATTCTCTCCCCGGTGCCCTGTCCGCAATTCTCTCCCATAAATCCTGCCGGGCTTTCCTCCCCTCAAATCTACCCCCGGGAACACTGGAAACCCTCATCTCAGCAGCTCAAAGTGGCTCCTCCTCCTCCCTTATGCAGACATGGGACGTCATCGCTATCCAAGATCCCGAGCATAAATCCAACGTCGCATCGCTTGCAGCCGACCTGGACTTCATCCGCCAAGCTCCTCTGTTTCTGGTATTCTGTCCCAATCTCCGCCGCCTGAAGAACCTTTCAGAGCAGTATGGTCACCAGTCTGCCGACGCGCTTGATAGCATGAATATGTTTATCATGAGCACCGTGGATTCGGCCATCGCGGCGCAGAACGTTGCCATTGCGGCGGAATCACTAGGTTTGGGGATCTGCTATGTCGGTGCCCTGAGGAACAATGCCGAGGAGGTCTGTAAATTATTAAATCTGCCCCCTTTGACATGGGGTGTGTTTGGAATGGCTATTGGGTATCCGGATACGGAGAATAGGCGTTGTGGTAGGCGGATCAAACCGCGCTTGCCGATGCGGGAGGTACTTCATTTCGAAAGGTGGAACGAGGAGGGGCAGAAGGACAACGTTGAGTCGTATGATAAGGCGCTGGGGACGTTCTACGAAGAAGAGGCCAAGTTCGGGCGAAAGGGCTGGGGAGAGTTCGTTGCGGGCATGGTTGCGTCGCAGGATCAGGGTGGGAGGGAGAAAGTTCGGCAAGCTATCGAGAATCAAGGTTTTAAGCTCAAGTAGGTAGCCCACATACATAAATGGATCAGTAATAGATTGGAGAACTACAGTCAATTCCCCAGATTCACCAAGACCTTCATCGCATCATGCACCACCGCCCACCTTACCGTGGCCAACTGTTGCGCCATCGTCCTCACCAGTCCCCTCGTATCATACTTTCCCCCGAGCGCCGCCATATCCCCCAGACTTCCACACGTCGTCATGGCCACGATCAAACTCGCCAGATCCGTCGTAACCCTCTCCCCAGGACGTTCACCACCTCCCTGGCCCTCACCACCCACCCCACCATGAAACGCCCAGCAAGTCAACGTCGCCAAATACAAACACCACGGGAAATGAAACGCATCCGTCTGCTCCCAATCATGCAGACTCAGCACCGCCTCCTCCAACAGCTTCGCCGCCTGTCTCGCAGCTCCTAACGCCCCCTCCCCGCCACCAAGTAACCACTTCTTCAATCCCCGTCGCGACCTCTCCCGATCTCCCTCCGTCACTGTCCTTCCCAGTATCCTCCCCGCCCCGGCAGCGACCTGCAAATCCAGTATCTCTACCTGCAGCGCCAGCCAGGCTGCCCGGTACAGCGCACACGCCGCCATCTTCAGCCCCGTGAACAGCCCTCCACCTCGTCTCGACCCAGCCACATCCTCCCCAGGATGCTGTCCGAAATTCAACTTCATCGCCAAGCAATCCGCATCAAAATCCACCTTCCATAGATCATATGATCTCCCCATGCGTCGCGTCCATGCACCGACCCGCTCGGGCGTCTCCGCTCGTAACGTCGTCTGGTCCCGTCTTTTCAGGTCCGCTGAGACGGACATGAGCCCGTGCAGGATGACGATCCGTGCCAGGGTATTCAGATCGCGGGGTCGAGCCATCGCAGAGGGGGTAATATACCCTTTCAGCACGGAGAGAAACATCCGCGGTGGAGGGTCCATAGATGCATGATGCGCCCAGTCACTGGCCGTGCATGCTTCCCATGTCCCCTGGGAACAGGGCAGAGCGGATCTGATTTCAAAGGCTGACATGCATAGGGACTGGGAGAAGAGGACGGCGTGTTGCGTATCCCACATGAAGCAGTGCAATGCGACGCGCTTCTTCTGCTCGTCGTGCATGGCGGTGCGCCAGAGGGTGTCGATGTCTGTGTCGGTAGTGGTAGTGGGGTTCGGGGTGTGGCGAATAGCGCAGCAATCGCTCCGCCGGATGAGCTTGATCAACACGCAGTGGAAGAGCTGGGCGCGTTCGCGCTGTTTCGGCCCCGCGCGCATCTTGCCAAAACAGTCAATTAGGAGCATTGCCTGAAGGACCCACAGGTCAGGCTGGGGGGAGAAGTCCGCGTGGCAGAAGAGTTGGTTGCGGAGGGAGTCATGGATGCCGACGGCGAGTTGGTGCGCTTCGCGGCTGCTGTAGGTGGCGCCCATGGAGAGGATGGCGGCGAGGAGGACCGGGGTGGTGGATGATGGGTCGAAGGTGGGTTGGTGGAGGAGGGGGTAGGTTGTGTTGAAGCGCGTGAAGAAGAGGTCGCTGTAGGATTGGAGGGAGGGAAGGGAGAGGAGAGGGGAGTCTAGCGGGGTGGGTTGGCCGTCGATGGCCAAGGGTGGAGCTTGCGCAATGAGGTTGAGGATGCCTTGACGAGAATCTTCTGTCAGGATGGGAAGATGGGGCTGGGGGGTAGTTTGGAGGAGGGAGGGCGCGTCCATCCAGTCGAGGTTGATGGTATCTGGTTGGGGATCCAGGATGGGCGCGGAGAAGACGAGCGGGTCGCTGCGTTCTACGAAAGAGGCTGCCTGCAGGAGGACTGAGGAGCCGTCGCGGTCGAGGAATGATTTTGGATCCTCGACGGGGAGGGCATCCTCGGCGAAGGTGACCATGTCTGGACCTAATGGGAGGTCGAAGGGCGGAAAGGCGTCATCCAGAGAGGCGACGTCGAACAGCCAGTTGTAATTATGAGTGGCCGCAAAAGGCATGTTGAAATCGGTAGCTGTTTGGTCAGCTGGAGTGTGATTAAGTATGAACAGGGGGAATTACCAGTGTCAAGGCTGAAGAAATCACCCATCCCGTCCAGTCCCAGATTCCAGGAGCCATCTGCCGCATCAAACTGCCCTGGGATAGGCTCGACATAGGGCTCGAATGGTCCGCTGGGCATCATCGGAGCCAGTAGCGGATCGGGCTCGTCCAACGTCATGGACGATGGGTCGCTCGCTGACGTCGGCGGGGACACAGGAGCACCATAGTCCTGGGCGCTGGTCACGGAAATCGACGAGGAAGAGGCCGACGACGATGGAGGCAAGCTGTGGCTGGCACGAGCGCGCGACTGACGCTTCGGAGGGCGAGTAATGATGGAGCCATCTCCCGCACGGCGAGTACGTTTCCTCGTCTCCAGCACTCCTTGACCAGGGCCTCCAGCTTCCTCGTCCCGTTTGGCATGGCGCATCAGATGGCGATCTGGCGGGTCAGACAAGGAGTCGAGATAGCTTGCAGTAGCACAGCACCTACTTAGTAGATCCGGGCGGTGGAAATGCACGGAGCACCGCTCACAGGTGTAGCCTTGCCTTGCCTGGTCATGATTGAGGGCATGGCGACGCAGATGCTCTGCGCGAGTGAAGGTCTTGCCGCAGTTGGGCCAGTGGCACACGTGGGACTTCATGGGGGCTCATGATATAGCGATACAGGAGGAGAAGAATACATGCAGGGATCCTTCTGATGGGGATAAGACCTCATTTATCTGCCGGTCGGGTAGGCCGAAGCCGGTGATAAGCTGAAGGGAAAAAGAGGAGAAGCAGGAATGCGGACTGGCGATACAATCGACGAATGACCTTCTGCGGGGACAAAGTTTCACTTATCGCTAGTCCATTATTATTAATTCAGGAATGCCATCCCGGAGCTATCAATGAAACCACACCAATCGAGATAGGCCTATCTAGATCTCTAACCTTACTTGCTGCTAAGTGCTAGGTTTACAGAAAGTACCGCCAGTCCGGGCTGCTTTCCCCCTCTGCCAACTGACGTGTATCCACTTCTCCCGGACGCACTCTTCGGCCTTGTTGGCGATCGCGTCGGCGATTCTCCCGTCGCATCCACAGGCCCAATGCGATCACGACCACAATGCACACCCCGTTGCAGCAGCAGGTGGCCACCAACGTGGGGATATACCTAGACAGTCAGTCGTCTCTACGTACCAGGTAGTGGAACTACTTACTTTGGAGCGTATTGCGTGCGAAACGTCGCCGCGCTTAAGATCCCCGCCAAATTGCCCAACCCTACGAAGAAACCCGTGTTGGCAGCACGCGAGTTCTCATGCATATTATTGTTGTTATGCCATGCGTGCACCAAACACGACGGGATATACGACCCGGCTGCCATGAGGAAACATGCGAAATACGCTACTCCCTTGTGGCTCAGGACATCGATTGTCGCCAGGATGACCATCCCCACGAGCGATATCACCAGCGAAAACACAATGTGAAAGGTTCGCTCGCGGAAGTGGTCCGACGACTTGGCCACACAGAGAAGCACCACCGCGCCTACAAGGTTTGGAGCGACCGTCCAAAGGTTTGTTTTGACAGTGGAAAAACCCAGCCGTTCGACAATCTGTTCCGTTAGCTGTCTTCTCTGGCAGTGAGCAAGGTCATGTCCGTACCAACGGGAAGAAGTTCATCGCGGTCGCATATGCCACTGGATAGGTAAACGTGATAATGCACCAAATAGGAAACTTCCAGTCCTTCCATGTCTCGAAAGCCACCTTCAGATCCAATTTGGTGTCCACCTCGGCGGAGGTGTCGCGCAGTAGCCGTGCCGTTGCCGCAGCCCGTTCACGCTCGCTCAGAAACCATGCAGTACGCGGATTTCCGGGCAGCCAGAAGAACGAGATAATTCCCATGAGGAAGGTCATCGAGCCTTCGATGATAAACAGCCATTGCCAGCCTTTCACGGCGGGGTCATGGATCTGGAACACGCCGAAGGAGATAAGTCCGCTGAAGGCAGAGGCGAGCACAGCGAAGGACTGCATGATGGCCAGCCGGAAGCCCATCTCGCCGCGCGTGTAGAAGAGTGTCATATAGAATGTAGCTCCGGCGAAGAAGCCTGCCTCAAATACTCTATCTGTGTTAGATCGTGATATGATCAATGGCAGGAGACTCACCCTAGGATCATCCGCACAGCGATCATCCCCCCGAAGTTCTTGACGGCACATTGGCAGAGGGCGAGTATTCCCCAGACCACAGTCACTGACAAATTAGCTAAGTTCAGAGGATACAATAGGGTAACCTACTAAAAGACAGCACATAGCGTCCAGAGTACCGCTTAAGAAGCAGGTTCCATGGCAAGTCGCACAGCCCGAATGGGATATAGAATAACAACACCATCAGCGAGTAGTCATTCCCGACCAGGTGGATATCCTCGTCTAGACCATCAGTTTTCGCGTTTGCCAGGTTACTCTGAGTAAATTTCATTAGCGGTAGACCCGAGTCTACGTGAGGATACTACATACGCGGTCCATGCAATCAAAAAAATACATCTACACTGTCAGTAGCTAGTCGCCATCTTGGACACCATGCTCACCAAACAGAGGAGTGGCAGGACGAAAAAGTCCACCTTTCGCACTGGAATAATCAGTATCCACAGCAAGAAGTAACTCATCTTACTCACCATACGACCGTTCCGCATCGCGGTCGATGTAGATACTACTCTCTCCGGACTTCATGGCAGGCTCGGCCGAAATGGCCTCCTCCTTTTTCACGGTATCGGTGGCAGCCATTACGAGAATGAAATTGGGACAACACTCATTTCAGATCCGATCAGCTGCCAGCTGGCTGCATTCTATATACCAATGACATTGTCTGCTATCCGTGTAACCTGCAAGGAGGCACAGGCATTGCCCGATTGGGCCACCCGTGCCGATCTGGGGTTATCGAGCTGCAGCTTCAGAATCCCGCGATAAGTGGCAAGAAGTGGCCATCCTTCAGCTTCTCCGCATTCTTATCACCCGACCTTTGCAAGCTTTATCGTCTCCCCATCCTACCCCCACTCTTGTCTATACCATTCCCGAAAATGGAGGGAATCAGCAAGCTGATCGGACTTTTGTCCGAGATTGTGCTCGAATTATGGATCGCTAAAGCCTACTGATGCTGGATATATTCGCCTGAGATACCAGAATAGCATCAGCAACAAGCAGCAAGAACACCAACCGACGCAATGGCTCCCAGCGCTCCCCCTATTCTCGATTTCTCCGCCTTCTACGGAGGCGACAGTGAGGCCAAGACCCAACTGGTCGAGGCTGTCCGCAACTGCTGCCTGTACAATGGCTTCTTTCAGATCACCGGCCATCGCGTGCCACTCGACTTACAGCGCCGTGTGATGCGCTGTGCCGAGCGCTTCTTCGAACTCCCGCTGGAAGAGAAGCTCAAGATCGATAAAAGTAACCACCTCATATTACCTCTCGTTCTGAGACCCACTAACCAAGAGTTTGAATTTAGACAACAATAGTTTCAACCGCGGCTATGAACTCCTCCGCTCGCAGATGCTCGAAGTCGGCACCGGTCCCGAACTCAAAGAAGGCTTGTACATCGGCCAGGAAATTCCTGAAGACCATCCCTACTACATCCAGAAGAAGCTCAACAGCGGTCCAAACCAGTGGCCACCGACCGTGCCCGATAAGGAAGAATTTCAGCGCACCTCGATGGAATACTACAATGCGGTGTTTGAGTTGGCCAAGGACGTCCTGTCTCTTTTGGCTCTGACTCTCGATGTATCTGGGGATTATTTCGATCCACTCACCGATGGCGCGGTCGCAACTATGCGCATGCTGCATTACCCTGCGCAACCTAAGGATGCAGATGAGAAGCTAAACCGTGGTATTGGCGCACACACGGATTTCGGATGCATTACGCTGCTTCTGCAGGATGAGGTGGATGGATTGCAGGTTCTGGATGCACCTACTGGTCAATGGCTTGATGTGAGTGCTACTTCCCTGTTTTTCTTTATTAACAGGGGCGCAGTCTAACGGGGCTACAATGCAGGTTCAACCAGTCCCCGGCGCCTACGTAGTCAATCTCGGCAACCTGTTCATGCGCATGGCCAACGACCGGTACAAATCCAACATCCACCGCGTCATTAACAAGTCCGGCCGCGAGCGGTACTCAATTCCGTTCTTCTTCAGTGGAAACCCGGATTACCGGTGCGAGTGTCTGCCCAACTGCCGCGCAGAGGGAGAGGCACCTAAGTATCCACCCATCACTGTTGAGGACATGGTGACGGCTTCGTACAAGGAGAGCTACGGGCGAGCGGAGCAATATAAGAAGGAGATGGAGGAAAAGGCGAAGTTGAAGATTGAAACGGCCCCGGCTACAGCGGCAGTGGGTGCCTGAACAATTCATGTACTAGCTGCTGTATATTTGTCCATAGCTTTCTTGCTTCAATCCCAAATGAATTATGATCACCATCTTAATTACACCATCATCTATACCAACCTCATCATACCTCGTAGTATCACCAAGCTACACAAACAAGAAACTCGACCTGTGGTTAATACCCTCTAACTATCAATTCTAATAACTGATTACCAATTCTCGATAACCAGTGGCCGGATACCTAAACTCAGGAGTGGAGGTGGAGGTCTAAACGGCAGCCACACGAGCTGGCACTGATAGCGATCCCCCACCCTTGACAATCGATAAGATATTGATCTCGTGTAACTAGCCGTAATCAGCTGCGTCAGCGCACTGAACCTGGTCCAGGCACCCGTACAGCAACCCTAATCCTACCTATGTCCAGTCCTATTTGATCGCCGGAGTCTGATGCCATTATGCTCACGACAATGCACACGCATCCATCAAAATGGACAATATACAGCAGGAGAAGAAGCGTGATTCAGCTCAGCAACATGCTAACAGTATCGTGGGCGAAGAGAAGGGGGTCATACTGGATGACCCTGATGTGCAGCAGTTCTATGGCTCCTCAACGACGGAAGCATATCGACTGAAGTCGGAGTTGGTGGGTAAGTGTATGGAGGAAATTGGGATGGGAAGGTATGGACTCCTCTTCATTGTGGTAGTGAGTATGAAATGGGTATTGATGAGTGCAGATTCCAGTGGAAGCTCTTCGTCGTGACGGGGTTCGGATGGATTGTGGATAACGTTCGTGTCGCTCTTCAACTATGAGTATTTGCTTCCACTGACGAGAGATATAGTTCGCATCACAAGGCATAAGCAGTGTCCAGCCTCCTATCGAGCTCGAGTTCCCTGGCATCGTCCAGGTGAGCTACAGCTCCGTGGCCTACTATACAGGCTTGATCCTTGGGGCTTCGTTCTGGGGTATCTCTAGTGACTTGATCGGCCGGAAGCCCGCGTTCAACTCGACCCTCCTGATTGCAGGTATATTCTTATGTGGTGCTGCTGGTACTATGAACTTTCTAGCGTTCAGCGCCATGTGGGCTGTCATCGGCACCGCAGCGGGAGGGAATGTCCCGGTGGATTCGATGATCTTTCTGGAGTTTGTCCCTGGGAGGTAAGGACTCCTTCAGTCTATTGATAAAAATGAAGATTAATCAAAGCAACTAGTCACCAATACCTCCTGACAGCTCTTTCGGCCTGGTGGAACTTAGGCCAACTAATCGTGTCGCTCCTGGCCTGGGTCTTCCTCGCCAACTACAGCTGTCCAACCGATTCTACACCAGCAACATGCCATCGCAGCGACAATATGGGATGGTATGTCTTCCAAATATTGATCTGCTACTTCAAGCATCTAAAAAAATGCAGGAGATACACCCTTATCACTCTAGGCGCCCTTTCCCTCGCCTTCACTATCATCCGCGTCTTCATCTTCAAGCTCCCCGAAACCCCCCGCTACCTTCTTTCCAAAGGCAAGGACCAAGCCGCCGTCGAGACTGTCAACTACGTCGCGCGCCAGAATGGCAAGCCTGAGCCTCTGACTATAGGCATGTTCCAGGAGATCGATGCCCGACTGGGAATTGTCAATGAATCCAACACTTCAGCACAAGGCCCGGGCTTGAGCACCAAGGAGATCATTAAGGAGAATATGAAGGACTTCCGGTCGACGCACTACCAGGCTCTCTTTGCCACGAGGAAACTTGGTATTCATACTGGTATCATCTGGCTTATTTGGTTGACAATCGGTACGTGTCGCATCCGCCTTTTAAACTCTTAAGACGGTGTAAACTAACCAAGTATGCAGGAATTGCCTACCCTCTCTACTTCAACTTCCTTCCCTCCTACCTCGACACAAAATTTTCCTCCTCCGACTCCCTCTACACTACCTACCGAAACTACTGCATCGAATCCGCCGTCGGCGTAGTCGGGCCCCTTTCCGCAGCTTACCTCGTAACCACATTCTTCGGCCGGCGTTGGATGATGGGTATTTCGTCCATCATCACGGGGGTCTTCCTCTTCGCGTACGTGGGCGTCAGTAATCCAACGTCAAGTCTAGCGTTCGCATGTGTAACAGGCATGTTGGGGAATTTCGGTACGTGTACCCCAGTCCTACATCATTATCACTTCCCAACATACTGATTATCATCGCAGAATACGCAATCATGTACGCCTTTACTCCTGAATCCTTCCCCGCTCCGCATCGTGGAACCGGTACTGGAACTGCTGCTTCATTGTTGAGGTTCGGTGGGCTCTGTGCTAGTTTGATTGCCTCACAGACTGGGTTCACGCCGGCGCCGATATATGCCAGTGCTGCGCTGTGGGTTGTTGTTGGGGTAGTGTGCTTTGGGTTGCCGTTTGAGACGCATGGACACGCGGCTATCTAGTTTGATGGGATGGGCTGTTGTGCACGCCAGAAAGTGGGTAAATTGTGGTTGTGGCATTTGGTGTGTTTTGTCAAGATTTATAAACTACTAGGTTTTGGGTTGCTTTGTCGTTGTACGGGTTAGTTCGTAAGTACTGCGTCAATTGCTCATGCACTGGTAGTAAATGCCTAATTCTCAGATACATTGTGGTCCTATGCCAAGGTATCCACTTTACCAAAAGGAAGAGACCCCTGTCCTCTACCACGATTACTGCAGCTGTCCGTCTGCTCATCTCCTCTTACCCCATTCCTGGTGTCACCAGTCCCGAACTGTTGGTCCGCTAAATCCTTGCAGGTGTAGATCTTGCATTTATTCATTGTCGATCCAATAGTAGAGCTATATCCGTCTGGTTCCGTCTTCTTTGTTTCCTCACACTATTTAATAACTAGCGCCCAACTGAACGGTAAGGTCTCTACTTCTTTGTTCGACCGTTGCTCAAGAGGCCAATCTACTGACCATGCGACCTTGTCTGTTGCTATCCGTGAGTTGCCTTTTCAAGCGTCTCCGTCCTTGGAAAAGATCGCTGTATAACAGGGAGTACGGTGGTCATCGACACTTACGGTGCTGCCAAGTTTCTAAACCATGGTTGAAAATTCGATCGTAAGGGTGATACTTTGGCACCCTAACAAAGTGAAACTATCGCGGACCACAAGGAGCTTACTTAAGATCGTCAATGCTGACCTATACCTCTATATCTCCAGGCAACACACTATATAACTTGGATGGTGAAGTCGACGTCTAGCGTCTAACAGCAACTGACCAATCTTAGCTGCAAATCACCCAACAACCGCTATCTCTGCTCTCAACATCCTGTCGTTCTCCGACTCCCGGAATCCATCTGCCTCAAATCCGGCAGCTTCAGACCCACTGAGGTCCGCTTCCTTATGAGCTCTGACCATTGATGGATCAGGGGCGCTTCCCGACCGACCCAAACTTGAGAGCGGGATGGCTCTTGTTTCCATCATGGCGGCTGTCTCGGTTTAATCCCGAGCTATTGACATTTAGGGTTCGAATTTTTTTGAAGCGCGATTCGAAAGTATTCAGCATTTTCCTCAATCAGAAGCCCTATCCAGCATTGATACGAGCACGACAAGATAAGCTTTTTCACCTCTCAGAGGATTTCCACCACAGGGGAACTTATGTGTCAACGTAAACGCCGTCGTCAACAATGGGCTTGGTGTGTCGCCCCTCCCTACCTCTTACGGGATAAAAACGTCAATCCAGTGCCGCGTGGGTCGCGATCAGCGTGTCTGGAACAACTGCCCGATTCCGAGATACGAAATTGACTCCACTTTGGTGCTCATAGCAGCATGTCGTTGCACTGATAGAGTTCACCGGACTGGCTTCCGCTTCACCTTGGCCGCTGCCACTGTCTCGTTCCCCGGATCGTGGCTCTAGCGCACGCGGTAGAGCTAACCTTCACCCCTATGTCCAACACACGTCCAATAACAGGCTGTCACTTAAGGTTAGGATTTCGCTCTAAGATTGCCTTGGGTGTCGGTCAGAAAATTTATTTTCGATGTCCTTGGCATTTCCAGAATATGGACGATTTGCATCCTGGCGTTGCCCCTTTCTGGTCTGCAGAAACAACCGACTGTGGAATGGGTTATAAAATTAATATGCGCACAAATTCTCGCACTGGCGCCGCCTCCTTGGCACTCAGTCTGAATCCATCCTGTCTGCCAGTTCACCATGGCTAATGGGGATACGGAGGCGTTCACCCTCCTCTCGTTGGGATTGTTCTTCATCATCATACGAATCTACGTCCGCTGGTCGCAAGTCGGCGGGCCCCTGAACTTTGCTGTCGATGACTATTTGATGCCATTGGCAGGAGTATGTTCACTCACACCGACATTCCGACCGTTCTGTTCTGACCAATGCAGGCCGTCTTCATTGGCGAAACTGTCGCAGCGCATCTTGTCCGCAGCAAATTCAACGGTCTCACAAACAGCTACATGACCGATGAGCAACGAGCAGCGCTGGACCCGAGCTCGAAAGAGCACTACGATCGGCAATGGGGATCTAAGATTCAGGTCATCGGATGGTCGCTGTACGCCATGATACTGTGGTTGATCAAGTTCTGCGTCGCCATTTATTACTCCCGCCTCACGTATGGCATCTGCTCCGATTTCACGTCGACGAAACTAACTGACCGTCTAGGTCCGGACTGAATCATCTCCCCGCACGCGTTCGCTTTGCGTACATCCTACTCGGCGTGACTTATCTCGTTGTCGGTCTGACCATCGTGCTAGGCTGTCAGCCGATGCACAAGAACTGGCAAATCAACCCCAACCCAGGGAGTAAGTTCCTCATCCACTAGTTGCTGCATCTCTACCTCGTTGAGATCATCCATTAACAGGCGAACTACCTTAGATATTTGCCAACCGACCAAATCGACCCTTAGCGTTCTCATCGTCGTCATTCCAAACGTGATAACCGACCTCTACCTCATGTCCATCCCACTTCCGCTCCTCTGGGCAGTCAAAATCAGCATTCGCCAGAAAATCACACTCATGGCACTGTTCAGCAGCGCGGCCTTTATCATCATGGCGGGTATAATCCGCGCCGTGACGATCCTTACGGTACCATCCCTATCACCCACTCTTGTCCCTTGATTCATCGAACCAAACGCTGACTACCGCAGGCCGGCCCCGACGGCGCCGTCGCAGGAAGTCAATGGGCATGTCGCGAGACATTTGTCTCCATTGTCGTGGCCAACCTACCCATCGTCCAGCCTTTGCTTCGCAAGGGAGCAAGCAAGATTGGACTTAGCGTGCTGTTTAGTTCAGCAAGAGGGGGGACGAGCAGCTATGGCCGCAGACGGGGCGAGTCGTATCCGTTGGCGAGTCGGGAAGGGAATACACAGACGACAACGAAGAAGTCTCGCACCAGGTTGTCGGTGCATGAGCGGACTACGACGGCGGGATATGGAAGCGATGAGGAGGGGCTGGTGGGTACGGGAAAGAAAGGAAAGATACGTGATATTACGGTGACTCAAGAAACGGTGATTGAGACAGAGCCGGCAGGAAAGGAGCCGGAGGGGACGGGGAAATATGATTGGGGGATGAGGGAATAATGGGTCATAATGGAAGATGGCGTATGGACACTTTAATGATGGACGGAGTTGGGAATAGGCTATGAATATACATACATTTAATCACACAACAACATGAATAACCGGCTGAGAGAAAGGAAACACTATATACTATACAACAGCCACCACATCAAACGACCCCCCTCAACTCCTCATACTCCGGCAACTTCCACCCGCCCACCTCTTCATTCCCCATCCTATCCAACAACTCCGGAATCTTCAAGAAACACACAACAGCCGCAAACCAATGCAGCAACCAGATCCCCCACCACGAGGTCGGGAAAAACAACCTCACCACCGACGTATTCAACTTCTGGATCTCTTTCACAAACGGCCTCAACGTAGCATCATAATTCTTCAACGCTGCCCCCACATCCCCAGCATGCCGATTGATCTCCCCAGCCAGCACATACGCCCCAACAAGACACCCTGTCGTCCCCATCCCCGTCACCACAGCCGGACACGCAGCCGCATCACCCAACAACACCACCCGTCCTTTATACCACGTCTCCGTCTTCACCTGCACAATTTCCTGCGAGTAGAAATTATCCGTCGTCTTCATCCCCTCTATAAATCGCTCGGTCTGCCACCCTGCCCCCCGGTACTGCCGCATCCAGAACTCCTTCTGCGCGTCCACCGCCGCGCGGTGAATAGACGCAAGCGCCGGATCGTCGTCTTTCAGCATGAAATACACCTGAGACGTCGTGGGACTGTGACTTCGACGAAATATCGCCCGTCCACCAGGAGATATGTACGTCGTGAAGGTATTGGTATCGCCTTTCTCCCGCGGAACGAACCAGTACGCCGCGTGAATGCCTAGATGGAGATACGGATCCACTGTGCCTGGTGGCAGAATCCCCCGTCGAATTCGCGAGCCCTGGCCATCTGCACCGACAAGAAGGTCGAACGTCTCAGACGTTCCATCCGAGAAGTTGACGATGACTTTCTCATCATCTTGTTCGAAGCGCTCCACGGTCGTGTTGAACCGATACTCCACGTCCTTTTTGGTAGCATCGTATAAGATCCGGACGAGATCGCCACGCATGATCTCGAATTCGGAAGAGAAGGACTGCGCGCCTTGTCCAGATGTATTCGGTCGTATCATGGCCGTGACGTGGTCGTTGCCGTCGACGAGAGTGAATCCATCTTCGTGGACGCAGTGCTGGCGGATAGTGTCGAGCAGACCCATTCGTCGGACCACTTCGATGCCTTGCTCGCGGAGGTCGATCTGGGCTCCTTTGTCGCGCAGCGTGGGGAAGCGTTCAACTACCACGACTTGGTGGTTGGTTCGGGAGAGCCAGAAGGCGAGGGCCGGACCGGCGCAGCCGGCGCCGCTGATGAGGATCTTCATTTTGTTGGGTTCGGAGTAGCTGAGTTTGCTGATGGGCTCCTGGGATGTGTGGACGTCATACCACGGGCTGCATGTCGTGGGTTTAAATATAAAATAGGATGTGTTACGCGGAGGGGCCCGGACCTCCGTCAACGGGAATTTTGTGTAAATTAATATGACGGCATACCTTGCTGCATGCCTTTCGTCCGGATCAGGGGGGTGGATAGTGACAGTGCGATTGCGGACCCCGCATATGACACAGCTATGGAAGGTCGGTGTTGAATTGTGAGGCGGTTAGTTAGTTGGTTGGTCTGGCATGGGTGGGCTTATGCAGACGTCCGCGTGAGATATTATGATTCATGGTGTGTCTTGACTACCATGCCATTTTGCTGGTGATACGCTGGGTATCTCAAAGCGTCAAGCATGAGTTGTTCCGCCATGTGAATGTTCCGTATATGATGTACCACAAGCAGCACAGCTGTCTATCCGAATGCGGAGAGGTTGATGAGTTCGGCATGTTCGCGCTCCGTCCACGAGCGGTGATGACAAATCGTCCAGTGGGCTCATTCATAACTAATGAGTTGATTTCTTTCTTCCTGTCATAATGATTGTTATAGACAGGGTATGGAAGTATGATCTGGCCCCTTGACACGAGGGTTATGTCCGGTCGACAGTGTTCTTGCTCCGAAGTAGGGACGGGAAGTCCGCGGATGCCGTCCGACGCGCCCGTGGGACAATCTGCTCGGCAAACAACAAAGCCTATCCAAAAGAGCGGCCATGCCCTGAATCAACATATCACCTGGATGAGCATTGAGGCATAAGGTGAGCTGGGCATTCACCATATGTGATATATCCATACGCATCAATGCTTTGCTCCATCCAAGATATTCTCTCTCATGGCTTCCGATCGTTATCAAAGCTCCATATCCATCTGCCTAGAGGGGTTCCGCCCGTTTCAGGACGTCCAGGTTGTTCATTGAAACCGTGTAATGTATCATCTCTGCGAACTCGATACCCACCCACGATGCTTTTAGTAAGAATTGGCTATGGCCGGGTGCCCATTGTTCATGTTGCCATTCACATTCAATCGTCTCTCAGGCTCTTTAGCCTCCACCAATACATGCATGCAACTGGCAGTTTACCGGGGCATTTCCTATGGAGCGACCTATTCAAGGTTCATACTGGCCTTTATCGATAACGCTGATCCTACAGTAAAAACTAGTACTACTGCTCGGGTGACTCCATTCCCCACCACCCACCACTACGGCGGTTAATATTGCCTTCACATATGTTGAGTCTACACACAGCGAACCCCGCGGTATCCGGATTCCCGTCTCCGCAATCTAGCAACCCCTCACCCTCACCCTCACCCTCACCTCCATCCCCTCGTCCTCTCTCCCTCTCCTTCTGTCCATCTTCACCCCATCAACAAACAACCCCACTATCGCCCATATATATCAGAAAAAAACACACACAACATAATGTCCGCAACCCTCCACCCTGTCTTCCGCCCCGGTGCAACAGCCCTCATCACCGGCGCCGCATCAGGCATCGGCCTAGCCACAGCCCAATTCTGCCGCACCCACGGCATGAACCTCGTCCTCGTGGACAACAACAAAGAGGCCCTCGAAACAGCAGCATCCACTCTCCCCTCCACCTCATCAGCTCCAACAACAACAACCCACCACATCGACGTCTCCAACCCCTCAGACTGGCAATCCCTCTACTCATCCATCACCCCCACCCACCCTCAGGGAATCGACCTCCTCTTCCTCAACGCCGGCACCATGGTCCAGCCCACAGAAGGCAAAACCACCTGGACAGATCCGACGTACTTCCAACGAGCCCTCGCAGTGAACACACTAGGCTACACGAACGGCATAGCGACATTCATCGACGACATCACTCGCGGAAGCGATACAGTTCTGCGGGCTATCATCCTCACTGGCTCCAAGCAGGGGATAACCAACCCGCCTGGGGACCCGGCGTATAATGCCTCCAAAGCGGCTGTGAAGAGTATTGCCGAGCAGTTGAGTTATAGTCTGTATGAGAAACATCCCAATGTGAGTGTACATTTGCTGGTTCCGGGGTTTACGTATACGGGGATGATAAGGAGACATTTTAAAGAGAAGCCGAATGGAGCGTGGTTGCCGGAACAGGTGGTTGAGTATTTGAGCCAGGGGATGGCGGAGGGGAGGTTCTATATTATTTGTCCGGACAATGAGGTTACTGAGGATTTGGATAAGAAGAGGATGATGTGGTCGTGTGGGGATATGGTGAATAGGAGGCCGGCGTTGACGAGGTGGAGGGCCGATTGGAAGGAGAGGGCGGCAAAGGGGATTGAGGAGATGAAAGTTGGGGAGTAATTTGGTCTGATCAATAGTACTATGGATGATCATAGGCTTGGACACAAACCGAAGTCAACTATCAGATTGTCTGAGAAAGCCATGCTGTCTGTCTATAGGAACTCTTAACGACATCAACAGTAAATTCCAGCAATTGCCATGTAAAGTATCTACTACCCACCTTTAGTCTCTTCATCAAGGTTTAGTATATCTTCTTATCCGTAATCAGTTCCAACAACGCTCTCTGAAGCCGAGCAACCCCGTCGTCCGATATCTGATGGTGGAAGGCTAGCCGCCCGTTAGGGAATACCAACAATCCCTGCTGCTTGCAGTAGAACACAATATCATCTCCAGTAATGCCAGTCTTCTTCAAGTCGAGAACAATCATGTTGGTATCCACTGGCATGAGGAATTCGTACCCGATCCGATGCAGATAGTCGGCCACGCGCCGGGTGAGCGCATGCACTTTCGGAAGTAGGGGCAAAGTGTGCTCCATCGCAGCAATGGCGGCAGCGGCCATCATTCCCGTCTAGATTTATTAGTATAAATACTCTGGACCGTTGTGGATCGTATGGAATTTACCTGTCGAGTTGCGCCTCCAAACATCTTCCGGAACCACTTCGCGCGGTCGATGAACTCGCGAGTACCAACGATAACGCTGCCCATTGGAGCACCACAGCCCTTGGAAATGCAGATACTAGCACTGTCGAAGCAGTCAAGGTACTCCCTGGCTGTTACGCCCTCTGCAGTTATACCTTCCAGCAGCCGGGCTCCATCGAGATGCATGGCGATCGGGGCTCGGCCTGGCGGCACACGAACTCTGCGGACATAGTTCGAAATCTCTCTGGCGTCTTTCAGTGGGAGAATCGAGCCACTCAGGGTGTTTTCGAGGGAGACCACTCGCGTAGGTGGAAAGTGGACTGCAAGGGTTGTCAGCAAAAAATGGAACCTGTGGTAGAGCGAGACTTATTAAAGTTTCCTTCCTCGATAATCCGATCCTTCACATCATCCAGGGTCAAATGAACACCATTCTCCGGCTCAACGCTTGTCACTGTTGCCTGCGACAGAACAGGAATTGCTCCAGTCTCCCAAGTTTGAACGTGAGCACGGTAGTCAAGAAGAATTGTATGAGGCGGCTGGTGCAAATGAGTCCGCAGACAGATCTGATTGCCTTGGGTACCGGATACGACAAAGAGCGCTGCCTCTTTGCCTGTTAGTGCTTTGACCTTCTCCTGGAACTCATTCACTGTTGCATCCCCTTCCTCGTCGTAAATATCGTCCCCAAAGGTTGACGCATTCACAATTGCCTGAAATAGTAAGTATTAGCAATCGTCAAGATCGGCCAGGTCAGACATACCTCCATCACGGCCTCGGTAGGGACAGTCACGGTATCGGATCGAAAGTCTCTCCCGGCCCGCTCAATGGCTCGTTCAAGGGCCCCTGATACAGCTCCCTTAGCTGTCAAGCCCGTTATGCCATTTGTCTGCTTTGGCGAGAAATGTAGGTCCCGGCAGAGACTTGACTGTCGCTCAGGGCCCCTTAAGAGCGTCTTTCCGATCTTGAGCACAGCTCGGCCTTTCATCGATCCTGGGCAATGTTAATACCGGATCAGCATATTTCGCATTTTGAACATACCCTTCTCCATTTGGTCGTAAATATTTGAAAGTTCAGAAAAGTCAACCACTTCGTATTGAACTCTAATGCCAGCCTTAGTGATGATGGCGAGGGCTTCCTCGGTTTCATCTCTATTCCCCACGTAGGACCCCTTAATGTTAATCCGCTGGGTTATTATCTGGAAGAGGTCGGTACAGATTTTCCCGGGTGGGAGACCGACAGCGACGATTGTTCCGCCGGGGCGAATGTACTTGAAATTATATCAGCTTCTGTTCAGGGTTCTATAGAGACATTCAAATCACCTGTGTAGCCTGGTGGAAAGGCTCCTCCACGGATGAGACTATCATAGCAGCATGCGGTCCGCCGCCGGTGACGCGCTTCACCTCCTCCGCAACGTCCGGAGACTTGTAATCCACAAAGTAATCCGCTCCAAGATCGTATAGACACATTTGCCTCTTGGCGGCCCCGGATGATAAGGCAAGGACCTTATGTCCGCATGCCTTAGCATATTGGCAGGCCAGAGATCCCAGTCCTCCGCCTGCGCCGACGATGGCTGGTTGCATAATTCAGTGGTGAGAGATTTGTCGCTAAGGGTAATGTCATGCTTACCGATGATCTGTCCTGGCTGAACTTCACTTTCTTTGAGGGCTTTGTATAAGGTAATTCCGGCACAGAGAACCTAGACGTGTTATTTAGTCAGACCATCCTTTTGAAATGGACAGTAGTAAACAAACCGGGGCAGCGGCCTCTAGAGAAATGCCGGACGGAATGCGCACTGCATTGTCAGCCTTGCAAATACAATACTGTTGGAAGGTCCCATCGACCATATACCCCGACAGCTGAAGCTTAGGACAAAGTGGTTGTCTCCCAGTAGAGCAAAACTCGCACACGCCGCAAGTTCTGTTAATCCACTAGCATGCCATTACTCTTTGAATCTCGGTGAAGACATACGTAAAGATCATACCTGTATTCCGACGGTATCTCCAATGCGAAGGCCGTTCACCTGCGAGCCGACTGCAGCAACCAAGCCAACCCCTTCGTGTCCGCCTAGTCATGGTTAGAACCAATTTGCCGGATTGGGGAGGTTTTGATTGACATGCCGACGAGATTGCTTTTCGGGGTGGCGGGGAAGTCCCCTGGGATGATAAGCATCAACAGGTTGAATTGAGGTAATTAATCCCAACCTTTCCAGGCATGAAGGTCTGTGTGGCAGACTCCGGAGTATTCCATTTGAACCAGCACTTCATCGGGGCCTGGGTTTCCAACTGGAATCTGTTTGAGCTCGATAGCTGAGTTTCTTAGCGTGGCTCTGCTAGCTGATATGGATGTCCATACTATCACCCCGGGACCTGAAAACATGCGCCCACTGCGTGGCCGGGAGGGCTTGGTAGTTTGTCCAAAGAGACATGTTGCGATGCAGTGTTCAGTGACCTAAAATCGTTCTGGATAGGAATCTGTTGTAGTTCGATTTGTCTCTCATAAATCGAAATTTGAAGACGACGAGTCTGCTTTAAGTAATAATATTCTCACTAAATGGGAGGCTTGATAGCAACTTGGCCTTCTCTGGGTAGCTTACAGCTACAGTACTCTTTTGAGCTACCTACATTGGCGTAGATGTGTACCCTTGCAGCGGCTTGCTCATGTCAAAACAACTTCATTCGTCCGTAGTCTTTCTCCTTCTCTATATCCAGGATTTGCTGGTTTCGAGCACAATCCCTGTATTGCTAAACTGGTAACAGAGCCGACTTCGATTGCTTTCGTGTCTATTTAGGGCAGCAAGAGCCACTATGGTGTTGAGGCGTATGTTCTCTAAGGAAGTGGCCTATGAGGCGGTGGGCCATGGATCATTCACGCTGAAAGGGATGTCTATATCAGCACTTCTGTAGTCGCACAATGACGACAGAAGAATGTCTAGTATCGTAGCTTGACATCCGTTTCTAAGGTATGCACATACAGAGAACCAGCTAGAATGATAACATGCGTGCCATTCCTTGTTACTTCATCAAGCTCGTGGTTGGATCTGAACGATCTCCTTGACAAAGAAATTGCACGGGCATATTGCATCTTGCGTAAAACTGTGGGACATTGTGACTACTATTGCGTCACGCTGTTTGCGTTGCGACATATTTGCTCATTATTTGACTATGACTGGCTGACTTGCGTGAATATCAGCCTCATTCTAAGCTGATCTCAGCGCACTAGAAATGGATGGCTTATCGGGTCTCAATCGTGAACATCATGAAGATCTCTTGAGCATGCATTTACTGCCTCCACTTGAGATGTAAATGGGACACGTATAAAAATTTGTCCTACTTACGATCGAGCATATCCAAAAAAGAAGCTGATACTATCGGAAACCAGAAATGAGCAGGTGTACTCTGCATCTGCGGAAAGTATCGCTAGCTCCGCGTAGTATTCGTATCTATCCAAGTACGTTAATCCGAAACATCTTTGCAAGGAGGTTATGCGTTGTGCGACTAGAGATATCGTCATATAAAGGCCTTAGAAACGGCCTGCTGTACAACCGTCGACCCAAGGATGGATTTATCTCCCGCAGAACAGAAAAAAAAGTTACGATCCGATAAAGTTCACGGACCCATGATCAACGGAATTCCAGTGCATGAATTATAGCGACTGCATATCAGTACTGGAGCCATAATGAGATGATCGTGCATTTCCACACAGCTTCTTCATTCTCCACGCTCACCGTGGAGAACCCTTACTTCGAGTGTTGTAGTGTCCTACCATGAGGTGATGGTACAGCAGTGAGAGGATATGTGAGGGGTGAGTTGAGCTGGCTTGCGTTGGAGGCGGTCGCAATCATTGACAGATCGTTAACTGCAAGAAATTCGCCGCGAGAATAGCCACTAAACTTGATCGCTGTCAGCCACGGTTGTAGCTCTCTCGAAATTTCTCATCCGTAATCGAACGGTGAGAGGCCACTATACTTCGTGCATGGGCAATATAACCGCATTATATCATCTGGTCTGAGTCAAAGCTCAAACTACGTATTGGATAATTAACAGCTTTACATCATCATATTGAAGGGGATCCTGTCAAGGCGAGTAGATTTCTGAGCCCCGACTGTCCTAAGTAACCTGTAAAAAGAGCGATCAGGATTGGTAGGTGTGATGAACTGAAGCCTTACTGCTAAGTTGAGATGTAAGATCTACAACATGCATGCAGTTGCAGCGAGCCATCGCCACAGGCAAAGATTCTTCAGCTCTCGCCAGATTCTCGACCAAACAAACCTCGAATTCGGCGGCCCGCCCGCCGTAAGGGAGGCTGGAGATGCTCGCACCCCTTACAGGCATAACTTGCGAAGCCGACCCAGTACAGTGTCCGATCGACCAGTAGGAAGGAAATCGACGAATATTCTGCAGCCTGCCGTGTGAATGGCAGCCTTGGTAGCTTTCATTTCTGGACAGACATGTCCTCGAATGATTCGAGCGTTCTCTCCTTCCTTCCTTCCAGTTTCTTTCAATGAGACCGGATAGGAGCTTTTCCAGAAAAGGAAGCCAGTGCATTAGATGTGCACCTCTACTTTCGGTCAATGGTTGCCTTTCTACATTACTTTCACACTCCCATACAGTGAACTCTTGCAAAAGGTTCTCTCTCTTGCATCTCAATACTCGAGGCACGGTGTCTTGGTCGAACAGCTATTCATCCCTCGTCCATTCATTCAATTCTGTCCATATCCTGGCGTGTCGAACTTGTAATTACTGTCAATAATCTCAACCATTTCCCTTATCGCCCTGACTGACAAAGCCACATGATATGAGTGACCACTACCCCCCTAGTATTTCTAGCGAGTGATTGTTGATGAGCTTAGTTTATATGCATGTCCACAGTCAACTAATTACAGCATAACCTCGATTATCAATTTTAGTTTTTCACCCGCGCATTAGCCATGCAGTAGCGGCACCTGCCAACGTAAAGCCTGCTGCCCATCTCAGTAGCCCACGCTTAATATGGTACTGCGCAACCCGATCAATAGCCTTGGAGTCGTTGATCCGTGGGAATGGAATATCGGGTATATCCTTGCCTAATGCCTTGCAAAGAGGCTCCCATCCTTCCCGGACATCATAGAATACCAGTCGATCCTCGGGCACTATCTCCTTCAACCACTCAATGTGTCGATCATAAATGATATCAAAGGCACGCTCGTCGTTATACACCTTATCCCACTGCGCTTGCAGGAGCGAGATATAGTCAACAAAGTGCCGCATTCCAGGCAGTGGGAGAAGAACGGCGCGTAGAAACCACAGTGTAGCCAATCCCTGAATCTGGGTCATGCTCTTGACCCACGCATCAGCGTCGCGGACTGTACAGATGACTTTGCTTTCGGGGTAAATGTCCAGGAGCTCTGGCACGAACTGAGAGCCAGGCGCGTCGGTGATAGCAACGTAGCCATCTGTGCGGTCTTTCATCATGGCAAGAATACTCTGTTGATTCTTTCCAGATGCCCAATCGCGTAGAATAGTAATCCATGATTTGATCTCGGTTGATGGACCCATTGTTATCTGCGTACCCCCATGGTAGACAGGTCCGTCGAGGAGAATGTTTAAGGCGGCGCTGAAAGATGCCGTACCGGTGCGAGAGAGACCTGCACCTATGACCTGGAGCTTAGCCCCTGGTTGAGGGACCGAGGCCTTTTGTCCCATTGTGATGGTTGCAGTAACTCCTATTTATCCGTGTCGCTCGGGAGCAGGAACTCAGGCCAAAGGGCCAATTGATTGTAAGGAATTGAAGGGCACGTGATACTGAATGATGTTAAACTAGGATTTTATAAAGGATGGGGAAGTTATAGGCTAGTTATAGGAGCGTGAGGCTGTGTCAATCGGGGGGATCATTAGTACTGGACATGGGTGAGCATTAATCGTTGGCAATCCTGCGTTGGTCGCTAACTGTTAGTGCTTACACCGACCCTCTACTAATCTGTCCAACTAGGAGGAAAGAGGACTAGGATTCTATGTGACCTTTAAAGGGATTGGATGGGAAGTCTATAGCTAGTACCGGGGAAATACAACTCCCCTTTCTTTGGGGCCGTCACCCACTACGAACAAAGATTGTCCGTCGGTGGTGAAAAGGCGGGTGATGCTTTAGCCTTGTGAGAAATAAAGAATTGAAATAGAAGCACTCAGTCATCATATGTTATTAACTTCGTATGTACCTGGAATATTTTATCTATATTCTCAGTATATTTAGGTCAGTAATTATTACTACCCTCCTTTGCACAACTGAGCTATTGGTCTCTCCTCTCCTGTATAGTAGTCCCATTGTGTTGGAAGCTAGAAGAAGAGTATATACTAACTACTCTGAGTAGTACTTCCACTCCAGGTGAAAATATATTTGGTTGCAGGTCTGTGACATGGTACCCCAATGGTCTCTATTCCGCCAAAATACGATCCGAAAATCGAATCATCTTCTTGCGAGTTGATAAAGTGATATACATTTTCAACAATGATTACATACGAGATGCTGTCTATTGAAGAGGGATAGCATGGTACAATGCTTGTGTGCTGCCTACCATCATCAGGCAGAAGTCCGGATGTAACCGTTTGAGCGGGCTTGGCGTCACACGGGTTGCCAATCAGAGCAGGGTTACAATAGAGACGGGGATGAAGTGACTCAGATGATAAGTACACATCAACAGTGATACGGCTGGAATAAAAAGCCTCTACAATGCACATCAGTCTTCAAGCTACTTATTACAATTGATGCTATAACTCAATCCTCAACAGGCATTGAACGTATCAGCCAGACAATTTCTTATTTGGGGAACCGATAAGATAGCCGATAAGATAAGAAGTCACATGATCACAGGCCCACCGCTTCGGGAGGGTCAATCGAACTTTTTTTCGCCTCTTCTTTGACTCTTTGCTTGCGGCATCGCTCACGTCCCCTTGTCACCACTCCGTCTCCGTCGGTCGCTGCAAAGATGAAATACGTTCTGGTTTCCGGAGGTAAGCTCAATTGCTCGACTCGGCTGGAAACCAGCGGAGTTGCCAGGGTCCCTCGCGTCGTGCCCTCTTGCTAACGAACCGCCCGTCCCTCAGGTGTCATCTCCGGCGTGGGCAAGGGCATCATTGCCTCCAGCACCGGTCTCCTGCTCAAGACTACCGGTCTGGCCGTCACCAGTATCAAGATCGACCCTTACATCAACATCGATGCGGGCACAATGGCACCTACTGAGTCAGTATCTGCGTGGCTTTCGGCTTCTCGGTGACACACACCTTATTGACATCACCCCCACTATGCTAGGCACGGTGAGGTCTATGTCACAGACGACGGCGGTGAAATGGACCTCGACCTTGGCAACTACGAGCGCTACCTCCTCTCCTCTCTCTCCCGCGATCACAACATCACCACCGGAAAGGTCTACCAGCACGTCATCAACCGCGAGCGCATTGGCCATTATCTCGGTAAGACCGTGCAGGTCGTGCCCCACGTCACCGATGCCATTCAGGAGTGGATTCAGCGGGTAGCCAAGATCCCCGTCGACGAGTCCAAGGCCGAGCCGGATGTCTGCATCATCGAGCTGGGTGGTACCGTCGGTGACATTGAGAGTGCCCCGTTCATCCACGCTCTGAGCCAGCTCCAGAGAAAGGCGGGCAAGGGCAACTTTGTCCAGATCCACGTCTCCTACGTGCCGGTCATTCCGCCGGGACCTGGTGGTGAGCAGAAGACGAAACCCACGCAGAGGGCAATCAGCGATGTGCGGAGTGCTGGTCTCAACCCCGATCTGATTGCTTGTCGCTGCGAGCAACCTCTGGAAGATAGCACCATCCAGAAGATCGCCAACATGTGCTCCGTCGAGCAGCACCAGGTCATTGCCGTTCACAACGTCACGACGACATACCACGTGCCTATGCTCCTCGAGAAGCAGAAGCTTATCAGCACCATCACCGATATGCTCGACTTGAAGTCGATCCCGCAGACCCCCGAGCGCAAGGAGCAGGGCAGCCGCATGTGGAACGACTGGTGCGATCTTGCTCGTGGCCAGGACTTCCTCCACGATTCCGTCTCCATTGCCCTGGTTGGCAAATACACTTCCCTTCACGATGCCTACATCAGTGTCTCCAAGGCTCTGGAGCACGCGGCCATGTACTGCCACAAGAAGGTTCAGATCATCTGGGTCGACTCGTCGCATCTGGAAGATGACACCGCCTCCCCGGCCGATTATCACAAGGCCTGGCACGCGGTCTGCACGGCCGACGGTGTCCTGGTGCCCGGTGGTTTCGGTAACAGAGGTACTGAGGGTATGATGAAGGCCATCACATGGGCGCGTACCAACAACAAGCCGTTCCTGGGTGTCTGCCTGGGTATGCAGCTGGCCGTGCTGGAGTTCTGCCGCAACGTCGCCAACATCAAGGATGTCGGCAGTGAGGAGCTGCACCCCAAGGCCGAGAACCACGCCATTGTCTACATGCCCGAGGTCGACAAGGGCAAGCTCGGTGGAACCATGCGTCTTGGCAGACACCCCTGCGTCTTCCAGGAGAACACCGAGTGGTCTCGTCTGCGGAGTCTGTACGGACCCTCCGTCTCGCAGATTGAGGAGCGCCACCGCCATCGTTACGAGGTCAACCCTGAGATGATCGAGCAGATCGAGAAGGCCGGTCTCTCCTTCATTGGAAAGGACATCAAGGGTGAGCGTATGGAGATCGTCGAGATCAAGGACCACCCCTGGTTCGTGGGTGTGCAGTTCCACCCCGAGTACCTCAGTCGGGTCTTGAGCCCCAGCCGGGCTTTCCTCGGTTTCTTTGCCGCCGCTGCAGGATGCCTTGATGAGGTCTCCAAGGCAGTTGTGCAGGGTCAGCGGAGCATTGGCCGCAAGCAATAGATCTCTTTGGCGGAGGAGCGGTATTTTGCTGGAGTTCTGGTGAGAAGGATACTGTTGGCGGTACACACCGTCTGGGTTTTTCTGTTGTCTGTCTGGGGCAAGTCTTGAGCGCTGCCTCATGCCGTGAGGCAGCCCCAAATCTATACGACTTCGGGCCGTATGGCAGGATCGCGTGAGGATACCCTTGACAAAGACCTGAAGCGTCACCCAGGTCGATCAGGTCATCACGACGCTGCACAAAAAGGAATCGAAAATAATATGTCGGAAGTTGTCTGTTTCCTCAGGTTATGCTTTTGTTGAGATTGCAGGACTTTTTGACTACGTGATATCACTATAATATAAAAGTATTGAGACGGCCGGTCCATTGATAGATTAAATCAATACAATAGATTAGATTTTGGTGCCAGGGGCTTCTTCCTCGTCTACATTTTAGCAGTAATGCTCTCGAATAGTCTCACATACTACCAAGACACACCGTAGATAAGCTCATTACGGAGCCTAGTCAGTCGTCCAGACAACGTGTTTATTCTACATGCAAACTTCAATCTCAATCCTTTACACCCACTCCGTTCATACATAAAATACCCTTCTCTAACCACATGCATACATCCCTCACCTTTGCCCGTTGAATGATCTACTACCTCGGTACCGATCATTCTAAACTCAATACAACGATAGCAAGCAATGCGACACCCCCTAGCCGACCGTTATTAAAGTTCCGCCTCGCCCTGCATACCGTTGCAGATCGGACAGAAATCAGACCCTTGGGACGATCCTTCGGCTACTACCTCGGAAAGAGTATCGCCCTTGCCGATCAATATCCTATAACATACAACATGTCCGACCATTGTCACGAATATGATATCTATTTATCAACACCTTGATGAAAAGTGAACCATAATAGATGAAAGAAATTAAATGAATAAAATGGTATATAGCCCAACTCCACCCAACCCAACATTCCAAAAAAAGAGATTAAAGAGAGAGAAAGAAAGATTCTAAGTAGAAGTCGTAACCAACACCTCCCTCCTAACACTAATAATCCCCGGAAACTTGACTCCGATTCCATTATCACCACCACCACCACCATTGTTAATGGTGTTCCCATTCTTGGGTAGAATCGGATATTCATCCACCCTCCCCCCACTCTCGCCCCCATCAGCAACATCCATATCCACCCTCTCCCCCGTCTCAACACTATACATCGTCGTCCCATACAACCGCTCATCATGGCCCTGTATCGCCATGCGATCATCGAACTCGGACGGCGGCGTTCTCGTGGTACTAGTATCGAGGGATCGTAGCGGTACGGAGAAGTTTCGCTGCTTGTTGCGCGTGCTCGGCCATGGGGAGGATGTGTATTCGTTGCCTCGTGTCGAGGGGTTGAATTTGCGGAGGATGGGGCGGAGGGTCGCCATGCTGCCGGCGAAGATGCCTAGGCCGGTTTCGATGTTGGACCAGATTGCTATGGGGGTTGTTGCCCCTGGTCACTTCATTAGTTTTTGTTTCTGGGGATGTGTGAGGGTGGAAAGGGGGAAGATGGGGTTGGACGTACAGAGGTAGTCAACGTTGTAGAGGGTGTGGATGTAAGGGATGCGGATGAAGACGGCGATGGAGGCACTATGCGATACCAGGTTAGTATATGTGTGTGCGTGTGGGGAGGGGATATTAGTAGTACAGAGGGTATGGGGGGTGTACATACACGCAAGCCATACCCAGCAATCCAGCAACGGCAACCTTCACGTCACGCTTCATATTAAGTTTCCGGACCAGCAAGATCGGAAGAATAGCGATGGTCAGATCGAACAGCGCGGAGGAGGCGCTAAAGGCGTATAGTCCGCCCACGATGATGTGCATGTTCATGCAAGATCCGGGGCCGGTGTATGCGGTGGACAGTTGATTCCAGAAGTACGACAGGGGGTGGCATTGCACGAGGACCATGATGAAGAAGATGAGTCCGGCGATGACGACGATGCCTCCGACGAGGCAGACCACTATTTGGTGCGTTCGGTCGATGGTTACGCGCAGGATGAAGATACTGACGGAGATTTTGCAGAGGATGGAGGCGAGAGCGTAGCCGATGTCGCAGTAGAACCAGTACTATTGAATATATTGATTAGTGGTGAGGGTGAGGGCGAGGGGTTGGGGTTGTTTACCTCCATTGCGGTTGTTCGCTGGTGGTTGGTTAACTCGGTCAGGTGTTTCCCTGTGCCGTAGAGACTGCCTCCGATCATGCAGCCTGAGAACATGGCGTAGAAGAGCTATTGACGATGTTAGTGTATGCCATTGGACTTTGGGAAGAGAGGGTAACTCACCAACGCCAGAACCATAACCCCATCATCCCACCCAAACGCCTTGACAACTGCCAGACGGACATAGCATCGCAGAATCGTCGTCACGGACGCCAATGCGAAGAAGACAGCAGCGACTGCTCGTACTTCTAATGACCGATCCACGGCCATGATGGTGATGCGAGCTGGCCAGCAGGCAAGAGGTGACAACAGCAGCAGCGACAGAGCAACATTTGCGGGAATCCGATGAGATGGAAAAAGATATTATGAAACAAGAGTTGCCATAAGCGAACGTGACGTACCAGACTGGCGAAAGAATGGGTTAGACCAACTGCCGACGATTTCAGCGACGCCGCTCATGGGCGTTAGGGTTCCTGGGGTACCCATGGATGAGACGCCGATGGAAACAAGCCTGACTGGAGGAGACGGCAGAGCACGGAAAGTTTGTGGTCCACTTGCGCAGGATAAGAACCATAAAACCCAGCGATGCTGTGAGGGGAAGGGGGCGAACTGTGCTTGTGCACCCGTTGGGCAGTAGATGAGATCTTAGATTAGCGATCTCGAGTCCACCGTCTCAGAGAGAAATCCGAGCATCTCGTGCGCCAGTGGGTCCTCGCGACGGGGCGCAGGCCGAATTTTTCAGCTGAACCACGTGGGATCCGCCGTCGAATGTTGCCAGTAGCCACTCACTGGTCGCTACCGTCGAATGCGGGTCATTCTAGTGTTCGACCTTGTCTCTGAATCGGCTTTGGTTCGGACATGTTGCTGTTTGTTGTCTGTTTCCCTTTGGAAGATGGTCCACTTGCCCGAGCGCTCAGGCCTTGGGAGGCGAGGACCTCACTGGACTGGGAAAGAAGACGCTACAGCCAGCCACATGGTTAGTCTTGCTAGTGGTGCGCTGGGGATGCCACGCTGCACGGTTAATTAGAATATCAAGGACGGTGGCTGAGATCTAGACCAGGGTCTCAGGGTATTACCAGGAGGGACTACTAAGATTGCTTGCATCGCTTAGCCGTCGTGTCATCTCTTGATGCCGCCAAAATTAATCAGTACGAGTAAACCACAAATCCTCTTCCGAAGTCTACGTAAGCTTCTTGATGGATTGGATAGCTTTCACATAACATGGCAACATACATTCATTGTCTTTACTTTCTGCCTCAGGCATTAATAATCCCGCTCGAGTCATGAACTCCGGATGCGGCAGTGAGTGGAGCAGCACAGATGAAGCAATGAAAATGAAACGAACCATGCCAGGCACACATCGCTACGCGGCAATACGAGATTAATAAATATTTGGAGACAAGCAAAACTCAATTATTCAAGTATTGCTTGTCCGATGGGTTGGTGGCTCCACTGATGAAAGATTTTATCGTGCTGTCATGTGAGTCCCAGCTTGATTAGATCCGGGTTTGCGGACCCTTCTCTATTAAGCATGGGCATGCAACCGCTTGCTTCTAAATAGAAGCTTCGGGGCATGGGGAAAGAGAACCAGGTGCTGGTGCTTACTCGCACATATTGAACAACGCGACTGTAGGGTCATGATCCGACAACTCATCATCCGTCGACACCCACGAGTTGACATGAATATGCTCCATCTTGGCCCCGGACGTCAACGCAGAACTCACATACATGTGGTCCAGCGATTCGCAGTTCTGGTTATACAGATAGGTATACCTCTCGGTCGCAGGGATGCCAGTGACCTCCTCAAGGTCCTGCAGCTTGGACTCGGAGACAAACACCTCTAGAGGCTCGACAAATGCATACTCGTTAAAGTCACCGGCAGTAATAATCTTCGCGTCGGAATTGACATCCAGAATGGAGGTCACAAATTTCTATACCAACCACGGTCAGACGCTGTTCGGTTCCAGACACAACCAAGATGAGAGAGAACGTTAGCGCGGAAAAAAAAAGCACTCACAGCAACCACTTTAGCCTGGTCCACGCGGTTCTCCACCCATCCGTTTACGGGGGGTCGCGGATCGCCCTCCAGCGAAGTGCTGTCATATTTGGAGGTGAAGTGCACATTGATCGTGTAGAATGTGTTCTTGCCGTCCAGGGTCTCCCATTGGGCTACCAATGGCTTGCGACTGTCATCCCAGGCCTCGTTAGAGGGATCAATCAGACCTGGGTTGTAGCTTAGACTGCCGTCGGAGAGGACGGAGGTGGAGTCGGTGCTGGACCCGGGATTGTAGTTTCGCAGTCGGACCACCGATGGGTCGAAGAGGTAGGCTGGCCGGATATTACCGCCGCGTTCTCCGCCGTTCGTGTCATTCTCCGGATCGATGTCAGTGTAGTTGTACGCGACTCCGCCGTGCTCTTTGACTGCGCTAGCGAGCTTGGACAGTGTCTCGTTGGCGGAGACGACTGGTGTCAAGGATGTCAGTGACATGATCTTATCATGATGTTGTGGGGAGAGGGTTGAAATTACCACCGTCGTCGGTTGCTCCGCTGTTGTCCTGGATCTCCTGCAAGAACAAGACGGTCGGACTGTTCAAATACTTGGCGATGTGCTCCCCAATCCCGCTCATGGTGCTCGACTGTGGAGAGAAATTGTCAACATTGTAATCTCCGATGGTGATTGAACTACAGGTTCCATCTGCCTGGAGGGTGGTTGCTGTCGCCTCCGTGGTGTTGGACCCGGTCTTCGTCAAGGCCGTCAGAGGCAGCAGCGTGTAGAATCCATATGCCTGCGTGATGATTCCAGTTATATCCTCGAGGGTATCACCCAGTTTAGTATCAGTTGGGTTCTTAGTCCCATCCAACGGAGAGCCGATGACGATGGATTCCGGGTTTGAGTCTGCAGTCGAATGCCAAGTCAGTAATTGGCGCAATAATAGAGTCAGGCAATCAAACCATTTGCACGCATGGTCAGCCCGCCCCGGTCATTCTTCCCCGTCACTGGCCAGTCACCAATCACCCAGGTATCCCCGTATGAATTGGCCTTGCTGATGGCTGTGAGTCCAGTCAGGGTCGCCAGTTCACCACTCAGGCTCTGCCAGAAGTCCATGCCATACTCGGTCGGCTCCAAAACCGGATTCGCAGTGGAGAGCCGACTGGAGTTGCCGGGCAGGCTGAAGACATCGCCATTGTCCAGGGAAGAGTACTGCTCGGTAGGAGGATCCAGATTATCCTTTCCAATGACGACGGGGGTTACAGTATTATCGCTGGACAGCACCTGGATGTCGGATGGCGACTCAATCTCAGTACTATAGACGTAGCTGGACGAGGATCGGTATTCTGTGACCTTGCCACTTAGAGTGACAATATCGCCGACCGTGACTTGAGACACTCCACTGCTTCCATATACGTAGATGGAGTTGGAGGTGCGGGAGTCTGAATCGGCATCCGTGGCGCGAAGATAGAACCCGCTGGAACCTTTGGCTGTGACGAGGCCCTTGAGACCGGAGACTCGTTTGCCTTGGTAGGAAGAAACGTATCGGTCGCCATTGATCTCGGGGATGGTCACGGCCAGCGCGCTGCGGAAGAGCAGTGCTGCCGCACACAGCGAGGGGATCATGCGCATGGTGGGCGAGCGATCTGCAGCTGCTCAGCGAACTGTTGTTCGAAAGCGAATACCGGCATTGTGAAGAGAATTCTGGGTTCTTATAACTTGCGAAATCGCGACTGTTTCCATATGAGTGAATCCATTCCCTTATCAAATGCTTTTCTCCATCACGTCACAGGGTATAGCAGTGGTGGTGTAGATACTCAACCAGACAACTGTATCAAGGGCGAGAGTGGGAAATTACGGTTAATTAAGATAAGGATGCTGGCAGCCACTGACAGTCCATGAAAACACCCACGTTTGAGACATCCGATGCAGCCAAGACACCCCCGATGTCACGTCGGTCGGAGCCGACGGCCCTGAAGAATCGGGAGATCATATTGGACCTGATAATACGGGAGTCGTTGGAAGAATAGTAGTTGGAGAGCCGACGGAAGTATTTTCTTGCTGATTACTGCAGGGCCAAAGCCTGCCAATGATGCTCGCTATTCACAGCCACATGACATTCGTTACCCAAATCTATGTTTCCTGCAACTGGCACACGGTGGAGCCTGCCGACCGAAAGGTGGCCTGGCGTCCCTCTAACTCCTTCTTCGCCTTCCCCTTGCCCTGTACCTGATCCCATCACGCGTAAAATCCAAGCCCATTCATTCGTCAAGAGACATCTTAGTTACCCTTGCTCACATCCTGCTTCAATGAAACGATGCGGTTCAGCACAACCCGGTCATCCGTGGAATCCGAATCGACCGCCTGGCATACCGGTTAGCAATGGAGCACAAAGCGGATAAAGTAAAGGGGGGGGACTATAGTCTGGGATACTCACGAAGTAAGCAACACGCATCGCCTGGAACCGGACACTTTCCGGTCCACTCTTGGTCTTCTCTCCCGCAGCCTCGGGCCAAGGAGCCCGGCGCCGCACCTCATCAAAGCCGGCCTCAATCAGGGCGTCGTTGTAGATGGTCTCGCTGTTGGGGTTGATATCCTTCAGGAAGCCGCCCTCCACAGAGTTCGGGTCATCCGACTTGAAAAGCTGGTCGTGGATGCGAACCTCCACCTTGCGCGAGTTGTCCGGGACCCAGTGGATGTACGTCTTCGGCTTTGTGCCGGACCGGTCCAGAACGGCCCGAATCTCCGTGATCTTCCCTTCAGCATCCTTCGAGAAAGTGGTGGCCTTGAGGGGATAGGGGGCCCTCCACAGACCGACGCTCTTGCCGGGGGCTAGGCGGAAGTATCCCTTGCTATCCTCCTCGCGGAAGTCGGAGCGGTCAATGTAGATGGTCTTGGTGAAGGGAAGCTGGTGGGAGCCCATCTTAGGGTCCTTGGGGGAGAATGGCACATCCAGATCAAGTTCCTTGGCCTCGAGGGATTCGAAATCCTCAATAACAACGGGAACAGGATCAAGGACCAGCATCAAACGCGGGACACGGGTTTCAAGGTAGGTACGAACAGACTGTTCAAAACGAGCGATCTGGATGACGGACTTGGAGGTTGTCACACCCAATTCGTTGATGAAGGAAAGGATGGCCTCCGGAGGAACACCACGGCGACGCAGCGCGATCAGGGTGTACAGACGGGGGTCGTCCCAACCACGCACGTAACCTTCGTCAACAAGCTTCTTGAGCTTTCTCTTGCTCATGACCGTTCCGCTGACTTCCATGCGGCTGTATTCACGCTGCATGGGCTCGTAGACTTCCAACGTCTTGTTGAGCCATTCGTAGCTCTCACGCGACAGCACGAATTCAGTGGTGCAAAGACTGTGGGTAATGCCCTCGAAACTATCGCACAGGCAGTGGGCAAAGTCATAGGTAGGGTAAATCTTCCACTGGTCCTTGGTACGATGGTGCTCCGCATTGAGGACACGGTAGGCGGCCAGATCCGAATACATTTGCGGGTTGGGGTTGTCAAGCTCCTGCTTCATGCGCAGGAACGCCGTCTGAGGTGCGTACTTTCCGTCGCGCATATCACGGAATTTTTGCAAGTTGGTTTCAACGTCCTGCTCGGCGTCCTTGCAGCGGAATCTGGGGCCATTCTTCTCACCACCACGCTGCAGCTTGATCTCGGCATCGCTGCAGTGGCAGACATAAGCGCGACCAATCTTGATCATCTTCTCGGCGAGCTCGTATAGCTTATCAAAGTGGTCACTCGAGTGGGTAACGGCATGCGGCTTGAATCCTATTCAAGGTCGGTCAGTCATGTCCGCATGATCATGCTCACATCTGCCTTACCAAGCCACTCAATAATATCCTCAATCGCGGTGAAGTATTTCTCTTCCTCTGCCTCGGGGTTGGTGTCGTCGAATCTCAGGATCGTCTTTCCGCCATGGTGTCTCGCGAAGCCGAAGTTGATCGCAATGGCCTTGGAGTGACCCAGGTGCAGGTATCCATTAGGCTCGGGGGGGAATCGGGTCAAGGGAGTAACGGGTCGCTCGTTGTAGACATTGGCAAGGAAACCCTGCTTGAACATCGCGTCCGGGTCGATGGGGGCCTCCTCCGGCTTGGGTGTCGCGGGGCCCTGGGGCTTAGGGGTCGCAGCAGGCTTAGGAGCACTGGCTTTGGCAGCCTTCTTGGCACGCTTCTGCATGCGCTTCTTCAATTCGCCCTTGGAGACCATCTCACCGGTCTCCTCGTCGAGATGAAGCTTGGCAGTGGCTTCCGCGATTGCGTCCGCCATCTTGACGTTTTGTCGGAGGGGTTTTCCTGAGCGCAACAGGTGGAAGTGGATAGGTAGGTAGAACCTCGAGAAGAGGAGATCCGCAGCAATTCCCAGAAGCAGCTACCTAGAGCTAAATAGCCGGAGAAAGCGAGCGGCTTGAGTCGCGTGAGTCAAGGATGGGCAGCACCAGAATGTTTGGTTATCAGCGATCGGCGGGGGAGGGGAATCTTTTGTGGCGGCTTATGTCATCGTCGGGCACCGTCACGTGAGACCACGATGACTGCCTTTTTCTTCAGGCTCACAGTCACTCTCGTCCCATTCAAATGATCCATCCACTACTAACCGTGTAATCAATTAAACTCGATAGTTCTTCAATAAAGGTTATTTAACTCGCGGTGGTTACTATAAGTAGTAACTAGTAGTACTTCGTCTGACTCCATGGTGACCTGAGGATATATATACTACGAGGCTAGACTCTTCGGGTTACCACAAGGTTGTGGATGCAACTACTAGCAGTTCATGATGTTGGAATCATGGTAGTATCTCAAGCGAGGATTTCAATCTGGCTGCGACTGAAAGGCTCTTCATTTGCTGGAATGCTTAGCCTGTAGATCCCTACTGCTAAGTTGCGCATCCATGCACAGCGACAACAGCCGAGTCGCCCAAGGTTTCTATATTCATCGTATCGTTGTATCTTGAAGCATTGACTAGACTCGACAATGCTGTCTACTATCAACGATAATTTACATTGGTATCCTCGGCATTTCCTCCTTCGTCCAGTACCGTCTCATATTTTCGGCTCCCAAGGTCTTGACCTCCTGGTCCAAATGGGTCCAAAGAACCTCTCTCCAGCCCTCCATCTTTCCCCGTAAAACGTCAAATTCTAACTCTTGCTTTCCCTCCTGACATTCTTCTAAATACTTCTGAAACTCTTCCAGCCCCTTATGAATTTGCCGATGCTGCCGCAAGAGTTCGGCAGCTTGGCGACCCCGCCCCGTGCGAAACTCGGGCATCTTTTTCGCCAAATGAGGGAAGACATGATTTTCTTCAATACTATGATGAATCTCAAGATGTTGAGCAAAGCGCAGCCCCTCGGTGATGAATTGCCGCATTTTCATATATGGGGGTAGTCGGCCGCTGGTTGAGGCCTCCCAGAGCATGTTCCATGATAGGCGGAGGAGTCCATGCTGGATGGGGAAATGATTAGTCCTGAATGAAAGAGTTGCTTGTCTGAGATTGACATAATAACTTACATAGTACTCCATTTGCTCTGCTGCTCGATTGTATATCTTGAAGTCCTTGGCCGAAAGGGGCGGCTCATTTTGCTGCTCGGCGTGGCCATGATGGGAGTTGCCGCTGGGTTCGTTAAGAATCGGCCTGGAAGATAAGCTCGCAGCCTCAAGGACGAGCGGGACTGTGTTGGTAACAAAGATATGCGGTGACTGGCGTAAAACATGAATAGGGAGATCAATGTGCAGTGTAGGAATACTACGCATGCGAATACACTTTCACATAAGCCATAATGATCGGGTAACCACTTCTCGAAAGGATATCGCAGATTTTTCTTACCATAAACTGTCTTCATGCCCGTCTCACTGATATTGGTCGTCACTGAGCGTCTGGACAAGCAATGGCATAGTCCCTTTGGTCCTAATCTACCAGTCTGCGGGGAAGAAATTGTAATCTGTAAATCCGGGAGGCAATGATTTGACACTCATTTGTAAGCCATGACCAATCAGCACCCAGTAATCACCCCACCCATAAATTATAGGAATATCAACATATATAATAAGATAGTAGTCTTCACTTGTAATTGCTAGTAATTCTTTTCATTGCATGCTGTTACATGCAGTCAATACTTATAGCTTTGTGGATTTATAGGTGCACTGAATAGTACGAGGACAAAATGAAAGAGGTCGCGCTTCGCCTCCCCTTTCCCCCCACCCCTTCTTATAAAGACATCTGTATTGTTATTTTAAAGCAGAGAGTAGTGTAAAAAGGGATGATGGCAACAATATGTAGAAATTATTATTTGTGAATTCTTCACCACAATCAGAATGAAAAGAGCTCATAGGGTAAAACCAATAGAAGAGCAGCGATAGCTAATCCATGCACGAGAAGTATGGATCTCCAGGCCAGATAATCAACCCTTCCGTCACAGAAGTATATTCAGTTCAGTTATGAGGAACAGCATCGCAAGCCACCACTACTAGTTCTACTAGCCTCCAGCACGGTGCCCTGGAAGGTTGCATAAGGCTGGTCCTCAGGATTACCATTACATGGTGCCGAAAGTATGCTCCAGATTGACGCTACGCCCTACAGAGATAAACATCTGGTGATAATAACCCACAACGATCATAATCCTGAAACCGGAATTGCAGCAGGGACTGCATGTTAGTCGCGGCTACTGATGTAATTCGCATCCATGGAATATTATAATAGCCGCCAATGACCAACAATAGCCGGTATTCGCGCCTGGAAAATCCAAATGTTGGCGTTCGGAAGGAGCTTGATCCTGGCGTCTGATAGTGTGGGGGTCATGAAGGTCGTGCGCAAGAACCAGATCCTAGCTTTCTTCTAATTGACCAGGAAGGAAATGCGCTACGGTTCTCTGACCCTGAAGGAACGGATAGATCAATGTATGATGATCACATAGACCAGGCTAATGTAGCATTGCTAGCAAGCGAGCTGACCATGAATTGTGTCTGTTACTGCAGTGAAAGGATCTCATTTGCAAAATCAGAAGTTGTCTAGGTATTACGCATAGTACTATAAACGCCTTAGCCATGGCAAGGTGGTACCCGGGGAGGACATGAGACGGAATATTGTTCTGCACCCAAGATAAAGAAGAAAGTATTGATGTGTCAGAAGGTCTGGGAATTTGCATAAAGAAGCTAGACTGCTTTGTTCAGGTGGCTGGGAAAGAGTCAAGTTGCTGTATTCACTAACGAGTAGATCGTTACTTAATCGTTCTGAAACACTAGTACTATACATCCAGCTGACGTATGATCTTTGACTGTTTCACGGAGGGGATGTTTCAATGGGCTTTCGATTCATTTATTGTGAGATCAGTTAGGAAATTCCAGCGCTCAGATCAATTCAGCAACAACAGCTATGGGAGATTCAGTGAGTGTTGGGAGAGTGTTTTTTTCTCGTCCTTTAAAACGAGCCTCACATTCCTGGAAGAACCCGGAAGACGAACATTGCTACAAGAACTTGCCCTAAGTTGCCGCAACTCACCCACTTAATCAAAGCCTGTGTAGTTTCTTTTCTCACTACGGAGTACAGCTGGAATTATGTCACGAATATGCTGCCCACTGTCGAGTTGCAGCAGGCGGATGGCCGAAAATGGCCATAGCTTGCGAGCGACGATCCGAAGCTGACCCACACACCAGAATTCCCTCTCCAAGGTCACACAAATGATGAATACGAGGGGACTCTTACCTTGGAGAACAGGAGATTGAATTTGATAACTTTAACTTAGAACTCTTAGTCTGTGCGCGACAAAGGGACTGATTCAATCTATTAAGCTCATTTCCACAGACTCCTTCAGCCCTCAAGATCATACATTCTGAGGCCCCAATTGGTCAGTCCGAGATGGCTAATGTCTATCATTTTCCTGGTGTTGGATCAGATCTCGCCCTGGTTTTGCCCTTGACTTGGATCGGACCTATCTGGCAGTTCTTGCAGGGCCAGATAGGAGGACATGGTCTCTTGGCGTTCCCGAGGCTGCATCACACAATCAGAGCTTACGTGCCTCCGTATCCCAAGAATTTCCACGTCAATTGATTCTCAAAATAAACTACCAATAAAGTAGCATGAGGGCCAACGGATGTACTGCGACGATCCAGGTTTGAGAAAAGCGTCCTATACGGTCGTGGCTAACAATCCATCGTCCTTTTCGTGAGATGAATGCCATTATTATTCGTGCCGATGACCATTGTTGCTAGTTGGAACTTCTCGCCCGAGATGATCGGCATCGTGAGCTTAATACTACAGTCAGGCTGCCTCTGAAGCCTAAGAATATTTGTTAATGTGTGACTATGACTTCCCGTGCCTGAGTGGATACTGGACCCATCGAACCAGTGAAAAGGCCTGCCCACGCAGCAATCAATCACAGTGCCAGTCAGAGGCTACAGCCAAGGGTCTATCACGCTCTGCCTTGCCAAAGAAGGAAAGGCTGAAGTCGATCGCCATTTCATTGGAAGAGAGAGATGCCAGGACCACACCATTAGATTTTTATCTGATCCCACACTACGTTATCTGATCCGCGCTGCCATCGCCCATTCGTGCCAGACAGGATGCATGATGGCCGGATTCACCCAGAGATCTACATCGGGAAGCGCGCCTCGTGCAAAATGGATACACTACTCCTGCATGCGATGGTCCGATGCTCGCAGCCTTTCCGCTCCGTCGGAATGTTGAAAACCGCACTCATGGCCGCCTCGTCGCCGCACATTACCTGATCACGGAGGACTACGTATTGAGGTCTATCAAACTACTCACACTCCTTACCCCTCTTTGCCTTAGTGGTCATCAGTCATGGGTCCTACCACCGTCACTCGAGGCCGCAATGATGTGCAGCTAGCACAAAATGTGGCTGGAGCGGATTTCAAAGACTTCAGCTATGAGGTGCGAGTCACGTCTCCAAGTAACGGAGAGGAGAATCCTGATGAGATCACTCTTGAGACCTGGCATGCAGACGAGGCTCAAAAATCGGCCAACGTGGTGACCCAGGATGCACCTCGAGGTATGCAGCAGGCAGAGGCTGCAGCGTTGGCTTGGAGTAAGAAGATTGCCTATCTCACTTATGCCCTGTGAGTCACCCACCCCGACAATGATATCCCATATCTGACATGACCCGTTCGTGACCACAGGATCTGGCTCTCCTTCTTTATGCTAGCCCTACAATCCTCAATTAGCAGCAATGTGATCCAGAATGCCTACGCCACCTTTGAAGCTGCCCCTCAAGTGAGCACTGCAAGCATTGCAGCCAGCGTGATCAGCGGTGTCGTCAGACTCCCAGCTGCGAAGTTGTTGAACGTCTGGGGAAGAACAGAAGGATTTCTAGTCTTCGTCGGTGTTTACCTCCTTGGACTTGTCATTCTTGCAGCGTGTAACAACCCCAGCTCCTATGCAGCCGGTTACGTGCTCTACTGGGTCGGCTATGATGCGGTTTATCTCATTCTCGATGTATTCATGGCCGATACTGCCGGGATGCGTAACCGAGCCTTTGCCTTTGGTTTCGCCAGCACTCCTTTTATCTGCACGGCATTCACCGGCCCCTTGGCAGCAGAGTCATTCATCAAGACAGCATCATGGCGCTGGGCATACGGTGTCTTTGCTATTGTGATGCCATTTGTATTCATTCCTCTGGCCGTGATATTCAAATTCTACCAACGAAAGGCGGAGAGTATGTATATCTACGGTCGGGAGCCGAGTGGTCGGACTGTTCTTGAATCAATAGTCCATTACTTTCACGAATTTGATGGTGAGTACAATTCCTAGCCTCAATTGACACTACTAATCATTTTGTAGTAATCGGTGCATTTCTCTTGACCGCCGCCTTCCTCCTCCTTCTCCTCCCATTCAGTCTCGCATCATACGGACGCGCCGAGTATAAGAGTGCCACTTTCATCTGTATGATTGTCATCGGATTTGTGCTGTTCTTTGTGTTTGGCCTCTGGGAGCGATTTGGGGCGCGCAATCACTTCATCAAATGGCGAGTATTCAAGCAGCCCACGGTAGTAGGGGCCTGCGGTCTTGCAGGGTGCCTCTTCTTTAGTTACTACACTTGGGAGCTTTACTTCTACAACTTCTGCATGGTTGTCTACGAGCTGAGCATCGGCATGGCCGGCTACGTCGGGCAGATCTACAACGTGGGCTCATGCTTCTGGTCTGCTGTCTTCGGTATAGCTGTCTATCTCACACGGCAGTTCAAGTATACCTGTTTGGGATTCGGACTACCCCTGGTCTTACTTGGGGCAGGGTTGATGATCCACTTTCGATCGGCTGGTGGAGGCATCGGGTATATTGTGATGTGTCAGATATTCATTGCCTTTGGTGGTGGCACCCTAGTCATCGGTGAAGACATGGCAGTCATGGCTGCCTCAGATCGTGAGGGTGTCCCCATGATGCTTTCCTTGATTGGTCTCTTCTCGAGTCTGGGCGGTGCCGTAGGCTATGCAGTTGCGGCTGCGATCTACACCAACACCTTCCCTGGTGCACTGAGGGATGCATTACCCGAGGGCAGCAAGGACAAAGCGATGGAGATCTACGTGGGCGGGTATATCACGCAGCTCAAGTATCCCGTTGGTTCCGCTATTCGTGATGCCATTAATACGGCCTACGGCGTCTACATGAAATACGCGTGTATTGCAGCTGTGGTAGCGATGGCCCTGGGGATCCCCTGCGTGGCCATGTGGAAGAACTTCCGGCTGAACAAGCCACAGAACAAGGGCGAGGTGATCTGAGGATGTGCGTATGTGTGTTTTGTAGAGTAGGAATCAAGATACCACCATAGTAATTGCTGTCAAATAGTCAGATTGCTACACTGATCTTTCACGAAGCTTCACCGGAGTAGAATAGTTCCACAATAACGTAACAGTAGAGATTGATAGATCAAACTCTGGACACTTCTCGTTAAGGAAAAGCAGTCCGAGACCCGAGTGGGATCACTTTGCTGCCCATCACCAGCATCCTAGAAGCCATTCCACCTTGGCAGCAGCCATCAGAGAAGAGAATCGGCCGACGACAAGCGCGCCAGCCCAATCATAGGCAACCACCAGCACCGAACCCACCCGAGACACGCACGGTGAGCAGACTATGAACGCGCTAATACGCAGAAAATGGCTCAGGTGGAGCCGTGCAATGGCCTTGCCTTACTCAATATGGAGATGATGAGGCCGATCCGCGTCGGTGATAAGATTGATAAATGCTGGCGATGTCGGAACCTGTGCGCCCCTGGCCCTACCTCGCTGAAGACATCCGGGAAGTGACGCACAACGTCCATCCTATGTGGGCTGGTGGGGTTCCAGACCCGTGGTTCCAGCGCTATACTCGCTTCCCTCTTACTCGCGTGAGAACTATTGTCCACTATTGTCTACTTGCACCAGGCTGCCGGTGTCACCCCGGACATAAACCCCCTCTTGCCCCAAGCACGTCGACTGGCCAGTTCAGCGTCTCTATCCGACCTCGACTATGCACGAAACAATACGCCCACGACAATGTCTTCCAGCTCCCAGCACGCCAGGAAATGGTCGACGATGCCGATCGACACGAACGCGGCCCCGTTCTTGAGCCTCGACTTCGAGGATGAGGTTGTTTACGAGGACGAGCGACGCCAAAGCATCAAACAGGGGACCATCTGTGGATTGGTTGAGCAGCTGACACGCCATGATCGACTAGACGTCTCGTTCAACGAGACCTTCCTCATGACCTACCCTACATTCGTCTGCGGCAGGGAACTCTTTGAGATTCTCCTCCAACGACTTAACATGCCCCCACCTCCGGGCCTTACCGACTCTGACCTCTCACGATGGACAGAACAGAAGCAGAAGACCGTCCGCTTCCGCGTCATTAACATACTCAAGACCTGGCTAGAGCGGTACTGGATGGAACCACCCACCGAATCAACTATGGACTTCCTCCGATACATACACGCTCAAATACAGCCTCTCACCAACGTTCCCACCTCCTCGCAACTCCTCACCATCATTGAACACCGCTTGAAGGGCCAAGACATCCTCAAACGTTACATGACTCCCCCAAACAGCACAGTGCCTAAACCACTTACCCCGAGGAACATGAAGAAGCTCAAGTTCCTCGACCTCGATCCGATGGAGCTCGCCCGCCAACTCACCATAATCGAATCTCGTCTCTTCGCTCGAATCAAACCTACCGAGTGTCTCAACAAATCATGGCAGAAGAAAGATACCGATAGGCCGCCATCTGTTCCAGCCTCACGCCGCACCAGCACCAGCACAGCTAGTAGCACCAGCTCCATCGAACGCACCACCGGCGTCAACGCCACGATTCTACACTCCAACCAGCTCGCAAACTGGGTAGGAGAAATGATCCTGGCCCAGGATGAGATGAAGAAGCGTGTCTCGCTGATCAAACAGTTCATCAACATTGCCGATGTATGCCCCCTGCACCCAGCACTATCATCCTACATACTAACATACAGGTGTAATAACAGAACTGCCGCTCCCTAAACAACTTCGCAACCATGATGTCCCTCATCTCCGGCCTCGCCACAAGCCCTATCTACCGTCTCCACCGCACCTGGACGCAAGTGAACCCCAAGACGCGCAAACTCCTCGAAGACATGCAAAGTCTCATGTCCAGCGAGAAGAACTTCATCAAGTACCGAGATAAGCTACACGGGGCAAGCCCACCATGCATTCCCTTCCTCGGTACGTCCCTTCCCCATCACCATTCATTACCCAGTCCACACTCTCACCCACATGCTAACACACCAAACCGTAATAAAGGAACTTACCTAACCGACCTCACCTTCATTGAAGACGGCATCCCGAGCCACACCCCACCGCCCAACGTCATGATAAACTTCAGCAAGCGGGTCAAAGTCGCCGACATCCTGCGCGAGATCGAGAGCTGCCAGGCCGTCGGGTACAGTTTGCTTCCTGTCCCCGAAATACAGGAGTTTATTGTCCGGAATGTGCAAGCCGCCGGGGGTGATGTCGAGGGGATGTATGAGAGGAGTTTGGCGCTGGAGCCGAGGATGGTAGGCGAGGAGAGGATGAATTTGGGGCAGCTGGGGGTCGGGATGATGGGGATGAATATGGGGAGGGGAGGGTATATTTCTACTGGGAGTCATATGAGTTCGGTGGTTATTGCTAGTATGGCTATGAGGTAGGGGGATATTTATGAGATATGATGTTATGAGGTTAATGATATGATTTGGTTTGTCTGGAGTATCAGGTGTTCTGGGTGGTTTAGTATTGTGGTGGGTTTTCGTTATTCCGGTCTTCTTTATGAGACAGCATGTTGGGTTTGATAGAGGAATAGTATTCCATGTTATGTCTGTTGCATACATTGTCTGTAAGAAAGCCTCTCAGATTGACTTGGGCCATTTGGCATTGTCTATCTTTAGCTCGCAGCTCCCGTTGAAGCACGCAAAACACACAACACAATCAGGAATCGATCAGTTCAGTCAGACATTGGTCGAAACGTTTAGCAAGTAGAGTTAAACAAATACAGAAACGAACAATAAGCAAACAACACTCCCCACTCTGTCTGGGAAGCAATAAACCGTCAAACCCATAGACTATACATAATACAGAACCGAAACAAAAAGCTGAAATCCCAACAAACAACAACAGATAGACCCCTTACTCAACCGCAATCCTCACCTCATCAAAGTCAACCACAGCCCTATACTCCTGAAACTTGACATAAACAGTCACAACAACCCCCCTACCATTATATTCCGCCTCTCCCCTAGGAACATCGATGTGGAACGACGAAGTCTTCGGGCGGGGAAACCGTTCCCGGAATGCCTCCATGTTGGCAAAGCGGATAGCCACCGCGTCGACGTAAGCCGAATCGGTTTCAAAGTCAACGTCGACGGAGGTGATGTTCGGGTTTTCGCGTGGTGGGGCGGGGAGAATGAAGTGAACAGCTCCCTGCTTCGCATCCGGTCTTGATGGCTGCACGATTGCGCCTCCTCTGTCCGGGCGGATTTTGAGGGCGGGGTCGGCGATGGCGCCGGAGCCGGGGCCTTGGAGCCAGATTGCCATTTTGGGTGGGGTTTGTGGCTTTTGTTGTTAGTTGGGTATGGACTTGTTGTGTGTGTGGTATGGGTGATACTCACATTTAGTTGTTTTGTAAGTGGATCGAGATTGGATTTTCTTGTAGTAAGTAGGTAAGACTGTGTCCGAGCTGAGTGCTGTCTTGGATAAGACCAGAAGGGTGAAGGACAGGGACTTATATAACTATCTGGAATGGATGCTGGGTTAGCATTACTGTGCATAGGCCGGTGTACCAAGATACCCAAGAGGGTCGAGGCTTCAGGAAGGCGATGTTGTCCACTTTCCATTAGCTGGTGAATCAGCTTGCAATGTGTTGTAGAGTGGGCATTGGTGAGCATTTTGGGAACGAGGCGACCAATTGATGCTGAAACATGACTATGCTGGGTGCTCCAGTTACAATGTCGCTTATTAGCTTTCTGTATGTGGTGAGAAGGGTCACAGAATCATGAAATCTCATGAGAGGCGAATGCATTATGGAATAGTAAGTTACGTGGGGGAAGGTAAGTAACTACGGCAGCCTCCCCTTGACTACTACAACATTAACAGCAATAGTATAGGCACGTGACCATTCGTCCCTGAGCTGGGGTGCTGAAGACATCCAAAATCCCCGGTCGCATGTACCAAACCGGACTCTATAACATAGAAAGAGAGGCAGATCGACAGGAGAAGGTACAGCTGGGTGAGGGGCATATTCTCGTTCCATCATGGTTGGGTAGAAATGCGGCCTTACCGTGAAATGTGGTCTAAATTAACACACTCCAACGACACGTGCACGTCTCCATTCCCACCCAATGTATGAGGCAGTGGGCACATATAATCAGCTCGCAAATCCTGATCCGGGTGTGCTGTTCAGCAAGGCTAAGGGTCCAGCTGTGGGTATCCCTCGGCCAAGTGTCGGTGAAGCTGACAAAGCGGGTAGCGAGTGCAAAGGATGAGGAATCCGAAGGAAATAAATGGCCAGAGATCAGTAGGCACTATGTAGGCACCCAATAGTGACTCAGGGGTCTGAATGTTGCCTCACAGTGCCCACCATTGCTTTCTTTGTCGCTTAGCATGTTAGAGCGCTACAGGAAGTCGAGAATATCTATCCCCAAAATGGGTTTAAGCGAGTCCCCGACACCGCCTAGTTCACTGAACCAGAAGAGGGAAATTTTGGGAATCAATCGAAGTATCTATGGAATGTACATATAATCTAGCATAAACATTGCGATCCAATATCCAAACCTAGCCCAATATGCACTTACGCATATGCGCCATACGATATGGCAGTGACTTCAACAAGTCATAAAACATGGGTATCGTGAGCAATGACTCCAGTAAGCAATATCAACAGTGAAAAGGTAAATTTGTAAAGCTCTCAAGCAAGAGACAAGGAAGGAGTCACGGTTGAGTCAGCTGCCTCTGGCTCCGACGAGCCTTGTCAATAGCGCAATGTCCCAGTCGGATCAACTCGGCCACAAAATTCGTGACTGTTTGCATATGTGCAATCTCTACTTCCGAGGTGCGTCGCCGCCGCACGTCCCTGACGAGGTCCGGAACCACGGTCAGTAGATGCAGGTCTTCTTCGACATATGGATCAAGTGGGTTCGCTAGAATGCTGCAGAATATGGTGAGGATGGCGGACATGGGATAGAAAATAATCATCCTTAAGTGGTACATCAGTATGCATGAACCAGGTCAGGATAGGTTATGTGAGAACGCACCAGAAAGCCTCAGGGCGGACTGAACTGATGACCGTACGAAGGAAATGCAGCGAGGACCGACTAGCCTCCACAGCTAAGAGCATGCTCGAGTTCACTCCCTCCATCATTCCAGTCTTGCAATTTCTCCACGCTTGACCCCAGGCGTCACATCGTCCGCTGGCGCGATGGATAGTGCACATCATATAGTGATATTCCAGTCGAATGACGATAGGTTGCATGCGGTATACTGGAATGGGTTGCTTCTCGTGGAAGGACCCGAGGGTTGGACGGTGCCCGGGCGGTACGTTTAGGCGCCATTGCTCGAGTTCGTCGTCAAGCTCGCGGATATCCTGGAGCAGTTGAGCGTCGGATTTGCGCAACGCTTGAGCGGAGTAAAGTGTCCGGTAGGTTTTCGACTTGAGCATCGATAGTCGCAGGTCTCCGGGAAATATGGGTATCGTCATGTCATCGTAGCGGATAGGATGGCCATCCGTGCTGGGGTATTGGATTTCGGTGTAGTTCGGCGGCAGTGTAAGATCGCAGTATTCGTCGTGTATAACGGGTGGTTGGCCGGATCTGAAACATATCTCTTTATCGAAGCCATAGCAGATCCAGAATAAGCGGCGCAGCATCCGTTGAGAACGCCATTTCCGGTCTTCGGGATCTTTGGATGACTCTCGGAACGCGTCTACCGTCTCGCCTGTCTCTCCGCCAAGCATGAACATGACCCGACATGCCATGGAATGAAACTGGTTGGCTAGTTGTAATTCGCCAGTGAACGTTCGGTATATAGCCTGGAGTTGCAATTAACGAGATTGGTGCTTGTCCGTGAGCGGGTGGGGTCAGTCCTCACATGCATGACCATGGTTTGTAGCGTAGGTACACTGACATCGTGCAGAATGTACGGGAGGAGGCTTTGTGCCTTGGCGGCATAGACAGGAGGTTCTAGCGGGGGAAGACTTGGAGAAGGATCCAGCTCGGCAATGAAAGCGAGGAATGCAAATATACATGCTCTAGCCCGGGTATATTCCTTAGGTGGCGGTCCTTGACATGGGCGATACGCTAGCTCCACGGTATCCCGGAAGAGAACCTCATCCACCACCGGGAAGACCATGCGTTCGAAAGAAGTGAAGAAGTGACTCACGTACTGTTCCACCAACGACCGGTCTGGGAGGTCTGGTGTGACAGAGTGGTTGTAACCATTCTGCGGGTGAGGAGTCGTCAGGTAGGGGACCTGGTTCGGGTATTTGTGCGACCAGACGTCCTCGAATGTGCCAGGCTCTCCCGTACAGGATCGCACCCACTCGTGACCGGACTCTGAGAAGCACGGGATACCACTATATGAGCGAATCTCGCCCACATAGTGACCGGCAAAGTGGATCTTCCCGAACAATAAGCCACTACTGGGACCCGAAGTATTCGTCTGAATAGGCAGCTCCGTCGATTCACCCAAGCTCGGAGACTGTTCAGTATCCAGATGGCCTTTCTCCAATAGAGAAAGACAATTCCTTGGGTGCTGCGTAGTGGAGATCGACCGGGTGAGAAGCTCCTCAAGCTTCCGCACCCTGTCCTCCAGGTCTTCCTGGTGAGGTCGTCTCAAGGGTCTTGAGTAGTTAGTGAATGCCACATGAAAAGAGGACGAACAATCTCACCTTGGATTGGCAGGTTGGGTGGTCTTCTTTCGTTTGTTCCCGCCAACAGGTCTATCAAAGGTACAATCCAGGTTATGGTGGCGGCACCAATTACAGGGAACAGATGTATCACATTGGATCTGACCCACGGGAGAAGTTAATAAAGTATTGCAAATTGGACTGAAAGTGGACACCCGAAGCGCAACCTACTTTTCTCCGATGGCACGAGTCACAAGCCCGAGCAGTCCGCCGAAGGGGCACATACCGATCCCCCTCGGGGGTAGGGCTGGACTCCGGCACGCGCGCCTGCATGTTACAAGGGCGATCCAAGGGACAGAAGCGCGAGTGGAGCCAATCAGGAAAATGACAGCCGGTTATTTGGACCGCCTAAGCAAGAGCTAAACCGAACAATAGTATGTCAATGGGGCTGCGCGCATATCCGCACAGCAGGAACATGACAATCCCTTGAGGTTCGACGCGCCACCGAGACAGCGGCTTTGGTCCTGCCGCTTAGTCATCGGCACGTCGGCTATCCTCTCCGGTGACCGGATTGGGATACCCTTCCAATAGATGCCGTATCATGATAATGTGAAGATTAGAGGGAGATGGAGGGATCATACTTGATTCCAGTATGTTCAGTTCACCAGCCTGAGTTTTTATCTCACCATACATCGTTGGCATCGATGCACTGCCATCTTCCCCTTTCGGCAATATCGGGTTCAACCGCCGAAAAGAGGGCCCTGAGCCGCGGCTAGTTTAGTCATTTCCGCATTGGGTTACCGTTAATCTAGGAGCCTCGGACTGTCTCAGCCAAACACGCCTTCGCTGAATGGCCTGATTGTCTTAACTCCGAGCTGCCAGTGGGCCTGAAGGGTCCCATTTATGCACCTGAAATGAATTGCTTTCTCACCCAAGGTGTTATATATGCAGACACATGAAGCAATGATATGTTGACCCCCGGGTGTACCGCGCTAAGCCACTGCTATGATGGTCATATATCAGACAGCTATCTATGTCTATGGCCCAACTACTCAGCCACTACCAGATTCCGCCCTACTATCCCAACCTTCACTTTTGGAAATACTCGTCCTGCCACTGGTACCTCTGCTCAAAACCCAACATCTCCTTCATCTTTCTATTCGTCACCGGGGCCTCCTTCTCCCCCATCTCCCTCGTAATCGGAACATTGGGACACATCCTCTGCAAGAACTCCCCCGTCGAGCTCGCAGTGTTCGTAATCTCATCATTCACCGCATTAAAGACCTGGAACCCCAATCCATCTGTAACAAGGCCCCTCTCAAACATCAACCCAACATCTCTGGCATCCGTATATGCCCATCCATGCGCCTTATACTTCGCCGGTGAATGCACATATTCCTCAAACCGACTCCGCATTTCCTCCGGCGCGACAATAGCTCCCAGCCGCATGACGTAGATATCCGTCCCAAATCGCCGAGCAAAGCTCCGCGCTGTGCGTTCCCCAACCACTTTCGATAGACCATACACATCCATCGGGTTCGTATCTACCTCCTCATCAACCGGGAAAGAAGGGTAATCGACATCCCCTTCTGCAAAAGCAACACCGTACGCACAGAGTGAACTGGCAGTAATGATCTTGGGTACCCCGATTCGACACGCAGCTTCCAGCACATTATAGGTAGAGAGAACATTGCCTCGGAAGGTTTCGTTATCGGGAACGATCATATTCCTTGCGTACCCGGCTAGATGGATCACAGCATCGGGGACCTGGCGGAGGGGTTCGCGAAATGGTTCGGTGAGATGGAAATGAGAGTGCAGGGCGCCATGCACTTGACCGTTGTCGGTGAGGTCGACTTTGAGGGTGTGGACTCTGTTGCTGAGGGGAGCGGGAAGCGGGTTTAGGTCCAGGTTGAGAATGTCATAGTTGTGGGCGAGGAGATGGGAAATGATGAATTGGCCAGCTTTGCCGGAGCCACCGGTGATGATGATGCGTTTGGACATGATGGTGGATGTGAAGGGGGTGATTTCATGAAGTTAAGGCAAGTTGGGAACATGTTGTGAACAGGAACTGCTGCCTTGGTCTCACTGGTTTTGTTTGATGGTGCGGGGGTTCGTGGGGTATCGGGGAATGTCCGGGGACTGTCTTTTGGAGTGATTTATTGGATTTCTGGTTCGCGGTGGGACCATCAATACCCCCAGAATTGTCCCGTAGATTGCTGGTTCATACTACATCGTAGGCACACTGTTAGCTATATACCAAGTAAGGCATTTCAACCATTGACATGAGATCCCGATCACCATGCAGGTTTTGTCAGAAAAGATACTCCGGCGCCAATAAGAGAGTGCGGCGACCGAAACTTGCAGCTAAAATCTCACATGACCGTGCCCCTCGCGATCCTTCTCACCGTCTCATAAAAACACACGTCTCTGCTCCAAGAATTTAAGCATCAGACGCTCTGGTTTTTCTCTATCTATACTGGGAGACGGACTCTATCCCAACAGTCTTCAACGTCCACACTCCTCGCCCTACAAACACCCCAGAATGTTCCCTCCCGAACCCCGCCCCCGCATCGCCTGCTTCCACGGCGGTGGCTCCAAAGCCGAAATCTACCGGATCCAATGCTCGCGCCTCGCCAGCCTTCTTGAGAATGACTTTGAACTCGTCTTTTTCGAGGGTCCCTACACCCGCGACGCTGGTCCCGGCGTCCTCCCCGCCTTTCGCGGCTACGAGCCATACAAATCATGGGTGACAAATGACAGCGACGGCAAGGAACTGGTCGATGGAAGTGGGTATGATGATGTTGGACGGGACGGTATTGAGAGGGTTTTGAAGCTGATGGTGCAACATGATCGGGAGCAAGATGAACCAGTCGGTCCGTGGGTCGGTGCTATGGGATTCAGTCAGGGAACCAGAGTGGTCGGTGGACTGCTGTTGGATCAGCAGCGCAGAGCTGCCTCGGGCTGGGATGCGAATGAGGGAATCCAGCTAAAGTTCGGAGTTTGTTGCATGGGTGCCGGAACACCACTGGAATCGGAGGTGTCGAAGCGTATGTTTGCTTGTTCCTATCTATCTTTTGCTTTGCCCGCGGAGTAATTGTCGCCCGGGTTTCCCTTCTTTCTGCCCCACTGACTTTGGTTTCTTTGCTTTGCTGGGTTTGCTTTGAAGATACTGACGTGCCGCAGACTTCAACTTTGAAGATAACATCGTCTCGCTGCCTACATTGCACGTCCACGGACTCAAGGACTGGGTATTGCCGCTCAGCCGCCTTCAGTACGCGAAATACTATGACTCGAAAACCAAGAAATTGTACGAGGTCGACTATCATCACGCCATGCCATGGAACACGCACGAGGTAGAGAAGTTGGCGGATTTAATACGGCAGATATACAAGGAGAATGCCTGAGAAGGTTCGTTTTCAAGTGTTTGCCCGGATGGAGTGCTTTTTCGGATATGGCAAGATGGAGCTCGGAAATTGAGCTGTTCAACACGAAATCATACATGATGCCAACAGATATAATGCAGCATTCAGACTTAGAGATAGACGATCAGTATTTCCATGCCTTTTAATAGCTGCCAACTGGCAGACGAGATTGGCAAATTAGAATTTCACTGGAAGCTTTTTCCGGTCATCCCTGGTATTTGTTGGGGTGCACTCCGTAGTCTTCATCACAGTGCAAACCGCCATCATGGTGCCTGCAACCACATGGTCCACGCGAGTTGAAAACAATGAAAACATTGGTGAAAACACTGAAAACACGTTGAAAACACTGAAAACAATGAAAACAGGGGATAGGGCCACGACCCTAGTCTCAACACAAGGAGTAACTATTTAAACGCGACCATAAAATAGAATGCAGGCCTTGCAACTATCACAGCTGGACATTCTGAGAATGATTCTATACTCCCTAATACACCAGCGACCATCGTTGTCATGATCAGCGGCCTACAAATCATCCAACTAATATACTTTGCCCAGCGAAACTTCTCTTCCTTCAGGAAGACTTGCTTCCCTGTTTTCAATAGACCCAGGGAAGCAACCCGACTGGTCGGTATGTCACTATTCGCCTCCCCCTTTCCATGATCAACACCATTACAGTCCTATGATGTCGACATCCCTTACTTAAATATTGTTCACTTTTTTTCTCTGTGGTGAAAAAACATTGTACCTATTCAAGACGGGTCTCTGACAGGCTTCTTCCAATCAAACCTTGTCACACTCATCGTGTCAACTTCAGCAAAAGCTAACATGAACGCTTGCTAGGAACCAACCCGTCCCTGCCCACCAGTATAGCTATCAATATCAATATCTTGCGATCGGAAATTTTTACTAGCCAAATAACAATTAAATCCACGGACCAGAAACATTCTCGGGATATTCAATTAGTAGTTCCCACAATCAGCACAGTAATAAATCAATGATCCCACCGAAGCATTTCCTCATTCTCCAACACCCTCCCTCCATCTACATCCCCCCTCACAGCAACATCTACCAACACCTTCGCCAAATCGTCCACCCAAATCGACGGTCCCATTCCAAATATCAATGACCTTAGACTCATCCCCCGTGCAAGCACCATCCCCGGTCGGGCAATACACACCTCTACACTGTTGTTGTTGTTTTCGTAGTCAGTCAACTCGTTCTCAACTTGTCCCTGTCCGTATCCGTTAGTATCATGCTTTTCCACCTTAGACCTTCCCCAACATATATAATAAAATCTAGAATGTATAAAAGAGAGAATGAATAGTAGAGTGGTACCCTGATCTTCCTCATCTCCCCCGCCATCCACAGCGACCTACTCTGATCCCTCTCCGACATGCCTCCGCTCAGATAAACGAAGCGGAACTTCTTCCCCCCTCCCTCAACCAAGAAAGACAAATGTGTGCCGAAGGCCCTCATCGCAGCCATCGTGTACTCAACATTGATTTTCCGAGCTGTTTCGGTATCTCGGGTCCTGTTGATTCCGATCGCCCTGTTCCGGTATTCTTTCATTAATGTCACAGATGTACTTTACTCCTATCTGTAAGGTAGATGGGTGGGGAAATTATACCAAATACACGCCTCCGCTCCCCTCAACTCTTGTAACAGACTCTCAGGGTAGATGAGGAAATCTTCTACGAGTTTGACGGTGAGCTTGGGGTTCTTGGTGGGGATTGGGCGCCGGGAGAGCGCGATAATGGATGTGATGTGTGGGTTTTGGAGACATTGGGTGAGAATTTGGTGGCCGATGAAGCCGGTGCTGCCGGTGAGGATTATTTTCATTATAATCCTGTAACGAGTTTGAGGGTGTAGAATGGCCTGAAGTGTTTATTATTGTAGAGTGGGGTTTTTATTGGGATATATGGAGTGGCAGGTTGTCGGAAATAACGGGGTTAGCTGGCACTGCCACTGGGATCATCATCAGGCTGGTTTGTTAGAGCTACTAACAGGGGCGAAAGATTCGCGTGGTATGTTATGTGCATGGGGTTACAAAGCGATGATAGGCAGAAAAGGCATATATAGAATTCTTTGATTAGAAAAGTTGTTATCAATCGTGATTCGTTATCTTGTGTGTTCTAACAATAGGGCATCCGTCTCGCTGGAAGAAGCAGGTACAAAGATATGTTGCGGGCGCAGCTCATCAATTTCGGTTCAAAGGCTACTGATGACCCGGGTGATACTGGGGACCAGGTTGGTATGGCGCACCCGGTTGTTGATATTGAGGACCTGGCTGATACGGGGCACCATGTTGATACTGCGGACCACCCTGATACTGAGGTGTTTGCTGATACTGAGGTGTTTGCTGATACTGAGGCCCTTGCTGATGCTGGGGTCCTTGCTGGTACTGGGAACCGGCTTGATATTGCGGACCAGGACCAGGACCAACTTGGGGCCCAGGAGGATATTGACCGGGCTGATATGGTGCTCCCCCGCCTGGGGCCGCCCCAGTGTTAACCATATGAGTATGATGAAGATCCTCAGGTGCATAATCACTAGGACTCGGTCCCATGGGCGCTTGCACTCCAGCAGGAGCCTGGTCAAAGTTGGCATCTCCCTGCGCGGAACGTAGCGTGTGCGTCAACATTCGCACGGACGGGTTATCCGTGCGCACGTGGCCACTCAGGATCTCCTTGACTGGAATTTTCCGACCATAGAACCTTTCGTTCTCATCGTTGCGCTCAATAACAATTGTTCCATCAATCTGCACCCCCGCGTAGAAACCCCTACTCTTGACATAGCACCAAATCGGCGCCCGGCGCTTATGTACCTCCGACTCCAACACCCCGCCCATGCCAATCGGGCCCGCAGCAACAGTGATCTCGCTGCCCAGCGTCACTCTAACCTTGGTGAATGCTTCCAGCGCCTCGTAGGTATTGATGACCATCACGCAGTCGTAGATATCCGCACCAACAAGGAAGCCCAATCCAGCCGTATGCAACAAGATCCCCGACGGGGCACTCCACTCCCCGGTCTCCGGCACCCGGGCGATCAGAATGCCACTTCCACCGGCTCCACTGAACCACAAGCCTGTTCGCATGGCCGTGAACACGACGATTCCCTTGGCCTGCCGAATCACTTCCGAGGGGATTTTCTTCAGCACCTTTTGTTTTCCGCGGGGCTTGTCAATCTTCTGTTTCGATGATGATGCTTCGTTGCTGTTGACAGGAGGTGCAGTGTCCGCGGCTGGTTCGTCCACGTACACGCCATCTTTGCAGAAACTGCGGAGAATCCGGGCGACCTTTTCACTTTCTTTGTCGAGGGTCATGGGCCAGAAGGCCTCGGAGCCCAACTTATTGCTGAGTCTGTTGACGGGGGCGCCCAGCTTGTCGAGGGCGCCCCAGGCTTTGTCGAAGCCCATTTTGCCGTAGGTTTTGGTTTTGTCCCACATCTTGTGGCTGTTTGTGTTGGTGGATGGTTGTGACATTGTGAGGGTGTTGGGAGGGTAGGAGGGGATAGGAGGGTATAATCAGGAAGAGTGTGTCTTTAGGAGAGACGGTGTACTTATGTGTGATTGTTGACAGGCGGGAGAATAAGCAGGATATTAATATGAGAATGGAGCTGACTGACGTAGGGCGACAAAAGACCGAAAAATGAAGGCATCAACAATGGCGGGGCATCTGCGACCCGTGGGTCCCGCTATTTTGGGTGGCTAAGCCTTCGGGATGTCGTAATCGTATCTGGTTGCTGTTTTGACTAGGCTGCGACATTCAGGGATGGAAGATAAATAACATCTGTGGCTGAAGGGGCTGTGTCAGTCAACAACGATTCCATGGTATCATAACGGTGTCAGCGGGACTACTAACGTGCCTCTGCCCGACCACGAGATGACATCCTGGAAGATCTTTAGCCATTCTTTGGTGCTTTGGCTTCCATCCTCACTCGTCGCTGAAGGCCCCTGAACCGTTAAGCATCGCCGCGACCTGCGTTCTGTTCCATGCGCGCGCCGAAGATAGCGTAATCTTGGGACAAGATTGTTTCCGTTCTTTGTCTTTTTCTTTCAAACACCACAAAGGCATCATATCCTGCAGAGCTTATCGGCGACTATGGAATCATCTCTACCTGAATAGATATTTCTCGATATTCCCATCGCAGACGTCATCAACAAAACGGCTAAAATGCGACTAGTCGAGCCATGGGCATCTCGGTACTGCACAACCATCTCTGGAGAGCGCTACGGTGATGCAATCTGGGCGCGGTACCATATAGATGGACGCGCCACAGGTGGTATCTACTCAGATCTGCGCGATAATGGTGATGGGCCGTTTGAGTTACACGAAACCAGTGTTTACGACTTGGTTATGGAAGATGCCCGAGACCGGGAACTTGCGGAAGGTAACCCGGAACATTATAGCGTGACACTTCGATTCTATCGCGATTCAAGTCCCAATGGTGGTCGACGGGATATTATTGAAGGACCTTTCAGGAGAGAGTCGTCTTGCCAAGCTAATGGGTGAGTGGGAATCAATGTGCTGCAGGTAATCCAGAAGTCTCCCATAAGCAGTCGTAGTTGTTGATTCACGTGCTGGCTATATCAAGTCCACCTACCGATCCCGGCTTGCTTGAAATTCTAATTTTTATATGAATTGTCCAGACTTGTCTCTTAGAATTGAGTCCTGTTGCTTATTTCAAACGATCCTACTACATACATCTTAAAGTAAGGCAATTAAGCTATGGTCGTTTTTTTAGGCAGCCTATGACTGCTCCTTTCCCTGCAATGCACAATAGCAAAATACACGCGTAGAACCTCATCTACTCACTTGGGCTCCGAATCGGATCCTTCTCCCCACTCTCCACACTCTTAAGGAACTCCCTGGCCGCATCTGGATCATCCTTAAACACATGCTCTGCCACCATCCGCTGCGGTGTCTCTCCCATCCACTGGAACAACGAAAAGTCCCGGAATCGGTCCGCCCGGAAGATTTCCAACACCTCGACCTCCTCGTCATCACTAAGGTTCTCAATGAAATGACCCATGTTGCGAGGAACAATGCCCACATCCCCCGCTACGTAGTCGAACGTACGAGCATTACCTTCAGCAGCGAAGATAGTCACTCGCGCCCGACCGCGCTTAAAGTAGGACCATTCATCCGCATTGGGATGCCAGTGCATCTCCCGGATAGCGCCCGGGTTAATGGTCAGGTGGGCGGCCGCGACCGTCTTGGAGATGGGAAAGTTGGACGAGTCTGTGATGCGCACCTCTCCGCCAGAGGTATGCTCGGGTTTTTGAGCGAGCATCTTATGCGTGAAGCGCTGCTTGGATGCTTTGAAGTTGCGGGGGAGCTCTTTGGGAATAGAGTCTGGGACAGAGCCCTGGAAGATGTACTTTTCAGATGGTGGGATGTTCTTAAATGTTTGTGGACGCATGCGGAAGTTTCCGGCGAGGACAGACTTGGGTGTATGTGCTGTTGTATAGCATTGTTAGTATTTTTGTGGAGGTTGTACAACAGCATAATTATGGACATACCGATCCAGTCGGTCAACAAGAACGTTGACTCCTCGGAGAAGTTTCCATCGTCGAAGATCAGTAAGAACTCGGTGCCATTCGGACTGAGACCCTGGAGGGAATGGGGATGGCCTGATGGGAAGTACCAGAGGTCACCCTCTTCCAGGTCGTCGATGAAGCTGCCTCCCTCCAGGTCAAGACCAGTCACTCGTACACGTCCGGCCAGCACATACGCCCACTCTGCTTCTCGATGCCAGTGCAGCTCGCGGATGACACCCTCATCGAGGCGCATGTTTACTCCCGCAAGCTCCTTGCTCGTTGGCAGCTCGCGTACGGTAGTCTGGCGTGTCCAGCCGCCCTCCTGCAGTGCATTAGCCTATTTTGCTTGTCGTACACAAGACTCTTGAACGGCTTACCTCGATGCGAATGTGGGAGTCAGCAAAGCTCCACCGCATGTTCGGCATGTTGCCATGGTCGGTGCTCGGAGGACGGAGCATGTCGGGGTTCTGGCGCTCACGGTCCTTGTTGCGGGGTCCCATGATGGTGGCTCCATCTCCCATGCGCCAGGGCAAGGGCTCATGGCCTTCCCCGATCGCATCCACCTTGTGATCATAGGGGTCGCGATGATCGGGGGTGAATGGCTTGTCTTGGAAAAAAATGGATGGGGATGAGGCGGGAATCTGCAGTAGTTGCTGGTACGCTTCGTTAGGGACCGGGCCTCCATGGCTTGGATCAAGGAGGGCGGCCACGGTCGCGAAACTCAGCAACAGCTGACGTGGTGGCAGGGTTAGCTGCATCTTTGGAATCTACTAGAAAAGCTTGGTCTTCCAGATCTCTGTCTCTCGCTGCGACCGTAGAAACCGAGCATTCTTATATTCCCTGGCCGAGGGGTGGGTCAGAGCAACCTTGATATCAATGAAAATCTCTCATATCCGACTCTTCCGGCCAGCCAGTGACGTGGAATCCAGAAAGCAAGAAACAGGCGCAAGGGTGGGACCTCGTCTGGGGTCAAAAAGCCCGAACAAAGCTTGGTAGCAATGCTTGTTTGGGGAGAAGGGGGAGTCCATTGGCCCCAGCAGTTCAGCCCTACAGGGCCGGGCACTCAACGTCATTGGATCTGCGCCGACGTCACGCGCGATGGATCCCAGTCTCGCTCTTTCTTTCTCCACTCATCTCCAACTCTTTTCCCCCCTTCATCTCCCACTGCCGTGTTAACCGTGGACGAACTATTAAGTCCCTGCTAGCTGTCGCTATTCATATCGCTATTTGAGACACTCATTTGAAATTATACTTGCTGCCTAGTTTGCCAGACCGGGCACTTCAGGCCCCAAAACAACCAATCTATCTCTCCCTCCCCTCTCGTATTTTCCACACAGACCTTTAGCCATCCCACACTGGCGACCATGGCGCACGAAACCGCGCACTATCAGGAATTTCCCGCCCATGAGAACGACCCTCTTCTGGGGCATCGGGGACCTAGCTCCAAACCTTCTCCCCTGAGCCAACTGCGCCGCCATCTCCGCACCGAAGTCGACCCGCACCGAGCAGACCTTCTCCTCATTTTTTGCTACGTCATCACAGGTCTTCTGGACAGTTCTGCCGTGTTCATCTGGGGCTCCTTTGTGAGCATGCAGACGGGCAACACGGTATACTTTGGACTAGGACTGGCCGGGCTGGACGAGACTCAACGGTGGCTTAAATCGCTCATCTCGATCGGCAGTTTCTGCATCGGCTCCTTTTTCTTCGCCGTGTTACACCGCCTGTTCCACACGCCGCGGCAACGGTCCGCACTGACTCTGTCTTTTGCACTGCAGATGATTTGTGTCGCTGTCGCTGCGAGTATTGTCACGGTGCAGCAGACGGGCAAGAGCGATCCTCTGACGTGGAAAATTGGCGTGCCGTTGGCATTGGTCGCGTTTCAGAGTAGTGGTCAGGCCGTTTCGAGTCGTGTGTTGAAGTGCAGTAGTTTGACTAGTGTTGTACTTACTAGCATTTATTGTGATTTGTTCTCGTCGCCGGGACTGACCTCTGTCAGTGTGCTCAAGGCTCCTGATGAGTGGAGGCGGTTGGGGGCTGTGGTGGGGATGTTGATTGGAATTGTGGCGGGGGGCTGGTGGGCGAGGAGTGAGGTTGGATTGCCGGGCGCACTTTGGACTGCCGTGGTGTTCAAGGGGGTAATTTGTGTTGCATGGATGTTATGGAAGACGAAGGATGTTGATGATGAGTAGGATGCTTGTTAATGGGGGGACATATTACTAGTAGTATAGTGCTCTAGCCATTTGGCGCTAGAAGTCGCGCGTGGGGCAACGCACAGCATCCAGCGCGCAGTTAGTTCTATACATAGTGCCTTTTTCGTATAATAGGCGGAGCTATAGACCAGGAGCGAAGCAGACATTATGATATTACACAGGATGTTGACGCACATCTGATGTAGTCAATTATTCCTACTGAATGGTATAACAGCGTCCACTAATCTGTCGTGTCGCTAGCAAGGATTACACAGCAGTATTTCATAGAGCACCAAACCCATGCACCTTCTCAGATGGGGGAAAAGGAATGTTATGTCAGCTTGACGGAGAATTTTCCGCCCGCACACAATAATAGGGAGGTCTTTGTCAATTCCAGGTATCTCCCCCTTAAAGGATGGAGATTGAGTTAACCCCTCATTCCCCGCACGAAGCCATCCACTCATCCGCAATCTAATGGTCAAACTCACCATCCAAACTGACCCACTGCGCGATAATTATCCCTGATAAGCGGATCGCGCTATCTTGACGCATCCTTTATCGCCCAGAACAATCGCCGAGCTTGCTTGGATAACGCGAGAAAAATGTACTCGGGCGAGAGAGCCGACATCTCGGAGGACAAGGCCGAGCTGCCTTGTGGGCAGTGCTTAAGAACATTTATTTGGCTCCAAATCATGTCAATAGTAATAAACAATTAACTTGTAGCAATCATCTCAGCTTTCTGGATTCTCCATCTAGAATCTGGCATAATGACAATACAAACCAACACCATCACGCAGACGGGAACAGTTCCCTCTTCCTTCTTCGAGACAGCCCCATATATTGCTCCCGATGCTATCTTTGCTCTCACAGCAGAGTACAATGCCGACACATTCCCCCAGAAAGTGAACCTCGGGCAAGGGACCTACCGAGATGAGAATGGACAGCCATGGGTTCTGCCTTCCGTGCGGAAGAGTCGCGAGCTGCTCGTTGAGCAGGGTCTGAATCATGAGTATCTTCCAATCTTGGGTCTTCAGGCGTTTCGCCTGGAGGCGAGTAAGATGGCATTAGGCTCTGGACTCTACGAGAAAATCCAATCTAGGGTAGGTATCAATATTCTGGAATTTCCCACATCCATCTGTCTTATTGTATGCTCTAACACGAACAAAATAACACCAGCTCGCAACCTGCCAAGGCCTCTCCGGCACTGGATCTCTGCATCTAGCAGGCCTACTTCTCCGAAGTTGCCGTGCACCGTTACCAAAGATATACATCCCCAGTCCCACATGGTCAAACCATCACCAAGTCTTTTCCTCTCTCGGGTTTACCTGCGAATCGTTCGGATACTACGATGACGCTCAGAAGAACATAGACATCGACAGCTACTACTCTGCCCTTAAACGGGCGGAACCAGGCTCTGTCGTCATCCTTCACGCGTGCGCGCATAACCCCACCGGCTGCGATCCTAGCAAAGAGCAATGGAAGGAAGTCGGTCGTATTGTCAAAGAGAAGGGACTATTCCCTCTCTTCGATGCAGCATACCTTGGTTTCAATTCGGGCAATATCGATGATGACGCTTTTGCCATTCGGTATTTTGTTGATGAATTGGACCTGGAGGCAGGTGTTTGTTTGTCTTTTGCGAAGAATATGGGGTTATATGGTGAGATTGCTATCCCTTCGTGACGTTTCAGTTGTTCACTCGTTAACGCTCCCACAGGAGAGCGCACGGGCTGTCTATTCTTCGTAGCTCGGACAGACAAAGCCGCGACAAACACACAATCAGTGCTCGAGATGCTGCAACGGTCTGAAGTCTCGAATCCGCCCGCTTATGGAGCCAAAATTGCTGCTACAATCTTGGCGGAACAGGAGCTTAAGGCACTCTGGTATAGAGACCTCGAGACCATGAGTGGTCGTATCCGGGCGATGCGGAGGGCCCTGTACGATTCGTTGAACAGCAATGGTGAGATGTGAATCGGTATGCGTTTGACTAGTTTCTGATAAATGTGCAGGCGCGCCTGGTAACTGGGACCATTTGATCCGCCAGTCGGGTATGTTTGGTTTCTTGGGTCTTGCTCCGGATGTGGTCCAGAAGCTGAAGGGTAAGTCAGCTGAACAATCCTCAGAATATCCTCCGAATATCTTACTAACTTAAATTCATACAGTGCAATACCACATCTACATGGCGGCCAACTCGCGAGTCTCTATAGCCGGGCTCAACGACGGGAATGTGGATTACGTCGGTCGCTCGATTGCCGAGTGTCTGAAGAGCAACTAGATGCAGTGTTGCTACGTAGGAACAAACATTTATCTCCCACAACAATCTAAGTACTTCATTCCATCATATCAAGTCATCTATCTCCATCAACCACCACCTAAATCAACACCTTCCTCACCAGCTCCACCCTACCAAGCACTCAATCAGCACACAATAAATAAAACCAAGTCGATAAAACAAGAAAGAAACTTACACCGCAAACGTCCCCGCCGAAACGGGCATCGCCCTCGCCAACGCCGGCCCGATCCCAAAGAACAACCCTCTCACCCCCTCTCCTCGCCAAGTCATCCTCACAGCCTCTCTAAACCCCTTATACCTCTGCGCCTCTCCAAACCCATCACTCTGCATCTTACTCTTAATCACATCTACCGGATGACTTAACAACCACAACATCTCCCCTGCTAAACCCCCACACAAGGCGATCTGCCAACTCGGCAATTCGTCCCTCCGCTTCCCCTGTCGCTGCGCCGCGAGACCCAGGAATCCCTCGTAGGAGGCGAACCAGACCCCGATGCCGTGGCCTTCGCGCAGGAGGGTTGCCACTTGGCCGCGGTATAACCCACGGAGGATCCCCGCTTGGGAGATTATCTTGCGTGCGCAGTCGAGCGGACCGGTGTAGAGTGCAAGGGCGCCGTGGGGTTGTGTTTGCAGGCGGATGCGGATGTGTTCAATGGGACCGGAGATGAGGCTGTTGGTTAGGCCGGCGAAGCAGCCGGCGAGGTAGTATTGGGGGAGCGTCGGGGTGGTAGGTAGAGTTGGGTGGGTTTGATGGTTGTGGTGCTCGATGAGGTGCCGGAAGTGGTGGAAGGCGCCGAATTGGATGCTTACCTGTTGTGTTTCCATTATTTAGTGAGTGAGGCTTAATAGTGGGCATGAGATGGGATGGGACTTACGCAGGCGCCAACGCCTAGTAAGGGAACGAGGGATCCCTATAGTGAGGGTTAGGATAAGATAGTATAGCTGGGTGTGGTGGACACCGCACCTTGTAGAATGATAATGGGCCTTCGCGTTTCCAGATCTGCTGGGTTAGGGAGAGGGCATTGGTGTTTGTGCCGCCTTGGGTTTGGAGGCGGACTTTGACGAGGTCTGAATAGTGATAAATCAATCTTCCGGAGAAGTAACTATGGCGATGCGAGGTGATGTTCATCCACCTTGAACGCGATGGCACTTACCAAATGGTTGTCCTATAATTCTGTCAGCACACACACATCTCTCCGATGTGATAATCACGAGTATACGACTCACCAATAACTACCTGCGCAACACCCCCCGCCGCTCCCGCAACCAGATCCTTGACAGTATCTCTCCATTCCGAGGTATACAGGGGTGCTCCGCTCGATTCCCCAGCAGATGTCATATCGACCGTGCAAGATCAATCACTTGTTTGATTTGCACCTTAGAAGAGTGTCATAGTTTGCAATGCTTAGTGCGGGGTATATACAGCTATCGTGAGTTGGCCATGCTTAGGGCAATAGTGATGTTCTTCGGGTGTTACGCCGATATCCAGTATGCTATCTCGGTATTGTCCTCCGAGGGTGTTCGGCCCGCTTGGCTGCATTATGGTCCACAGGGTAGCTTATCTCTTCATTTGAGGTGATAATAGCCGCCATTTGGGGTTATATTGCCTGTTGAATGAGCGGATGTATCTTTTATTGTGGGTTATGTATTTTGTGGTTCAGCTAGTCATTTGTGTACGTCGTGTGGTCTTTTGGTTGGTTGTGATCAGCACAACTTCCAGTTTGGTTGCGTTACTATCTCCGATTCGCAATATGGGCCTGGAATCAGACTTCCATGCGGGATTAACATTGGTGAAGAGTTCTATAATAATTATGGTTACTCAGTGTGAAATCTACAAAACTAGCCATTGAATATACTAGCTGTGTCTTGTGCGAGTGGCTAGTAGTAACTGTATAGGCTGTAATATTGCGCCTATTCATCAACGTTTCGCGTTAATAATCAGGTCCCATTTGCATACTAGATATTTACTGTTGAAGAAGGCAGTGCTATATTGAATAGGAATGCAGCACATTTTTTTGGCGTGGCATTGTTCCATTTCGACCTGCTGTCAGCCCTATAGGCAGCAAACAGGATAATGTGCTTCTGAAAGCTTCACACAGCCGGACTTGACCAATAAAAGTATAGTTAATTAGTACACAGCCTCAGGTTACTTCTCTCACGTAAATGCAAGTCTGCCGGCGGGACAGAATTGTTCCGTACTGACAGCAGTAGTAGGCATTAGTTACTGGATTGTCTTACGTGAAGAGAAGCACAGGTGACGTGGACCATTAGCTCCTACCTGAAACAGTTAGCATCCAGCATAATCCCTGCCAAGAAGCACCACAGATCCTGCACCGTCCGTCACAATCCTTCAACCTACAGTACGAGTACGAGTGATGGCAAAGCTGAAGCATACTAACCTCGGTTAAGTACGCATAGAGGGAATTTTGATCACTTCGAAAATTGCTGTCCACCCCCTGAATGACCCCCACATAATGTGACAATTGTGCAGAATCAAAATTTGTTGTGAGGGCAGAATAAGCATAAATGCCGAAACTATTGCACTTGGCTTGTTGAATTCGGAACTATTTGCGAATCAGTGCCACTAGCGTGCCGGGAAACTTCCGTCAAAACGCAGCGCCCAATCATAGACCGAATGATATTTATGTAAGCGGGATGAAGGGTAACATCACGTGACCATGACCCTGGATCAACCGCTTGGCATGATCAACAGAAAAAAAGGGTGTGCCAAGCCAGGCAAGGCTGGTCCCTCGTCCCCAAATCCGTCCTGTGCTTTTCAGCCTTCTGTCACTGAAAGTTGCAAGTTTACTCCTCACTATTCTCGATACGCATCCTACAACTGCATCTGACGTGAGACGGATTCAGATTTTTTCGTTTCAAGGGGATATAACTTCGTCCTCCAACACAGCCAAGTCTCAGCCTTGCAGTGAAGATCATCTCACGATCAGGATTTCTTTCATCAGGCTGTGAATTGGTTATTAAAAGATACCAGCCATGCCCCAGATGGTTAGTATGTCTTGTATAAGGTTTAGCGCAGCCTCGCATGGTCTTCCCGATCGGGGAATCTCTCGCTCAGCCTTTTTGTACCCCTTGACCTGAGCTGCACGGATACAACCCTTCTGAACGGCAAATTGACGCAGGGGAAACGCTGGAACATACCAGCAATGCGGCAGAGTGAATTTTTTTCTTGATGCTGCGCCAGCATTGAATGGAGAAAGGTACAGAAACTAGCAACCTACGGACTGCTGCTTCTGTGACAGGGGTTCGTATTCGTGTCCTGTGCTCCAACGGGTGTTGTGGGTGCTTGGGGGCTGGATTGTTGGGTGCACTTCACACTGCGACCATCTCCAAGGGGCCTGTTATTGCTGCATTATTGTCGTAGATAGGTAATGAAAAATTCAACGATAGAATAGATGCCTAGTCAATGCCTTTTTTCCCCGGCCAGCAGGTCATTGAAAAAGTGAGGAAGAGCAATGGTCTAATCATGTAGTATGGCTTCATGCCTTCCTAGAGCGGGAAGCGGTAGCCACTTAACTATGGCGGATCCCACTGTGGGCCACATCACAATCTTTACGACATGTAACCAACTACTTTGTACTAGTTTACATGTGAACTGTTTTTTGAAAATCACAAAAAGTGTATTTCGGAACTTTCCAAGGCTTCTTCCTTCTGGCTGCGCCTGGCTACTGTCACGTGGGGCTGAGCCCCTTTTCCCCTCAACATCCTACATATGTCTCATCTGTCTTCCTGAAGATGAAAATGTTGCGATAAACCTACGGTATGGCACCTACTCGGTTGCGGCGTCTGGCCATCGTCGCCCTTATCGGCGCGGTGTTAATGATTTGCATCTGCCAGCAACGTACCCAGTTCGACACTAGGCCGTTAGATCTTGAGGATCAGTACCCACTACTGTACCGCCATGTCCACACACAGAGTACCGAGGGAGGAGGTAGGCGATCATTCACAATGCTCTAGTATTTACTGACTGAACTAATTGTTCTATCTTGCAGCCTGGTATATCCCGCCACAATGGACCAACGCATCGAAACCACCCCCGAAGAATATCGTCGAAGCGGCCGAGCTAGCTCTTAGCGCCGCCCAAGCTTCCCCGGACGGGTACCTGCCTCATTCAACAATTCCCATGATCGTACACCAAACCTGGAAAAACACACGAATCGACACCTGGCCCCAAATCATCCGTCATAGCGCCGAGCGATGGCTTCAGACTACCAAAGGCGAGATGGCCTACTTTCTGTGGACGGACGAAGGCATGGAACAATTTATTCACCATTTTGAACCGGACTTGGAGAGCCAGTATGCGCATCTAGCGCGCAATGTTGAGCGATCGGATGTATTCCGCATCGTGATTTCCAAATGGATTGGAGGAGTGGTAGGTGCACAAGAACAACTTCAAATTCGAACAGAATTTTAATTTGAACAGTATGGCGATATCGACACTGAACCGCTTCGCACACCTGCCGACTGGATTACCCCGACCGATCTCCACGCTTGGAACGATACACGGGCCGGTACATCCTACAACTCTACCGCTCCGGTACGCGCGATTGTCGGCCTCGAGGCTGATTGCCCCGAGGGGTCCGATACGTACTGGCGCATGGGTTACTCGCAGCCTGTGCAGCTCACGCAATGGGCGTTTGCCTGGGCCCCGGGCCATCCCATCCTGCAGAAGTTCATCGATCGGTTATCAGCAACGATCGGAGATATTTCCAACCGCTACGGGGGGTCACTCCAGTCGAGAGCTGCTCGACAGGAGCTCATGAATCTGGATCCGCTCACGCTGACCGGTCCGGCTGCTTTCACCGACGTGGTGCGGAGTCGACTGGAAGAAGTGGCCGGCTTACGCTGGCATGCACTGTCCGGTCTGAAGGACGGAGGGAAGAGCAAGCTGGTAGACGATGTGCTTATTCTTCCGATTACTGGATTCAGGTATGTTGACAGCCTCACCTAGTTAATGAAAAGTATAATCAAAGCACTGACACAACGATAGTCCCGGACGTGGCACATATGGCAATATGGGCTCTAAGCCAATCACTGACCCTTCCGCACGCCTCAGGCATCTGGCACAGGGATCGTGGAGAGCCTTCGACGTGAAAGTTGAGTATGGCAAATTCTGCCGGACTGTCCTGGGAATGTGTCGCGATTGGTCAAAAGTGCCTACTGTTGTTGTTCAATGATTTGGGGTGTCTTTTTGAGGGTTTTTCATCATCACTTCTCGTTGACACATTCATGGCGTTCTTGGGGTTGGGGGGATCAGGATAACTAGCGAGTATAGTATCATAAACGGCATATAAGATACCCAATCAGACATTCACCAAGATTTTCTAATGGTGGGACATATCTTTCCATCTGTCGATCGGATAAACGCGATTTGCTGTTCCTTGGTCAAGCGGCTAGCACGTCGGCATCTAACATTAATACGAATATGTCAGTCTCGGCTTTCAAATGCGATAGAAGTCAATGCGGGCCGATGAGCCTGATAGTACTCACGCATCATGCTGGCCAATGTAGGTTGGTTGTTGTCCTGAAACCCAATCATCAGATGCTTGCGTATTTTTTGCCTGACATTGAGGTATGATGTGATGGCAAATAATTTTGAGAGATGTGCTGGCCGGGTATATGTACACCTGTTCATTACTTCCGTTCAAGAGGCAGACATCGAATCATCGTGTCAGAATGGGCGACGGCATCATCTGGCTTGATTGATTCCAGCTGAGGAATAACTCGGTCGCAACCCAACGACCTACGAGAAAACATGACCGTCATTCTTGTGTGAAGGAACCGAATATAGTGTCGTCGGAAAAGAACAAATCGTCATTTTCTGTGTTGAGCCAGGATCCACTCCAAGCATCCCCCTGCCCGAAAGTCTCCGTCCAGGGATTGGTCTCCATATCAGACGGGATATCTACAACACTATTAGTTTGGAACTCCAAGGAATCTGGGGGTTTACTCACCACTGCCCGATGGCCAATCAGTAGCACCTGGGTGATCGATATCGATGCGCTGTACCACCTTTTCAACCCGACGCATGAGTGATTTGAGTAACCTCAACGGTCCTTTCAATCCATGGCCGCATCCCCTTTGGTATTCTAGCAATGCAAACCAGAAAAATCGTATAGCTTCAATATAGGCGTCACACTCTTGATCTGCGTGCTGGAGCAGAACAAGGACTGCGCTGTACATCGCGTATGAAATCCCGTACTGCGCGCGTCTAAGCGTAAATGCCTTTTTGTACGCTTCAATGAGGGCTCGGATCTTGAATGATGCTTCAACACATATCCTTCGTGCTTCACTTTGGATTTCCGGACATAGAGTGAACTCGAAATATCCATGAGTGAGAAATGGTTGCTCAGTCAGAATGACCAATGTCCAGTATGCCGTGCTGTTGGTGTGAGACATTAATGATTAGCAATCAGATATAAGAGAATACATACTGCAATGTCATCTGAACTAGTTGCTAATCTTGTCAGACTGCCGGTCTCCTACATTTTACCTTCTACTGACCTAGACTGGTGCTTGTATCACGGAGCTCATTGTACCTATTTCCGTTTCTTTTGTATGATCGTTGACAACTGATACGTTAGTAGGAGCAGGTCAACTCCTGACATGTTCAAATCGAGGAATAGCTGGTGCTCAAAATGAATTCTAGGCCCCACTGTGATAGAAGTCGCGGATCTGGTTTCCTTCGTTCATAGAACAGAAGTTGAGCGCATTAATTATTTGAATGACCATACATCCAAAAAAACCATCAATACTTAAAATCAACCCTTCAAGAAGTACCCATACATCCTTCTTCCGAGAAACTCTCCCCTTATTTTTGTCTATGGTTTGATAATGGACCCACATGTAACTTGAGTAGAACACATCACGGCAGCCGGTGCCAATGAGGTCAATAACTGCTTTCGTACTAAAGACGCTCTTAAAAGTATATATCTAACATCTCTAAGTTTCATGTTATTATCAATTGAAGGTCTGACGCTGGGGTTCCGTCGGACCATTGATGACGTCACACATGGACTTCATCACCGCACGACGGATATATATATATGCTATTTAGGTTTTTGAGGATACTACATACTCACTGTTCCAGGAATCTCTTCACACTGACCGAGTTGAACGAGATTATTAATGAAGCGTATTTAATATAATATACATAATATGTTATTTGGGATATCGACATAAGGCTGTGTGAATTGGCTATCCTTTCTGTCATGGTTTGTGAAACCACTATCAAGCGGTATCTACTACGGAGGAATAGAATGATACTCACTAAGCCATCTCTAAGGTTTAACTATACAAAATATCCAGCCAGTGCCTACAGAGTAATGCAATCAGCACGCAGGGCTAGGTGAGGAAGTAACCTATTTGATCGTAAATCTAGACGCACAAAAACCTCCGTTGTTCGGCACCGGCTTAAGTCACGAGCCGCCCAGATTATTCAAGAAAGAGTTCGATTTGCCATCTCTAGACATACATAAGCTGAGTCAATGCTATTTGGTGGCACGATTATTTTCTGAATTCCCATGGAGCCAACAACACGTAGAAGATAGGATTGGTGCTTGGCTCAGGCTTGGTCTTGCTTGGCCAAGGATTGCCAAGGAAGGCCGAGCCACAGGGGCCAAAACACTCAGGCCGAGGTAAGTGGAACGCGACTTTCAGGCTCATTAAGAAGAATCCTTTGAAATATCTAATCCAATCGTCAGGCATGTAGCGAAAACCAGGATTATGAGTCTGTTTCATCGAGAATGTGGATAATGTGCTGATGACCCTGGATTACAATCTACAGCCTGAATCAAGTGAATGACGGCTGTAGCCAATGGAGCATATTAATTTTGTATACTGGATTCTGAGCATGTTTGAAGCCCTGGGAAATAAGGGACTACCTGCGCATTCGGGAGGTTCAAGTATAAGACGGACATTGCCCGCTTGATCAAAGACACTCCGGTACCTGACAGAGCGCTTGCAGGTGGCTTGCTTACTTTTCAATGCGGATATGTCCGCACTACTAACAAGCAACTGACTAGGCCAAGAAGAGCACATCCTTCTTAGGTATGCGGGCTGTAGGACCTACGAAATGCTTCTGTGAGTGCAGTCTGCAGTCAGCGCTCATGCACGGTCCAGGTACGCGAGCGAGCGAATCATCGGCTCATGAACGTCGCCCTAATTAGGTTAGTTTCTATTGTATCTCCAAGGCTGTGGTGGTGAGGATAAGATCCTTCAGGATCTTATCCGGCCCCGGTTTCGTCAACTACCACCAAAAAAGGGGCCAAAAAGCTTCAACGGATCACACCGGTTACATGAGTTATGCTGCCTACACTGCAGCATCGAAATGTACTCTGTTTCTTTTTTTTTTTTTTTTTCTCTTCAAGGATGTCGAAATAATATTTTCTTTGGGCGCCATTGTGTCAAGTACTGCGTTTAACTCTAAGACTGAACCAATAATGATTTCTCAAGGCATTGTTTCGTTGTCTACTGCTTCAAGCCCAGATTCTAAATTTCCTCCAATCGCCCTTCAGCAATCCATGCGATGTGGATGTGGCGCCTCGGCCCGTCATCAAATGGCATTTTGAAACGTGGGATTGGGCTGAGCTTTACATTTACCCTTATGGATAAGAGAGTAGCACATTTACCTCATGCGGTAAACGCGTTGCGATCAGTCTTACATATTTGTTTCAGTATTTTCTAGATTCAGGTACCCGCCTACATTGAGGAGGTAAGCTTGTGGGGGCGTTTTATCCCTCGATGTCAAATTCCTGGCCCTCCACACTGCACGAAGAGAATCACCGGGGGGCGGAGTACCTTGGCAGATGTCAATGACAGGGGAAGGAAGTCAAAGGAATCATCATCTTACATCCTTGGCGGCTAGCTCAGTTATGCATAGCCCTCACAGACTAGGGTTGGGGTGCAGAGGCTGGGGCCGAATGATGGAGGCCAGACGAGGTGACCAGTGAAAGAGGGCCATCATTAGCTATCCTACAGTTTATGCAGTTGGTACAGCCTCACGAAGAAGAAAATGGCCCCAGAAAAGAGGCATATTGTTGGTTTTTGTACATTTCGTAGAGTTGGATAAGGCTTGGAGACTTGAGATAGAAGTTCCAGGAAAAGGTATAAGTACAGCGTCTTTGTCTGAAATATCCTGCTCATCATCAACAACAACAACAACAACAACAAACAGCTTCTCTAAGAACAATCTTCTCTATCTATCCAAATCTTCCAAGAATATCTCGTCTTTTCAAATCATTCAAAATGCAATTCACTGCTACCATCCTGCTGCTCGCCACCGCCGTCACCGGCGCCATTGCCGCTCCCGGCGCTCTCGAGCAGAGAGATAACTCCATCCAAATCAAGGCCTGCGATGGGCAGAACTTGGGAGGAACCTGCAGCACAATTACCGTCGGAATTCAGCATGACTGCTGTATGTGGCCATCCTAGCCAGCTCCGTTCTTTTCTCTTTTACGCCATCATAGCTAATTCATTATTTGCATCTAGTCAACCTGGAAGACAAGGCCGTCAACGACAATGTTCACTCGGTTTCGATCCCCCGGGGATACCGTTGCCGCTTCTGGGAGTATGTTCTCTCCTTGTGTCTTGATGGCAGGACCCCTGACTGACCTGTGCCTTTTTCTCCCCTTTAGAACCGATGCCTGCAACGGCGGTGGCACTGGCGACATCCAGTCCCCTGGAAGCGACAAGATCTCCTCCAACCGCGTCCAGTCTGTCAAGTGCTACTCCAACTGAGATACTCTCGGGCTTTCTCAGGCGATTTGTCAGCAATAGGCAATGGATGAATGAAGGGCTTGACGATTGCTGGGCCTAATACTCTTAGCTTATGAGATAAATGCCTGCTGGAATGGTGGCTAGGATGAGGCCTGTTTTTCGAAATGTGCAAACATGTATTATCTAGGTAGTTTGTTTCTGGTTTATGACATTCATCGAATACTTCTTGCCTTTGAAGGGCCAGAACTTGACATTCATTGTAACCTTGCTGAACTAGCACTATTCCTTGACAATCAAAAACGTGCTCAGTAAGCCAATGACACGCTTATCTCAAAGTTACAAACTCGAATCAACATTGTGGAAATAGGTTATAATGTAACATGTATTGATATTAACATGATCAGCTCTAGTGAAATAATTCTGGCTGAGCTGCCTTCGTATGTTCATGGCTAAAAAATAAGATGTCGAAAATACCTACATTATTTCTAGGACATGTTGTTGTGCAGTACCTAGTGGGCGGGATATAGAAAACTACCTATTATGTAGAGCCAATCGGTAAATGAGTAGATTGCTATTGCTGGATGCTCGCAGAACCAAGTTTTGAGCCCTCCATCACAGTGACACCTCCACTATACCGACAAGGTCAGTCAGTACCCGAAACCTACCCCAGACTCGCGTTGACCATAGGAATGATGCCGTTATCAATTGCCTCGGTTGATCGCCATCCAGACCACGTATGATCGAGTAGGCCTAGTAATCATAGTTAGTCGCTTTGCACGAACTCTGCACTCCAAGGATCAGAACAGGTGAACTTACCCCAAGTCTCATCATAATCCTGTATCCCCTCTCGGACATAATAACTTCCCGAAAGCACCCAAATCATCCATCCAGCATGCACACTAGGCAACCATTCCCTCAAGCACGAGGCATAAACTTCTGTATAGGTGGTATCATCCTGCGCGTATCCGAACTCGGTCATTACGACCGGAAGCACATTTACAATGCTCGAATCATTCGTCTCTAGGGCATCGAAGCCGTCGCTCAGCAAGCTAGATGACAGACTACTACAGCTGGTAGCAGAGGAGTCATAGTTGTGAAGCTCTAGTACAATCTTATCGGCGAAATCAAAATCGCTCTTCTTGAAGACCGTGCCGTCGCCTAAATCTGAGGCTGTCGGGATCGGTGAGAGTGTGACATCATAGTTGAGACCTGAGAAGAATAGAAGTAGGTCTGAATTGACGGAGTGCACTTGGTTCGCGTTCTCGACCATGTTGCTGTACCATGTCTCCCAATTGTAGGTGTCGTCTGCGAGTGTGGTGTTGTCGTCTGGGCTGCGGAGTTCATTGCGCATACCGATGCTTTTTACGGCTGGCAGGGATTTGACCTGTTTGGGAGTTACGTTAACTGTGAGGATTGAAGATAGAAAAATTACGCTGCTTACGTGCTCAGCCATATATTTCCATCCCCTATGCCAATTGCTCACGTTGAAGTAGGTGTCTCCGAACCAGGCATTTCCGTCGGTGGTCGAGCAACACCAACTTGCTTTGGAGACGTGGTTGTCCAGATGTACGTAAATGCCCTGACTGTAGCATTCATTGGCTACTGCATCGTAGACCTAAATTCCGTCAATAATTGAAGACACTAAGGTTTGAAAATTATGGCTTACCTCTAGTCGTGTAGTATTCTCCCCGAATTGCGGGTTATTACTGACAATATCGTCGTAGATCTTGGTTCCATTTGTCTCACCCAGAGCGTTAATCAATGACGTCTTAATCGGTACGTCCGCCCCGGTCTCGTAGATGTCATCGATCATCTCAATGGCAAAGGTAAGCCGGATGACGTTCATACCCAAATCCTTGATCTTGCCGACGATGTACTCGATGGATTGATACTGCAGACCTTCTGGCAACATGGCCACCTCAGCACCGGGCCAGTTGACCCCTGCGTAGGTGACATTGTTTCCGTCGGTGTCGACGATCCATCGGCCCGAAGTGGATAGAGGAGAGGAAGAAATAGAGGCGACGAGGCCGGGTGCTGCGAGGCAGAGCAAACTCAAGCTGTTGCCTAGATGCATTGTACAAGGTGCAATTTGAAGTTGATTCGATTTGTTCCCTCAGGGTGTTCTGCAAGTGCCTTTTTAAATGCTTGACATCGACCCTCCTGAAATTCTGCATCGTAAATGCACATCCTCGATACCCCTGCTGGTGACCGCATGATCAAGCCAGTTCCTGAGGACGTCGCCAATAAGAACAGTAGCGCAAAGCCAATTTCAGAGCCGTTGTCTGCAATTCGCTGTCATGTCTGTGGATAAGCTTGATTGTCAGGTTCTTCAGGCGGGGAAATGCAATACAGACATGCGTTCATTTGCGCAACACGCGTTGCAATATAACCGAATGGAGGGGAGTGCCTGAGCGATAATCGCGGGGAGAAATTATCCGCCTATGGATCTTAAAGTTTCTTCTGTCTTGGATTACTTCAGCATCAACTGCAGATCACAGAGTATCCAAGCTCTTGATAGCTATTTACCGATTAGGCTGTTTAGTGTATGCTTAAGGTTTGTTTTTTTTTCAAAGTAGCTTGTTATTTGAAGGCAGTGCACACAATATGGTATGACTTCTGTGGGGCAAAGAGCTCACCCGAAGACTGGCATTAATTCAGAGATAGGGTAATTCGTAAAAGAAGTAGGAGAATCAAATCACTGCGGAGTGTTCTCCGAGCGGGGTTGCATCTGCTGATTCTGTCTCGGTGCAATGACGTTGTTTGTCTTGCTGAAACTACTTAGGGTGCATGCATGCCCCGCCCTGGCGGGTAAGCCATTAGGGGAAATTAACCGATGGAGCTGGCCATTGCTGCAGTGGAGTGCACGCTCTGAAGATACAGGGATCTTGCGAGGAACGGGCTGAGGTACTGCACGGGATTGATCGCATTTCCATGTAAGTTCTGTTCGATGGTAATATCGTGCTCGTCTGACAGCCTTGTTACAGCCTCACCGATTGAAGGCAGATGGAATTGGATTTCGATCATTTTGCAAATCTGGAGAGGAGTTAGACAAGATGCCTATGTTCTTAGAGCTTAGTCACGGATGACTAGATGAGAAACAAAGCACTCGAGAATGACCTAAGTAAACGGTAGGCTGGAAAAAAGCCAGGGACTGGGGCATGACACCGAAAACAACTGCTTTCAATAATGGACAGGCGCGGTAGTCAACATACAGCCAGGTGATCTGTCTCTCACAAGTAACTCAGGCCAGTTTCTCACGTTATGTTATCTGAAATGACCATAATGCCTCATTGTGAAAATGCGATCGTGAAAGACCGTTACAGCCTGGATATTGCGTCAAGCAGGAGCGCATGAGAGAACGGGTTTGATACGCAGTAGAGGTCCTAAAAGAGGCTGAATGACCCAGTGATGAAAGAAACCCTCTGTACGCACCTGCGTCCTGCTGCTAAAGCAGTCAGCTTCCTGTTGCAAAGGTTGGTTTATAACAGTTTTCCGTCCTGATGGGAAAACATGTCAGCTTCAGAAAACACTGGAGTTCCGAGCCTACGAAATGACAGTGATTCATGCATACACTGCAAGATGCACTAGTGTCGTCCAGTGAGTTAGGAGAAATATTCGACACACACTCGGAGGAAGAGAGGAATTGGAAACCTAAGGCATCAGTGAGGCATCCAATAGGCCGAATCGGGACATCCCACCCATTCCTGCCGCCGACCGGCATCCCACCAAATCGCACCTTCTCATCTTCCAGAGATTTACATTATACAAGATATAGATCCAGAATAACGTATCTTCTACAATAGTTATCTCTTACTCACAGGCGCATCATGTTTTGTAACAGGTCTTGGAGGAATGGAAGACGTATTCTCCCCGCCTGATACCCCGCGTCCAAAGCCAGTCTTGGTGGGACCAGTTAGTGTCAGCCGAGAAGCTGCAGTTGCTGACAGCAGATTATCTCACTCCCTTGCTCGTGGATGCACACTTTACCTCTAACCTACATGATGAATAGATGCTTTGCATGGCCTAAACCTTGACATGGTTGTCGTTAACCTCGTAATTTGACTTCAACATGGGTTGCCTTATGACGTCCTTCTGATCGATATCGACGATCCCTTGCTACAATGCTACCCTACAATTTCAGTCCGATCGCTGAATACTTGTTCACATTGGCTTGAGAATGCTGGAATAAAGGCGCCATGGCTGTTCAATATTCCGGCACTTCTCAGTAAGCTGACTGCTTAGCAAGACGAGCTGACGTGGATCCTGGCCCCCAAGCTTACCAAGCTGCTGGAGTGGTCTTCCTACATCTACATGCTTCTCAACCTCGTACCCCTCCATCAATTGAGACACATGTCAATTCATTCTGGAGGTTGTGCAACCACGGCATGACCATGTCCCATCACGTCCTGTCCCACCTTCCAGTTCTCCAGGCCGCCTTGGGCGCCGACTGTGAGATCTTGCGCGACCCCCAAGACGCACGCTTTCAGCAACGTCTAGCTCGATGGACTGATATTGACCGGAAGGTTCCGGCTGCCATTGTTCTTCCTCGGACGGAGGATGGCTGTCTGAAGACGGTAAGATGAACCTTGCAGGTACACGGACACCGAGAATGGTAATTGACCCTGGATATAGGTGCGATGGGCCCTCAAATTAAGCATTCCATTTGTGCCCAAAAGTGGTGGTCATAGTCCATGGTCAACCATTGGAACAGAGGGAATCATTATCGATCTCAGCTTGCATTCTGATGTTCGCGTTGATGCGGGTGCAAGAACAGCAACCGTGATTGGCAGTGTTCTGGCCAAGGAAGTGTCTGTGCGCCTAGCAGAAGCGGGTCTTTTCACAGGTATGGCGTTCTAACTACCTATTGCCTGGACCTCGTCTAGTGTCCATCCTGACACATCAATCACACAGCACTCGGAAATGGCAACAGCGTTGGTGCCATCCCATACCTGCTTGGTGGCGGTGGCTCGATCACCAATTCCATCACCGGCTTCGGATCGGATCAGATTCTAGCGGCGCGCGTAATCACAGCAAAGGGGGAGCTGATCGAAGTTACAGAAGAAACACACCCAGACCTACTCTGGGCAGTAAAAGGAGCTGGCCAATTCTTTGGCCTCGTCACACAGCTCACCGTTCGTGCGCACCCTTTGTCGCTACTGCGGAAACAACAAGGCCTGATCTGGGTGGGGGGCTTTATCTTCCCACTTGATCGGGCGGTGGAGGTGGCTCGAGTTATGAAGCAGATCATGGATGATCCCCAGCACGCGACGGCGGGCCTCATGATGATCATTGCCCCGCCACCCGCGCGCATTCCATCTCTGGTGATTTCCGCCCGCTATACCGGTGATGAAGCTCCCGAAGTGCCATTCAAAGCTCTGTATGATCTTCAGCCCACCGCCACAACGGGAAGAGAGCTACCCATTCAGAATGTCAGTGATGAGCGAGAAGCGCTGTGCGCGAAAGGCGACTTCAAGAGATTCGGTATCGTAGGGTTGCATGAATTTCGTACCGACGGATTCGTGCAAGCCATCGAAGTCTGGAAGAAATTGATGCATGAGTGTCCTGATGCCATTAACTCAACTTTCAATCTACAGTGGGACTCACGACCAGTCAAGACGCCCGAGAAGGAGTCTGCCATGTCGTCGCATGATATCCGCTACTGGCAGTAGGTTTTTTTTTTGGCTCCTTTTGACGTTGCGATGCTAACCGTGAATGTGTTGAAGAGTCAATATTATCTGGCATACAGATGAGAAGAACAGGCGCAAGGTTGACGAGTACAACGATGAGTGCGTTGCCTTGATGAGGGGGCCGGACGAAACACGGTACATTGATTTCCAGAACGCGACTCGGACGGGTCCTATCCAGCGTCGGTACCGGGGAGAGGCTCGGCTAAAGAAGCTTCGACAGCTCAAAGGAGAATGGGATCCTCAGGGAGTTTTTACCAGGCAATTGCTGGATATTGATTGATTCCAAACAATTAACGAATGGGACTGCTTATAAAGACGGGCCGTTGTGCCCGATGTCCAGAATTGAGGCTTTATGAGACTCATTGACAATTGCACTGCACTGGGATTGAACCTCCAGAGATATCTTCCATCGACGTAGCCGTGAGCAACACAGGAATGAGAGATGGGTCGCATGTCTCAAACATGCATACTGTCGGCCTTGCGTGTCTTGTAGCCACGGCCATTTTATCCGCGGCGACCCGCGTATTCGCAGAGGCTAGGCATCCAACAAGCTCTGTAAGCTACTCCGAACCTCGAGAAGGCATCACCATTGTGTGAAATGCAGCCTCTCGGGCACCAGAAAAACCACCAGCCCAGTCAGGAAGGTGAGCGATTAGGACCACGGAAAATAAGAAACAAGAATCAGCTGGCCGGCGGAAGCGCGGTGGTAACCGGCGAGAGCTTATCACGGCAGCTCAGTCGGTTCTCCGATGCTCCCCCGGTGGCCCTAATTTGTCATTGGCGAATGGCCGCCATCCTCGCCCGGCTAGTGCCCGATAACACCAGGACTAACCGACGCGACGGCATTAGTTCCTCGATAGCGTGGGAAGACCATGGAGAGACCAGCCGATAAGCTGCAGAGGAGCTTTCTGTGGGCTGACCAGTGCCTATCAGCAAATGGACACGCGGTGACACCCCCGCAATCGCAAGACCGCCTCGACACCGTCCATCCAGGCACCATCGCAACGGCAAACCAGCCTCTCCTCCAATCAAACCATCGATATGATATTGCTAGCGGCGGTGAGAACAGCAGGTCGAATGTCGCAATTAATTCTCGCATCGTCCCTCACTGCAAGGGGCCCACTCCCAGAGCTCTGCGGCGTTGTTATTTAAATCCGTTGTTGGAACCTTTCGGTCATCAGCTATTGTGTCTGGTCACTATCGCGCTGGTTCAACCTCAACATGTTGGTCCGTCAGCTTGCCCTGGCTCTGGCCATTGCGGCCTTGTCCGATGCCATTCCGACGTCCATCAAGCATGTCCTGCACGAGAAACGTCACAAGCCCGCATCCGACTGGGTGAAGGGTGCGCGCGTTGAGAGCGATGCGGTCCTGCCTATGCGCATTGGCCTTGTCCAGAACAACTTGGACAAGGGCTATGACTTCCTGATGGAAGTGTGAGTCAAAATCTACCTTTTTTATGCTATATGCCTAGTTTTAGGATCGCAATGGATGACCTCGAAACATGCTGACATGAGGTTGGCGCAGATCGGACCCCAAGTCTTCCAAATACGGCCAGTACTGGTCGGCAGACGAGGTGCACGACATCTTTTCGCCATCCGAGGAGGCTGTTGAGGCAGTGAGAGAATGGCTTGTCGCCTCTGGTATCCATCCGTCGCGGGTGGTGCACTCCGACAACAAGGGCTGGCTCGCGTTCGACGCCTACGCCCATGAAGCCGAGAGACTGTTCATGACGGAATTCCACGAGCACGAGAGCGACCGAAGTGCTAAGATCAGGGTTGGATGCGACCAATAAGAAGATTCTTCTATCACCTTCCATGGGTAGCTGTTAATCGAAATCTAGATACCACGTCCCCGAACACATCCAGAAGCACATCGACTACATCACCCCTGGAGTGAAGCTCACCCAGGTCGTGAAGAGGACCAACAAAGTCAAGCGTGCTTCCCAACTAGCTCACTCTTCCAAGGCCAAGTCTGCTGCCCAAGGTCCGCAGCCACTCCCCAGCAAGGCCAAGTTCCTGCCTGAAGACCTCCGCGCCTGCGGTTACAACATCACCCCCTCGTGTATCAAGGCCTTATATCAGATCCCAGACGCTAAGACGGCGACCCCGAACAACAGCCTGGGTCTGTACGAGCAGGGTGACTACTTTGCCAAGTCCGACCTCGACCTCTTCTATAAGGAGTATGCGCCGTGGGTTCCCCAGGGTACCTATCCCATCCCAGCCCTGATTGATGGCGCCAATTACTCGGTTCCTTCCTACAGCTCCCTGAACACGGGTGAATCCGACATTGACATTGACATGGCGTGAGTCATTTCTGAACCTTGTCATCAGACCCCTACTGACGTACTGCCGTTTTAAAGCTACTCCCTGCTCTACCCTCAGCAGGTGACCCTCTACCAGGTTGACGACCAGCTCTACGAACCGGTCGAGGTCGACACAACCAATCTGTTCAACACCTTCCTCGACGCTCTCGATGGCGTGAGTACAGACCTCGTTCTCAGTCTTACCCAGCTAACACCCCCAGTCCTACTGCACCTACAGCGCCTACGGCGAGACCGGCGATGACCCGTCGATCGACCCCGTATACCCCGACACCCGCCCCGGCGGCTACAAAGGTACCTACCTACACCACCTCTTCCCCATACAATCCAACCTAACACGCCAACAGGAAAGCTCCAGTGCGGCGTCTACAAGCCCACTAACGTAATCAGCGCCTCCTACGGCCAATCCGAAGCCGACCTCCCCGTCAGCTACACGAAGCGCCAATGCAATGAGTTCATGAAGCTCGGTCTACAGGGACACTCCATCCTCTTCGCATCTGGCGACTATGGCGTCGCGTCTTTCGCCGGCGACGGTGACGAGAACGGCTGTCTCGGTCCAGAGGGCAAGATTTTCAACCCCCAGTACCCCTCCAACTGCCCCTACGTCACCTCCGTCGGAGGTACCATGCTGTACGGCTACCAGACCGTCAACGACAGCGAGAGCGTCATGCACGTTAACCTCGGTGGGACCGCAAGTAACTTCAGCACTTCTGGTGGCTTCTCGAATTACTTCCCCCAACCGGCATATCAGTTCGCTGCTGTGGAGCAATACTTCCAGTCTGCGAACCTGTCGTATCCGTATTACTCGGAGTTTGAGGTCGATGTTAACACGACCAAGGGCCTCTTTAATAGGCTTGGTCGCGCTTATCCGGATGTCTCGGCGAATGGAGCGCATTTCCGCGCTTATATGGATGGATACGATTATCATTGGTATGGATCGAGTTTGGCGTCGCCTTTATTCGCGTCGGTTCTTACTTTGGTGAGCTTTGTCACCCCCATCATTATTTAATGATACATTGCTGACAGACTTAGCTCAACGAGGAACGCTTCGCTATCGGCAAGGGCCCCGTGGGATTTGTGAACCCCGTGCTTTATGCTTATCCGCAAGTGCTGAACGATATCACTAATGGTACTAATGCTGGGTGTGGAACGTATGGGTTTAGTGCTATTGAGGGGTAAGTGCTCAGTACTTGGTTCAATCAGGAGTGGTGTGCTAATTGATGACTATAGATGGGATCCCGCTAGTGGTTTGGGTACGCCTAATTACCCATTGATGAAGGAGCTGTTCCTCTCTTTGCCTTAGGATTGAACGGTGCTGTGTCAGAGGGTGATAGATGGTCCAGCTGTGTATATATCTCTGATGAGGAAATATTTACGATCATAGGATAATGTGTAGACGAGCATGAATGGTTATTTATCTCACCCGTCACCGTGAATAAGGTCAAATGTAGATCGGTTTAATAGTTCAACTACAGAGAATTCTTGGATATTGTCAGAAGTTGACTATTCGCTGTCTCTTTATCGTCTAATGTATAATATCATCAAATAACCTAACCCAAGGGATATCAAAAACATAAGGAAATAATAAACCGGTACTATATGTCGAAAAAAGGAATGTTTGTGAATTTTTAAAACCGTTCATACCTCCCGTCCATGTCCACCAAATGCACAGCGCTGGTCGAATCCCTCTCCGACCGTGTCGTATAGTCAACGGAGATATTCACTGACTTGGAAATCTTGCTGTTGGTGACCCCTGAGGAGGCACCTCCGTTGTTGTACAGAGAGTTGGTTCGGCCGTAGGTCCGTCGTTGTGTGCTGCCGGGAAGACCTGGGACGTATTGGTTTATGAACGCGCGGGCCGCGGGGAGACAGGTCGTCATGATTGCGATCTGGGATTCGATGACGGACCAGTGAATGAGGGGCTGGAGACCGGCTGTAAATACATTTATGTGTTAGTGGGTGGACTTTGGAAAGGTTGCGAGGTGGGTGAGGTGGTACCGGTCAAGTTGGTGGTCCAGCGGTTCTCCCAGAATACTATCACACGAATGATGGCGATAATAGTCAAACTGAGAAAATCTTTGTTAGCAAAGCTGAAAGGGGGTGAATGAGTAGGTGAGCCTTACATAAGACCCATCATGAACATCAGTGCCACATTGATCTTCTTCATCCATGGCAGCTGCAACTTGGTCACTTCGTAGATCGGTAGGAGGACGATGACGACGTCGACGAAAATGTTGACAAGGCAGTGGACCATAACTGCTGCGATGAAATTGATGCATGTGCCCACGCCCTCGTATTCGCCGGTCCAGGAATCCCAGTCCAGGTGGACTGGCACGCAGCGAAGCAGATCCACGAGGGAGAACGTGATGCCGATGGCGGCGTTGATGGCGATAAGTATGTATGCGCATACGCGGAAAACACGGGACTGGAAGATTCGCAGCAGGAAGAGTAGGACGGATATCTTGCAGAGAGAGATTTGGATCTTGTACATCATCGCCAGACCTTCGAAGTACTGGAAGACTAATGTGACGTGGTGGAAGGGTAAGATATCCCAGGTATTCATGCCGAAACCATATTTGATCACTATTTTGTCAGTCATGATGCCACGGGATGAAGGATGATAATGACTTACTGTATGTATTCACAACAAACAAGGCAACTCCCAGTATCTACTAGTTTTTAGAGGCTCCCCTGGTCTCAGGCAATGCAGCAGCACTTACCCATGCGATCGTGACAGTGAGGTCGTCAAGTCCCCAACCACCAGCGAGGTTTGCGAGTTTAGCAGCTATCCGGATAAAGAAGAATATCGTGGCGAGGATAGCTGGTGCAAGAGTCGAAGGATCGACAAGAGGGGGCCCCTTCTTAATGGGCTGATCGCATTCCATTTCATACATATGCCGCGTGACTGCGGGGTGTTAGGTATATTAAACCGTCAGTGCCAGCGGAAATGGATACTCACTATAGTAATCCAGTGCATTGCAGTTCGATAGTGCGCAAGTCACTAGCGACGACTCGCTCGCATCGCCGGTACATACACATGATGCGTCGGTGATGGTGCAATTTGGAGATTCTTGGTGCAAACAAGACACCTGGGGACATGGTCAATGATGAAAGCGGAACCCCCGGGTGGGAATCCCACTTACCGCACACTCTGGGAATTCTGTGCCATTTGACGACGCGGCGAACACAGACACCGTCAACGCCGCCAATATGGTGATTAAACACTGATGTATCTTCATTGTGATGTGAGATGTAACTCAGAGGAGCAACATCCCAGGACAGAGAGGCAACAGGCAAACGGGGAAGCCGCTCGACGGAAAAGGGATTTCTCCTGGTCACCCTTTATAATCAATCTTCCTCGGCACATACGCCATGTGGATTTCGAAACACCAGTCGATATTCGTCAGGAGCAAGCTTTTTTTCTACGGGGGTGTGCTTGGCCCGAGTTCCCTTCCCGGTATGTGTGTGGTCCAGACTCCCGGTTCGTCCAGCGATCGTTATGATGGAGAAATCTGAGCGTATCGATAAAATGGACGAGTTGGGTTTGCTTCCCGAAGTGACGCAGCTTGATTTTGTGGATGAACATGCCTTGAACTGGGCGGAAGTGTGCGCGATCCATTTTGCATAAGGACCGTGGGTTCAGTGAGACACGGGCGTTTCCACGAGGAGAGGACCAATCCGAGGGGGCATGGCTGGCTGGGCGATCGGACGCAGGACTGCATCCGTCCGGTTGGAACTTAGATTATAGAGTGGATACTACAATCCGGTCCACTTGAAGCCGGATCTGAGACACCAGTTGGGAATCATCTACCGATGCCCACCACTCCCCTCCAATCACCTGGCGAGTGGGCATTTGGAATGCCGCTTTCCTGACTCGGAGCAGGCGATGACCCTGTGCGTCTCCCGCGCCCAGCTTGACTCCATGTCGCTTAGAGTCTTGGAAGGATAGCAACGGGAACTCCCATCTCAACTGGATGTTCGGTTCGAAGCTACGAAGGCGAGATGTCCTGACTCGTCTGGAGTTCTCGGCGCTATCTCGCTTGGCTGTAGTACAGGCACTAACGTGCAAGTGACTTTGGTGATGAAACGGAGACCTATTCATGGGTTGTGGGCGAACTCAGGAAAGGCACGTGGACCGCCTTCCAAGAACTTCCAAGAAAAAGTGCCGGACCTCGGTCCTGTTCCGTACACTTACAGACGTTGCAATCCCTGGATTTAGGGCACTGGGAGGCGTTGTGCGTGCCAAAAAATGGGGAAATAATATCATTTTAAGCTCAAGTTAGCGCGCCAAGCGGCTCGTCGTTTGGAATTTATGTGATTTCCGACACCGCTTGCTTTTCCAGGCTTAGTGCCAGTCAAAATCTTCGCGCTAACCCAGAACCGATTAATTTCCACGTGGAGAGCCTCGCTGGCTGCCTGAGGATCTGCAGCAGCTGCCGCTTTGTCCCATCATTCAGCATCCCAGTGGTTGTAGTGACGCGGTCGTTGATCTATCAGAAACACCATCAAACTATTACCCCCAAATATCTCGCTATCAGCGTTCTATCGTGCAATTTAGCAGCATCTGCCAAAAACTCTCCTTGGCTTTATGATCGAAATTTTCTAATCTCCGCCCATCTCATACCGAACTAGGTCATATTAAATCTGTGTCGATCAACCAAAAATAACTGCGCGGAGTGTCCCGTTAATATAAATGTGTCCCGCGGAAGTCGGTATAGTCAGCTTAGCTGCACTTCCTTGCCACTAGGACTATACTAGAAGGACTTGCAATTTATTTCGTGACACCCCTGAAAGGTGCACGAGCAAAATCAGTTAGGGGGTGCCTTAAACTAATGTCGGCCTGTCATGTCGAAAATTTCCCGTGGCGCAATGCACCTACCAAGGCAGCTGCATTCAGATCTTCCAAAATCATTCTCATTGGGAGAAGTCTAGAACGCTGTCTTTTCAAGGCTACCCCTCGTTATTCCTCTGTGGGAACGCACACTCAAGAGTACTGTGGTGTGCAGCCATGTGGGATTAATTTCCGAGGACCCATATTCTATTATGTATCTAGAAGCCGTCTGGGAAGCGGAAAATCTGCCCGCTTATGCTTATTATCACTACTAAATTGCCACAAGCTTGAATTAGATTACTTACTCCATAGTATGCTTGGTTCACGCCCGTTCATATCCCCCTTGTGGCTTTGGAGTTACGGCTATTGTCATCAATCCTCTTCCATTGTCCGGGAATGTCCTTGGTACTATGCAAATAGGTTCTCACCAAGAAGAAAGAAAATATGCGATTCACCATATCTTCAGCGAAGAACCCGCGACTTCTACAAACCCCAAACCCTATTCCATAGGTACAGAACTTTGAAGGTGCGCACTGAGGCATTCACATCAGGTCACTATCTCTGCCCACTGCATCTACCGAAAACTGGATTCACTTTATGGTCGCTCAACAACCCAGGATAACCTATATAATTCCCCTGCCTATCTCTAAATCTACTCGACATGACTTTACTGTTCCTGCAGGACGAGCGGATCCCTGCATCCTGCAAGAAAGCATCGAGTGATATCCACACCCCGATTGGACCAGCTTACTAAGACACTCCTTATCGCTAACTAACTAATCATCGGTCGATCAGCTGATTCCAGCTGAACCTCCAACTCGAACCAATTCCCTCGCAACTTGACCTCCTCTCGTCAGTCGCAATCCAGCAATGCAATATCCACCTCTGTCATGAGCGACCTGCTAAAGTCTCGCTGGGCTCCCAGCCCAAGCGAGCTTCAAGCCCAAGCCGCCGCTCCCTCCACAGCCCGGCCAAAACTCCCCCCCAAAACCAACACCAAACGCACACCATCCCCCGTCAAGCAACCCTCTCGTCAATCCTCCCCGCGCCCCTCCCCCTCCAACCATCTCTCCCGCTTCATGAAAATCATCGAGCGATTAAAATGGAAACTGCCCTACCTAGCCTACGGCTACCGCCTCGCGACCCTCGACCCTGCCACCAGCGACTTCGACGTCTCCCACGCCGAGATCATGTTCAAGCTCGATTTCCACGAATACTACTCCCTCCTCGAGCGCGCAATTGTTCACCTCCTCAGCGTCTTCGGTATCTCTGTGTCTTCTGCTTTCGCGCGCAATCATCTCGCCGCGTACGACTCCACTCCGCTCTCGACCCACCGATACCATGCGAATGTGTTGGAAGCGCTGCAGGATGAGAACAGTCCCCTGCATGCTGTGCTGGGACAGGGCGAGGTCCATGAACAATTGCAGCGGGCGAAGGAGTTGCGGAATCGTTGGAAGACGGCAGATCTGACCAAGGAAGAACTGGAGAGGGAGGATAAGTGGGCTGCGAGGCGGAAGGGGAAGGCTATGCCGCTGGCGAGCTATGATATCGAGAAGATCCTCTCGGATATTTTCCAGGGGTTCGATGATGCGTATTTAATTGCGCACGAGCATGTGGTTGCGTGTGACGGGGCGGTTAAGATGGATGTTGCATTGCATGGAGAGTCGGATGCAGACTGGGATTTCATTGTCGGTGCAATGGATTGGGAGGCTGTTTGAGCGGTCGGTGTGGCTGTCTGTTATTGTTAGCGATGTTTCGGGTTAGAATTGCATGGTCAGAGTTTTGGTTTTGGGGCTATCTGTTTCTCCCCTTACTGTTTTGGCTGCATCGCAGGTGGGGTTTTGTATAGTGGACTGGTGGGAGTGATAATTGATGGATGTACAGGCTAGATTGTTCTTAGATGCATGTTATTGTTAGCTCTTTTGGAATAGGTATCATTATACCCCACGACTTATGCAATAATTTAACGTCCCGCTAGTAATCTCCAGTTCGCTCTGGTACTACCCGAGGACTACTACTGCAGTTGTATCTATTCAAGGTTGTATACCAGTATCTGCTCTCAATTCGAGCGATATTACAATGTATATTCTTGGAACAATGACTACTATCGGCCCATCTACATTCGTGAGTACTAGGCGACGCAATAGACGTGTGACTCTGCAAAAGTTTCGGTGAATTCCACGGACGGATTGATTGACGCGATGCATCATTGAATCTGTTTAGTCCTTTCCTAATGATAATTAAGAATGCCACCAAAATAGATTGCTATTATTACATTATGTTTGGAGGGACATGAAGAACAATAAGAGGAAAGTAGAAGAAGAAGAGAAAGCCAAACGCCAAACTGATGGGGGTATGTAGAGTTCTGTCGTCAAAGTTAGGTCATATCATCGTAACAATCTTTAAGGGTGCGCTCCGCCTCATAACCCCAATAGCAGCTGATGAGCTTCACAAAAAGACCTATCTCAACCCATTGATCATGCGTCTTTGCTCTCGCTCAAAACAGTCCATATTCGGTTTCCACTTAATGTCGAAGGACTGGGGGGCTTGCTTGCTGTTTTTGTTAGGCGATATGACGCCCAGTGGCAGGCGTCGTCCATTTTGGATTATTGAGCGCTCAAAGTCAATGAACATCACGCGGCCGTTTCGCTCATCCCAGACTATGTTTCCGGGAATCGGGTCACTATGTAGCACACCCAACGCATGAACAGCTTGCAGCGAATTGGCTGCTTGTTGCAGCATCTGATCAGGATCAAGACCACGCTGTCGGACGAGGGTCTTTCCAGCATAGCCCATGCAAATCAGGTGGACCATTTCGGCAATACCGTCGTAAGAAAACGGACGACGGAGTGGCAGGCCGCCAAGAAAGACGGGTATCGACGTTCCTTGGATTGGAGTAAGACGTGAATATACAAGCTCCTCGTGTCTTGCGCTTTGTACAAACTCCACGGGCACTCCTTTGCCGACAAATGTATAGCCGTGGGAGTGGAGAGTGATCTTGAAAAGTGCGCCACGCGTCCCGTGCACGTGCAAGGATTCGCATCCTAACTTTGAATCAGGATGCAGCTTGTCATTGGAGAGCTGCTTGTCCAATTTCCGGATCAAGGTTTTCCGGTTAAGTCGATGCCGATCAACACCATGGTCGGACACGTTAGGGCACTTCAGATCTAGATCCCCGCCTTTAACGAGGCCCTGAAGGCACTCCTGTGTGCAATACTGCCGTGATGAGCCTTGCGAGCGTGAACCTTGTGGCCCCTGTCTCCCTGGTGCGGAGGAAGGTGGCGGGCGAAGTATGCGGGACTCTTGAGGTTGTCGACTCGGTGTGTCGGGGTCGTAACCGTCTCCGCTGTCATCTGAGCTAGCCGATGCCGAGTCTCGCGATGGATTACAGGACGCAATGGCCGCAGACCTAGACCTGGTCTTTACTGGAGATACACGACAGTACTCCTTCCGGCTTCGCGTAGGCGGCTTGAATTCAGATGAAGGGATATCCTTCTCCTCGATTTCAGCTAGAAGAACATCGTAAACCATCTCCCATGTCTTCAGTCTGCTCGTTGCCCAGCTTTTCCAAGTGACATCTCGTACGGGCACTCGCAAAGCGCGGAGAGTGAATGCCAATACCTGGCCTATTGCGGTTAAATGTAGTCGATTCTCGCCACTTGACTCGTCCATCCATCCCGTAGTCGGTCCAACATCCTCCTCGGGCACTGATAGGTAGTAGTATACGGTTTCAGGGTCGTCCGGAGGCACACGGAGGAATATGAATGCTTCACCGGTGCACACATAACCGTACTCTAGCCCGCCCTGGATCATATAGGAGAATGCTTGCGTAATGACTGCCGCTATAATGCGACGACAGATATCTTCGGGTGGTTCTTTCTCTTGGAAGCGAAGGACTTCATCAAGGTCCATTTCTTGGAGGCCGGCCTTGATATGAGCTAAAGAGACTTTGTGAGGCGCCTTGTATTCAACAATGAAGGCTGGAATCTTTTCGTCTGGTCCATTGTTATAGACACAGAACTGGTCTGCTCGAGGCCGAGGACTGCGTACCTGTGCAGCTCGCTGGACTCCCATCCTCTGCTCCGCTGACTGACCAGCGCTGCTTGATTTTGCTGCCAAACGCTGAGAGCGACAGCGATTATTCTGGGTTATGGTAAGGGAGTCCATGTCCGCAGCAAGATTTGAATCATCCGTCAAAGTATTGCCATGGTTTTCGAAAGAGATTTTTCCATTCAAGCAGAAAGTTTGCCGGAGTTGATGATCTGCATGCAGCTGTTCGACGACTGAGGAGACGCGCGACTCCATGGTCTGTCGTTCAAAGTAGCCCAAATCCAACTCTGAGCTTACCATTCTTTGCCGGGTCTCCTTTCCGTACTCCTTTAAAACCACCAAAGGTGTGAAGTGACGCTCCGTCACGAATTCAGCATCCATCAGGTCCTCCCATACCAACGCCTGCTCGGCTGGAAAGCTGGTCCACTCCCGAATCTTCTCCGGGCGAAGTTTACGGTCGGCATTTGCTGGATCTCCCTTGGTAGAGGAGTCTTTATCTTGCTGGATGCTCAGCCCAAGGAATAGATGCACATGGCAGGCATCAAGGAATTCGGGAAGCGTGGTTTGTTGGGTCTGGAGCCGCAGTTGCAACTCCGCTTGCTCACGGCGCCTCTGTTCTTCCAACTGAATTCGTTCCGCCCGCTCCCGCAACAGGCGCTCCTCTTCAAGACGCTGGCGTAACTCTCGTAGCTCCTGTAACTCTTGAGAGGACATTGCGGCCTGTTGTTGATAGTAGGAGCCATCATCCGGCCAATGTTTTGGGTGGTTGTTTTGTTTCTTGGGGGGGACTCGGTTCGGCGGGTGGAACGCGACTGGCCGATGAATGGATGTGATCCAATCACGTGCCCGTCATTCGCTCCGAGGCCCACAATCCTTTTAGTAGACAGGGGGTTTAATCACCCTTGTGAATACAGGTGTGTATACTACACTATCTGTTAATACTATTTGTGAATAAACCAAATCATTCGCATGTAGCCTATATACACAGTCTGACAGAATTACACCTCAATTGAGCCCAAGATAGTATTCACTCCCCATCCCGCTGTCTTCCACCAACAATACTACTCAAGGAAGGGGAAGAAAACCCCGGTCTGCAACCAAATGATAAGTCTTTCACTGCTTCAAGGTAAGAACTCCTGGCCTCCAGGGCAAGAGGTTGTAGTCGCTATTGCTGTTGGGGTCATGGCCCTGGTAGAGAAGCTGAAGGTTGCAAGGATCGACCGTCATGGTTTGATCAGGGTTGTTGCGGACCAAGTCACCATGACTGATGTCGTCGGTCCAGGTGGCGCCACTGTTGGCTTTGCCCGCGAAGGGTTGATCTTCACTTGCCGCCTGGGCTGTCCACTCTCCGCCGAGACTGCTGGCCGTGAAGGAGCGGAAATAACGATGTCCGGTGGAACCGATCGCCTCGACGATCATGAGGTACTTGCTGTCACCCTCGCCGCCGTCGACGGTGTACACTTGGACCGCCTCGAACAAATCGTTGGTCGCGCCGCTGAGGATCTCCTCGTACTGGCTGCCGAAGCTTCCGGGGAAGTCATTGATAGACATGCTGGATCGGTAGATCTTGCCATTGTCGCCGGCAAAGAAAAGATACATATTCGTATCATCACCAATCACAGTCTGATCAATGGCACCGGTACTTGAGCCGCTGATTTTGCCCGTGAAAAGAGCTTGCTCGGATGACCAGCCGTTGACATTGGTGGGATCTTGAGAGGTGCGGTAGGTGAAAGTGCTGGAGCCCCATTGGTAGGCCAGAACCCAGATACTCTTCGGCTGGAAGTAGAACAAGGTTGGAGCTACGGCGCTGAAGCTTGTGGCCGTTTGACTAGCGGATGCCATGTCAGACCAGTCCGAAAAGGCGCCAAAGCCCATCGAGCCGTAATTTCCCTGTGTGTCGGTAGTGGACGCATAGACAATATGTTTGCCGTTAGAGACGACATCGGTGAAGTCCTTGAGTGCGGTCCATCCAGACTTTGGGGTTGCGAGAGCATCGGTCGAAGTCCAACTATATGTCGACGGAAGAGCGCATTTGGCGTTGACAAAGGGGGCTAATGCAATGAGGTAAATGCCAGACGACAGCAAGCTACCTTTAGCTTGGAGGAACTTCATCTTCGTATGACTTTATCCGCTGAGGAACAAACAAAAGAGATCAGTGGTTGGGATTGTGGTCCACAGAGAACGAATAACTTGAACAAAGGGCAATAGCTTGTCCAAATATTTGTATTTATGGCTCATGGTGATATCCACATATGCGGAAGAACAATCCGGATTTATCCAAATTAGATGACACCTGAAAGGTTTCGGATAAAGGTGGGCTGCTTGGTTATCCCCCCACTTCGGCTTGGAAAGTGCAATCCTCCTTTGCTCAAGCTCTTTTTGACACACTATTCAGGGTCCTTTCCTATGGGGGAAGATGATCGGCCTGTTGCCTAAACTACGGAGTACATTAGCCAGAAACAATCGCCCACCGGAACGTTGCCGTGTCTAGAACGGCACTTAAAACTGCACTACACCGTGTTATTCTATCATTACACCACAATATCCGCCCATCGGCTTAGATTCGGGGAAATGGCTGCTGTGAGAAAGCGAATAACTCCGGGCATCGAAAGTCTAGACGTGGATCCTGATGGCGCTAAGCAAACTGGTTCTACCCTGACACATAGCCGCCCTGATCTTGTTTCACCTTAAAACACAATGGCTTCCAGTACTTTCGGCAGGCAGTTGACAGCTGTCGGAAGAAGAGATAATGATATGGCTATCACCATAGATGCCAAAGATATCCTGATCAAAAAAATATTGTTAGTAATTTCAAACTGGTTGGACTTTTACAGGTCGGTATACTTTATTGGCATACCCCAGAGATTTCCTGCAGAATTCCATTAGATCATCCGCAGGCTCCCTGCAGCATTGATTAAGGAACGAATCACCGGCTGTACCCAACTGCTATTCTTACAGGGCTAAATAATTGTGGAACCGAGGCAGGCCCTGGACCCTGATGGATGAACATTGGCACTTGGCAGGTCATTTGGACGACCGTGCAACAAGTGCTCCACTCCTGAAATTAACATACGATTGCTTCTCGGCGTGTCGGCTGAGAATATAGCCTACTCTAACCAAACATGTCAAGAGCGCCGGATAGCCTGCCTAAACGCCCTTGATCATCCGTTCAGGCTAATCAGGGTTCATGTATCATCCTCCCATTCTGGGAAATTCGGTAGAGAGCTAGATGAGGCAGATGGAGTCAATCCTATCCTATCGACACATTCTGGAGCGGGATGTTTGGTTCCGCGGCTTGGAGTGTTCCAGTTTCACATCCTCTTTGCCTAGAAATATTGAGTATCATGGTATATAAATACTTCAATCCCTCTCTCTCTCCTCGTGAAATCTATCTTAATATTCTACTAGTAGTCCATCATCATCCTCTTTCGACTCTTCCAAGAAGGTATATCGTTTCTTGCCCAACATGGTTCAGATCAAGGTAGCCGCACTGGCGATGCTTTTCGCTAGCCAGGTACTTTCCGAGCCCATTGAACCCCGTCAGGCTTCAGTGAGTATCGATACCAAATTCAAGGCTCACGGAAAGAAATATCTTGGAAATATTGGTGATCAGTACACCTTGACCAAGAACTCGAAGACTCCGGCAATTATCAAGGCCGATTTTGGCGCGTTGACTCCAGAGAACAGCATGAAGTGGGATGCTACTGAACGTAAGTACAATCCCCTCATCATTATCATTGCGACTCAGACTAAATCAGAAGTATAGCCAGCCGTGGACAGTTCTCTTTCTCAGGATCGGACTACCTGGTACGTACAGCACTTCTCAACCCTTCACTATAATCGTGCTCGAGGCTTACAAAACTTAGGTCAACTTTGCCCAGTCTAACAACAAGCTGATCCGCGGACATACTCTCGGTGAGTTTTTGACGTACTAGCGTGGGAAGCATACCAAGACAGTGAAGCTAAACTCAACCAGTGTGGCACTCGCAGCTCCCCTCCTGGGTCCAATCTATCACGGACAAGAATACACTGATCGAAGTCATGAAGAATCACATCACCACAGTGATGCAACACTATAAGGGCAAGATCTACGCCTGGGTAAGCTGTCTATCCAATTGGATAAAATGTCATAACTGACCGTTCTCAGGACGTTGTCAATGAAATTTTCAACGAAGATGGCTCCCTGCGTGACAGCGTCTTCTACAAGGTCATCGGCGAGGACTACGTCCGGATCGCCTTCGAGACTGCTCGGGCTGCAGATCCCAATGCAAAGCTCTACATCAATGATTACAAGTAAGTCATGTTTGCCTCTTTCCTGTTACCAATTGGATACTAAACTTGAAAAGCCTGGATTCCGCCTCCTACCCTAAATTGACCGGCATGGTTAGCCATGTCAAGAAGTGGATCGCAGCTGGCATCCCTATTGATGGAATCGGTAAGCCCCTTGTGATCAGAGGTTCCCGGCTATTATTTCTCATCTTTCTTCAAAAGGTTCCCAAACCCACTTGAGCGCTGGTGGAGGTGCTGGAATTTCTGGATAAGTATTCCCTCCCCTTTATTCTACCTGACGATAGCTGATAGCCCCTTACAGCTCTCAATGCTCTCGCAGGTGCCGGCACTAAGGAGATTGCTGTCACCGAGCTTGACATCGCTGGCGCCAGCTCGACCGACTACGTGGATGTAGGTCGCGACAAGCCAAGTACATAGTGTGATTAACTGATACCAATTCTGCAAATCTACAGGTCGTCGAAGCCTGCCTGAACCAGCCCAAGTGTATCGGTATCACCGTTTGGGGAGTTGCTGACCCGGTAATTACCCCTGCAGTCCGGATGATAAGTCTTGCCTTAAAACATGAGCTAATTTCAATCAGGATTCCTGGCGCTCCAGCTCCACTCCTCTGCTGTTCGACAGCAACTACAACCCGAAGCCTGCATACACTGCTATCGCAAATGCTCTCTAGATCCGGCAACCACTCCGATCGGATTTCCGGGAAGGCATAGCCTTATGAGGTAGAGGACGCTCTGTTGCCTGCTGCAACTTTGACTCTGCCATATCTGCCCATAGCAAAGGGTTGTATTTTTTTTTCTGTACTTCTTCCACTTTTGGCCATTACAATCGTTTCATTTCTAAGTGTGCGCACATTCAGTAGATCTGAAGCATCCACCTCTAGTGTAGCTCTACTTGTCCTTAATCCCAGTGGAGTACTCTATGCCATTGCACCCCACAGGTGGGGCCGTAGCATTAGTACTTTACTTTGTTAGTCTAAACCCTGATGCGCCGATGTGAAGCACAAGCACTCTTGAAATGAAGGACATGTCTCAGATACCCCGCCCCATAATTATAACAGCCATTTAAGGTCCTTGCGGCACGCGGTTGGAGAAATAGAGTGGGCTGGCTAGTCTGTTTGGCTTTATTAATAACCAACTTGGCATTGGCTGAACATCGGACTAGTCGTTCATTAAGGTCCTCGCTTAGCATCCTGCAGCATTTAGTGCATGTAACCACGGCAATTCAAGGTGCGAGCGACTGCCGAACAATGTGAAATAGATTCCCATTTCAACCTTCCTTCGGGATACTGGGTATTCTCTGCAGTCGTACTTCGCGCCGAGGTTCATTCACTTAATCATGAGATTTAGCCGGATCTAACTGAGGACTGCTTGGAGATCAGACCGTCCTCCGGTTGACTTTGCACTCCCAGATTGAACAAGGAGTTTGTTTCTACTAGATGCTATCGACAATATACGGATATGCATTCAGGCTGTGCCATTTTCTTTCTACCGGTGTAAGACTTCGGCGTCCTTGCAGATGTCTTCAGACGTAATGAATCGGGATGCTTTCCCACGGTTAGTCACATGCATCGGCGATAGGCTGCATAGCGACGTCTACAAATCTCTTTCGCGATCAAATGAAAGGACAAAAAGCTATTAGTTATATTAGCAAATTTTAGCTGTGTAATGCCGTCACTCATACAAATAGAAGGGGAGGCTGATAAAGCGACAATTAGAAGTACTCTGGAGTCATCGGCTTGTGAAGCTCGGGCAATCAATAGGAGGATGAAAAAGTGACCTTATAAGAAAATCAACTGCTGTCGTGCGGAGGATGTGTATGGCAATTGTGTCCGTTATCATATGATTTAGGATGGATAGCTGAATACGCAAAGTTAGACTGGAGGAATGGTGCGCTGAAATGCTTCCCTGACAGCTATTATCTATGACGACTAAATTACTTTGATTATCTGCATTCACTACTTGAATAACAACCTGACAGAGGAGCGGTGGAGCACTGAAAAGTGGTTGAGGAAAATCTTACTTTTCGTCCGACAAGCTAGATTGAGATAGTTTACCAATCAATTCTTGCCAAAAACCTGATCTCAATTGACTTTATAGCCATCGGGCACTTCTTCCATGGCGCAGCTATTAAACGCAAACACAGATGAATTCATCGAAAGTCTTATAAGCAGCAACAGAGAACTCCTAGATTGAGATGTGGTCTGCCTTTCATGTAAGGGTTAGTGTACCAATACTATCACAAATATATGTTTTCACAATACTATCAAACATGCTATCATCGGGTCACAGCCAGCATGTCCTCCTGACTGGGGCCAATGGATTTGTCGCATCGCATATCCTCTTCCTACTGCTTGAGGTAGTCACTCTGACTCTTAAAAGAGACGCGTAGTATCTGACAAGTGCAGCGTGGCTATGCGGTAACCGCGACAGTGCGATCTCAGGCCAAAGCAGACGATGTGATCGAGACCCACCCCGACTGGAAAGAGAAGGTCAATTTTGTGATCGTGTCGGATTTCACCTCACAGAAACCATTCAACACTTTGTTCGAAGAGAGCGAAACTCCCTTCGATTATGTTATCCATGCGGCATCGCCATTCAATTTTGGCATTAAGGATTTCCAGAAAGACATGATCGAACCGGCGGTTAAGGGGTAAGTGTAAATCTTTTGCTCAACCGTGCTGTAGCCGCTAATTTGCACTTTCAGGACAACTCAAATCATGGAAAGCGCTCACCAACACGGTGGAAGCACGCTCAAACGATTTGTCTTATTGGGAAGCGGTGTTTCCGTACTTGATTCTTTCCAAGACATTGGTCGAGAAGGAAACCCATACACCGAGAAAAGTTGGAATCCAGTTCGTCTTCGAACATTCGAGCTCAGCAAAAGATCTGCTAATGAAAGCCTAGGTAACTGTGCAACAAGCGATTGACCGTAACGACACCGTGTTGGGTTATAGTGTTTCCAAAACCCAAGCCGAGCGTAAAGCCCGGGAATTCATGCAGGCAAAATGCCCCAAATTCGATCTTACTGTCATCAACCCAGTAATCATCACCGGACCTATGATCCATCCAATATCCGGGAAGGTATCGATCAACGAAAGCAATCATTTCGCGATTTCTAGCTTCATTGACGGGACCCACCCCAAGGTCGAGGACGTGCGGCTTCCATTCTACCACTTTGTCGACGTACGCGACGTGGCGAGGAGCCATGTGGATGCACTTACCAATCCGGCTGCTGGAGGGCAGCGTATCCTGCTTGTCTCGGGGCTTATCACACCGCAGCTGGTCGTCAATATCGTTCGAAGACAATTCCCAAAACTGCGCGATAACGTTCCAGCCGGTAAACCGGATAAGGTGCTACCCGAGGGAGTGCGTCCTACCGGGTGGGATACGCGAGTTAGCTTGGACGTCCTATCCAAGGGGAAGGGCAGTCAGTGGCAGTAAATTGGCTTGGAGGAAAGTGTGAAGGATGCGGTGCAGTCTATGATTCAGCATAATCTTTTGCCTGATTAATGTAACCCAACTTTGTATTTTAAGGGCTCCATTTTCAGAGACTGATCTCAGCCTTCCATTGTTGTGGTCTGACAGGCGATGCCTACTTGATTGCAGCCACTCGTCAACAAAATACGCGATCACACATTTTTCTTCACTGACCCTAGAATCATCCGGCCTTTATCACCATTTGGTTAATGCGCATACGCAGCGAGCCTCCTAAAAGCAGGGCATGGGAGCAATCTTGGAACCAGAAAACCGTCGACAAATTCAAATCTGTAGCGCGCCCACGTAGGCCGCCAAATTTGGCTTAGTGTTGGGCTGTACATTTCAGCGAAACGCTGATGGATCACCATCCGAGGAGCCGACAGCGCCTAAATGGGCTTTGAAGACTCTCAACGTTCTGCTTTAGAAATGAGTGTTATAATGAGCTCCTGTCTGAAAGGAGAAAAGTAGACTCTAGTCTGGCATGATATAGGTAAAGTGTATACGTTTCTGGCATATTGAGCAGGTCGTCTCTCTTGTCAGCTCCAATATGCCATTCACCGTTTCCTCGAGCCTATCAACCGCAAATCGTTGCTCTACTCCATCCACACCTTATGCTCTGGCAACTGCAGCACAATGCTGGCTATCTCCGTGAGGATCGCCTGAGGAAGTTCTGGAAATTCGAAAAGAACACTGTTCTTCGAGCCGTGGAGCGCACAGACCGGGTTACGAAATGCATTCACGGCCAGTTTTTCCAGTTGAATCTGGAACACATCCGAAAAGGAATACAATTTTTCAGATAGTCTTAACTTTCATATGTTTTATCGAGACATTCCAGTACATTTGTGTCCCTGGAGCAGCTCTTCCTTCTGGAGCCAATAAAAATCATGGAAGGAAACAAAAGACCTTCACTTCAGTTCATTCCATTTCAGTTCAACTTTGGTGTCGGCGTATCGGATATTATGTAACCATCTATGCCTCAGGCCAGCAGACAGGCAGTCCGCCTGACCAACCACACAGTGTGCTTATCGGTAAGGGTGTGAGTGTGACTCCAGTATAACTATCAACCAGGAATGTCCACTGACTAAGTGGCATAGCGGCTCTGCAATTAGCAACTCCCAAGTCAACTCTAATTAGGCCATGTATGAACTAGGTGGAAGCTACCCGCGGCATTGTCAAATAGACAGTAGCGTTGGCAATTAATCCGACTCATTGAATCGTGATTGATTCCTCATCGATATATGAGATCACATACATAGTAGTAGCTAGTATTGGATGCATAACTGCCTTACTGTTCCACTGTTGCAGCTTCAGTACAGTTCGTAAGTTACATATTCGTCGTCATCATTACTGAAGACTAAGCAGACTGGGTATCAACGCGGCACATGCAGGCAGACTCAGCATGCATCTGTCGGACTAAATTCTCCCGAAAGCCAACCAGTCTTGGGATTTGATAATGACCACTTCCTGTCAAACTTCTATGAATGTATGTGCAATATCTCTGAGTCTTTTTTTTTTTTTTTTTTTTTTTTCTTTGCAGCTCAACATTCCAGTTCCTCCTCCACCTACAATATCAGCCCAAGTGAGGTGTGTTTGTGGCACCACTCCTGATATGTAAGACATAATTTGAAAAAAAGTGAAACTATGTGACAGAAACACGAGACTACAGATACACAGCGACGCACGTGCTGTGTTTGGCGTCGAACAGAGAATTCCAATATCGGCTGGAGTTTCCGAAGTCGGCCAACCGTGAGGTAGCAAACGATGAATAGAAAGGAAGTAATTTGGCCATCCATGTCAGATTACGAGCATTTCCTGTTTGAGCTCTTGTGATGAGATCATCGGGCTGGAAAGAGACCTTGTTCAATAGATTGAATTTGTAGATAGCTAGAACAAACATAAAAACATGAAAAAAGCCCTTGTTGTATACCGCATGTTTGATAGAATGCGGCGAGGCTTGGAGACTCTGTAATTTGTCACTGCTTTGTATTGAGTCAAGTGTGAGTATCTCTGGGTGTCGATATGGATTTCAGCATAGAATATACTACTCGTATGTGGGACATGGCCGATTGACCTGTTTAGTCTCGTCTCCTGTGCTACAGTCCAAGATCGGCAGGGGCATTAGCACTCCATCCTGAACGGTGCTATCCCTGTAAGATGTGCATACAGTATGTAGTGAGCCCCTAGGCTTGTAATGGCCCAGGTCCTTTTTTGGTGATATGAAACTACCCTATCACGCTTCGGTCCCTATGACTTGATGTCGCTCGAGATGCCTATTCTTTTTTGCGCCTGTGGATAGGGATATTGCCCAGTAATTAGTGTGTGTAGACCGTGTAAATGTAACCTAGCAGCTATACGTAGAAGATCGCCAATTGACGGTGTAAGAAGCGTGAGTATTAAGCGTACTTTATTTCTAGATATATGACAGCAACAAGTCTTTCTCATTTCTCTCAGCCAGATACTCCATAACGCATCCCATGCCCTCCACGCCTATCAATTACGACAAAAACCTCAAGATCTCGTAAATTCCCTTTGAATGTCCAACCTGGCTTTCCAACTCTTTCACCATATGATCTGCCTCTTCCAACAAGGAAGCGAGTCGTTCCCGACAATATTCGAAACTCCCTGTCGAGTCGATATACTCCACAGCATACTTCTTCACCGAATCGTCTTCGCTCCGTTGCCGCAATATATTCAGCAGATGATGATTATTCGGATTACTGTGGATACTGTGGATGATCAAGAAGGAAAATTTGCCTTCCGTCAAATCCTCACAGAATCCCTTGTTCTTCGTGTATAGTCCGCTCTGCAAATTTTGGTAATCATCTCGAATCTGAAAGATCACCCCCAACAAGTCTGCTAGCTCGATGACATCGCTGCATAAAGTCAGTCTGCTGTGTGACAAGGAGCTTTACAGTATTGTGACAGATATGTAACACTTGCCTTTTTGTTTCACTTTCCAACTGCATAAGCTTGATCGCCAGTCGGAAAAGGCCACCCGTCTTATTGGCGATCATCTCGATATAGTCCTCCTCCGTGGGACAGGTCAGACAGTCCCGCCAGTACAAGTCCATACCTTGACCACGGTGCAGACGGAGCAGTTCTTCGGTGTATATTTCGTACGCTTCGGGATGATTCAGTTCTCGGAGCCGCTCCTGCGCCAAAAAGTACGCATAATTAGCAGAGTTGATGGTCTGAGCAATACCGAAGATGCTGTGGGCCACTGGGAGGCCGCGTCGAAGCTTGGAATTGTCCTGGATGTCATCGATTCTGTTAAAAATCAGCTAGTTTCCGAGACATTAAGAGCTTCGATCATGTGGGAAATGAAAAGAACATACAGTAGGGAAGCTGTGTGGAGCAATCCAACAATCTCTGTAATGATATTCAATTTCTCTTCTGGGATGCGCAGCCACTCGTTGAATGCGTGGATGAATTTGCGACGAATATCCTTCCCAGGTGATTTTAGAAGGTAGTCAAGTGGTCCTCGAACAATCTGTTATCTCACATCAGACAAAGACTGACCATGGACAGGAAGCTTCAGACCTTTTCCTTGTCCAAGAAGGTTGTTTCAGACTGTGAAGTACTCGCAGCTTCTATATTGGTGGGTGATGATGGTATCGATGCAGAAAAGACACCCGAGGAAACAAAAGGAAAGTAAGGGGTATTCATCTTCCAGGCGTCAGGTGTCTCTGGGCTAAACATTGGAAATCCGAGCATTTTTTCGTCTCTTGTAGGTCAAGAGCGCTGTACGGTTCGAGTGTTGATGGAGAAGAAGGCTACTAAGAAGGAACTGAACGTGTGCTTTCGAGGGAGAAGCATTGATATCTCTCAGGTATATAAGAGTACGTCTTCTATCAGTCTCACCTTATAGAACTGTTTTGGCTTTTGCTACATGTTCTGCTGTCACTTGGCGTAGCTTTACTGGGCACTTGTCATCAGCAAATTAGTGACGTCGACAAGCTCTTGGAAGCACGTCTAGTCAGCAAGCAATCTCAGAGAACATTCATCAAATAGCCTTGCTACTGGTACTGGTGAGTTGCTCCATGTCCGCGTGTTAACCTTGTGTTTGCCAAGGACTCTTCTACATCCGGGATGCTATGCGTTGGTTTCAAACAAGACCAGGTCGCTTAGGTCGCCCGAGTCATAGAGATTGGTTCGATAAAGTTTCTCCGTTCAGCTTCCTAGCCAATTCTCCTTATAACTCGAGAATGGTCATTGTGACCAGCTTATCGGCAAACTAGCAGAACCCCTATCGTGAAAGCGCTGCTAATCCAAGATGCGGCGTAGTTATACAGTACCATCTTACACTGTCGTACAGACCTTATCCCTGTGCCTCAGTGCAAAGCTTATCGCAGTCAGTAATGAGAATTCTATAGGATAGAGAGATTAAATTCTCTCAAATAAGGAGTATTGCATCAGTTTCCATCACTAAGCAAAGTATTCGCCTATCTAGATTCCCGCTTACGGCTTCACACTCTTGACATCCATTTTCTCCTTCCGACCCCAAACTTCCAGCCAATCCTGCACGGAGGCACTTGATTTCTTCAAATCCCACAAGCAGGCGCTACGCACATCTTCTCTCTGGATTACTCGTAGAGCATTACGGATATTATAGGGTGAGCCGTATTCCAAGGCGCGCGCTACCAGTTGACCCTCGGGAGCATCCAACGCCACCACTATGGGGAAGGAAAGTTCGCCGTTGCGCAGGTCTTCTGCCAGTGCACCTTTGGCTTTCGCATAATCGGATGAATAAACGTTCTTGCAGTCATTCTGCAGCTGTGAGCACCACCTGTGTAGACGTCAATCAGCCATAATCCCCAATGCTCGGATGTCTTTGCACGTACGCCACCGTAGTCATGGTAGCATCCATGGACTTATTCTCTAGTACCAGCTGACCGAGCAAACGAAACAATGCACCCGTCTTCAGCGACGCCATTTGCCGATATGCTGCATCCCGTTCCTTTGGAGCCACTGGAAAGCTGGCAAGGCCATCCCTTCGCCATACAAGGGACATATCTTGGCCTTCCAGGATCTCCTCCAGGCACTGCATCAGAAAGGGCGCAAGACGAGGAAATTCGTGGACGGTCCGGTTTAAAAGTTGTGTCACGCGATAGTAGGCACGGTTCGCAGTCTCTGAAGGGCCGTATATCTTGTGCGCGGCGGGATGTCCCTTGCGAAAGTTACTCCCGTCCGAGATCTTATGAGGTTATTAGCTCTCTAGTCCATCTGTGCAGTGGGGTACTGCACTTACATCATCAACTAGTATCAAACAAAGATGGATGCCGTCCATAATCTCAAGGATCAGCTGGTATTTCGGCGGGTCCTCCAACTTGAGGCTGGGCGCCAGCTTGTCGACAAATGGGGCCCAGTGGTGTTTACCGTATATCTGGCGGATGTAGCTGTATGGGCACTCCAGTGAAGTGATCCGAGATGGTTGCTTCTTGCCAACAAGCCAGGCCCGCTTTGTTGTTGGAAGTGGGTTCAATATGCGATCCCATACCAGCGCCGTTATCGGGACGGCCAGTAAGGCGAGAAAAGCCAGCGAAGTTTGCGGAAGATGATGCTGGAGAGGCTCCATGGTGATAGCCGTGTTAAGAAATGAGAAAGGCTCCACATAAGTCATTCGACTAGATGATGAAGACCTGGTCTTGTAACCGGAATAGCTACAGGACGTACAGGGCAGATATATGAATGATGTTATCTCTCGAGCGTAACTTGGCTGTTAGCTCGCTAAGGATTCAAGGAGTCCTTCGTCGCATAATATATGCTTTAACAAACAAATCTGCAACTCCGTACAGGCTTAAGTATGCGAAAGGTATCAAATTGGCTGGTCACATCAACTTATCATGAAAGTTGCTGCGCTTTGGCGGCTGCATTACATGTCCTGAGTCAGTCAGTGAAGATATAACTTTTGACTACTGCCCCACCTTTATATGCGGCCCCAACAATTTGGCCCATAACTATTAATGCTGCATACGCATTTACTGACCTGGGTAAGTATATTTGGCGCTACAATTTGAACATGGGTAGATGAACGCGCAATCTAAATCCACAAAAAGCCAATTCGCTATCAAGAATCGAATAAAGAACCATTACTATCATCGTTAAATTATCGCATCTATCTGTGGAATATTTGTACTCTCTATGTAGAGTTTAAGAGTTTTCTGATACGAACACATGGATTTTCCAAGGGATTGCGCAGAACATACCGCAGATTCCAAACTAACGTCCTGGCTTATCATTTGCGCCAGATGAAACCTCATTGATTTTGTGGAAAATTGCAGGTGACAGGATGGTTCTAGAACCGATGACTTCGATGCAGGTCTCGTCATACGGCGCTGGCAAACTCCATATCATAAAATGCGGCAAATATGTTAGCCGTCCATGGCCAGCAGTATGTCGCCAGATTTCCAATCCGTCGGCGCACATATCCAAGGACCTTTTAAGTGAATTATAGTCATGGCAAAAAGTGCTCAGTATGAATGATCACAATGCACAGCGTTACGAGAGTACCTGCCGCATGTGAGATGATCATTTCTCTTCATTAGATAACTTAGCCCTATGAGTGTCCCACTACAGGCTTTTAATTTCTTGGCGTAACAGAGGTGCTGTTATTAGGTACCACAGCGTTCGGCTCAGTGAGGGCTTGATAAAACGAGGCAATCTGCCGCGGGGGGACAAAACTCCGACACTCCACCCTTGCTACCAATCTGTATGTGGCAAGTGCCACAATCATTCCTAACAACGTCAGTAAGAGAGACCCAACTGGCTCTGCTGGTCTGGTTTGCTTTAACTCCGATTAATCCAAACAAATATGATATCTTGGGCTTGTTGGTTGGTTATATTTTCATATACCGAATTTTATTTGCAAGGAACATTAGGGATCAGATCACCGAAGTTGGGTATCACCATGCAAAACAAAATGTTTTTGACTTAGACTTATAGCAAATAGACTTGTTGATGGATTTTACATCTACCTCACTATACTGCGACCTGCAGGTACATTAACCAGTATGCTCCCGAGTCCAAGCACGTTTGATTGGTGATAAAAATGTGGACCGAACTAGTCGATGAGTGTAGAACTTGCTCTTATGGCTAGAGATAGCTTAATATAACTTTTATAACTATAAAGTACTTAAGCCTAAGCCGAGAGAATTGCGGATAACATTATACTGGTTCTTCCAATCCGTTGTCCTGACGCCCTACCATGCCCCTTTATGTTTCCTCTAATGATCCATGCACCTCAGCACAACGTTAACTCACATCCCCACATTTGAAGCAAACCAGGTGCACTACATTCCCAGCATCTATATTGTACTTCCCGTATTATCTGGTCCAGGCAGACATGAGCGCTTCCCAGTTTACGGTCATAATAGTGGGAGGCGGAATTGCTGGTCTCACGCTAGCTCATTGCCTCCGACGAGTGAACATAGACCACATCGTACTTGAGAAAAGCAGTGACCTGTCGCCGCAAATAGGTGCCTCAATTGGGATTCTTCCTAATGGTGGTAGAATCTTGAATCAATTATCACTTTACGAGCACATTGAGCAATTCATCGAACCTCTTGATACAGCACACATTACATATCCAGATGAATTCTCGTTCTCCAGCACATTCCCGAGGCATCTTCACGAGCAGTGGGGCTTCTATTCTACTTATTTTTGGAATGGCACAATCTGATCTGCTACTTTCAACAGATTCGGCTACCCTATCGCGTTCTTCGATCGCCAGAAGCTACTTGAGGTCTTGCATACCCGGTATCCGGACCAATCTAAGATCCTTACCAGTCAACGTGTTACCGAAATCTGTCCCTCAGGAAGTCGTGTTAAAGTGATAACCGAAGCCGGTGCGACATACACGGGTGATTTGGTGGTTGGGGCCGATGGTGTCCATAGCAAAGTACGCTCGGAGATGTGGAGGATAGCAGACGCAATACAGCCGGGATTGGTCACGAAGAGCGAGAGAAATAGTAGGCTTCTCCTCTTCAATCAGTTGAAATTTGACTCATCTTGGATTCAGGCACGACAACTGAGTATTGCTGCATATTCGGCATTTCGTCCTGCGTACCAACTCTGGAGGTTGGAGATCAAATCAATGCCTTTCATGATAATCTCACCCTTATTGTCTTTATTGGGAGAAATAAACGTGCTTTTTGGTTCGTCGTAAAAAAGCTTGATCAAAAGTACACATATCCTGACAGGCCCCGATTCGGAGACCAGTACATGAACCAATTGTGTGAGAAGCTATCTGATCACCACCTCACGAAAAATCTTACCTTCGGCCAGGTGTGGACTACTCGAATAGTTGCCTCCATGACGGCGTTAGAGGAGAACGTCTTTCGTACCTGGTTCCACGGCCGTATTGTTTGCATTGGCGACAGTGTTCATAAGGTATGTGTCAGCGAGGTACCCCCTTATACAACCATGCTATTTGTACTCATTTTGGCGCTACAGATGACACCCAACATTGGACAAGGAGCCAACTTAGCGATAGAAGATGCGGCAGTCCTGACGAACCTTCTTCACGGGGCGCTGCTAAAGGCCAGACGGCAGAGACTTCCCGATTCGGAAGTGCAGACCCTTCTTCAAGAATACTACTCCACCCGCTACGGTCGGGTGAAGAGAGTCTATACTGCTTCACGATATATGGTTCGCTTTCAGGCACGAGATGGCTTCCTGAATAGGTTGCTTGGGCGATATGTCCTTCCCTTTCTGGCGGATGTTCCAGCAGTCCTAGGAACCGGGACTATTCGGGGAAGTCCAACGATCAATTTTCTACCGCTTCCAGAAAAGGACGGGCCAGGGTGGAAGAAGAATAAGCCCAAGGTAGGAATGCATACATCTATGTTCTTCGTTCTTTGCTTGGCGATTTTGGTCTACTTGTTTCAGGGTAAATAAATCACGCCCTGTTGTGTGCTTGGTCTAAAGTGCAGTGTCGGTTATGCTCTGTACTCTAGGGTACTTGGCCTTTATATCCTAGTACGGAGACATACTTCTGTTACTATATCATGAAAAACATGCTATGGATGTCGTTTGGGTTTTTCAGTGAGCACAATAAGAGGTTTTGGTGAGAAGGATACTCAAGTAATAAGCCTTCTGAACACAACGCAAATAATAGGTTTTTTATCGAGGTAGGAGAAGAGCGTCTTTGCAGTTGGTCGCAGTATAGTTGTGCCCTGGCCTATGTGGCTGTCCACTAATCAATACAGTGTGGCCTCAAGTTTCCTACCACAAAAGTCAAATAAACCGGGAAGACCTTCAATTGAACATAACACGATAGTATACAGTGCCACCAGACGACATACAACATTCATTTCAGAGTCATACTATCACCCCACACGTAACTAGACAAGAACAGCCGTCAGAATTGCTACCACCGTTCCGACCACCTGCAGCATCGACCACCGGGAACCTGCAGAAGCAGACCCAGTGTACAATGCATTAACGGCACTTGCGCTTCTTGTGCTAGTAATCACAGCCGTGCTCATGCCAGCTTGTTGACTGCTCTGAGGCCAGACATGTGCTGAAGAGACAGGAGTACTGTGGTTCCAACCCAATCCTGAGCCCGAGTACGAAGTGTACGAATACGGGGAGGGAGGCACAGTGGGCTGAGCAAGGTTGGAGGTCCGGGCCATTGTGATGGTACTGCCATACTCGGTGCAGGTTCCCTCATTGGAGCATGATTCGACGATAATCGTGGTGGTGTAGGTTGTGTCTGCGGCTGCGCCCGAGCTGGCACCTGATACGGCGCTGGAGTCTGCAGCAGAGCCGGCATCCGATCCCTCACTTGGCTCCGCATTTGAGCCTGCACTTGAGCCTGCACTTGAGCCTGCGCTTGAGCCTGTACCCTGAGTGCTAGTCTCACCTGCAGAGATGGGCTGCGATCCAGATGAAACAACCTTGGGGGAGCTACCCGCTGAGTTGGCAGTCTGGAGGAGCGTGACAGCGGCCGTAGGAGCAGCCATAGCATCAACACCTTTGGTTGGGAAGGATGCATATCCTGGATATACTGTGTAAACAGTCGTTCCTACAACGAGGGTCTCAGTCGTGACATAAGAGTCAGACGATGAGCTGCGACAGTCATCCCCAGTGCAGCTGGCAACTGTGGCAATGCGGGTGCTCAGGATGGTGGAGGTGGTGAGTGATGGTCCCTCTTCCGATGCTCTTGTGACAGATGGAAGAGGAGCCTTTGCTTTGGTATTAGTGACCTTCGGGACTGGGTACACAGTCGTCGCGACAACCAGTGTCTCAGTGCTTGCATAAGTCGTCTTTGACCTCATGGGACAGTTGGTCACGGAAGAGGGACATGCAGTAACAGTGATCACACGGGTGCTCAAGATCGTAGAAGTAGTAATGTCAGAACCACCCATGCTGCCCCAATTGTCACCAACAGCTACGCTAGCCGAAGGATGAGATGCAGACTGGGTAGTAATTACAGCGCCGCTGCTACCAGTGATGTCGGCTACGGGGCAAACAGTGGTTGAGACTACCAAGGTCTCGGTGGTCACATAGGTCGTTTTCGACCTGAGCGGGCAATTTGTTACCAAGGAAGGGCACGCAGTTATGGTAGCAGTGCGAGTGCTGAAAACCGTGGAAGTTGTAAGCTCCGCTCCACCGCTGCCATGACCATTGTTGACAGCAGTGTCGGTTGCTGTCGGCGAGGCAGAATCCGTCCGAGTCGGACCAGCAGTCTCGGTGACTGGGCATATCGTGGTGGACACCACAATGGTCTCTGTGGTGACAAGGGTGGTTCTCGAGCGTGGAGGACAATCTGGGACTGTAGATGGACATGCAGTAATTGTGGCTGTGCGAGTAGAGAGGACTGCCGACGTAGTGAACTGCAGTGTGGAAGACTCGGTGAATGTTGCAGCTGAGGATGTGAAAATGTTCGACTGAAGAAATGCGGTCCCCACAGTGGTTGGCGCGGGAACACCGCTGAATGTGCTTCCAGACAGTCTGGGGACAGGGAGTGAAGAGCTCGGAAATGCTCGGGACGAAGCCGAACACTGGCTTCGCTGAGGTAAAGGCCGGGATACATAGCTCCAATGCGGGCGAGGAGCTGCTGAACGACTGGGTACCGGTCTTGAACTGGGAGTTGGCGATTCCGTTACAGGCGAGGTAGAGGGTGATGGGACTGCACTCGACGAGGGTACCACGATGATTGATGGAGTAGGAGTTGCTGCCTTCGAAGAAGGAACAGACGACGAATAACTGGGTGTGCATGGCCTGCGACTGGGCAAGGACCTTGAGCTATAGGACCAGTGATGATGCGTATGTGCGACAGCAGAGGAAGTAGTGGTAGAAGTCGCAGCTGCTGGCTCAACAACGACTGTCATGGCGATGCTGGTTTGCATCAATAACGAGGCGAGGATCCATCCTCGCATCAGCAGGTGACCCATTCTGACAGCGATCGACTCAGCTCAAGAGTATCGAATAAAGAATATTAAGGAAAGTAGAATTAGTTGATCAGAAGTAATCAGGTAGCATAAAACATAAATGAATGACTTGTGGTTGAATTCCAATGAGAAACGACTTTCAAAAGAGGGGGTGAGAAACCGAGCCCTGATTCTCTCTTGCAAGAGGCGGGTCACTGTATATAGATCACTCAAGGATTCCCTTTCGGTCGGAGATTCGGCAAAGAGAATACAAAGAAGGAATACACACGCAACGGAGCTATTTTCTGGTTCCTGTCTCAGCCTTCGTATTCAGCTGGACTATCGACGCCCACTGGATCGCGGGTCTATCAACGACGGCGAAAATAGCCGACACCGAATCCCACCGGAATTCAGGGACGGAGTACTTATTGCGAGGACACTCCGAACCTACCGAGGGTTTTGAGTGATTGCCTTACATATTAACCTCATATTTTGCCAACCTGTGAAAATGTCAATCCAGGGCTTCATTGTCGCCGCGGGCTTTCTGCTTGGTCGGGTCGCAGCCATCACCCCCGCGGCCAGCTCGCCTGTGGCCAGCAGTCAGGCCTATGTGCCTTCGGTGTCCTGCCGCACGCAGCTGGGAACTAAGTCATTGGCACTTGTTCCTACCACTACCATTACGCGCACCATCCATGACCCGACACCGGTTGTTGTCTTTTCGACGACACAAGACACCGTCATTGTGACCCCTGACGCCTCGACTGTGACCGTCACCGACTATGAGACGGCTACGACCATTTCCACAGCTGACACGGTCACTGATACTTTCTCGACAACCTCAACTGAATATGACACTGCAACGGTGACTATCACTCCTGCTGCTGTCACTGCCATTATATCTGTCACCATCTCCACCACGAGCGCGAGCACGTCCACAATTGCCAGCTCTTCGGGTTTTTCTCCCATTGTGGAAACACTGCCTACAGCTACTGCTGCCAAGCGGTCCTTGATCGAGCAGGACGATTGTTCCTCCTGGCTGGACGACTATCAATATTCTCAAGAGGTCGAGTGCCACCAGAAGATTATTGTCAAGACCACCACCGTCTCCACAGTGACCCAATCTCCCGCGACTACTACCGCAGTCACGCCTACATCCACCGTGACTATGACAATCACTATCACCAGTACTTCAGTCGTGATCCCTTCCGATGTCTCAACCACGCTGAGCTACAGTACCACGTCCACCATCACTGAAACCACATCCGCGGCTGCCGAAACAACCACCGTGACGTCGACTACCAGCGCTGTGGCCGCCGTGGCTACCACCACCTTCTACGAGGCGTGCGGGTCTAGCAATATTGCTGGCGACCCTCTCTCCTCTGAATTTGGCTCTTTTGCGGGCCAATACATGTACCTGATCGCCTTCACCAACGTTCCCGGTGAAAGCTTGACTGTTGGCGACACCAGCTCTGCATATGATTGCTGTGTCAGCTGCATGGAGAGCTCCACCTGCGCCATGTCCTACTACAACGCGGTTTCTTCCTCCATCAGATACTGCTATCTAATCCACACAACAACCTGCTCACAGTCTTCTGTTTACGCCAAGGCGTCTATTCATGACACTTCGGCTACCATCCAGATGTCCAACGGAAATTGTGGTCGTGTTGTGGGCATACAGGGGTAACGTTATAGGAAATGTAGAAGGTTGTCATTATACCATAGAGAAACACTAGTCATACTTTACCGCTTATAATATTACATCCGCTGCTCGATGCATTTTTAATTGTCCTAAGTAGAGATAAGTCAACATGCCTTCAGCAGACTGCGTAGACAGCAGACCCAATCCCTCTCTACATCTCGAGTCAGTACCTCCCCACTCAAGATCCACGCTAGTTGAAAATCTCAACCACATAACACCACTTTGCCACTCGTATCGCGGAGATTAAATCGACATTAGCGCATGGCCATCAAGGAACTCTCGAATCTGATCGGCACCTTTTACCTTTTAGATATTGGGATCAGGTACCCGGTGGGTCTGATTGGCGGGGACATTTACTCGCATCCAGGAAACCGGTCCAGACTTAAAACTATTGCGCCACCGGACCCTTTAACACCGAACAGCTCGGATATCTCCGAGTGCTAAGCTCGAATGCCAAGTTCATGTCGTAATCCCTTCTATTGGTGGGTGAATATACCAGAGTAAGTTCCGTTCTCCAGAAATAGTACGCAAAAAAATGTTGTTCGACCAATGAGAACGGATAAATTAAGGTCAAAGTAGCCGAGAGACTGGATTTATTTTTCGCTGCGAATCATGGCAATAACCCTTTTTTACTTTCGACTCTGAAAGAGCTATTAAATTGGCGGTACACTGCGTACAGGGAGTGCTGAGTTAGAAGAGGTGCGATTGTCCGGTCGAAAACAAATGCAGGCAAAGTCTGGAATGCCCCTGGACACCTCAATCTAGCTCCCAGCAGCTTACTCACGTCAATCAGGCAAACACGTCTGTTGTGAGTCACGGTAAGTAACTAGTTGCCACGTCGTTGGCCATGTGACTATGAGAAGAAATCCGATGTGTCCCATTGGCCATGCCGTCTAAAATGCCACAAGATGAGTGGTTGTTGATTGGAAAGATAAGGTAGCGCGAGCTAAAGCCGTTTTAGTAAATCTTGGACGTTGATTAGCCGCTGCGTGCATTATTCTTCCACAGCCACTTAGGCTGCCAAATCATGCATAGAATAGATTCTGGCATTGAAAAGCTGTTCTGAGAGTCACGTTATGATTGTTTCAGCTTTTTCACTTTATGCAACTTAGGTATGACGCAATGCATCTAACACATTGTTACCTGTGTCTCGTAGGCAAGGCCTTACTTGGCGTTTGACTCGAATACTGAAATATGGTTTCATGTCGAAGTTTAGACAATTAAGGCATTGAATAAAAGTACTTTCATAATCTATATATTATGTGAAATACACCTTACTTGCAATGTGCGGTTGTTGTATACTGTTGTCGGCGTTTTGAAGGCATTCGAAGCCTGCGGTCAGCTATAGCCAATGATATCGCTTACTGGCTGTGACCTAGGCACTAGTAGACTACATCATGCATTAGATTAAATTAACAATGAGCCCCCTGACTCACGTCTAGGATATAGTCTGTCGGCTAAAGTGTCTATGTCGTCATTCAATTCACAAATATCCAGGTGTCTAGACCACTGACCAAGCTCCAGAACAGAATTTGGGGTAGAGACTTCAATGCGAGATACTCATGCTGCTTTCCTATGTAGGATAAACGTAGATGTTAGGACCTACATATTATGTGGTTAATAGCTCTTAGCTATAACATGGGGGTACTCTCTCGATATACGGCAAAGTCTGAAACCCGCTCTTCCCATTCTCTGGAAACCTGCGCCGAAGGCATGAACAAGAGGTTGCTAAGATGTTTTTGTTCCGTGAGGCTGAACATCACAGCCCTCAGCGTCATGGCATTCTAGAACGGAAAATTGGGCACTTGTGTTGCCGCCAAGCCCGTGAGATTTTAGCTGTCTACCCCATCACATGCTTGTCTACGGGAATGTCACTGCCTTAGGAAGGCCAATATTGTTGCCTTGAAGCATTCTATACCTCACTTTAGTATATCAGCCACATACAGAGTATATATAGGTCACTTCCTCTCGGGTAACTGTCCTTTTCATCCAGCATTGCTTCATTACAAGCTTCTCAGACTCCTACTAAAACCTCACTCTCCACCTCGTACAAAGAGGAACTTGAATTTGAATCATCCACATTCAGAATATAAAACTACTTTATCTCGTGCAATTGTTCTTTGTGTCCTGTATTGCTTCATCACTACGCCTCCCATATCTCCTACGATCTCATTCTCCAGCTAGTACGAAGGGGAACTTGATCTTATAGTCGTCATCCAAACCACATTATCCAGTCACCATGTCTCCTACATCTCGAGCTCCGACCATGCGCATGAACCCTTCTGGCACGCGTGACATGCCCACATTCATCGACGAACTTGCTAAAGATGAGGCGAAAAACCAACCAAAGGGCGACTCGGAGAGTACATTTTCCGACGCTTCGACACTCCAATGCAACGAGCAATCTCCGAAACCAAAACGCGGGCTTTTCCGTAGGCTCATCTCTTCATCGCTATCCGCAAATCAAGATGCAGTCAAGGAGTAGATCAAGGGGGTGGCCATCCTTGATTGAATAATGAGGATTTGAATTGAGCCCTTTGAGAGGGTGGTTGCTGTTTCTACGTGCCCTCTACTTAACGTCTGGTCTACTGTCATATTGTTCAACCTTTGTTAGAAGTGGGGTGTTCGGTATCTGGCATTTCCGTATCTGCGCTAGTCCGTATCTGCGCTAGTTGATTTTGTAGGTCAGTGTGCACATGTTTTGGGTGGGTAGCGGCGCAGTGGTTATTGGGAAAAAGCATATCACTGTCCTCTTATTCTAGTTATTCCTCAACTCTTGTGACCAGTTTCCTCTCCATATACTCCTCTTTCTCACTCCTGCTAGTTACCGCTTCAATTATGGCGTCCCTATGCCTAAATGAAAGTCACTGACCTCATATTAATACACAGTAATTATCTTCGCTGCTGCTAAAAGCCTCCGAGCTCAGCTTTTACTTTGATGCCCTTGAGACAACCTCAATGAGTCGCTCAGGCAGCCCTGCATAATTAGCTGAGCAGATGAACTAGGAGGAGCTGGCGTGGCGCATGATGTTGCTCCATCAGAAAAGCGCCCAGTATACTCTGTATCAAGGCAGCTTATGCTATTGGTGAGTTTTATGCAAGGGTATGCTTGCGGGGTTATACTCAACAATGCTCTGTCCCCGAAAGCCACAGGTGTTGTGGTGCACTGACCCTTTCGTGCTAGGACTAGCAAGGCTGCCTGGTAGGCGATAACACCATGGGCGTAGAGAAAGCCTTGCGATTCCCATGAATTCAGGTGAGCTCTCCTTGTCACATAGCAGCAGCAGCAACAAGTTCAACCCCGCCAACTGCTTCCAAATATTGAGCCAAAATCAAAGGACAGCTGAGATGTTCGCTATACTTTCCAACAAGTGAATCCCCAGCTGATGCAATCTGGGGGCTACAGTCGTAATTTATTGTCACTTGCTCTAGCCGCCAATAGCTAGTGCACAGCCGTTCACAGTGTTGTTGATCCATGGTTTGACTGGGCCAGGATCCATGCTCCAAGACAGACTATTCGGGTGGGGGTGCTGCTAGGCGCAACCTCAATTCAGCCTTTGCGGGATCGATGGGGTGACCCGCGAGGCTGAGACACTTGACTTGCGGGGGTACAGTTTCCAGCTTAGAACAACGATTCAAGATAAGTCTCATATTATGAGCATGAAGTCCAGCCTAGAGTACTCTTGTAGTGTAAATAAATAGTTGATGTGTTGACAGGTTAAGCGGCCGAGAGATAAGAGAAGTATATACTGTATCCTGTGGATGATAGCTGATCCGTTAGTATCGAAAGGTCAAGGATACGCAAGGCAAGCTGATCAACGAATGCAAGGCTAGATAGTTGGCGCAGCACATGCAGCAACATCACCTGATAAGCCCCTCCCCAACCCCAGGGAAGGGGTTAAAAGGGCCATCCCTCCTCGCATTCGATTGTTCCTCCTCACTCACCCATCCCTTACAAACCCGTCCTCCTCTCCTACAAACTTCCTTTCTCATACACTAGCGTTGAACGCTCTCATACTCGTTGAAACCACACCAAGCAACTCTACTACGGCACTATGCCTTCCTTTTCTTCTCTTACGGAAAAAGTCCAAACAGCCCAACTCATGATCGGGCACACCTTCGATAACCCGACCATCGGAATGGAAGCGCTAGTCACTCCTGGGGTTGCCCTGCCCGGGCTGACAACCCGCACGGATGGCCACAAGGAGCTTGCCCTTGTTGGAGATGCCGTGCTCAAACTGGCACTTACCCTGGACGGATACGAGGCCAAAAGAAGCCGAGGTAAACCTCTCCTTCCGCCTTTGCTTGGGGTAAGCATGCTCACCCTCTACATCAGAATTCACCAGCAACATCCTTCAAACCAAAGCCAGCAACGCCAACCTTGCACTCATTGGGCGTAAGATGGGGTTGGATAACGTAGTCATTGTCAATCCATCCCAGGCAGGAATGGTGTCCGACAAAGTCATGGCCAACACTGTCGAGGCTCTCATCGGAGCTGTCTATATGGACACTGGCTCGGTCGACTCCGTGCTGCCAGTCCTGGCTACCTTGGGCCTTGACTGGCCTGCTTGAGCTCCATGACTTTGCGTGAACTACCTATGCAAAGTGACGTGATCTGGAAGCTAGTTGCTTACCAGTAGGGCGTACAAAGGCCCGTCTGCATCGGTACCGGACCCCTGCTACGAGGAAGCTCCTCTTGCCACTCAGGACGGCGGCACTTGAGCTATGATCGCTATTTTCCGCCGACCCTGTGTGGCAGGGGCAGCTCCCACGTAGACGGGCTCCCGTACCGAGCAGCAGGGCCTTTATATGATCAGCTGGCCTGGAACGGCCTCGAGGCCACGAGACTATTGTCTATGTGGTTCGACTTGAGCAGACTTGAAAATGCAGTCTACGCTCTGTGAGTAATGATCTTTCAAGGATGGTGAAGTGCTGGTAGACAAGGGGATGGTGGAAGGTTTTGATGTGATTGATCGATGAGACTGCTGTGCTCCCAAACATGTCATTCGTTGTACAGTAACAGTCTCACTATGATGAATGCCCCGATGGAAATGCATCGGGATTATGTTGTCCAACCGATCGTTATCCAGACTTGCGTAGACGTGTACATCCTGGTTCTAGCATTTTCAAGGCTAGTTGGTGGTCTGAGTAGGTGCGCGCTTCTTATCTCTGTGGGGCGGGAAAACAATAGGTAAAAAAACCAAAGAGACAAAAAAGATGGTCCCAGAGGGGCTCGAACCCTCGACTTTGACGTTATTAGCGTCACGCTCTAACCAACTGAGCTATGGGACCAGTTGTTGAAGGAGACCTACTAAGATCATTAAATAAGCCAGCCTTGTGTTTAGCAAGGGCATCGATGAATGACAACGATCATGAAGCGACAGCCCAACACTCTCATTCACGAAATAAGAAAGGCTTGGCTTGTGTATGTACTACTTTAAGGGTTCTATTTCAGTTTTAGTTTAGTATGGATTTGTCATATGAACCAATTCCTTTTTAATCTCTACCATGATCATGATGGTGTACTAAAATGCCTATGGGGTGAATGTCAGTGGTAGGTAGGTATATATTGCGACCAGCCGTTTAGTTCCACAGCACTGGCGGTACAGTGCTCACTAGTATGTATAATTTAGTACCACTACCCACCAAATACTACATAGTACGACCACGTCAATAAATACATCAACTGGCTCTATAACGATAATTCCCCCGAGAGGCGTTAACCTGTGAACGCCAACCTGCAGTCATGAATCCTGCGGCACAGCGGCAGCGATCCGAGCCTTCCGAGCATCGCCTGCAGCAGTTTCACCGCCGGCCGATCCTCGATCAGCAAACAGTTCTCTCCTCGCATCCAGACAGGATCTCTAGTAGACCGTTGCTCCACTCCACCGCGATCGGATCAGCGTCCCCAATCCCCGGTTTCAATGTGAGACATCCCGATGATCGAAATCACAACGCAATTTAGACTAATAACACCCGCGATCTCTCGACTGTTCTAACACTCTACTCAACTTGACTACCCGTACTCAACACTCAATAATGATACCATATATAGTTAATCGGTAAAACTATGTATATTTCCACGAATCCACGATCCGGTGTATATACAACAGCATCAACATAAACAAAACAAACAGACAAGAAAGTCAAGAGGTATCTACATCCACATCCACATCGACAACTAAATCAAACATCTAGCTATAATCCACCTCAACCGTCAAGCGCACCGCACCCGACGACACAGTTCCACCAATACCATCCACCGACGCCTCAGAGGCAGTGTACGCATTCACCACCGTCTCGGCATCAGTCGTGATATACGAGCACTGCTTATCCGAGTACTGGCAAATACGCATACCCTGGACCGTCTGGTCGGCATTCTGAGCCTGAATAGCAGACACATCCCAACCAGACCAGCCGCTGTTATCGGTATCGCCAAAGTCGAACTCACCCCATGTGCAGGAGTAACCGCCATAGTCGTCAGTAGGGAGACTGTCGCCCTCGGCGGCACCCCATCCACCCTGGCTGTTCTCGTCGAAGGCAACGTACTTGGTCTCGCCCGCGGCGAGGGTGAAGTTCAACGCGGAGTGGCCGTACCATCCGTCCATCTTTCCATCCGGTCCGATCTTGTTCCAGAAGCTGACGAACCAGTCCTTGGTGTTGCTGCCCTCCATGCGGATGACGTACTTGTATTGCCAGGCGTCGCTGGCGCTCACCTCCTGGATGTTGCTGCCCCAGGGGTTGCCCACGTTGCCGCTGTAGGTGACGCCGCTGCTGCTGCTGTTGGTGCGCTCGCCGAATCCGGCGGTCGAGTAGACTCCATTGGTGGGAGTCGCGGTCCAGGCCTCGCTGGCTGAGCTGCCGGTGCTGGTGGCGGCAGCGGTGGTGCTAGCAGCTGTCTGGGAGGCGGCGGTGTGGGTCTTGGTGTTGGTGGAAGTGCTGGTGTGGGTGGTGGTGCTGGTGTGGTCATCGCCCAGGCCCAGGCCCAGGGAGAGGGAAAGACCCAGGCTGGCGCTGATGGCGAGATCCTCGTCCAAGTCGATTTCCAAGAAGGCTCCGGCGTCGGTGGTGGCTGCTGCCTCGGCAGTGGTGCTGGTGGTGGCCTCGGCAGCCTCAGTGGGCTGGCCGTAGACGGTGGTGGTTAGGGTGACGTGCTCGATGTTGACGACGGTGTGCACCTCGACTTCGACGTCACGGGCGGCCACATGAGCCTCCTGGGCGTGGCCGTGACCGTGTTGACGGCGCTGGTGGCCGTGGGTGCGAGCCAGGGCCGATTCAGCGATGGCAGCGCACAAAAGGAGTGACTTCCACTGCATGGTGGAGAATGGTTATGTTCAGACCAGTGAGTCAACCAGTGAAGTCTGTATCCGCCGGATGAAGGGGGAGGAGTGGTGGATTTCCCGAAATGAAGGAGGTTGATGGGTTTATACGGTGTGTTCGTCTTCTACACCACTATAACCAGGGTCCAAAAAAAGGAGTGACTGAAATATTGCAAAGCAACAACAATAAGGAGTGTGCTATGAACAGGACAAAAACGGGGAGGGGCTGCAAAAGAACCGGGGCGACTTGGGTAGGTATATAGACGGACTGCGCCCTAATCGGCCCCCCCGTTCTAGGCTGACTGTCTTTTCTCTCTTCTGGGGAGATAGTGGGTTTGATGGTGGCCTCGATCAAGAGGAAGTGGAGACAGGCAGCGCAAAAGGAATCGTCAGCATTGGGCCAAGGCAGGCGCCGCCATGGTGGGAAAATTGACGAGTGTACTGGACTAGTGCCAGCACCTGTGCGCCTGGACTGGAGCCAACTAAAGGAGAGGAAAGCCGAAGTGTCGATAGCCCCGTTTAGGGCAGTGAAACGGAGGGCGACGATGGTCTGAAACGCAGGACAGCCATGGTGAGCGAACGAGGATGCGTCGAATGCGGCGCGATGGACTCCGTTGGCGGATGGGGCTTTTTGTAGATTCCGCCAGCCAATGTTGTTATTGTTTTTTTGCCTATTCTTTTCTTATTTTGTTGATGGGGGCCTCCACCATCCAGGCACGGCTGTGGCATGCCATTTCATCCCTCCATCCAATCCTCTCCCTCTGCTCCCCACGTAATCCGGCCCCCTTGCGTCGTCCACCCGTGGTGCAGCAAAGAAACTGCAGCGGTCTGGCAGCCAGACTGGGAGACCGGACCGTCAGCTGGGAGGGCGCCATGTGGTCTGGTGGATGGTTGCTCGGACGAATGGCAGCATTCCGGTACCTTTTGTTGTGTATTTGGGGAAGTTTAATTCTAGACGCCACGATGGTGGTTCTAGGATGTGGGTCAGAGCACCGATTGTGTACTACGAAAGCATTGGAGAGATACTAGCTACGGCTGGACATCATTCAGAAGATCACAAATGTGACAAGCGAGATGGAAGAGCAAAGAAAGAAAAGAAAATTGCCTCCAAAAAATTCAATTGATAGAGAGGGAGTGTCTGACTGGATGCCGGGATCCGAGCAACGTCGTCAAGAGTCTTAGTAGGCTAGGCAGAGAAATAAAACCGCCAGGGAGTGGAGTGATAAAGACGCAAGAATTGGCGCCGGGCGGAGTTAAGCATCGACTAGCGTTGGCTTAGCAGCGCAACTCCTTTCTCTCTCTGTCCAGAATATTGATCGATCCCTCCCCTCCACGTGTGTTATCTCAGTACTAGACTACTGGGTGGTCCGACCGAGAGACTGTCGATCGAGAGGATGAAGGTTTGTTCCAGCTACCTCAGGCAGCATTTTTATAATTCCTTTCAATAACAAGAAGAAGGAAAACCCGATTATCAGAAATTAGTTCCACCCTACTCCGTAAAACAGCCATTTCTCCTAAGCAAAACCACCAGTTTAGCAGCAATAGACGCCACTGGCTGGCGCCTCATCCTCGGAGTGGGGCATTACTTACGTATGCCTTCGGCCACCACCACAAAAAACCCAACCACAAAAGAAGAAAAAAAGTTAATAATAGTCCCATCCAGCCTCTTTCCCCTCGATTCAGTTTCTTTGGCATCATCCCATCGTAGCTGACGACTTCCACGGTTCGTTTGATTTACCTTATTTCTTGCCGTGGCTTGGCCCATGGATGCGCTTCCGTCGGAGTTGACAGACGGACATCTCTCGTCCAGGAACAGGAAGCCTACGTATGGTTGTTAAATAGTCTGCTTGGCGGTGATTTTGCATACGCAAGTCGACACGGATGGACGCCGGTCGTAGGACTGTTCAGGGCTAGTTACTCAAGGGCGAGGCTTTGAGGAGATTTTTACTTGCGTATAAGTTTAAGTAACATAGGGAGGGCATTACTCAGCGGCATTCTCGGGGTGGACCCAAAACTAGTAACCTGTTTATTGTTTAGTGTTTTACCGAGGGAGTCATGTTTGTCCCTTTCCACACACTTCTAGATCACGCTCCATTTACTCCATAGATTACTCCGTATCCAAGATTCTGATCAAAATGATTGACGGATAATTTATCTTGTATCCATTGGCACTACACACTCTCTCTGTACAGCACAACATATAGTCTACAAAGTACACCGGAATATGTGGATGTGGGTGTGGCTAATTTGCCACATACCACGGATCCGACCTGTCCGCGGAACCAGACAAACAAACACTGGGCGAATATTTCGAAAAGTATCATCCGGATAACCCAGAGCCATTATTTGCCTCCTACCTGGGATAATAGACGGAGTATCTAGTACGGAATCGATCTTTACATGGTAATTTCCCATCTACAATTTATTGTTTTCCGATTCGGTTCACTACCCACTCAGTCGGACTCCCAACATAAAATAACACCAACACACGCTTGCATGTAAGATAGCGGCTCGCTCCGAGGGGGAGTTTCTAGGCTATCTACCGATTCGGTACATCGAGTGGACATGTCACTTCATGTGCCGAGCCAATTCCTCTCCCACTGTTGGATATTTGCTTTGATACTGTGGGGCCTACACAGTATCGTGTTATGTTCGGTATTACTGTGTTGAGATCAAAATGATGCTATCGGAGGGATTCGGTAGTATCATAGAACAGGGGCCAAAGCCTTATGTTGGCTGTTTGATCGCGTTCCTCCCTAGGCTTCGGTAGGGGCTCCAGGAATGGGCGACGGTGTGGTGGTATAGTTGAAGGGGAATGCTGATTGGCTAGACTTTTGTGTTTGCTGGCATGCAGGTACAACTACTATCTATCTAGTAACTATCTGCAAAATCAGGTACCAAACTCAAGACCCGAAAGTACGCCACATGCATAAGGTTCGTGGACTCATCATCCGGACATCTACACCGGTAGTCATCCTTCTCTTTCTCCGGCAACTCCTCGCCCATGATAGCTCAACTCTCCCACAACCACAGGTCTGTCTGCAATCCCTCGCGCTCTGCGTCCAGCACCAAATTACTCGTGTTCAGTTGGTCCGCCGCTGTCAGCATGCAGTCCAACGACAGCCCTAATCCCCTCCAATCAAGTGCAATTTCGTCGTCCTGCTCCGAGATCTCATGTGGGGGCGGAATCCCCGATCCCCCTATCTCCCCATGCAGCCCTGACTCTGATGGTTCAACTTGCTCGGTGTGTCGCTCCTGACCTTGGCTGGTAGGTGTGGCCAGGTGCGGCCGCGCAGAATCATAATTTCCGATGTCGGGGGATCGGCCCTGCCGTTGCATTAAGGGAGCTATCAGTTCTTCCAGCAGCTCAACTTCGGATCTGCGAAGCTGCGCCACGCGGTTTCCTCGCTCGATCATCGCGTCGAGCAGGCTATAGCCCATGTCGCGGTAGCTCGGATCGGTCAGGGTGTCGGGAAGGATGGCGGAGATTACAGAAAGAATAAAGAAGGAGGAAAAAAGGTTTTCTAGGTCGAAAGGAAGGAAGGTTTCTGGACATCCATGTCAGTATCGGAATATGACGTGAGTTGGGGTGGCCCGAACCTAGGAGGTTTTGGTCGCGCAATGCGGTAAGTATCCGCAATGATTTTGTCGCGGAGTCGATGCACGCCTGAAGCAATGCTTGCACGGGCGGGGATAGAGTGCGAAACTCTGTACCTGCCTCGAAGCAACCCAGGCGCTCCCATAGCAGGCTCAGGACGAGGGGTCTCGTTGTGACAATGATGCACTATGACTATCAGCAGCGGTACGCACTATGATAAAGGGGTTCCGTTTACAAGATGACAGGATAGGGTCAGGCGTGTGGTAACCCCAGATAGTGAGTCAACTGAGTTTGCGAAGCGATTCGAAAAGACCTCATCTAGCTCCTGCGAGAGGGTTGTCATTTCTTGCAAAACCGATCGTACCTTGCGAAGAAAGACCCCTCCCAGTGTGCCATCGGCACTGTATACAGCTACTGGATGTCAGCATTGTGATAACTAGGCAGAAAGTAACTTACTGTTCAACACGCGCGTTATGACTTGCGTGATCTTGACATGAAGGCTCAGGGTAGCCTCATTGCGAGAACACGTGCGCGGGTCCCATAACAGCGTGGTGATCTCGTCATCCCGCACTGAATTCGGGGATCCTATCAGCGCCGCGAATTTGCGGTCCAGGATATACACTGTCCACCAGATGTTGCTGCAGCGTTCGACTAACTTTCGTCCTAATTGATTGACTGGGAGCGCCCGGTGAAACCCTTCAACCAATGCCATGCGCATTGAATGGCCAATCTACATGATTAGCCAAGCAAACAGAACATTGTGCGGATACTCACATAGCAATAGGCAGTATCCCTCATATCCACCGAATGGAAATACAGCCCAATGAGAGCCAGCACCTCAATCGCGAGTGTAGGGTCCTGCCATAACCCGGTAATATCGGGCAGCAGTGACATAGCCCTCGAGAAATACTTGGTCCAGCCCGCTGTGTTCGTGTGGTTCCGCACTGGGTCCAGAAAGGCCTCTCCGAAGGCTAGGATGATGAGAAACTGCACGTACCACAGACGGCGTTCCTGCACCTTGGCTGCCGCATCATCGTAAAACTCATACAAATGCCGATAGAACTCATCCTCATCGAATAGCCGGTACAGGTGGGTGAAATGAAACTGCACGGTGCTCACCATGTACAGTGCATGCTCTAGAGAGGGCAGACCGCTAATGTCAGGAGCCTCCTCAGAACTGGCGTGGCGCCACTGTATTTGATATGCATCGCCATCTACCGCGAGAGGGATTGCGCGTGGACTCTCTGGCGAGATGTGTGCCTGTACAATGGTAAGAATGCGGCGACTGAACGACCAGGTCGAAGTCGGTCCAAGAAACACTGCGCAGCGGTCAGCAATTGCCATCCAAGAGGAAGTAGATAACCTACGCCATATCCGCTGTCGTCGTCCGGTATGCTTGAGGTAGCCCGGATTGATAAAGGGGTTGGAGGTGAAATGGTCATCCATTCGATGAGACTCGACTGGGTCGAGCGATGCCTCTCGGGGCAACTCCGATGCTGGTTCTGCACTGATTAGATAAGGATATGCAGCATGAAAGGGTGTTTTGCCTAACCATAGCTGGATTCATTCGCACTGTCAGCCGTCACGGCTCGCCGGCGTTTGACCACCGGGGAAGAGTCACCGCTCTTTTCTAGAGCCTCCACTTTTCGCTTGAGGGACAGGAATAACCTGGGAAGAAGATTAACTTGGTCTCTCTCGGTAATGGCAGATCATGGTTCTCACTCTTCAGAGACTACGATCTTGCGATCATCTTCAAAGACACAGTCTTCCCGACGTTGACAGCACTTGTCACAGGGATGGGTGCCAGAACATTTGACCTTGCGGGAGCGACAGCGTTGACAGCTGGCGGGGTTAGTGGGCGTGAACTAGAAGCATCCACATCCGGGGGAAGAGGGAGCCCATACGCATTGCTGGTCCGCTTGGGACGCTGAGAATGGTCCATTGTCCCTAACTGGAAGTTCTCCCAGAAGTTAATTTTCCTTTTTTAGGCCATAAGCCTATAATCTTGGATGAATAGCATATGCTGCAGCTTTATTTGCTGGACTTGACGAGGGAGAGAGAAGCAGCAGCCCGAATCCATGCTGGAGGAGTCAATTTCCCCACCAAACCATAGCTGAGTAAGCGACCCCGCCCGTTATCGGAAGATAAGAAGAATCAGCTGCAGTGATCGAGATGATATGATTAAATGTTGTCATGATAGGGCCAGGAAATCGTCAGGAAATCCTCCATTGTCAAATATTGGCAGTTGTTCGAGTACCAGAAAGATATGTTTCCCTGGCTTCGGTATTACCCACATGAAGTGGCATCCCAGATTGCTTCTTGACGGTAAGAAAGTTGTGGGGGATAAACCATGCCCCTATAAACTCTTAAACTTCGTGTTTGTTTTTTTTTCAAGGTTGCGCAGTGCTACCACAATTCATAGCCAAAAACATGACCCCGTATTTATAGAATCTTGTACCCATTTGTGCTAAAACCTCTCGGTGCGGCCCTTCCACGACTTCAACCTCTATGCGAGGCAGTTGGAACGTAGGTAACCATCATAGTCTGAAACCTGGAGTAAACCCGTCCAGAGAATTCAGTTAACTACGGGTTGTTGGGTTCACCAAGAGAATAAGAGCCTACTTTCCGAATTCCCCAATTTCCAGTTTACTTGGGGCCCGGACTTTCAGGCACGCGAATTAGTCGGAGGTATAGCATAGTCGCCGTGAATAAATACGATTTGGGAAATTGCACAGGGCTGCCACGGCTGAAGTAGTAATGTAGGAAAGTAAAATGATTTTTGACCTTCCCCAAGCGACCCTATATAGCAGCTTTGATTAGCTGGATCCCTCCATTACGAATGGGGAAGCTTCCATAGTATCAAATGAGTATGATTTTGGTCGCTCCTGCCAGTGACTCACACTGGATCAATCCACATTTCGTAAGCACACTAAGGCCAACTCCTATCGTCCCCAATGGTCAACGCATAAGCTCAGTAATTCAGAAGCGGCCACAACATCGGACCATCCGTCGGACCCCAGGTAGATTGTGGAGCAGGAGTTGCTTACTATTTGCTAAGCCTTGTTAAGCTTTCTTTGGTCTTTGTTGGCCTTGCTTAGCATCCACATCTACTACAAAGAAGGAATGAGGGGCAAAGCAGCACTATACCTAGTCGAGATGGTCTCTAAATTACTGAATCTCTAGACCAATCAGTTAAGCAGACATATAGTGCTCCCGCAACAAGTACTGACTAGTACAGCAGCTATCCCTGATGTAATCTCCTGTATGATGGTGAGATCCCCTTTCCAGGTTTTGGAAGCAAGCCCAGACACTTGTGTCAATTTACAACGTTAGCTTGGATGAAACCATAATACAAAGCAATACTTTCTGATTCCTGATTAACTCGATATGCGGACTCATACTTGGATGAGATTCACTAGCAGTAAACTTTAGATATTACCCAGATCTGTCACTATATACTTTTTTTCGTTTGATACGTGCGATGTCATTCTTCGTATGCATTCCACTAGTCACTCTGCATAGAGCGAATACAGGGCTTCAGACTCCGGGTAAATCGGCAAACGCTTACACACAAGACTATCTTCTTTCATAATATAGCAATTCTTGTCGATATACACGACATGGGTATATGGTTGTAATTCGCATACAACACATCCTTGTCTAGCTCCACTTCAATGTCTTCTTCTCAGTGGCCAAGCCCTGGACCCTGGTCGAATATGAGTCAGATGCGGCCCTAAAGGTCCTCAATCATCAGGAGCAGTACTTATGACACTTCTCATGACATGATTTTGTCCTGTATCTGCTTTATTCATAGTCGTCATCATTTGTCCTTTGTATCCTACCCTCGATCGTCCTTCCACCATGGCCTATACACAGGGAACCGGCAGAGAAGAAGAAAGGGAGCATGATCTAGACTCGATAGAGCTTGTGACAGTGACGGAAGCTCCCCAAAGTACTGCGGTTTGTGAGACCGAAGACAGCTCCGATGATACGGACCCCGAGCCATCGACTGCTCGCCTAGTGTTAATTCTGTTAGGTCTCTGGGTAAGCAATTTTTGTGCTCAACATGACTAACAAATGATCTACCCACTGATTCTGAAACCCATAATATCAGGTTGGGGTCTTGCTCAGCGCATTAGGTATGTGCAACATCCTCCCCAAAATCCTCTTTCCCGCTCTCCTTACTGCCGAGGGGTCAGGTTTCTGACAGAGGGTAGACTCGACCATGCTTGCCACAATTATTGAGGATATATGTGATGAATACGATGCTTTTTCATCCTATTCCTGGGTCGCTACCACATACCCTATTGGTCTCTCCATCTCGCAGCCATTCAGCGGACAACTGACCAACCTCATGGGCCGATGATATGGCCTTGTACTTTGTCTCTCAGTCTTAGCCGTAGGACAGTTACTGTGCGGGCTGGCGCCCCGTTTGTCGGTCTTCTTGCTAGGTCGGATCGTTCAAGGTCTCGGCGCAGGCTGCATCGGCACCATCACTGCTTTTGTCGAAACCGATCTAGTATCCATGAGGAAACGGGCGCTGATCGAAGGCATCGGCAATATCACCTATGGTGTCACATTGGCTCTGGGCGGCGTCTATGGGGGTGGCGTCGCCAACGCCATCGGATGGAAATGGGCGTTCCGAATTCAAGTGCCCTTCATCATTCTCGACATCGCAATGGTGGCATTCTACCTCAACATCCCTCAGGGTAAGAGTCGTCCTATCAGGCGCCCAGTTGACTACGTCGGCATGGTCGCTCTTCTTGTTGTCATTATCCTCTTCCAATTCGGCATGAATGCTGGTGGTTCGGCATTTGCCTGGAACAGCGCAGCAGTGCTGACCACCTTGATCCTTGCTGCGCTGGGATTTCTGGCCTTTCTCTTCTGGGAATTCTATAAAGCCGAGAATCCTCATATCCCAGTTCGAGCCCTACTACAACGCACCGTGGCCGCATCGCAACTGAGTTCATTCTTCTCCAACTTCGGCAACACCAGCATCATGTACTACGTGCCTGTGTACCTGGAAGTCCTTGGCCACTCCCCGGGCCAAAGCGGCCTACGTTTTGTTCCCCTGGCTCTCTGCTTTGCGCTTGGATCCTTCGCCGCTGGGTTCTTCGTCAAAATTACGGCCAAGTACTACTATATCAACTTTCCCGTCCAAGCCTGCTCCGTACTCGGCGCAGTCATGCTCTGTACCATGACCCAGACAACTCCTTCTTGGGCGCCCTTCGTCTATCTCGGCATTTACGGTGCTGGGTCCGGCGGTGCCTATGTGACCAGACTCATGGGCCTCCTCACCTCGGCAGATAAGCAACACCTCGCTGTGGTGCAATCCTGTTCCTTCACTGTCCGCAACACTGGCACCACCATCGGCCAGACCATCTCGGCCGCTATCTTCCAGAACTTGTCAGTCAATGCCCTCCGATCTCTTTTTCGGGGCCAGCCTGGTTTGGCTGATCGGATTTCGCACAACTACAATCGGCTCGACCTGCTGAGTGGCTTGGAGAAGCAGACTGCAATCTTCATCTACCTTCGTGCCGCGCGTGGGGTGTTCTTCCTTGCTATGTCAGTTCTGGTTGCCGCTGCTGTGTCAACTTTTGTTATGCAGAATAATGAGCTGGTTGATGGTTCGAGGGAGAAACAGAGCGCGGAGGAGAAGGGGGAACTAAAGGAATTGAAGAAGGCGAAGGATGAAGAGGAAGCGCCGTGACGATTATGGCAAATAAGTGGCTTAGATGTACGGCACGGTCACCCAAGTCAATGTATTGGTTGGTCTCCCCGGAGTACGAAGCTTTGGATAGGCTCCGATCGGTCCACTTGATTTATCACTCCCTGGCTTTCCCGTTGCGGCGGCATGTATAGGCACCGAATATAATAATCAGTACTGGTTGTGGATCAAAGATCCGCTACGTCACTGGTAGCAACACAGGCTGCCACGTTAACAAAAGAACTACTAAATAGTAGCAGCAAATGATTGAAAAGAATGATATAACTAATGTTGCGATTGTAGTTCTACCCATTGGTTTTTAGCCTGCATCAAGTCGAAGGAAAGTAGATTGACCGAGCAGGAAATCTAATAGCTGTCTTTATATAGCATGAAATGTGAAACATTCTTCATCCAAGGCAAGATGGCCGAGTTGGTCCAAGGCGTCAGGTTAAGGTCCACCTTAATACCCAGCTTCACAGCTTCCTGATCATCGTAAGATGGCGTGGGTTCGAATCCCACTCTTGTCATTTTTTTTTTTTTTTTTTTTTTTTTTTTTTTTTTTTTTTTTTTTTTTTTTTTTTTTTTTTTTTTTTTTTCGCCGCCTCCGCATTAGACCCTCGGAATAGGTGCGGGAGAGCCTCTTTCTCCTTAGAACATGAGTTTATAGAACTCAGAATTTATCGTAAATTGTCTGTCTTCAAACCGTCTTTGCATTTATCCATCAATCCATGTAAACTAACGTATAGGGCTTGACCCCAATGCCCATTCTTTCCAGCAAAAAACCGACATCATATTATTGACTGAGCTAACCTGGCTATTAATACTTGTCTACTATTACTTTACGTTTATACATTCCTAATAACGATCACTCGTATCAATGAGTGGAATTCGCATTATCACACAATAGCAACCGCTTCGCTATATGCTGTATCTCAAAAGGGTGCTATACCACGCTAAGACATCCGTCCCATCAAGCAACTGAATACTACCTCCACCACTCCAACACCACTACAGTCATAGAACAAGTTCAAAGGTAATCATAGATCATAAACAGGCTCAACAATCACTACTCGATTCTAAGCCCCCCCCAAAGACGAGTCGAATTAGCCCCATCAAGATCTCATAACATCATCACCCACTCCCCTCATACATAACTAACAAACAACACACCCCGCAGAGAGTCATTTCTCCGCCTTAGGCGGGTACTCCTTTCCATCGCGCACCACCTTGGGCACACAAGTGCAGCGCTCACTCTCCGGAACCGAGTCCAGAACGGAGGGGATATGCGCGCCGCAGCCCCACCAGGTGGCTTTGTCTGGATGCATTCATTAGTATCTTGACATTGTGGCGATATGCTGGATTGAAGTGGGGGGTGACATACTGCAGTTTGAGCAGTTGACTTTCATGCACATCTTGAAGAGATTTCTCGATCTTGTTCTTGGTTATGAGGGGGTGCGGGGGTAAATGGAAGTTAGTGGAAGGAGATAACTCAAGATAGAGGCGGATTTATAGCTCGTCAGTCCCTTGCTTAGTCATGACTCAGTCGCCGACCGGGTGATCCCCGAGAAACCCGACCGGTCTCTTGCGGGGAAGTTTGAGGTGCGTGAGGGTTTCTATGATGCAGTTGGGTGTTGGGGATGAAACGTGCATGAAGAGAGTATTTGGGAGGTGTGTACATAGGGCTTAGTGGACGGAGTATGGTGGTGGAGGGACCTTGGGGGAATCGGTGTCATACTACTGATAGAGTGGACTCCCGGCTTAGTGCTTTGTTTTGAACAAAATAAACGCAGTGTTCTACTGGGTACTCGGTTATAAACAAAAGAACCCCCCCCCCCCAAGAGTACTGTCATAGATCGTCATCTCATGAATCGGTCATATCCATTCACAACTTCCCCATCCTCTCTGCAGGAGCACAGCACGTGGCTGGCTCCGGGTGCAACGTCGACTTGTTGAACGACTGCGTCGAAGGCGGCACGTCCAATGCGGGATTCTTAGTGAAGAATCCATCGGGCTTGAGCATGACGCTGACGCGCTCGACGGGCATAACAGGGAAATCTTCAATGCGGGGGTTATGCGTCAGGCCGAAGGCTGTCATATGTTAGTAGCCTAGCCCTGCTGCCGACCGGCAAGTACACGATCGTAGAAGGTTCACTTACTATGCCACAACACAATATCCTCATTCTCAACAGGATCTTTCCGCTGCACCCACTTCTCCACGCCCTCGCTTTCCCGGCTCTGGTTGGTGAATTCGCCCGCCGCATACAGCTCGTCGTCCCGATACTTCGTGATCCAGATGGGTTTGGTTGCGAAGCCGGCCCGCTTGGCGCCGTAAGACTTGGGGCTTGACAGAAGCATCTGACTGGGCGAGGTCTGAAGCTTGTACGCTATGGGCTTATAGGTGATTGGGTTAATATGGCCATCGTTGCGGATCTTGAACACGCGATGGCGGCTGATGTCAGTGTTTGCCGTGCCGCTGGTGCGGAGCACGGTCTGCTCGGTCGTGTATCCCACCAGGTAGGGGTTGTTCTCATCCTCCGGGAGTGGCACACTATCTTCGTAGTAGACCGTATTTTTGAAACCGTCCAAGGCAGGGTCCATCCGGAATGAGAACATGTGCTGGTGGAAAGGCGCCATCACGCCAGGGCCGACGTTTGTGCCCCAGGGAACGGTGGTGCCGTACTTCTCGTTGTCGAAGGGCACGGTAGAGAGAATGCCGGTGGCTCTGACCTCGAGCTCAATATTAGCAGCTTGGTCGAAGATGAAGGCGAAGATGTATTCGTAGTTGGCGACAGTGCAGATCATCTGCACTACTAGTTGGCGGTTCCGGACAACCGTGGCGGCGTTGTTGCGGTAGTTGGTGTGTTTGTGCTGTAGACCGTTGTCCTGCTCATGAAGACAGATGACATTCTTCAGCAAAACGGGGTTTCCCTTTGAATCGGCCCGGTAGCCATCAAAGTACTTGATGTGGCCTAGACAGTCGCAGCCTAGGGAGAGTTGGTTTGCTGTGACACCGAAGCCTACATCTCCCACATCGAATGCCTGCTTGCGGTGATAGGGAGCACGGGGGTCTGTAGCGCAAGATCAGTATGAGGCTGATTGACAGAGATAGTGAAGAACAAGAATAGTGTAGCACAAGACTTACCACCGTACGGTACAGTCATCTCCGACATGGACAGTCTGTAGAAGACATTCCGCTTATCATAAGTGAGATTGTAGATAACGAGACCCTCGCGGCTATTGAAACCAACGCGAAACCTCCATTTTTGCCACGACACCACATTGCCGTCGACGTTGAATGACGGGCCTTGGGGCTGCTGGACGATATAAGGCTTGAGGTCAGTGCGCAAGGGTTCCTGCAGCAGGTCATGCGCGTATTGGATGGTCTCAACCGGCTTCCAGGGCTGTGTTTCGGTGGTTTGCGTATCAACCCCACCCGGTAGATAATCCATACGGACCAACTCACGCTTATGAACGTCAAAGACAGGGGAGAACTTGCAGGGCACGGAGTAGTGGTTGTTTTCAGGATGGTCTGTCGCAACAATGTACATGTAGCACTGGAACAAGCGACGTGTCTCGTTGGGATCATCAGTGCCATAGATCCAGGGATCATTGCAGACGGTGACACCGGGTGGAAGGTTCAGTTTGGCCACCTCGGCCTGCACGGCGGGGTGAGAGAGACAGAGTTGCTCGACTTCTCCCAATTCGTCCGGATCACCAGGACCCTGTTGTTGTCAGAGACATCATGAGGTAACGCAGATGTGCACCATGAGTCTTACCTGAACGTGCTTGGGCAGTTCCTTGGCCGAGATTATTGATCGGGTGTCGGCATTCAACAATGCCTTGCCGAAGGCCATGGTATCCATGCAATGGAAAAGAACCAGCAGCAAGCGAGTGGGCTTTGCGGGCAGGGGCTTGCCTAGCCGTTCCGCTTCAATGTACGGAACCACTTCACTCTTGATGGGTTCTTGGATATCAACCTTCTTGTACCGTAGAGGGACTCCGGGGAAGGCCGCCGCCATAATCTTGGTGGCCAGGACGATCTCCGCCGGGGTAATGGGGTCAAAGGGGTGTGTTGGGGCTGCCATGGTGTCTATATCCGGGTATCTACTGAATATTTCGAGACACTTCCGAAGTTGAAGAGAAGAACGAGGGACAGCAGAAACGAGATGCTATATAACTTTTCCTCCCCGCCCAGATTGCCCAGATTACCCCGATTGGAGACACAGGCAGGCGGAGTTGCCATATCATCCCTCTTGGGAATGTCTTGGCCTCCGCTTCGCGAAAGAGGATCTTGATTGGCTCTCACGGCCGACCCGGCGTATCTCTTACTGTATGTGGACTAGCGTGGGCGCCTTATCAGGGCCTTGCTGATCTCAGCATACCACCAATCAGACTCTGTACTGACTTGGCAGTGAGAAGAGGCCTCGTTTATGTAATAAGACTTTATGCATGGACTTGTACATTTAATGCGCCAAATTAAAGCATGATTAGACACATTCCCTTCCTTACGACACCATGAAAGCCGTGACCCCAAGCACCAAGCATGCTGTGACCCCCGTCACTACTCCTGCGCCGATTCGATCCGATGTGGTGATCGGGCGCAGTTCACTGGGATCTCGGGATGAATCTGAAGCCTGGGTCCCTGCGGCGCTGTTCCCCTGGCTGGATCCTCCCGTGGTATGAGTGAGCGGACCCGGGTTGGCCTGGAGAAGATTGGCCTGGACCACCTCCAAGGCGGCCATTTGCTGTCCCACGCCCACCGTACCATCATAGGCCCCCGTGGTCCATTGCATCCCACAGTATGTACCCGTCTTACCTCCCACACATTGGGCTGCTGCTGCCTTGGCTGTCGGTTGCAGACGTGCCATAATGGTATCGTAGGTGAAGGGAGCCAGTCGGGCCGTGTCAGCCATCCACCGCACCAGATAGGCCTTGAACGAAAATTGGTCCGTTTGGCAGGTCCCCACGGTCTCGCATGCGGCCTCGTAGAGCACGTTCTTGGAGCTCTCGTTTGTGGAAAGGAAGCTGCTCTGCGCCTGGAGAAGACCGTCCACCCGTTCGCGCCAGCTCTCGTCACCGTTGGTCTGCAGTCTCGTCAGCTTTATGCCACGTGCAGGGAGCAGAGCCTCCCACTCACATAGTTCCACATGTGTGCTGCCCCGAGCAGGAACACCCCGTTGTTATAAGTCCACTCAATATGATTGAGGTCGGTGCAGTTGTTCTCCTCACTTGTCCCGTCAAACACATGATACTCGGGCCCAATCAGTCCTACGTCCGTCACCCAGTCCCAGACCTTATTCGCCCAGTCCGCGTACGTCGCGTTGCCCGTATATCGCGCGAGTCGAGCTGCCATATTGAAGAAACACCCATTCGAGATGGAGTTCCGGTACGTGTAACCGCTGTTGAACGTGTAGATCTGCCACTTTAACCCTCCTCCGCACTTCTGCGTATTCCACCGCTGCGCTTGTTCGTTGAACACGGCCTGCGCGAGAGACAGCCACGACGGCTGATCGGCTGGCGGGTTGGGGAAGTTTCGCTCGGCGGCGCGCAGGGCAGCGAACGCCCAGAACGCCTGGTCATCGTTTCCCTCCGTGCGCGTCTGGTTGGCGGGCATGAAGTCTCGGTTGGGGCCGACCTGGTGGAGGATGGCTTGCGCGGTCAGGTCGTTGTATGTCGTGTCTCCGGTGTAGGCCCAGTAATTGACCAGGGTGCCGAAGAAGGCCCCCGCCTCCCACCAGTAGTAGGGATCTGGAAGGTTTCCAGGAACATCGCCAGTGTTGTTACCCGTATAGAAGCTGACTAGGTCCCAGGCGAGTTCGCTTGCGACGCTCTTGATGCTGTCTAGAGAACAACAATCAGGTTCATTAGCCTCCGACAGAGGTTCAACTCTTGGTCAAGATCGTTGGAAACCCACCAGCATTCTGGAGATCCAGGTCGATCGCCAGGACCCGGAAGCAAGGGAGAGACCAAACAACACCTATGAGGATGGACCGCCAAAGGCGAGGTTGTGGAATGTGCATCATCATACGGTACCCATCAAGCTGTTTGCAAAACGAGTGAAAAGACAAGAAAGTTAGGAATGAAGATTCACGAAGAGAGAAAGGGAAGACGAAAATAGAGGAGAGTCGTGGTCCAGTGAATTCGAAACATTATGCTAAGGATGGCTGTGGAATAACACGAAACGGCATATGCAAGGGTCTTCTGCGGGCCGTAGCAAGGATCTCATTATTGCCAGTGAATGGATGCAACTTTTGGATACTTTAAGGTAGCAAGGACCAGTGCATGACCAGATTCATACTATTAATGTAATATAACCCGCCATCGAATGCTACAACAGGTTTGTATTTAAATGCAGTGGTTGACGCGAATATACTCCAAGCCTGATATCTGCCATCTGCGAATCTGCGAAAAAATATTTAGCGCACACCAAGGCATTCTCAATAGAGCATCCGCGCTCCAGTTGTGGCTATGGGAAGAATGCTGCTAAGTACCAACGCTCAGATAATCCAAGATCAAGATACTGACAATCATTTGATGAATTTCATAATGGGGTGGATATAGACACATGTTAGAAAACCATGGCATTAACATTACAATCACATCCATGTCGAGACACATATGGACATGGCACCATCACAGACATATACAGAGATGAGAGACATATATACCATCATCACCATCTAAAACCAGGAATATGGTACGCTCCACCAATAGAGCATAACTCCTGTCTGCAGCTGAGTACGCCCCCTAAACAGGTGCAGCACACCCAAACGACGTAGCCACCGTACCACCCGGTCCAAACTCCTCAATCAAGCCCTCAATGGCAGCCCACATGCCCATACCAGAGCATGCCAATCCACCACAGAAATAGAAGATACAGAAAAGATTCAGCACCCAGTGCTTCTTGAATCCACGGATGTACCGCTGCATGCCGGAATCGTGGTGTACTGTTACGCCAGTCGCAGGATCGTATCCCTCGCCCGGAAGCGCGGCGTCTTTTTGACACCGAAATCCAACGTATAGAACACCCGGGAGGGTGTAAGTGAAGTTGAGAATCAGAGCCGCGCCGACCATACTGGAGATTCCACTTAGATTGGGAACGGCAGCGGCGATAACAAAGGCAATTATCCAGTAAACTGGGCCCAAACCGTACCACAGCAAGCGGCCGCGTTTGGTGGAGATATCAGGGAAATTGAGAATTTCCATGAAGACTTGCTGGTAGACAGATTTCATGCCGATGTTGAAGTAGAGAACTGGACTGGTCAGCAGACGTTCGTTGTATTAAAGCATCAAGGGAATAAGAACAGATCAGAACATACTGCAAGCAATAATGGAGGTTAAAAAGTAGACTATATTAACTGCTGTTTGTAGACCTTTGGGCTCAACAACGTTGTAGATGTTGGAGATGGAGTATTGACCGTAGAAGCTGTAGACCTGTGATAATGTTAGTCAGATGCGCATTGTCAACACCATATAGGGGATCTTACAAAGGCACCGAAGAAGATGTAGACCAAACAGATAAACAATTGGGCACACAGCAACCCCTTCCAGAAGTCCCACGGGCGGCGCATCTCAGCCAGGAAGGAGATGAACAAAATGGCGCCACCATAACTGTCTGTCACAGGGTCAGCTGAGCTATCCTCGGACGCACAGAAGTTGAACATGGATTACTCACAAACCATCTGATCGACACCAGTGAACTGTCCCGAAAACCCAGTGGCCTGGATTTGGTACTGGTCGGGTGGAGGGCCAGCAAAGACCTTGACAGGCTCTATGGCTTTGATCAAGGAGGAATTCCTGACGGCCTGATAGTCGATTCCATAGTGGCCACCAGCCGCGACCATGCTGTTCATTCATTAGCACACCGCCGCAAGGGTAGAATAACCTGAAGAACTTACATCATGATGAAATCCGTGATGTTCAACCAGACGGCGGCGTTGGTCAGCCATCCGAGATGCTGCAAGGACCGAATGCTTCCACAGACCATGCCGATGGCCATCATGATAATCATGCACGCCACAAAGCAAATACTGTTGTTGGCCAGCTGCGACAGGATCTGGCCGTTACCCAAAACCAGCACGGACACCGACATCAGCAGCTGCAATGACTGTCCGACGTTTACGGCATGGCGGGCCCAAGCTCCGAAAACACGATAGTAGGTGTCACCGAAGTTGATCAAAGGGTAGCGTGTCGAGTCAAGTTCCAAAAACACCTTCCACAGAATCCAGCCACTGAAGCCGGCGAAGCAACCGAAAACAATGTACAAAGCCACAGCAGGACCGTATCCCACGCTAGCAAAGACGAATCTAGAATATGGAGCCACCAGTCAATTCATATGCATGATGGTTGTCAACGGTTCGGATCTATGTTACTTACGGTGCGTTTGCCCAACCAAGCACATCGGTAGTGATCAAGTAGAAGATGGTCCCCCAAGTGGCCGTTCGGAGGGCGCGAGCTGCGGTTCTCCATTCCTCATCGGTGACAACCAAGGACGAGTCCGAGGGAGTGGAAGCGACCATGCCCTTTTCACCTTCGACCTGCGGGCTATTCTGGGCGCCACTCTTCTCACTCACATTGTGGTTGCCCTTGGAGAAACGGTTCTTGATGACCTTGCCGACGGTCAGAGGCCCACGCTCTAGCACGTACTGGTTATTCTCTTCCTCTTCCAGCTGACGCTCGATCTTGGCCCAGTACATGTACTCCTCGAGGGTGACGTTCGGATCTAACCGAGCGCGAACACCATCGGCACGTGGCACCATCCTCAGGGGGGTTTCTTTATCCTGTCCGTATGCTGGGAGGACTCCCAGCACGGGAGGGATCTCGGCCGGCTCGATTTCTGTGGCCATGGTAAAGCAAGAAGACAGAGTAGAGGACGAACTTGAGGGGTGCAAAGATCTAGAACTGGGGGAGGTGGGATCGGCGGAGCTTAAGAAGGGCCAAGCAGCAAGCACGCGACGGGGGCGAGTCTACAAAGTAGCTGGTAGTGGGTGCCAGACCAGTCAAAGGGAGGCTGACGGGGGAGATAACGTCCACTAGCTAATAACTAAAGGGACAAATGGGAATGGGAGGAGCGGGATTAGCAGGCGGAATCCGATGGATCACTGTGGGCTAGTATCTACATTATCGCCGTCAGTATGAGCTGATCCAGCACTGGTTATCGATGCAATTTAATAAGCACCAGTAGCAGCGATGTTCGAGCCATGGTGGACACCCATTCAGAATGCCATTGACGGTCCAGTGGAAAGTTAAACGGTCTGCATCTCCCCACTTCGAGGAGGCCACCACCACCACTGGTCAGGAACTTGATTGGCACAACGAGGTCTTCTGGAGCATCTCTCGAAGGTCCGAAGGAGGGGTGGCGTCTGGGTTAGCTGGTTTAGGAGGGTAACACACCAGATAACCGTGGGCTGCACGAACGGCTCGCCACGCACCAGGAGACTCCACCGTCAACACGCTCGTTTGTTCGGAGAGTTGCAGACTAGACCAGGGTCACAGGCTTGCTGCGGCTGGAGTCGGATGCTGCTGACCTTACTGAATCCTGATATGATGATGAGGATGAGGATGAGGATGAGCAAGAACATGGTCATGAGTGTGATTGCCTGGCCGAAGCACGTTATCGCGCCCAATGAGACCTGACCTAGATTAGTGCCTGCAGGGAATTTATTGGATCGCAAATTTCGATCTGGAGCACCGTCCGATACACCGTAAGGCAACGTTGGCCTATAGGGAAGGAGGAGGACGAGGTAGTAGTGTGAGTGGTCGGCTGTGGATGCGCACACATCGGACCAAGGGCCATTTTCGTGACGGTTGGGGGAAGATAAGGGCGAATATTATTACCAGAATCAATAAATAACCCCAATAAAGTGAAGGGAACGACAAAAGGGAAAGGAAAGACAGAACTTGCCGACGGAGAACCGAGTGGATGGGGGAACCGTGACCATGCGACCGCTGCACTAGCGCTCCCTTGTCTTGCTTCCCATCAATTTTGCCGATTTTCATGGACCAATTTCCCTTACACAACAATCTACCTGGCTGCAACGCTCCTACGTCCGGAATTAATGGTTCCAGCCATAGCGGCACGAAACCCAAAAAGACTTGTCGCTTATGAGTTGCTAAGAGTACTAGATACTAGTAAGTATGGTAGCGCGGAGACATTCTAGGGGGTCACCGATTGGATGAACCACAGATGGGTGACCAGGGGTGAGGGAAAGGAGTGAAGAAAAACCTGTGGCATGGACTAGGCCGGAAACCCGGGAGGCCCTGTGCACACGGGCTTATCAGAAGAACATCTTCTATCGAGGCCAGTCCCATGGACGGCATGACCGCGCAGTGGCTCCCAAGACCCATCCACTCGTTGCTTGGCCTGTTGCTTGTTTCTCAAGCACGAAGCTTGGCCTCCGCATCGGCTCCAACGACGTAGTAAGTGGATGTCTAGTCCACTACGCAGAATATGTGTACCTTGGAAACAGACCAAGCACTTGATTGCGGCAACCTCAGGGAATTACCCCCCGAGTTTCTCTGATCGGAATCTCCGTGGTGTGCTACTTAAGTGTGGGGATCAAACTTTCAGCTCAAGCTTACGGATGACCGGAGTTGGTGGGCGCAGAAAAATGCAGGTGGCAGGGGAAGAAAGTGAGACAGACGCTGCAGTCTGGGGTCTGGAGTAAAAGCAACCATTCTTTTTTGGGTGGGTGGCGGTGGATGCTGGGTGGTAGCAGGAAATATGAATAAATGGTCCCCCTATCACAGAGCCCAGCGTAGCATAAGTGGGTGGAGATAATATGGCGTGAATGGAGACGACTGAAGGACTAATTGCCGGCTTGGGGATGATACTGTAGCACTAGTAACTAGCAATTAGCAAATTACTCTCCAGGGTTTCCTGGTCGGGTGGAGCCGCCTGCAGCACCAATAATTATTAGGCGATATAACGCAACCGGTGCAACCCAGCATGCAGACAGACACCGGACAGGCAGTCAGATTTCTTCCCGTCTTTCGATACGTGGAAGCCGCAGGATCCCCGTCGCATGGCAAATTAATAGTACGCTGGCCGCATTCATCGTGATGTAGTACTTTGAATCGACTCTCCCCTACGCCCGCCTCGTCAAAGTGGAAGAGGTCGGAGGCGTCAAAAAAATCTCAAAAGGGACATTTAAATCGCGAGAAGAACAAGTAATGGAGAGTAAGAATCCGAAAATATCCCCGAGTGGGTTTTACGGGTGAGAGAGATGCTGGGATGAGTGCAGAATAGTTGGGGGAAAAGCCCCATTATCCCGAGCGCCGATAACTTGCCGGGCTCGCAGCTCTGGTCTGAAACACACCTAACCCTCTCACTGTTAGATAATCGGTTGCTAATTCATGTGAAAGTAACCCTGGGACTAATGCGGGACAGGAGGCATAATCCAGAAGTTTGCTGGTACTATCTACTTGAGTATAACGGACTAAATAATAGCATGAGATTTAACATTTTTCACCGATCTGCAGGACATGAATGTAGTAGAGCCGATGTTCAGAGTATGTACTATTCTAGTCAAATCTCAATGCTATGAATACCAACGGTTTTAACAGCAAAAGTGTCTTTCGTAATTTACACATCGTATTGATGACTACTCACATTTTGAGTGATCCTACCAATATTCAATTTATGGGGTATTCCGCTAACTAACACAAGATCATAACAGAAATTATAGCTTCACAAGAGCTGCTCCTTATAATCAATGCAGTGTGTATATAATATTATACACATTGCATTGTTATACTCAATACTACTAACATGTATCAGTAGTTAATGCCCGTAGAAAGTAGTCATGTGACCATAATTAACACTATCTCCAGTTCCCAATTCCTGTAGTCTGGATAGAAATAATTATTTCCTCCCACTATATCTCAGCTGCCATCCCAAGTTTTATCCCCACCATGTCAGTTTCCCGTTATAGGCAATATATGTCTGCCAATCAAAGTCCAAGCAATCGGAGTAAATTTGGCATAAATATCCATCTCCCCATTCTCCGGCAGTCCAATGAGCGCCTCTCACGTTAATTCAATAGTATTAAGAGCAGAGTCCTGAAGTTAAATGTCAACCGACCGCACCAGGCACGCTATAGTCAAATATAACTTGATATATGCTCGACTGTTGATAAAAGTGAGACCCCTTAAAATCATGTCCCAAGAACTCAAATAACGCACTTCATCTCTATACGCCCCCGACTACCTTTGCTGAAGGAGACAACATATTGGGTTGAGCGTATCGTCGTCCCATTTTCCATCTGCCACCATGTGGACGTACATTTGTTTGGAAAAGGGAGACTCACCGGATCCTGCTTGATGAAGTAGCTTGAACCCATGGGAGTCCAGCTCGTCAGATAGGTGATGTTAGGTATGTCCAGAGACGGAAAGGATAGCACGTACTCCTGGAGGAATGTCAGTCTCTCCGTACCTGAGTGTTTCAATTAAGGTTTTCGAATACGATCCGACATCTTCCTGAAGCTACTCGAGGTAGATAGTCGCCGTGGAACCCTTCTTCTTGACTCATTGAAAGACTCGATGAAATTTATTCGACAAATCGAAGGCGAAGAGTGCTACTTTTACGTGACCTCGGGAAGAGAATGCGGTTCAGCCCATGTTTCTTACCAGAAGGTCCAGTAACTCAGCGGTCATCAATGTATTAATCTTCATCCAGCTGTTTTGTCTCTCAGTAATAGGACCCTCAGGAAAAGTTTGAGCACGATCAAAGTCTATCCAAAGGACTTTACCCGTTTCTGGCTGAAGAACAATATTTCGAGGGTAGGGGTCACCGTGGTAGATTCTAGCGTCGTGAATCTTATGCAAGATGTCTAGAAGTGTGGCGGCGCGATCTTCTGTATATTTTGCAAGATCTATTTCCATCAGGCTAGGGATAAACTCCAGGAGAACAGCGTTCGGACGGAGTTTGTCCTTCACAAATTTATTCAAATGAGGTTACCAGTGAATCGGGTCTATTTGCTCAATCACCCCATAGAAATCTGGGACAATCCCTTGCTCGCATAATCCTCGCTCCTTCAAACGAACATATGCAGTGCTCTCGCAGAAAAATGGATCGATTTCTCTGTATGTCGGATGCGATGGCTGCTTCTCTATGGCATGGTACTGGGTCTGTCAGCGACAGTCTTGACCAATGATGTAGGTGGTGCGATTCTAGAGTAGATGCACTTACTACCTTCATGAGACATGGTCGTCCTTGAAATGTTGCTCGGAAAATACTGGAAGTATCTGATTCTTTTATACACCTGATAAAAGCAAGGCTTCTCAAGTCCCTCATGATGTCAATGACGATCGTTGTGATGGCGGCAGTATTGATTGTGTTCGAAGAGACAGATCAGTCCCAATGAGGCATGCACGATGGTTGCCTGGGAATCGGAGACTTTATGCTTGCTGGAGTGCATAGGAATTATTGGACCTTTATGCAATGTTAAAATAAGCACACGGGATATTGATTTCATTCAACGGCGCTTCCCGCTAATTATGTTTATTCACAGAGAGCTCACTAAGATTCACTCGAGACTTTCCTACCTGTCCCGACGTCTTCGCCTGTTGTTGTCATTTCAGATAAATCTCTACTCGAACGCGCCTTGTGCAATATTGGCTTGAGCTACTTTTCTCAGTTCACATTTAGTTTTTTTCTGGGAAAATCATTGCTTCAGCAAAATGGCTACCAACCTTCCCAACCATCGCATAGTCGAGAACAGGATTTATGCCGAGGGTGCATTCCTTGTCATCATCTCGAGAGCTGTCTTGTTCGAGATTACCCTGCGAGCCTCTGACTTCTTCAGCACCTCTCTAGAAACACAGGTTAACGAGTGGCTGAGTAAAGCTTACGCAAGTGACAAAGCCAGAGACTTTGGAGAAGCCCCGGACGACGCCGAAGTCCTCGAAGATTTCTGGGACTGGTTAGTCCTGCAATGCGCACAATACATTCGACACAACGCTCCAGTCACACAAGAACCTGTCAGTTTACAGAGATTTACCTTCCCTCAAACCCATGCAATTCAGTTGCTACCAATTGATGGGTTAATCACAGCGGTTCCTATCAATTGTAAACGATTCTCTAAATCCTCTCTTCCTACGATAAGCGCGTCAATTTCAGGCCTTCCTCCAAGTGTCCCGAAACTCAGCGCAGCCGATGTGCTCATTTACCATGACCCAGATAGTGAATTTGACCATACCTGTGACATACCGCGTCGTGTCCAGGTGGTGGAGCGCAGTCTATTCTTCAAATCTGCCATCAATACCGGTGCCTTCATCAGTGAAGTATCGGCACTCAGCCGTGTTTTAGAATTAGGCATGTCAATCAACGTGTCTAAGATCTATGCTATCGTGCTATCTGAAGATGAGAAGATAATCATCGGCATCTTAATTGGTTGGCTTCCGTTCGGGTCGCGAAATCTCTGGAGCGATGGACTCATTCGGATGAAGGAATATCATGTCAAATGGGAGAGGCAGATACTAGATACCGTGAAGGTTCTTCATTCCAACGATATTGTATGGGGTGATGTTCACCCGGGTAATATCGTCATAGACTACACTTTGGATGCCTGGGTAGTCGATTTCGATGGTGGGAACCGGTCGGAGTTTGTCGATGGAAAATCAGCAGGAACGAAACAGGGTGATTTGGAGGGCATTCGCAATGTCTTTCGCAAGTGGCTACCGCAGTGGTATCTGGAACTTCAGAGAAGCATGGCCTCGGACGCAGCTTGAATTCGTGTTATGTGTCGGCCACATCCCACATATGTGAGCCCGAGTGAAGCTCTAAAGGTGAACTCATGGGTATGGTCTAGGAATGGTTATGATACAGATGCTTAGTAAGATAACCGGAGTGGCAGTGAGATAAAGAACAATGAAATATTGACTTAAACAGACGGATCTGAGAAGCATTGATCTGACAATATGTATTCGACTACAATGAGCACACTTTGCTTTTCTAGCCATGGAACTAGCACAAGTTAATTGAGCCATAGAACAATAAAGAATCAAATACTATGGCCGAGAGAAGTGTTATATGACTAATTACCCACCAGCCTAAGCAGCGTGTCAGCCGGCCGCCATGTCAGATTGACTTAGGGGTGGATGGGCACTTGAAGTGTATACGATGTTACACAATCCTCCAACCGAAGGATCATGTGGGACAGTCAGCAGAGTACCCCCACTACGCAAAGGTCTGAGAGGTAAGCATGTCCTGAGTCAGAATCAGATGCAGGGCATCGGCGTCTCCGATTCATCCAGCCTTCGCTAGCTAGATTGGAAAACTTGCGTAGCTTATCTTTGCATGAGAGATCTTCTCGGTATTGAAGAGAACGCTTTGGAGATGTGCTCCATAATTCGATGAAAATTGTTCCTTGTCCTATCAGCATCATAATCTACATCTACGCGCAAACAGTTGTACGGAAACCTACAGGAATGAAGACTGCTTCTAGCCGATCGTGTATATTTCTCACACCTCAGTCTTCCAGACCTGGCCGGACCACAGCATACCTTGCTCGCAGCACACTTATGTCTCTCTCGATTATATGCTAATCTAAGGGTTTAGCCAAACTTAGCTACAGTCGCACATCGGTCAACGCTTGAATCCGCTTTCTTGCGTCATGAGCAGCAGGAATATTCAACTCGGTCAACCTATTTCTTCCCGTGCACAAGTGATAAAATATATACCCATAAATAAACTGATTGATACGCTCAGCCATTAGGACATCATTGGATAGCATGCGCCGGATCTTTCGTACTTCCTTGATCGTCTCATGCCGAAGTTGCTGAAGTGCATGAAGCGCAGTAGAATCATGAACCTTGGCATAGCTCTGAACGAAGCCCGGAGAATCCTCCTCCTTGAGCTCCTCCTTATAGAAGGACAAGAGGTCATTGACGTATCCCAGAAATAGCATAATACTGGGAATGGCGGAGACGTATTTCTGTAAGTCTCGGTCTTCAGGGTTGATGTCTTCTGGAAAACAAAAGAAGGCAAAAGGTTCAGCAACCCCTGTCTTTGCCCTGAAGTAGATCAAATAGTCCGACGAATCACGCGATAGTTGAAAAGCATCCTGGTTTTGTTCAATTACGGCTGAAGCGATAAACTCCATTGTGCCCTTGATGATCATGTCGCCCCCAAAGGCTCCGAACACCCGAGGCTGGTCCCCGAGGAATCTTGTGAATCCGCGAAGAAGTTCGTGTCTCTGAGATTGACCAAGGACCAATTGAGATCCATAGCATTCAAGGTCAGGTAGGATTTCGTTTGTAATGTCATCGATCGATATAACATATGTAGCATAGAGGGCAATAGCCTCGAGAACTTCGGGAGATGTAAATGGATAGGAACAGCTGGAGATTTTCGTCGCTGTGGTAATGCACGGTTCAATGAGAGCAATGAACCTTCGTGAAATGCCATAAGACTCCAGGCGGCTTACAACACGAGACTTCAGACCCACATCAAATTTGACTTCTGGGGGTCGGAATGAAATGTCTCGTAGGAATCCATTCACAACTTCTTCGTAATCCCTTTTGGATATGGTACTTGCGGGAGATATCTTTCCAGAAACGGGGACGGCGAAGTGGGTAGCTAATCTCCAGAGAGCAGCAGTAGCAGTCATGAGAACGAAAAAAATCAGATGGAAGAGTAGGAAGTTGATCCCAGTCCAATCCATGCTTTGAGGAGCCCTCAGAATAGACGGAAGAAAGTTTGTAACGAAGTCCTGTTTTCGAATCAGTCATACACTGATATTGGCATAAACAATGGGCTCTCTCTGCTCACCATAGTATCAATGCGTTAAAGATGCCCTAAGTATAGGAAATTCTTGAAAGTCACTATTACAGAACTTACGGGAAAGTGAGCTCTCATCATATACTCTCGGAGAGGCCCTTGGAAATACGAGGGACTCAGAAGAAAACAAAAGTACCACCACTCCACCGGGTTCTGATTTCAGTCTTGCGTGATTTTAGCATTGCGCGTAATGGGAGTCCGATTTGAACATGAGTCAGTGCTGTCCATGTGCAGGCGCAGCTGAAGGTGCCACTCTGATTCCCTCGGTGTCAGAATAGCTCGGGCTCTATACCTCATAACCCGATCCCCGAAGGTTATTGCATAATGTCCGCTCTTTCCTGTCTCATCTAGTGCTCATTTCAGACTGGTGCTCATACATATTTAGTGTCATGTCAAACATGCTAAAACTACCAATGGTGAATCAACAAAAAGTACCAAAATCAAACCTACAAAACCAAAGCATATTACTGGTGATAGATATCACCGCGGGGCTGTGATACTATGATTCCATCACCAGTGACTTTTGAGCTTCGCTTTCATTCGGCATGATCTGCATCGCTGTGTCTGGGCCGGGCGACTATTAGATCTCAGCTGCTCTTTGGTTTATTTAAACGCATAATGTTCGTATTGTCGGCGCTCAAGTGGGAATCTGATTGGCCAAGAAAACTAGTCCCCAAGCCACATTTACTTCCCTGATTTCCGAGTATGTTGGAATACTCAGCAAATGAAAGGTTAGTCACAATTTTGGATAGAGACAAAAGATCAATCCGGTTTAGCCGGGAAGATAATGCACCAGTGGACACAGAAAGCACAATTTCGAGATGTGTACAGGCGGACTTCTCCGACATTCGGCTCCCACTCTAGGTAATGTCTTGTCTCGAGCCTTCTGCGTGTGACGACATAGATTACTTCTTTGAGGGGTATGCTTTCCATTCAGTGTTATCACATGGTCTTCCTTTGTACCATCACAGCTGAGCATCCCGTGATACTTGTGTTTTAAGAGACGCAGGATTCAGCTCAGCTCGGCATTGTAGCAGCCGTCTTGGAAGAACTTTGGAATACTATATATACGGGCAGGCCACATCATAACGGCCTACCAACCCAAGAGAATGAGACTCGTACTCAGTCATTGCTCCTCATCATCTCAATCATCATGGCTTGCACCCCAGGCTTGGTGCAGTCAATGGCAAACATTCGCTCAGTTATTCTGGACAAGCACTCAAATCTTTTCATTTTCATTTCGATCCTTGCTTCCTTCCTCTTGGTTACATACAGACTGGCCATTAAGAAAAGCAATCACAAGCTGCCTGATGGACCAAGGCCTCTCCCAATTATTGGCAATATTCATCAGATGTTGACTCAACGCCTGATGGAAGTGGTGCACAAATGGCATCAAGATTATGGCACTATGGTGGCCTTCCGCTATGGTCAACAACAGGCTATCAGCATTAGCTCCTTTGAGATTATCCAAGATCTACTGGTCAAGCGAGGTGCCATCTACAGTTCACGTCCTCCTTTCATTATTGCCTCCCGCATGTCCCTCGGGTTCAATTCGGCGATTATGCCGTACGGCAAGCAATGGCAGAACCACCACCGTATCATGAGCTCTTTTCTAGACACCACTGCAGTCAGTCGCTATCGTAGCCTGGAAGACATGGAAAGCAAACAGGCACTTGCTGAACTCCTTGAGAGCGATGATTTTGAGGCGAGTCTAAGCCGGTATGCTGGCAGTATACTCATGACACTTGGGTACGGGATCCGACTGGAGACCACAGACAATGATATACCCGCCAAGCTTCACGCTATGAACCGCCATCCATTCGAAGCCATGGGCAATACCTACTACAGCCTGGTGGAGCTGTTCCCCATACTCGATAAACTTCCAAGCTGTTTGGCCCCTTGGAAACAGTTCTCGGCCAACGTGGAACGAGAAGCCACTGAATTCCATATGAAACACTTCGAGATTGGCAAGTCAGCGCCTACATGGAACTGGGTCCAGAATGCCTTAAATTCCAGTGCGGGGTCGCGAGTCTCGTCCAAAGAACTTGCCTATGTAATAGGTACCCTTCAACAAGCCGGCTTTGATGCTACTCTTACAATATTACGACTGGTTATCAAGACCGTCGTGCTGCACCCGCACTGCTTGAGGGAGGCCCAGCAAGAGCTGGATCGAGTTGTTGGACCTGATCGGCTTCCCTCTTTTGGAGACATCCCTCAATTGAGTTACATCAACGCTATCCTGAATGAGGCCATGCGCTGGCAGACGCCGATTCCGTTTGCAATTCCCCGCACAACCACCCAGGACGATGAATACAAGGGATATCATATACCAAGTGGTACGGTGATCGTCCCCAACGTCTGGGCCATGATGTTGAACCCGGAGGTTTTCCCTGATCAGGATAAATTCAAGCCTGAGAGGTGGATCGAGAACCCCAACCTTGACCACAGTCCGTTTGGCTTCGGTCGCAGAATTTGTCCTGGAAGGCACTTAGGCTGGGATAGCGTGTTCATTCTCACCGCACGGCTCTTGTGGGCATACAATATCACTCACTCGTATAAAGATGGAAAGAGAATTGAAGTCGATCCGTGGGACATTGAATTGACATTTACAGCAGCACCCGGGCCGTTCAAGGCCTCATTCCAAGTCCGTGGATCAAAGAGGCAGGAGATCATAGAGAGGGAGTGGCAGAATGTGAGTAAGGATTCCGCTCAAATTCTGAAGGATGTCAGGGGAAAAAGCGAGGACAGGAGCTAGAGTACCTGGGATGAGAGACTGGCCAGGCAAAGAACTCATGTGGTTGTATCGTATGGGAGTCCCTCCAGGATAGTCTCCTGTGTCCCTTTTTCGGTTTACAACTCGAATCTGAATGTGGTGAGCACAGTAGAACATGAGCAGCAATCAAGTTTGAGTCGGAACTACACCGGATGATTCCACTACTGAGTAGCCCCTTCTTACCTCTATGAAGTGACCTAATTTTATATCAGGAGTCAACTGCCACGGTAACCATTTCTTGTTTCAATATCTAGGAAAGCAGTCAGTATTACTATCAGTGAATTTCTATCTTATTTCTGTCTGACCTAGCCTGATTAGGTGTATTGAGAAAAGTGATTAACTTTTATATCTCGTAGTCAAGAGATCTCTATACCTTAACCTGGCCGTTGATCGACGTCAGGCATAGCGGCTCTAATTGTCGAGAACTTTGTATTGGATATTGACATGAGAATGTAAATATTTTTTTCGTTGGGATGGGAGGGCAGAATTACTAGCACTGGCAATGGCAGACATATAATTATTATACCTTGCAATACTACTTTTATGAATAACTTATTCTCTAACTTCACTATATAGTAGCAGTATCTAAGTAAATAGAGCAAATACTCTGTAATATAATCCAGGGTACCACCACTCGCTGCCACAATATCAAGTAATAGATAAATACAAGACTACTTCTTAGATTACTCAATGAATCACTGCAATAAGAAAGGTCCAGGTCAGACCTTAGGATATAAATCAACAAAGTCATTAAGAGAAACGAACGAACATTCCATGGCGCACGGTCAAGGTCTTGTGATATTGAGACGCAATCCAGGCTATCAGCAATTTTGCTCTTCGAGCCATATCTTCTGCTGCGTTATCCTGCTTGGTTATCCTGCTTGAAGATTAGCAGTACAGTATTTCACTTACACCACTACGGAGATCGTCGCTGGAAGCCAGACCAACCTACTGTGCTCGCTCTGCCAGATGCTGCCTGAACCACGCGACCGCTGCGTTCTTCCCCCTATCCATCGCCGCCCGCTCACCTGGCTGGTTTATATCCCCACGAATAAAACACGAATGCTCCACCCCGGGGAAATACTGATAGTCGAAAACCACCTGCCGTCGTTGCAGCGTCTCAAACGTATACGTCTTCAGTTCCGCCGTATACGCAGCATCAATCTCAGGGGCCAGCACCTGCACCGGCACCGCCACGTTCTCAATGTCCTCCTTCAGCAACAGCGACGGATGTCCAATGGAGATACAATCCACCAAGGGTTCGTTCGCATGCTCAGCCGCGCCCAGCCGAAACGAAGCCCACCCACCGTAGCAATAACCGACCGCGCCGATCCGCCGGAACCCTAACTCTCGGCGCAGCCGCCGCGCAAATTCAAAGATCTCAGGCTCGCGCTGGGTGCGCCCGTTGCGGGACAGGAATCCCGGCAGATCGAGGCGGGAGAATTGGTTCGTGGTAATCAGGTCGAAGTCGAGGATCTCGCCGCCGAAGAAATCAGGGACGAATACTGTGGCGTTGATTTCCGTGGCGAAGTGGTCCGCCAGGAGACGGACGTTGGGGAAGGTCCAGCCATATAGGTCGGGGATGAAGAGGATGGCAATGTCGGGGTTCGAGCCCGTGATGTAGACGGCATTGGGGCCAAGGGTATCCGTGCGTCCGGTTGGGGTGTCATTCCAGCGGAAGCCCTTGATACAACACTCTGAAATGGACATCTTGAGGGTTTCAAAAGAACGTGTCTGGGTGCTGGAGGTCGCAGGTGTAAATCCTGCGGTTTGCATGAACTAGCCTCCTTATGGCGAAAGCAGAAGGTAGCGAGATTCCCGCAGTCTAGCTGGAGAGATAATCAACTATAGTAAGTTGACTAACTAACTTACTAGTCAACGACTCAATCTTTCAGCTGAGTCAGTCAATGAGCTGACAAATTGATGGTGTAACTCGGCTTCAACAAAAGACGAACTCCGAGTACTTTCAGAGACAGTTGCTTTGTAATATAGTTGATCTGCGTTAACTTCCTCTTTCGAGATCGGGAATTTCGGAACTTCCGTGATTTCAGACTTCTCCATTTTAATATTAATCGCTGAAAGAACTATGTCACGACAGGTAATCATTGGAAATGCAATGAGGATATGGGGGCAATAGGGTCGCGAATAAAGATTTGTTGGTGGGAGGATTAAATCGAAGGAAGAGTGAAGTTTGTAAGGCAATCTAATCTACCTTATAGTTGCGGATGAATAGGAATATCAATGACTATGTATGATAACCTGAATGTCAAATCCACTACTCGGTCTTCACATGATAGTTTTCATTAAGGAGAATTGAATATAGTATTGAAGTTGAAATCAGACGACAAGCTGAGTTGACTGTAAGATTCAATACTTGTATTGAAGTTAGGTGATTCGACATTATTTAATGCCTAAGGCCACAATCGGGCATTTACTGTCAACGGAGGTAAATTTGCTGTCTATCCAACGTTGTAACCACCCTACCAGATGAACCACAACCAAGTTGCATCGAAATGAGAGCAAAAAGTCTCAACAATTTATTATCAAATGGACCAATTGGCCTAGTGGTTATGGCGTCTGTCTTACATAAGCAAGTGTGAGCACAGAAGGTCGCAGGTTCGATCCCTGCATTGGTCATTTGTTTTGTTTTTATGCAAAACTGTTCACCCTCATTCCTCCCTCTAGAGACAATTATATATTATTGATAGCTGGACACTTTTCTTTTTCTTTCGATCTTTTTTTTTTAACAATCTCTATCAAATTCTCAAGCTTTTAAGAGTCTATCATGAGCGTTGTACCTTCATTGTTAGGTGTAAATGATAAGCATACTGTAACTCCCGGCCACGCCGGCCACCCGCCCGGGTCAGCCATCTATATAGTTCTATACAAATGACAAGTTTTCCAAATCGATATTCTTAATCAGTGTGATAAATACTACTCTAGAATTTCTTATTTAGATATATAATATTACAGAAAATTTATTAGAATCTTTATAGAACTTTCTAATTATAATATTTGTTGGATACTTTTGTATTATTTAGAGAATTTATGTATTATTCTCATCATAATCAACGCGCTTTAAAAATATGAAAAAATACTCATAATATTGAATAATAATATTATTATCTTTATGCTTGATATCAGGCTCGCACAAGTTTAGTAATGGAGATATTTTGATCTAGAATAGATGAGTTTTGTATGGCATAAGTTCATAACATGGGTGATTGGCGCGGCCGGGAGTTACGTTAGTACTTTGCATACCGTCATACTTGCTCCGGGTCACGAACACAATGAAGAGATGATGATAAGAGATATGTTGGGCTGTTTAAGAAGGAATACATTTCAAGCCAAGCTCTGACTCAAGTGACTACTACTATAGTTATCTGACTTGTTGGCAGTAAAGTACAGTAGTCAATGCGCAGGCTAAATATCAAAACTAAGTCGTGAGACTAGGTCACATATAATAGCGGCTTCGTTGGGTCGAACTAATCTACCTCTCCATGATACCCTTTTTGTATAGTAGCTAGATTGTCATACGTGCATCGTAACACAAAGGGGCGAATTCTTTGTGAGGACTGTGATATGAGTCATTTACTCAACAAACAACGCTGATCTTTGTTGTCGCCATGGCAGGGCTGCAGTGTAATTGACATGCTCAAAAGCCACACAGAGATAAAATGACTTGATCCAGCTTCTCACCCGGATTGATATCCCCGCAATAAGCCACATATCCATCGCCCACTTTTGCCCCCACCACTGCAGCTTGTGTCTGGTCGACGGGTTCTGGCCGCGGCCACTCCGTCATAGCACCTTTGATAGGAATGTAAATCTTCTCTTTGGGGCGAGCGTTCTTTATGAGAATCGCCTCCATTCTGTATGGTGTAGGGAACGAGTCAGCCACTGTTCCCGCTGGAAGGGTGCACTCAGGATGAAATTCGAATGTGGTTCGTTGATTATCGCCTATCACCCACGGCAAACCTATTCTTACTCGAAAGACGCTCCTGAAACGGTCCTTAGTCACGAAGCCGGGAAAACATAAACCGAAAATGGCCAAACCTCCTCTGCGCATGTATTCTTCTAGCTCTTCCACGACGAGTCGGTTGACGGGTATAGTTACACCTTCGTCAGCGACGATGACGACTTTGGGATTGGCTTCAAGGCCACGTAATGCCTCGTCAATCGTTGTGGCACGCTTCAAGTCGGCGCATTCTCTTAGGCGTTCCAAAAGGGGCTCAAAACGATATCCAACAAAGTCTCTTGGTGCAACACAAAGAAGGAGGATCTCCGGGCGCTTGGAGGCCATGTTATATTGAGAGGTTTGGTTGAGAATAAAAAGCTCAGCAGTGGTAAAGATGATGGAGAACTGAGGGCAAATTGATTACACAAGGGAAAGTGAGAATCGGAGGAATTGATCAAGACTATATAGCGGAAAGCCCTGAATAAGTTTGTTGTAAATTGCATTTTGGTTGGGCCTTTCTACGTGTACCTGAATACCAGAACGGTAGTAACCGATATAGTACTTTGTACTTTACTATGAGGAAAAGCACCAAAGAACTGATGGACCTCACAAGCTCAGTAGCCACTCTCCTATTCACCAACAGTCTTCACCATAAACCTAAATCTGCATTGGTCCAGGCTCATCTACAATGTACATTACACTGCAATCACTGGCCATGAAATGGGTTTTAGTCAAAATTCACTACTATGCAGTTGAGTATGATATCATCTGCAAGAACTTCACTAAATGATGCTATGCTAAGCCCATTATACTAATAATTAAAGCCGGTCTCATGGCAGGTTATAGATGCCTCACCTTCGCCTGAGCAAAGGTCCGCAGATCCTGAGGCAACCCCCGACGCGGCATAAGAAGATAATGCAGACGGATTGGTTTGAACTTGGATTCTTAACTCTTTGATATACTATTCCCTCTTGGAAACTACCAGTATAAAAATCCACTGGTAGATCCGATCTTTCGATGAGCCATTGCTAATTGCATGAACACTAACGTCTTGCACAATTCCACCTCAACACTCTCGTTCCCGCAATAGATTAGATATCCCTCGCCCAGCTTCTTTCCAACCACCACGGCCTGGCTTAATTCCATGGAACCTTCCAGTGGAACAACGATCTGCTCAATAGGTGAAGCGTTCTTGATAAAATGTGCCTCCATATAATACGAGCATTGAAAAACAGGTCCGGTTGGGAGAATGCAGTTCCCATTGAATCTACAAGTGGTCTTGCAACGGCCATCGTATTCCCAGGTTGTGCCAAGATTTCGGCCAAAGAGATTGTTGAATTCATAACCAAAGGTAGTGCTGGCAAATTCCTGTGCAAATATTACCGATCCTCCAACCTCGATGTAGGCCTTTAGCCTTTTCGCTATATCTTGGTTCTGTGGCTCGCTTATGCCCCCGTCTGCCACAATGATGCTCTCTGGGCTCTGATTCGCCAGATATGTGCGTGCGACTGAGGCTGTTGGTAACCGTACCAAGTTGTATTGCTCACTAAGTTTGCGAATCAACGATTCATACGTCTCATCGAGTGTCTCCCTGTATGCCAGACACAGGAGAGCGATGTCTTCACCGCCGTTCAATGCCATGATATTCAAGAGAAGTCACCCGGTGACATGTAACATAAACTGAAAGCAATGGTTGATGATCTGAAAGGAATATAGCGAGGCATTTGAATGGTGAATTCAGAAACAGGTTAATGAATAACACCTTCATATACACCTTGGGGTTAATACAGGTCTTAGAGGTTTCATGGCAGACAACACCCACACGGAGAACCGATTACGCGCCAAGTGTCTGGATAGCCAGCTGTTGAATGGCACTTGATGGCCCTGTCTTTGACAGTCAACCTTTGTTGGAGTTATGGTATGCAGCAATGCGGCAGTTGCTTTGTATGGATTGCCCGGAAGTTACCCCTAACGGGAACCTGGCTTTGATCTCTTGTCCCTCCTACTTGTTTCACTGAACAATGAATATGTGATGGGGATTTGCCCGACTAGCCTGGCTCGGTAAATCCAGTCTTTGACTAAGGGTTCGCTCATAAAGGACATGTACAACAGTGCAGCAGCCCCCTGGTTTCCGGAATCACACGCTTGGGTGCTACCCAAAGATTGTGAGCACCAAAGTCCGCAGCTGGATTTTGGGTATGAGCTGTACACCACGCATTACATGATGATAGTTTATAACTGAAGTCTGAGATGTCTGCCTCATACAGGGTTCGGGCTTGTAAGTTAGCTGCTTAGAGGTGGTTCTGATTCTAGGAAGAGCATTGTCTGTCTCGTAGTCCGAGAGGGAGATTCGCTATTCTAAATTAAAGATATGTGCATAGTATTGAATATTAGGCTGCCTTTCATACAGTTTCGATTGATCTTTCTATATATAGCCTAGATTGTCAATATGATTCTCGTTTTGCTTAGTGTGATTTTCTGATAAAATCAGCTTTTTTCGGGGGGATGGTGGGTAGTTAGATAATATTGAATCCATGACTGTGAATTTTTGTAATTGAGTAAGGTATCATCGGTAAGATTCTGAGAGCTTACGAGGTCGTAATCGTTACATCCATAATAGCCCATATTGGCTATGCAACAGACGGAAGATGAGTCGTGAGGTCATCGATGTTGGTATTATGGTATTTCTCAAATATCAAGGCGATCATGTTAGTTACTACTCCTGATCCCCAAGGATCAGCCTACTAAGTATCCCTGCTACTGCTACCTCTACTGCTACTACTGTATACCTTTGGTGCACTCACGCCGAAGTTATGCCGGAGGGCACGTATATATTCAGTTCTACTGCCCCACGCAAGACCAGCAATTAGCGCAATATATCTAACTTTGAAGGACTGTGATGTTCAGGAATGATCTGATTGAAAAATAAATGGTATTATAAAAATTTATTCTTCAAATTCGTTTCTATCTTCTATTGAGTGGTATGCTTTTCGTTTCCTTTTAGCGCATTCGCTTCGGGTAGGATTTGCCTTAAAGAAGTTTCTTAATGCAGTGCGCTGCGTTGTTACGAGCACAAAGGAGAAGAGCGGAGCTTACTGCAATTTCAGATTCCCTTCTATGTTGGCGATCTCGGAATAAGTCGTTAGGCGTGCCATTTGAGGTTCTCTGGGTTGGTTGAGTGCAATCAGGCGTCCAATGCCCATTTGTGCGGGTGCAGACGTCATCCCCCAAATCATTAATTTATATCTCCATAATATTCGCCCTCTCCATTCACTCCTGCTTCAATGTGTATTAGATACTGGGAATGAAACCAAACACCAAAAATATGAAGATCCTCATTGTGGGTGCAGGTCTTGGCGGCCTAGCAGCTGCGTACTGCTTTGCCAGGGACGGCTACCATGTCCAGGAAAGTAGACCAAACCTGAAATTTTGGTTTTCTTTAATAATATATCTATGCAGGTCTTTGAGAGACGAGAGAAATTGTCGCCGAAGGGGAGTGGGCTGCTGATTCGTCCTGGCGCGTCTCGCATTCTTCAGTCTTGGGGCCTTGGAGACGCCATTGAACAAGTCGCGGACAACTGTGTCCCGGACTCCATCAGAGACCTGAAGACCGGAAAGGATAAGATACGCACTTTGCCAGCATCTCTCACCAAATTTCCAGATTGGGGCATTCATCGACCCATTCTACAGGATATTCTTTACCAACATGCCGTGCAAGCTGGGGCCGAGATTATCTTCAGCAGTTTCGTGGAAGACTTCTCGGATAACCCCGGCGAAAGACCAAGCTTACAGTTTCCAGGGGGGAAAACAATAGCTGGCGATCTCATTCTCATTGCTGACGGGATTCAATCACGCTTGCGCACTAAAGTTTTGTTTGACGTATCCGCGGGCTGGTCGGTAGACCCGCAAGTGAGCGATTCGGTATTCTATGGCGTAACAGTGCCACAGAAAGAACTACAATCAGACACTGACGCCGCTTTATTGCTACAGCAATTTGAACCATGTGTTTGGGTAGGCGATGAACGTTTTGTTGTTGGTCGGAAGCCCAGAAAAATGGGATTCTGGAGCGGCTTGTTCGGCCTCAAACATGATGATGGCCAAGCCAGTATGTGGAGCGAGGTATGCGTTTACTCCTAGGCAATCAATCTATTTTGATACACTAAAAACTATCAAGGATGGAGATATCGTATTTGTGAGGCAGCATTTTGAGGGGATATGCCCTCCACTTTCTGCAGTTCTCAACTTGGCGACCAAGTGCGACAGGTGGAAGATTGCTCAAATGCCAAATCTTCCTCGCTGGACGAGTAGGACTGGCAGAACCATCCTATTGGGTGACTCGGCCCATGCAATGGAGCCCAATGCAGCACAGGTTAGCCTAACGTCAAGACTTTCAGGAACAATTGAAATACCCACAACTAGAGTCATACGCTAATTCTCTTGCGACAGGGGTTGTCGCAGATTATCGAGGATATTGGGGCACTGCAGATATTGCTTCTGTCACTTCCTTACTTGGATGTTTCTGTGATAAGTAGATTCTGGGAAAATATTCGAAAGCCTCGAGTTGAACGCATCAAATCCTTTGCTGCTTGGAACACGCGAAGGTTTCTCGGGCACAAAGATCATGCGGGCTCGCATCAGAAATATGCTGATACCGACTGGGAGTCCATCAAAGATATCGAACCGGATGCTGCTGCAGATTTTACAAGTCCTGCGTTTTTTAAGTGGGTCCACGACTACGATGTCGTTGAACAAGTGAGTCTGTCCCCTGGGCTCGAGTGCATTCCATGCCCGTAAATAGGAGAAGAGAAAATAAAGACAATCAGTTACATAGAATCGCTAACAAGAGAACAGACTAGAAAGTACTTGGAGAAAGTCAACAGACCAAGCTCGCGATTGTAATGATTATGTATAATATATTCTATGTGACAATTAGATATTAAGCTATGAATCTTCACGATGTAGTCCAGTTGATTTCCATTTGTTGCACAGCCCACTCTATCCAAAGGAAACTGTGACATAGATCCTATTATTCGGGAGAAGAGAGGTATCCTACGAATTAAAGCAAGAGAAAAGCTGATATTCACTATAAAGATAATTATCTTAGCTATACTCAACTCTTGATTACTAAACAGGAGGAAATGTGAATAATCTACTACTGGCATGAATATCTATATCATGGCTGAAGCTACATAGCAGAAAAAAATGGATCAAAAATAGAAGATTCATAAGAGAACACCGGAGTACCCACCCATTTCTTGCGATAAATATAGCAAGTCAGGTGTAATCAACTGCTGGGTTAGCCCTTACTAGTGTGGATTCCACAGGTTCTAATAGTCTTGTTGTGATGCGTTTGAACTTTCTGAGTTATTCTTAAAGTCGTTTCTATACAATCGTTCTGTAGAGCTACAATAAGATTAGTAGACAACTAGCTGGAAACGTTTCTTTTCTAGGCCTTTGCTTCTGGCCAATCAGCCTTGCTACTTGTGATTTGTTATTTGGATGGAATGTATGCACACGGTTCCTGAAGAATTTACATTCAATTTGGGACTGACATCAGTCGTTCCTACAGCATTATGTGGGTGTATTTGAACTACTATGGGGAACAGACGTGGAAATCAAGGAACAGAACCGTCCTCATAAGTTGGATTAGCAGCTTGGTGTTCCTGACATGCCTCTGAGGCACGAGATCCAGCTACTGCAGATAGAAGATATTTTAGGATTCCTTCTACTAGTTAGGTGACTCTGGCCTTGGAAGCGGGGTCAACTCAGAGTAAAGCCAGGAATCTCACATTGACAGCAGCCAGCACCGCAAACAAAACGAGAAAGAAAGCGCCACCCCAAAATGTCCACCACGCCCGGGCATCTCTCCTGTCAAACCACAGCTGCTTCAGGGTAGTGGGCTGCTGATTGTCCAGGTATGTTTTGAGCCGGCGCAATCGAGGACCAAAGTACTCATAGCTTATGAAAGGCTCGTTGGAATGAAACTCGTGCTGAAAGATAGACGTTATCATAAACGTGATGTCTTCAGGATAGAATGGAACAAGACTATGAATCTGCCGCATGGAGCTGGATGTGAACTTGTGTTGGTTGAAGGAGCTGGTATCCTTGATATTGACAAAGGGGCTGTCGACGTTGAAAGCGGCTTGAATGGTGGGCGGAAGAGAGCAGCGATGGAAGTTTTCTAAGATACGGGTTGTTGATGGCTTGGCCAGATCGATATCAAAAGATTTGCCAGTGCCCTGTTCCATACCCGGTCGATGGAGACTAAGATCGATTTTCCTTCCCAGCCAGGTGATCTCGTCTGACCCAGTTGCTTCTCGCAGCAGTCGCAGTGCTGGTCGGGATGAAGGCCTAAAAAGAAGGGCGTATGTCCGAGACAATTCGAAATACATGGGTTCGATATAATCTCTTTCCACGAGATCTTGACAATTGTAGAAGAATGTGGGATGAGCAAAGACCCTGAGCACATTGCGACCGGTGAATATTTTGAGATGGTCATCCAGATTGTCTGTCCATTCAATTCTCAAGTCGCCAAAATTCTGCAGGTGCTGAACCGTGAGCGTCTCGGGAAAGAAAGTCGAGCCAGGAGATTCTTCCAGCGGAAGCTCTTTGAATTCCTCGATGCCCTTGAGAGAGCTTCTGTTACGCTGGACCATGTCAAATATCTTATGAATGGGCTCCGTCTGATATCTGGTATAGAATGTAAGACAAAGCGCATCTCGAATCTCGCGGAACCGCGACGTAAAGTTCAACGCATCCAGGCAGTCATAAATGAGATGGAACTGGTATCGCAGAATATCAGGATTATCAGCATTAGGTTGAGATAGAATACGCCGCGCATAACAGCGATGCAGCAGTTCCTGCAGAGTTGTGCCATTCGCCCTCCAGTGTTTGTCGTGGCGCAGTGTTCGACCCACTTCCATCAGAACCTGGAGGGTTTGGTCCGCATCGAAGTAGCGACAATCCACACAAGCTCCGTTGCGGCATTCCCGAGCATCATTCCGTCGGGCTTCTAGGCGAACAAGTATCAAAAGCAGGCGAGGTAACCGTGAATATTCGAAGGCCGCGCGTGATGGCTCCAGGGGACCATCGAGTTGCTGACGCCGATATGCTTCAACGGCGAAGAGTGCTTCTAGAAGGTCGTCACGATGTTTTGATAGGATATTTGCAGTGAAAAGAAGATCCTCATTCTTATGCCATCCCAAAGAGTGATAGATTTGAGGATATAGGTCAAAAGCCCATTGGTAGGCATCTTCAGTGGTTTGCATGTCAGTTGGTGAGGACGGCAAATCCTTCCAGAAGGCTGCAATGTGTTAGTATCGCCTCGGATTCATCTGATTTTGGGGATGAGGGGGGTCAAATCATCATACCTGTGTATTTCTCCCTATGCGCTTCATTCTTTTCATCAATCTCTTCTTGCGACATGAGCTGCACTGGGCTCCCTTCTGGGATGTGCGTTGCCCGCCCAGCTGCAATTTCCTCACCGAGAGCATTCAGGATTGGATCGTTGTCTTTAGCGCTCTTTGGATTCACTTGCTATTCTCGCCGCTCACTTTCCTGGCGAAGTAGGCTCACTAGACTCTGGATCGATGCTGTCAAGTCCTGCATGGCGGCCAGGGTACTGTGATCTGATGTGGCGGAGTTATCTTGTTCTGGCCTGGATTCATCCATGGTCGATGATGGCGATGATGGCAGTGGTGATGATAAAGAAGTGGTAACAGAGATGTATGGCTGGCGAAAGAGGGGGCAGATACAGGGAATTTATGTTGCACAGAATTGGGAGGCCAGATGTTTCTGCCTATCCATGGGGTAGAAACCGGGAGTCTGACGGTCGGGCTGACGGGGACTGCCGTGGGTGGTTCCTATTGCCTCGCGGGAAGTTACCTCCTACTAGTGTTCAGTGAGAGAAGCTTGATGGCAGATAGCAGGGGTCGTACACTTCGAATACTGGGAAGATCTAAAAAGATAGACTCTGGCATGGTATAGAGAAAAATAAAAGAAAAGAATCTCAGGTCGTGCCCGGGTTCGAACCGGGGTTGTCGGAACTCTGGAAACATCAAGTCCTCAAAATCCGAAGGGATGACCACTACCCCACACAACCACGTGTTGCCCATTTTCACTCAAAACAGCCTATCCATGGCTAGAGCAACTAGATGAGGCAATTCTCCGGAATGCCTACAGATTCCTGAGACCTTTTCATACTTATTGATGTTGGTTCTGTTTATTGTGAAAGTAGGTATAAGCCAAATGATCGACACGGACGTACCATGGACCCAGCCGTGCCAGTATATTGTCTTGTTTGCTCAGTATATCCATCCATTATGCAGTACTCGCATGATACTAAAGATCAGACGCAGTAATAGCCAACACAGATGTGTTGACAAAAGAAACTCATGGGGCGCAACACAAGGATCCTCCGATCTCCACACGAGTTGAGCTGAAACACTGTGTGAGTGGGCGCGGCAAGATCTCGTCAGCCACCTGACATAGCTTGATGCAAAGCAATGTTCAACTTCATGGTCTCCGGCCCCCCTTGCATCGGAGTGCGCGGGACTCGCGTGCATGCGGCCAGCTATAATTATTTAGGCAAATAAGCGTTCAGTCCCTCTCGCTAACGGCAAAATCTCACCTACCATTTTCTCAATTAGGCAGGTCATCTTACATTAGAGTTCGTCCCTGTCAGCCAAGCTAGCACACTTTTGCGACCTTAGCCTCGGTGATGCTTGGGGCTTATGCCTCCAACCGAAGACGGGGCCAGGGCATCCCTGAAACTGCCACTTGGGGGCCTAAACATGGAGCAGAATATATTGCAGGAGTTCCTCGCCCTCATCTTCACACCAATTGATACGAGATCCCCTTTTCTACTCCTTCAAAGATGAGTTTGATGTTGTGGTATACTATAGCTGGCCTAGCATCTCTAGGCCATGCTTCTCTCGAGAAACGCGCCACCGATGCATCCGCGTACTGCTCCGATTCTTCGGGTACCTACAAGCTCTCGTCAATCACGGCCCCAGTTCAGGGAAGTGGCAGCCCGGGCTCAGCATCCACCTGGAAGCTAAGTATTGACGATACATCATCCGGTCACAAGCAGGCAATCACTGGCTTCGGGGCTGCTGTGACCGATGCGACCGTCACGTCTTTTAACACCTTGTCGAGCTCTACCCTCCAACAGCTCCTCAATGAGTTGATGACTTCCGATGGAGCTAATTTCTCTCTCATGCGCCATACCATCGGCGCATCTGATCTGTCTGGTGATCCGGTCTACACCTATGATGATAATGGAAACGAAGCAGATCCCTCACTTTCCGGCTTCGGTCTCGGCGACCGTGGCACTGCTATGGCTGAAATGTTGGCCACGATGAAATCGTTGCAGTCAGACCTGAAGGTGCTTGGGTCCCCGTGGAGTGCGCCCGGATGGATGAAATTAAATGGCGTTATTGATGGCAACGCGACTGATAACAACCTCAACGATGGCTACCTTACCAGTGGTGGTACGGGAAGCACCGGCTACTCCAGTGCTTTCGCGCAGTACTTCGTGAAATACATTCAAGCGTACGAAGCATTGGGAGCTACGGTCGATGCAATTACGATTCAGAACGAGCCGTTGAATAGTCAATCTGGATATCCCACCATGTATGTTTACGACTATGAGTCTGCGCAGCTGATCCAAAAATACATTGGACCGGCTCTTGCCGACGCTGGACTGAGCACGGAAATCTGGGCCTTCGATCACAATACTGGTAAGTACCCCATTCTCGACAATCCTTGACAACTGCTAATAATTGACATCCAGATCATGCATCGTACCCTCAGACTGTGCTTGATGAAGCAAGCCAATACGTCGACACTGTAGCCTGGCACTGCTACGCTACTGATGTGGACTGGACCGTCCTCAGCCAGTTCTACAGCGCCAATCCTGGAGTCAAGCAATACATGACCGAATGCTGGACACCAGCTTCCGGATCATGGCACCAGGCTGCTGACTTTACCATGGGCCCTCTGCAGAACTATGCGTCGGGGGTCATGGCGTGGACTCTGGGCACGAACACTGACGACGGTCCGCATTTGACCAGTGGTGGATGCGACGCCTGTCAGGGCTTGGTCACCATCAACGATGATGACAGCTATACTCTTAATACTGCCTACTACATGATGGCACAGTTTAGCAAGTTCATGCCTCCTGGCGCGAGCGTGTTAAACGGAACGGGGAGCTATACCTACTCGGGTGGCGATGGCGTACAGTCGGTGGCGTCCCTGAACCCTGATGGAACGCGCACAGTCATTATTGAGAATATATTCAGTAACGATATTTACTTGACTCTGTCGACTGAGAGCGGAGAGGAGTGGAGTGGAAATATCCCCAGTGAATCGGTGACTACTTGGGTCCTGCCGGCCTTGTCTTGATTGGCTTGCATTATTCTTCGCTTTGTGGAGCGTATATGTGATAATGATCCTCTTGCTCGGATGCTTTGGTGTCGTGTCGTATCTGACGATTCTCCGGGGTTGCATGTATATTGAAGTACAATATGCTATGGTCATTATACATTTATAACTTGGTAAGGCCTCTGCCGGATGAGTTTAAGTAGTAATCTCAAATGTAATACTCTTACATTCTTCTGTTAGCCTGGAGATTCGTGGATTACGAGAAAGCTAATCTGCGATCGCCAATCAATCAATATGGGTGCGGCAACGAACCCCCTGAATGCGATGAAACACCTGGTCGTTTGCTTGCTCGCGATAAGTCTTGTATCTTGAGTTCGCTATGGTTTCCGAACTGAACGCTCGTTATAATGTTGTTCACCTGATATTAAAACCCACTCTGTCTTCTTTCAAGACGGGATCGACTGGCTTATCAAATCCCATACTTGCAAAATTAGGCTAGCTACAACTGCATGGGTTTGGTGTGCACCCAATACGCTCAAGATACTTCGTTTTCTATGTATAAATCACTCGAACACAGTCACACAAGCTTAATGAGACGTGGAGACTCCCTCAGCAGTGTGCAGCTCTTGCTCCTTCACGCAGTTCAAGGGTGCCTCGCGAAATTCCTCCGAATCAGGAAGCTCCACCTGATAATTTCTCACCACTGCTGCATCCAGCTGCCCATCCTCTGCATCAAAATCCATAACATGGCCGCCCAAAGTACGATCCGTGGACAGCAAATGCAGGTGGAATCCCGGTACGCTAAGCCCACTGGTATACTTGGGTGACCAAAACCCGAACAGCGTGCCCTGTATATGTCTGCATTCTCGGATCTCCTGCCTTTTCGCCAGGGATAAAAGGGTTTCCCGTGGGTTTGACTGGGCTGGAATCACGCGAAAGACGACCCGCGAGAAGGAGGCAACGAGTCGAATCGAGAGGAAGACGTTCTGCTCACCCGGAAATACAGGTGACAGCGTGTCGAATAGAGACGACATGGAGGTGCAGGGAACATGGCTGGTCAGCGTGGGCTGGAACTTGGTAGTCATTGCGTATGGGATTATATCCGCGTCTTCGACAGGGCGTAGGGGTCCGTCCGCTGGGAAGTGATATGCCACCCCGTCGATGATCACTAGTTCGCCGTTGAGACCGCGGATGGTGCCGATGCCATGGTCACCATGTTTGAGAATGTTTTGCGCCGTGGTTCCATCTTGACAGATGCCGTCCATGAGCGCTCCCAGCACGGAGTATTGGTATATGCAGTTTGCCATGTTGGTATTTGGAGCAATAACGGAGGGGGTGAATAGAGGATCAACTGAGGACGATATTGCTATTGTATGGGTTCGTCCCTGCTCAGAACAGATACGACAAACTTCAGCTTGCCCTTTGGGCTTTTTAGGTACCAACACTGCACCAATCAGGGAGCGGAAGAAGATAGCGCCCTCAAGATCAACTGACGCAACACGCAGATAACACGCAGCCGAAATATCTTGTACTACCCATAGACAAATGTATCACAAGATTCTTTTGACGATCGCACCAGAAGTCTACCGCATTCTTGCAATCCGGTTATCAAGAAACTCCAGTATGCCCCCCGGCGCACATGTCTCCATTCGGTAACCGAGTGACGTCTACTAGCAGAAAAGCTTCATCAAGAGCCGTGCCTCAACCCCTTGCTTTCAGTTTCGAATCCCTGATTCCAGGAAGGATATATTACTATCTTGACGACATTGAGGAGATTACGATAAAATGTGGATGCTGGTTCCTTGCCCGGCAACTTTCCCGAAAGTGGCCCGTGCATTCAGGCTTCCGTCATGTATTTTGAAGCCATTATGAAGAAACCTTAAGATGGGAACAAATTGATGATACTACCACTAAGCTCGATGTTCCACGTAAGGCGGAATTAGGCGGTAGTAGCCTTTTGTTTATCAGTTCTTCGGCTTCTTTTTGATACCTTATAAGTAGATTCTAATTTTTGCTAGATTATCGGCGTAGACTGATTCTAGAGTTGGATGATGTTACATGACTATCATGTAGTACTCATGTGAGAAGGCAGGAAAGCCTGAGGTTTCACAACCAGATTGCTGTGCAACACAAGTTCCTCCCCTATAGGCTACTGTTAATGGTTTCCGACCTTCCCATCCAACAATGTTATATCTCTGGACGAAGCTGCTATCGGGCCTTCTGACGCATTTTAATGCACTGATACGTAAACGGTATTTGTCGGTTGCAGGGGTAGAATCATATTGAAGTCATGCGTGTCCAAGCAGAGGGCAATTCGTTCTTTCGCCAGATTCAGCAAGATTACCATCGATGACGCGTGTTGGAGGCCCCGTAGACTGATAAAAGGGGGAATGGCTAGACAGAAAGCGAGTGGAACAGAAAAGCAATCTCCTACGACTTTAGTTGACACCTTCTTGATCTCTTGCCGCAATGGATGAACACGATTTTGCTGGACTTTCGGGGGGAGATGTCTTATGCGAGCTTCTTGGAAGACAGGGTGTGAAGCATATCTGTATTTCCCCCCCTCAACTGACTATTGGGAAGTTCTGTCACTAAAAGTTACAGTTGGCTACCCCGGCGGTGCATCTCTCCCGTTAATGGACAGTCTCTACCGAGCCCATAGATTCGAATTCATTCTTGCACATCATGAGCAGGGAGCGGGACACATGGCGGAAGGCTACTACCGCACCAGCAAAAAGCCCGGCGTGGTTATGGTCACTTCAGGGCCCGGGAGTTCGAATACGGTTACACCTATGCTAGATGCCCTGCTCGATGGAACTGCCATTGTGGTGATCTGTGGCCAAGTGCCCACAGCATCTCAGGGCAAGGGTGCTTTCCAGGAGATCAACATTGATGAACTAGCACGCACGTGTACGAAGTGGTCAACAACTGTACAGAGGGTGTGGGAATTGCCGATGGCTGTGCGCTCGGCCTTTCAACATGCCGTAGAGGGTCGTCCTGGCCCGGTACTTATTTCGGTTCCGAAAGACGTTGCTCAAGCGACTTTCGACCTGGAGGCTTTACAAGCCTACCAGAATCTGAAAGATGACTGCCTTGCACCAAGCCCCGATCCTCCCAGGAAGGATAGCGCAAACATCATACAAGATCTAGATCACGTTGCGAAACTGATTAACGATTCTCAACGTCCGATCATATGCGCCGGGAATGGTGCCATTGCCACTCAAGAAGGCGCGGCGCTGTTGCGGCAGATGATGGAAAACTATCGCATTCCTGCAGCCACCACGCTCCTTGGGCTAGGGTGCTTTGACCATGGCCACCCACTCTCTCTAGGAATGTTCGGGACCTATGGGACACCGTGTGCCAATTATGCGGTCCAGAGCGCCGACCTCATCCTCGTAATGGGTGCCAGGTTGGACGAGCGTGCGGTGGGCAAAGCATCTGGCTTTGCACCCTACGCTCGCGAGAAAGCCGAAGACGGCAAAGGAGGGATCATCCATTTCGATATTAGTCCTGACTTTTTGGGGAAATTTGTTACCCCCACTCATGTCATCCTCGGAGACCTCTCGATCACTGTGAGCGCTCTCCTCCGTCGATTGAAAAGGACAGAGCGCCCAGATTGGTTGGGCTTGATACGGCACCTGAAGGAAAAGTATCCTCTTTCGCCCATATTGTCTGAGACGAAGCACTCTCGACCCCTTCCTCAGGAAGTCATCGCTGAGCTGAATCACCAGACGGCTTCTATGCGAGATCCAGTAACGATCGCTACTGGTGTCGGTCAACACCAAATGTGGACGGCCAAGCATTTTGACTGGAAGCACGAACGCTTCCTTGTCACGTCTGGTGGCCTCGGAACAATGGGATACGGACTTCCAGCTGCTATCGGGTCCAAGACTGCTCGGCCTAGCAATCAAGTAGTCTGTATAGATGGAGACGCTTCCTTCTGTATGTCGATGGCAGAGCTGTTGACTGCATCACAGCATGGTGTCGCTGTCAAGGTAATCATATTCAACAACCAGGAACAAGGCATGATTTCCCAGCTCCAGCACGAGGGTTACGGAGGGAGGATCTGTTACGCCCAGCAGGACAACCCTGATTTCGTTCGTCTCGCGCGGAGCATGAACTGTCAGGGAAGACGCTGCTTCTTCAAAGAGGATCTGCCCGGCTGCATCGAATGGCTTCTACGCTGTGATGGAGCTGCTCTGCTCGAGATGTTGATTGAGGAGACAGAAATGGTGCCCATTGTTCCCAGTGGCCAGTCATTGGACTGCATGAAGTTTCACTAAGTGCTCAAATCTATAGACAACCTCCGCCTTTTCTTGCGTTCTGAGTCTGATGTGTGAATAAAACGCCATAACTGATTCATCAGAAGTTTTGGTATAAGCCTGCTTCAGAATAGCCTGTTCTTAGATTTACTGTTTGTTTTAGATGGGTTGCCTTACTCAATGGTTTAATGTATATACTTACTTCCCGGCTACGCTTGCAGTCTGTACATTGGCATGCCGAGAGTGGTAACGTACTTCCCAGTCGAGTGGGCCACCTCAATAAAAGTTTAGGCATTATATTCCTGTCAATAGTTTCAAGTATAAATAACCATCCAGCCATCCATAGATTAGGGAGACCTGCGTTGTTACAACTCTGATTGACTCGAGAAGCTTGACTGTCCTTTGCTCTACTAGTCGCTTTTAGGAAGTTTTATGCTGTTGCTTGAAAAGGTTTAGCACACTTTGAACAACAGACATGCAAGACAGTCTCAATAATTATTCGGCCTTACGACCATAAATCCATCCTACAAAGCATGTTACTGTTATATAAAAGTGTTGTTCCTGCCACGTTCTGGCGATACACCGTTCTAAATAATGCGAATGCAAGGGAAAGAAGCTAGGGGAACCCGCGGGATATCATTTCCGAGGCTAAACCGGAGTTCGCCCGCTAGTGGCCTGCAAGTCGCCGACGCCGGCGTCACTAGGGCCAAAAGTCCTTACTAGTCAGCCTGTCCTGCTTAATCAAGAGCACCCCGCTTGTACTGAAAATTACGCATTTCCAAATCTAATTATTATAAGAACAAACTAGGTATGAAATCCTCGGCTGCGGACCGAATGCTACCAATTTGCATTTTCTCTCGGTGCAGACGGCTCCTCGGCATGACTGTTTCGCGTCTGATGGGTGACTTCGATCTGATTCGAGACCATGATGGCTCCAGCTGTGGGGGCTTCATGTGGCTCTATTGTCTGCAGCTTAATGTCCTGCATCATTCGTTCTTCACTTTCGGTAAACGTCAAGCCGACGGTGATCGGATCCCGGCTGCTGGTGCCTCCACGGCCTCGTTTCCGAGTAGTCCCGCCACCGGTGTTCTGGAGTCCCCCTGATGGAAGCTGGTAGGTTCGCTGCGACGATTGGAAGGCGCTGCCAAATCCCCGGGCCAGCCAGGTCCGTAGCAGGTGGAACACCATAGGGAGATTTGTGGTGATCACGGCGACGAATGTCTCTCGTGTGCCCCATTCGTCTGCTATCGGCGCTCCATTGTTGGGTTCCTATGAGGGAAATAAGCCATGGCTCTGCATGTATGCCAAGCAAAGGGGCGCTGGCAATGCCTTACCACCAACAGAAAAACACTCTTGATTGTCGCGCACACCAGAATAAAGATCCCCGCACCAAGTACTATCGTCACCGCAATCTTTTTCACAAGCTTGAGGCTGGATTTCCAAAGCATCGGGATCGGTATCAAAACCAAATATGGGTCTGTGGCGAGATTTGCGGCAAAGGTTGCGGCGATCACCGGCTTCGAAATGGCAGGTTGACAGGAATCTAGTAGAAAACCATGAGCGACTATTATGGTTTAGGGTCGTAAAGCGCAAACTTACTACCGGGGTCAGGGTAGATTTGCCAATTCTTGTTGAAGGGCCGGCATGCCGCAAGGATCGTGATCATACAGGCGACAAAACTTCCGATGACGAGGGCGAACCCAATCCAGATGGGCACGCGATAACGACGGCCGAGACCATCCTATAGTACGGTCAGCCCTCTCTGCTAAAGCAGAATGGCCATCCTCAACAAACATACCATCAGTCGAGTGTAGAAGACCAGCATTGACAACTTGAGCGAGTTGATCAACGCTGTATATGTGGCCCAGCCGGCAATTTGTATCTTGGAGCCAATTATTCTATTGGCCGCGTCCGTCAATGTCCAGTCACCGGATCGGGGTTGAATGACTGACCTTTCTCGATATTCTGCGCTACCTGGATCCAACGCAGCTCTCTGGGCCTCTGTCATGCTGTTGTTTGCGAGTCCATGGGCTACATTGCCGACACTATACGCCAGTGCCACTTGTGCGGTGTAAAATAACTACAGAGAGCGAGCGTATTAGCATATGTCCACATAAGAAACGGTCAGGTTGGGAATGTACCTACTATTGCGACCCATATCAGATAATCGTCAAGGCGCAACCTTCTCCAACCCAGATCCTTGCATTGTGAATAAGTTCTAAGTAGCGTCACCGCACAGCCGATCGCATAGAGGGTCCATAGTTGGACATTGCTGTTATAGGCTGCTTTTGATGCCTCATCCCTCTGTTCAATGGCCGTCCACATGTCTTGAACAGGCGGAGTCCGCCCTGCAATGCAGGCAGGCGTAGTTGCAATATCCAGGACAATTCTCCCCTCTTATCACGCCGATCGGGAAGAAGCGAAGCCTCCTATAGCCCAGGCAGAAACATGAGTTCTGCAGCCATTGAAAATTTCTACTCCCACAAAGGGGAGCCTTGGCAGCGAAAGCAAGGTTTGCCAGGCTTCCTTCGTGCTCCGAACATCCTCGGCATCCAATTGACATAAACAGACTGCAGGGGTTCTGGTTTCTGAACGGCAACCGGCCGATTCTTTTAATAAGTTGCAACGTGAATAGATTGACCCTGCTCCACCCCAGAGTCTATTCGGGCCCACCTGTAAGCCCTAGAGAGAGCTAGTCCTCCGAGCATCCAGTCATCCCGCGATCCCCGATGCTGCCTCGACCCACATATTACCCTCACGTACTCAATTGAACACGGAGCAGATTGGACGGGATGGACCGACCAGTTCCCCAAGCGAGCGCCGATGGCCCGCGAGACTGCACAGGGACCGCACGCGGCGCTCGTTGGTGCTGCATAACTTCTGATCGGAAAACCGCAACAGAGCGATCGGGTGGAGCTGCACACTGGGTATCATATGACGCTTGTCTCACTTTGCAGAGTAACTGCAAAGTAAGATTAGTGCGCTCCGTAATCTCGCATGGCGAAGGAATGCTAGAAATAAATGAGGTGCCCCAATTGCCGGGTCAGGGTCAGTCCATCTGACAAGGATTCCCCGGGCCCTCCGACGTGCAGCAGAAGGGCGGTCGCGTGGCCAGTCATCTTGCCAGATCCCTTTTTTCTTATTTTTGCTTTTTGCATTGTTCTTCTTTTATTCCCACCGCACTTCATTGCCGATCGGGAATTCTCTGCGCCGCCATGTTTCGACTCAAGATGGAGGTGCTCACGGCCATCGCGGCCTGGGCATTCGCCACGGTCTCGCAGCAAATCCCTCGCTCCTCCAGCTGGGAAAGTGACCTTAAGACCCTCTCGGGCAGACTTTCCAATACCTCCCAGGTCTATTATCCGGGCTCCAGTGGATTCACAAATGCCACCACGCGGTGGTCCGTCCTGGATGAGCCTGAGGTTAATGTTGTCGTGGTCCCTGGCACCGAAAACGATGTCGCCGAAATTGTATGTCAAACTCACATTTGATTGAACTGTTTCTTCCCCTTCCATCCCCCCTCCCCCCTTGGACCATAGATGTAATGTGACTCAATTGGTCGCTAATTGATCCTGCAGGTGAAATTCGCCAATCAGAAGGATGTCCCCTTCCTAACCTACAATGGTGTGCACGGTGCCCTCATCTCTCTGGGAGAAATGACCCATGGTATTGCTATCTACATGGGCCAGTTGAGTAGTGTCGAGGTCGCAGCTGACGGCAAGACTGCCACGATCGGAGGTGGAACCATGTCCAAGGCGGTCACCGACCAGCTTTGGGCCGCAGGAAAGCAGACCGTGACTGGAACCTGTGAATGTGTCAGTCTTGTCGGTCCTGCGCTTGGTGGTGGCCATGGTTGGCTCCAGGGCCACCACGGCCTTGTTCTTGATCAGTTTGTGTCGATGAACATCGTGCTGGCGAACGGCACTCTGACCCACATCGACGCCAACTCGGAGCTCTGGTGGGCCGTCAAGGGTGCCGGCCACAACTTTGGCATTGTCACTTCCCTCACCATGAAGATCTATGACATCGAGTACAGCGATTGGGCCATCGAGACGCTGACCTTCAGTGGCGACAAGGTTGCCGAGGTCTACCAGGCTGCCAATGACTACCTGGTCAAGAACGGCACCCAGGCTGCTGGCGTGATCAACTGGTCGTACTGGATGAACAATGTGGATGCCGACCCCAACAACCCGGTCATCATCTTCTACATCATCCAGGAGGGAGTGAAGACCGTCGATTCCGTCTACACCGCGCCTTTCCGCAAGATCGGTCCCATTTCTGTGTCTCCCAACAACGGCACATACAAGGATCTCGCCGCATGGACTGAGGTTGCTGTCGACTCCGCTCCCTGCCAGAAGATGGGTATGGCCAACCCCCGTTACCCGATCTACCTCGAAACGTACAACGTCACTGCCCAGCAGAAGGCATGGGACGTCTACGCGAATGCTACCCGTGGCTCTTCGGCGTTCAACAACTCCATCTTCATGTTCGAGGGATACTCAGTTGGCGGCGTGCACGATGTTGATAGCCGGTCGAGCGCTTTTGCCTTCCGTAATGAAAACGTTCTGGCTGCTCCCATGATCAACTACTACCCTGATGGCGCCGAACTTGATCGCCGCGGAGCTAACTTGGGCCAGGAGCTGCGCAACATTCTCTTTGCTGGTACTGACCACGAGGATATCCGCGCGTATGTCAACTATGCCCATGGTGATGAGACTCCCCAGCAGTTGTATGGTAGCGAGGGATGGCGTCAGCAGCGTCTGCGGTCCCTGAAGGCCAAGTATGACCCTACGGGCAAGTTCAGCTACTACGCACCTATTCCTTGAAGGGCGCGATATAATAATTACGCCCGAAGCAATCTCCCAATGATTAGTATTAATAAAAAGAATTACTTTTGCGTTAATTTACAGGTTTCGTAGTCCACATCTAGAGAGCCGCCACACAATAGGCCTTCCGTAAATCCGCAAAAGTCCACGCACTGATTCATGCACCTCGTAGTATTCTGAAAGAGACTTTTTCCCATACACGATATGAAAAGCATAAACGGTAGTATTACACATCAATCACGGCCCAGTCGATACCTCCTAGTAATCAATTACTAGTCCCTACCTGAATCAAGGGTCCTGGACACGCCCAACGTCGATCAGATTACCCTTACCCACATAAAGCAGCATGTAACACCTAAACAGGATAAACATCTCCAGTCGGACCGAGCCACAGATGTGCCTCCCGCAAGAAATGTGCACTTTCATACCGCACAATCTCAATCCGATGCATCGGGTCCACCGCAGACGGTTCCGGGAACGACACAGCACCCTCACCATCCCAGATCTCCTTCGCCGTAATTTTAAGCGCCAGAGGCATCAACTCCCTCACGGACGGGGGCTGTCCCGCAATCGGCGAGGGCAGCACACGTAGATTCATACAACGTGATTCGACGGTCATTCCCACATCTGGGACCGCCTGCTTCCGAACGGGACTGTAGTTCATCTGCAGGATCTTCTGGTGTGGAGGATGCTCAACGTATCCGCGCATTACTCGGGTCCCACACGGCTCACACGGGTTGAACTCCACTGTGCCGAACTTCTTGGGGAAGCCATATTGCTCTCGGCCCGCTAGGACGGGAGACTCGTTGTCGAGAATGAGGGAGAGGAAGTACTCGTATTTTTCCCCGCGATAGCGCACGTCCACGCCGTGGGTGTACTCGTTGTATGGGCCGAAGGAGGTCATGCTGTGTCGGAGAAGACGGACGGTGATGAGAGGTTCGTCATCGAGTTCAAGCATGCTGGGTACGAAGGGGGCGACGCTTTTTGCGGTAGTTCGGTAGGTTATGACTAGGATGGTGGAGCCGGTGAAGTCGCAGTCGCCGGTAGGATAGGGTGGTGCGTATTGAGGAATGGGGTCCCCAGTGAGCTCGAAGGTACCGAAAGGCATTTTGATGTCTTAATTTTGGTGGCTACGATTACTTGTGGTGATGGTCATACCTTTGCAGAGGTTTCGTGGGGTTCAGAGTGGACAGACTGGAGGGGGGATTTCAGATATACCATAACCCCAGCAGATGACCATGGCTGATCCAAGTGTGGATTGGGCTGGGATACGATGCTGATTACGAGTTATAGGAGGGGTCCAGCCAGCTTCTCCGCATCGCTGCCGAGCGAAGCTTAATTGTTCCAAACAGAATGCTTGTTTAAGCTTAACTCTCAGTGACCCGGTCACGAACACGAGGATCTCTTTGGTCCCCACCGAGATCAAGCTTTGTACCCGAACAAGCCTGGGCTGTTCGACTGCAAATCTGACCACACACAATGTAGCCTCACGGGGATATACAGCCGCCGGCTCCGAACCTCTGCCGGGGTTGAAATAATGCTGCAGCTTCCCATATTTTATTGCTACGCCCCGCTAAGGCTTGGAGGTGGTTGGGGTAGACCCTCTCTGAGATGCAATCTCTTGAGTATCTTGGAAACTAGCGTTCGAAGCGCCACATTTTGTCCTAATTGCCTGCAGAGTTTGTTTCTCCTGATCACCCAAGCTGTGTCTGCTGACAGAAACTCAATCCGAATCAAGCCACAGACCTCTCTTACGTCGATGGGTGACACTTTAGATGATGGGTATATGCACCCGGGGAGACTTTAAGTGAAGGTCAACGATGTGGGGAAAGGTCATGAATAGTCAAACGCCAACTTTTCGTGCATGACATATTCCAATAACCCAACCAGTCCGGTCTATTGGAGGTCAGGGGGATGAGGCCAGTCACCCATAATCTGAAGGAGATAGCATGATGAACCGGCGGATCATCAGTGTAGCTACACCTACGTAACCCAGTGTACAAGAGATGACTTTTGTGATCCATCACAAAAAAATATCCATGCCACTGCCAGCGGCCATAGTGGTTCAACGTGGCAGGGAAAAAGAAATCTCCCCGACTGGGAGTCGAACCCAGGTCTCCCGCGCTTGTTCCCGAAAGGGATTGACAAGCGGAAATCATGACCGTTAGACCATCGAGGATTGGATAAAGTTTTAAGCGAATAACTTGGCTTATGAACAAAGACCTCTTCAGGAAAGAGTACACCGTGTTGGGAAAGGTGACTGAATGTGGGCGAAGTTGAGAGTGCTCAACGCCAAATTGTCTCCAATCTGTAATCTCCACGGCTTGTATTTTTACTGTCTGCACATTAAGTTGAATGAATCTCCACTATGGCTATTTTGTGAAAAAGTCATGCTGAAATTTATTTCAAGTTGTGCAAGGGATATATATTTCTGGTGGAGTAGTAGTAGTGTCTATATGGTAGTATAATATAGTATACTCAAGGGGCAATTCCCATAGACCCCCCTCCTGACCATCTTGACTCCCTCAAATTCAACTTAGGAGAAGCCAATCACTCCCGCGAATACGCCATAGTCGGACCATTCCACTTATGGCGGCCTCGCACCAGCCAATCTCCACAAGCAAACAGCATCACGAAGCCCAACACCGGCCCGGCATAATTCATGGTCTCCCCAGTCACCGGCACCTCAGAGGGAAAGGGTAAGAAGATGGAGAAGTAAGTAGCGAACAGAATCGCTACCAGGTTGATGGGTAATCCCCACTTCCCCAGAGAGAATGTGCCTTGTGGAATATCCTTCGGTGCGGTAAACCGTTTCCACACCAGAAGGACCAATGGAATTAGGTATGAAATATACAAACCTAACGTACTCAGGGAGAGAATAGCGTTGAAGGCGGCCGATGACCCGATTTGAATAAAGGAGAGAAGGATAACCAATGTTGTGACGAGGAATAATGCCCGAATAGGGATTTTAAATCGTGGATCAACCTTCACAAAGAAATCAGAGAACGGAAGCCCGTTGTCGCGTGCAAAGGCCCACGTAAGTCGAGTGACAGACGCAAGGCCATTAAACAGTGCAATCCAACCCGGAAGCATACCCATAGCCATCAGCACATATGTGGCCGCTTTGGATCCGGTGGCTTGGTAGGCGATGGTAATGATGGGGTATCCCGTTGGACTGGTGAGGGCAGCGGTGTAGTCGCCCATGCAGTAGAGGACGGCAATGAGATAGCCAAATGCCATGACTGAATTGATGATAGTGCCATAGATCATGGACCGGGGGATAACAACTTTGGCGTTCTTGACTTCCTCCGACATGTGGATGATGCCGTCGACTCCTGAGAAGATTGATTAGTTGGTTGGTAGTATGGTCAGGGCCAAGGATAATTACCACTCAGGGGTGTGATGACACCTAAGAGTCCCACGGAGTAAACGACGCCTGGGTTTTCCCAGCCACTGAGACCACTCACGAAAGTATCCCAGACGAAAGCATTAGAATTGCGCGGGGCTAGAATGACAAAGGTCGCAATCATCACGGGGAGGAAGACAACGTGCATCACGCCTGCTGCGACTTCGATGATGGCGAGCAGGCGCCGGGCGAAGATGTTGATGATGATCGGGATCAGGACTACTGCCCACATGAGCAGGGTTCCCTGCCACCGTTTTGCATCATAGTCGGGATAGGCCAGGATAGCCATGCCTTCGATCTCCGTGCCGATGAAATAGGGCGAGATGCAGACCAGTGCAGCCCAAGAAAAGAACTGTCTTCTATCAGCGAGCGTAGCGAACATGAAGGAGAGAAGCATCGTACGGTAACCCAGCCTGTATATACCCGTTGCTAGTTAGCATACACATCTACCCGCGGTACAATGTGATTGTTATGTCTGACCTTGGAAGAAACTAATGAAGCGCCGGTAGCGTGGCGCCAGAACGTAGCTCCAGTGATACTGCGCCCCAGCTGTCGGGTGCCTGGCAAATACGGATGTTTGATCAGCAGAGAGTTTCTAAAAATTGTCATAGTGAATGGGTGTTACATACACTGACGCCAGCTCAGCCAGTGAAGTGGCAATTGCCAGATTCCCCACTCCGCTCACAATGATGCCATATACAATGGCAGCAGGACCTCCGTTAAAGAGACCGGCCTGCAAGCTGCCTCCAGCTGATTCCCACGACGCAAGAAGAGTCGCCGAAAACGCTAGTGAGGAAAAGAAATTCAAGTATCGCTGCCGAGAACCAAGTTAGCATGCGAACAGCGGACAGTGATTTAGACGAGGATCATGTACGTCTAGCTTTTGTCGCTGACGATATTCGATGCTGCTGCTTGCGGCACCATGAGGGCTTCCATCAGCAACCGTGGATCGGACGGCGCTGCCGCTTTTCATCTCAACCTCCTCGTCGAGCATCTTAAGCAGGAAGTGTCGATTGTACCAATTCGCAGAAAAGAGTGTATCAAGTGGCTGTGCTGAGGGGAAATCAGCCCGCAATGCGACTGTCTCTAGATGGAGATGGACGGCACCAGAAAGACAGGGAAGAATATTTCGGGACTTTGACTGTCCGACTTCGGGGCAGGCACAAATAAAAGCAGGGATATCATGGAACCCAGATTCAGGAGCCCTCCGGACATTGTCTGAAAGTGGAAACATGGCGCTGCGTCCTTGCAGACACCCTTGTCGATTCTGGTGACGCGGCATGCGACCATCTGCAACTGTCGTTTGAGCGAAACAGCTTTCTCAGAAGACAATGGACAAGGCCATCGCACTAAAGGTGCTCGACCCCGCCGTTTAGATTGGGTGACATGGGTCTTCGACGACGGTCGATGGGACTAACGGCACGGAAGGCATTTAGGGTGCATTAGCAGCATCTCCGGGCTCGGACCACCGTCGAATCCACCACTGATCCCCCACAGCATAGATTGCGCCTAGAATGACACGATCGGTTGCGATAGAAATAGATAGCTAGCTTCAGCGGAGCAATTTCGCGGAAAATTTCGATCTTACCCGGACAATCACGAGCGCTGGATCGGATAGCAGCCCAGCTTTCTTGGCCAGAACCGAAAGGTTTGGAAGCGCTAAGCATGTCAACAACGGCAGTCAAAATATAATTCTTTAATGGAATGTCTTCTCGCAATCTCAGACACAGTGGTAGTGGTATGACCAACGAATTGTACCTGGATCCAGGGGCTAGGGTAGAACCGGCGACATGATATCTCGTCCACTTCGTTTACGCTTCAACCATTGCGACAGGGGTTAGGATCCCTGTAGCCAAGCATGCTTTGATTACTGTGCCAATAAACACATGTTTTCTTCTCGGGTTTCCACTTCGCTATATCCCGCCCTATCCTCCGACTTGCTCTCTTACCGAGTGTCTACTCGATTATGTTCTTCCACCATCGTGGTCATGGCTGAGACCGATGCTCCCTTCGAGACTCTCTCGGATGACAACCATGGGCCACTCATCACTCTTGTGTCCGTTGCATTTCTGATTGTCGCCATTATCTTTGTGTCAGCCAAGCTATGCTCGGTGCTCTACTTTAAACAGCGTCGCTCTGCTGTCCATACACCCGTATGGCTAGCTCTGGTGGGTGATGAACGGCCCAGCAGCACAAAGTTCTTCTAACCAGCTATCGTAATTAGGCGCTACTTATTGTCGAGGTGGTAGTGATACAGAAAGGAGTTGACAATGGGATAGGCCGACATATTGACACTCTAAGTGACACAGACATTCAGACAGCTAGCAAGGTTTGTTTTTCGACAAAATTTCGAACGAGCAGTCACCAAACTAAACTCCATGATGTAGTACCTCTACGCCGCGCAGCTCCTCCATGTGGTCGTCCTTTCATTATCTGAAATATCCACCACGCTACTCGTCTGGAAATTGACTCCCCACCGCGGCATCCGTCAAGCCTGTCGCATCACTGTTGGTGTCGTGGCGGCATGGACCATATTCTCCATCTTCGGTATTGCGTTCCAATGCCAGATGCCTAATCCCTGGCTTTATACCGCTTCTCGCTGTGCTGGGCAGGTAAACATTGCATGCACCTGGTTATTATGGAAGCTCACGTCTGATATTTTCTCAGGGTTCAATTCTTTACCCCATCTCCATAATACACATAATCACTGAGCTTGTCATTGTGGTCATACCATTCTTCATGATGCGCAACGTCCAACTGACACTCACAACACGGGTGAAGATCCTCGCCGCTTTCTCAGCACGCATAATGTACTTCGTCCGTCCACACTCTAGAAAATATGAGTCACTGATCAAGAGTACAGTGTCATAGCGCTGGCCATTGCACACCTCGCTCTTCTTCCATCATACCTCCATTCAACCGATATAACATGTTAGTATTCTTTTCTCCCTTGTTCGGCCTGCGCACCCCCTCGTACTAAGTATATCTTGGATTTAGGGACCATCACCAACCCTACGATCTGCCAACAAGCCATGACCTGCTCCACCGTCACCATCGTCTGTCTACCAACCCTGTACCATATCTTTGCCGGCTTACACTCCGGTCTTATTACCACCCGACTGCCCGACGAGGTGGAGCTCAAACATACTCATCCATACGGACAAAATTCTACACTCGGAAGTCATGAAAGTAAGGGGAAAAAGCCCACGGAACTGGCTACAATTGACTCAGTCGTGACTGTCAAGAGGAAGTCGACCTTAAAAAGATCGAGTTTGAGCGATAGTACAAAACGTTTGACAGACGGAGACAAGGGTGGTGGAGTGTTAATGACGGTGGACATTACAGTGGAGGTGGAGGATCGATAGCTGCCACGGCCCTTTTCGCATTCTGATACAAATAACACCATGATGACAGGTAAAATCTCCAATGCTTGCTCTTCGACGAAGTCGCTTTTTATATAGGCTTATGATGACCCTCAAGATGTAAATAGATACAAAAGTCCCGGATAGCACATATCAAAAGTCAGGCAATCAAGATGGGAATGGTCTCAATAACTTCCATCAGAGCAGCAAAGGGGGAATCTTCCAATCACCCACAATCTGTTTCCACAGCTGCATAAATGCCAGGATTTGTGCTTCACCCCCCCGGCTGGCAATCAGCATTAACCCCTGGGGCTGGCCCAGCCCACCAGGGCCTTCCAAGCGATCGAGTGGGACCATGGCGGTTGGATAGCCTGCTAAAGCAGCCACTGCGCAGATTGCACAATCTCCGGGTCCAATTATCAGGCTAATGCGACTGCTTCGTAGCGCGGCATCGATGCCGTCGGGACCGGCTAAGCGCTGAGCGTAGGCCTTGGCTGCTGTAGCTGTCTCCTCAGTCATGGTTGACTTGAGCGTCTCCTCAAGATCAATTTGATTGGTATGTGCTAGGAGGGATAAGTATCTTGACTTGTTTAGAAACAATGATGATAACTTACGCTGCGGCATGGCAGAAGCGGCATGTTCTTCATTGTATTGGATCAATTCCGGGACTGATGTGACTTCGGGATCTACCAGGAGAGAGCAATAATCCTCAAACAGGCTTGGAAATTCATGAACTATACTTTAGTCAGCTATTATCAGACACATGTCGTAAGAAGTGATGAGCGCACATGCAACGGAGTAGTTGACACTCTTGCCTTCAAAGCGAAGGCTCTCCATCGTCGGTAAATCTACGGGGTAAACAACTTGGCCTCCTCGACGAGTAATTTCTGCCCTTGCCCATTCGTATCGCTCGAGCTATAAAGCGTCAGGTGTAGCCCGTCTGGAAATCAATGATAAGATAACTTACAATCTGACTTTCCACATTTTTGTCCTGGCTCTTTTGGAATCCAAATGCATCCCATACAATCGGATCGACAAAACCGACCGAAATGTCGCTCCACGTTACAGGCTCCAAATGCGAACCATTGAGCAGCGGCATCAACAGGCCGAGGTCCTCTGGACATTTGGCCATAGCACCCAACTTATCAAAGTCTTTGCTCAAGCGAAAGATTCCTTCCATGGGGACACTCCCCCGACTCGCAGTGATGGAGTACAACCCTGCCCGATTTGCCGGCATGCAGACTGAGCCCGAAGTTTCCGTCCCCAGCGATAACGGCGCAAAGCCGGCTGAAACGCCAACTGCGGACCCCGACGAGGAGCCTCCTGGCCCAGAGCGACCGATGAAGAGATCTTCCGATCGGAAACCGCCCTCGATATAAGCGGACTGAGTTTGTCCGTTGACTGCCGACCAGCCGGCGGTTATACACGTCGCCTTTAGACCGCAGAATTCCGTCAAACTGGCTTTTGCAAGGATGATCATTCCATGCTCCAGGAGGATATCTATGATAGATGCGTTCTTCCGTCCATAGGTATCTTTGAAAGCAAAAGCGCCGACCGTGGTTGGTAAACCTAGGGACTCGGACGTGATGATCGCATCTTTTACGATGATCGGGATTCCATGAAGTGGGCTGCGGACTTTGCCCTCTGATCTTTCGTTGTCGCGGGCTGCTGCTTGAGCAAGAGCAGTCTCAGCATTGACGGAGATGATTGCATGTAGCTCCAGGCCAGCTTTGTTGTGTCGGTCGATTTGAGCGAGGTAGGCCTTGACGATATCCACACTCGTTATGTGGCCTCCTCGCAGCAGCTGGCCAAGTTGAGTTGCCGTTGCGCTTAGGACGTTCCATTCATCCATCTTTCGGTCAAGCGTTCTTGTGGCTTTGAGACAACAATGCGATCAATCAAATCAAGAATACCACACTTCCTGAGCCTACGTGCTTGATAAATGGTTTTCGTGAGTTACACTCACAGGCAGCAGCTCCCTTGGGTTGTTTATCTCTCTGGGTATCTTCGGCACATCCGCTTTGGGCTAAGTGCTTACTAGCACGCCAGCACGCCATGGTAGATAACGTATCAACACGCCTCAATGACAGCGGAACCCTTGGTTATGCTCTCATCTCCCCTGATGGACGCACTTAGGCACAGAGCAGGATAGAGATTACCAGCGCTACCACACATTCTATGCCCAGGAACGCGATGTAGTCCGTTTGGTGCGCTATAATGTACTAACTTTGCCATAATTGGTACTGCCCGCTCATGCTTAGCATCTAAACTAATTCAGTTACCTGACAAGGATTCATATGCTAGGAGACGTTAGGAAAGGAGTTCCCGCTTCCAGGACCCTCTCCATGAATCGCCGTGTGGTTAGCGCATCTTCCTGTTGTTGATAGCGTCCATGAACAACGATCGAAGCGCAACAAGCTGGTTTCTATCGGCCTGGGTTATTCTATTGATAGGTTTTAATGGGTCGCTCTTCTATGGTTTGTGATTGACCGGCCGTTCGGACGTAACCAGCCCGAACAGAACCACCGATAAGGCTGAAAGCCCCATGGCAGGGTCGGGGTGTAGCTTAGTCCGACGACCAGTCGGAGAGGAACCTCCCGAAAAGAACTGAGTACTGCAGCGTCAGATGCTTGGCGTAATGTTTAATTCATGCCTAGCTCATGACTCATGGGGCAAAACGGCAGGCCAGACTTAACAGACCCATCAATGAGCTGCGGTCCTTTGCACATGCAGCGCCACCGGCAGGGAGAGCGAGGCTCGGATTGCGGGGATAAGGCGGTGGCTGTGGCTGTGGCGCAGCAATTCACCGTCGGAGTTAAGGCTTTGGCTGCCTAACATGGTAGCTATCTCCGCTATCCCGACAATGACTCATCATATCCTACCCCATCGAGTTAGTGACAGTGACGTGTTGGGAAAAGCCCGAAGGACAATAGGACATCCGAGTCGGTATATGCTAATCTCCGAACGGTGGCAAGACCAATTCAAACGAAGGGATTACGACGACGATCAGAGCCTGTGGCGTAGATCATGCAGAGGAGCTATCATGGATGCCTGGAATAGGATCTATATAAAGGGGACAGCTCACCTCGACCATGTTCCCTTCATCACTACAGTCAATCCAATCCCTCATTCTATACTCTCTCATCAATTTCCTCTTCTCCTTTTTACAACACACAACCCGTCACTCAAGCATTAGCTGAAACCTAAATAAATTATCATACCAACCCAAGCTACAACAAGTATCACAAAATCCAAACATGGCCAACATTCGCGATCTCAATCAACTCCCTCCCTACTGGGAAGTCGTCGCCAGCATGGAAGAACCCAGCTTTGCTCACCCCTTTTTCGCCGGTCTCAACCACAACCACATGCCCCATGGCGAACACTTTGCCGGTGCTGGAGACTTCGATCTGCCCCATCGCGGCCGCCATGGCCCTCACCACCGCCGCCACCGCCGCGGAGAGCCTGTGACTGAAGACGAAGAGCCTACCCAGACCGAGACCGCCGAAGACGATGAATCCTCCTCTTCTTCTTCCGATGAGGAAGACCGTGATGAATCCAAGAAATGTAAGCGTCACGGTCGCCACGGCGGCTTCCACGCCAAGGGTGGAAAGGGCTGTCATGGGCCCGGTCGCCATGGACGCGGTCCATGGGGGAAATTCGACCACCCCCCTCATCCTGGAGCATTTGTCGCTTGGGGAGCTGACTTCCAAGGACCTCACGGTGGATTTGGACCACATGGCGGGTTCGGCCATGGACCGCATGGTCGGTTCGGCCCTTACGGGGGTCGACACATGCGCGGTGGCTTCAAACACGGTGGTCCGGGCGGACCGCACCGTGGCTTTGGCCCATTTGGATTCAAGGAGTTCGGCCACCATCATCACCACCGCAAGCACCACAAGCGGGGCGACTTTTTCCACCCCGAAGTGGATGTGTTCGACACCACGGAGGCCTTTATAGTGCATGTTTCGCTGCCCGGAGCGAAGAAGGAAGCGGTGGAAGTGAAGTGGGATCCGAAGAAGTTCGAGTTGAATGTCAGCGGGACGATTGAGCGTCCTGGCGATGAGGAGTTGTTGAAGACGTTGGCGTTGGATGAGCGTCGCGTGGGGACTTTTGACCGCCAGGTGCGACTGGGAAGTGTATTCCAGCCTGTGGAGATTCATGTTGAGGGCATCACGGCAGAGATGGAGAATGGGGTGCTGAGCATCAAGTTGCCGAAAGTGGAGACGGATGTGGTGATGGTGACCCGCGTGGATGTGCAGTGAAGCGTGTCGAGGGGACACATTAGTAGTAATATCTCCATGATGGAGTGATATGATGGTATGGGCATCAATTGTTTCTTTATTCTTATTTCTTTTTTGTTTTTTCTTCATTTTTTATCTCAGATTGCTGGCGATTGATTTATCGAATTGTACTTGAATGAAATGAAAAATGGGATCTCAGATCCCCCAATTTCCACCAGGATTGCAGTTGTCAGAATTGAGCCAGAGTAGTAAAGTAGGTAAGTAGTACTCAAATAGTACTACTAACGAAGGCTGCTGATCAGTCGATATTGGTCTTATTTCCCAACTGATTCCAGTAGTAGTAAGTAGTAATTGAGTAAGTACTTGGGAGATTTCTGTGAATGCCTGAGGCCAACAGGCGGGGAAGCGGGATCCGCCGTCCTTTCCCGACCAATCAAAAAACCGCATGAAGGTTCCGGCATCAGCACTAACCCCAATTGGGACTGACGCTGTCAGCTGCTTTGTTTGTCCGCGTCGAGTCTAGTCTTGTCCGGTCAAATCTGACGAGCTGGAAGGTGGACGAGGTTTCCTCTTTCCCTCTCCTCCTGAAGAGAAGCTTTTGCCATCGACCGTCAGCTGTTCTGTGTATCAACCATTGCAGTTCACACCTTGAGTGTTGTGCCTACAGAGCACAGAAGTATCGTCCCGCGGGTGCCATTGTTCCTTGCCACGGAGATTAACGCTCCTTCCCGGCGCGAGGTGGGTCACGGTGTCTCAAGCCACAACAACATTCCATTCCTTTCTTCCCCTCAGCCAAATTTCTCCGCAGTGGAATCGGACTGACCCGCTCGATGAGGCAAGCATCTTAGGCTCTGATACATTACATATACCATCGATTGTGACCCATTGCATCAACCGGAAACCAAAATGGCCACGTTCAGTCCTATCCCGGCCTACGTCTTGGGCACCCTCACCCTCGCCCTGGGCTGCCATGCGCTGGCTCGCCCCGGCCCCGAGTACCCGCGTTTTGGCTTACCCTTCGAGTCCGCTGCTTCCTCCGCGTCCACCCATGGCAACAAACGCACTCCTCCCCCCGGCGCGGTTTCTCCCCTCATGTACATCAAGGGTATCCGCGAGACAAGCTATGGTCTGACGCTGCTTGCTTTGCAGTACTACGGTCAGGAATCCGCCGTCACTATCTTCGCTGCCGTCTGCGCGCTGGTTGGACTTGCGGATGGGTTTGTTGTGTGGGCGAATGGGGGTGAGACACTCAAGACGAAGGCCTTTGGACACTGGATTACATGCTTGGGATTTGGGGGGTGGGCCTGGTGGAGGGCTTGTGCGTAGGAGCGTCAGGATAGCTGGAGCTTGAATGGCTGTTACGCAGATTCCCGGCGGAGGCATACCTAGTCATTGGCATGACCTGAAATGTTCTCCATAAGGATATGTTGCGCTGTAACGTAGAAATGAATCTTCTGGTCACTGAAAAGGACTACATATACCGTCCCTCCAAACCCCCTTTGGATCAGGGCAGTGGCGGCGTATGGGGTAAAACGCGGCAAAACTATTGGGTTGGACAGAGTGGTTGATGAAACGTATGAATGGATGCGCTACAACTACTTCACTATCATCGAATGAGAGCAAAGGAAGGCTACTTGGGTGATAGACACCAACATTCATCGACGCGACCTCAGCTAACGGACTATTCTCCCACCTCCCGATCATCCTTCCAGAAGACAAACTGAACGAAGGGCCACTTCATCGATGCCAGTCGAACATGTCTCCCCCACAAATACAGCGGAATGAAGAAGAGCAGACAACCCCCCGAGATGCCCGCCATGGCGCCAAAGGCCGCCGCATAGCCAGATTCGGCGATCCACGGGTTGGTATAGAAGGATAGCAGGAATCCGAAGCAGGCTTATGGAGCTGTCAGTGATACTGTTACTTTCAAATAAAGACAAAGAAAGATGGGCCCTACATTTAAAAGCAAGCTGAGTAACGGCGACTTCTCCAGCCACCGGTCGGTAGGCGTCGACACAATACACGAACGAGACATTCGTTCCCTGACTGATGGCAAAGGACACTGCAAAGATGCGTTAGCAATGTGTATTGTCATAAGCTTGGTTGGGATCAACCTACATAAACCAAGGCCAATGGTCGGCACAATCCAATGCCAGGCACGATCGATGCCAAAGCCATACAGCAGCAGCGCCAGTGGCGCAGCAATGACACTCGGAAGGATGGCGGGCAGACGCATTTCTGGCTCTCGAATACCGCCATTGCGCTTGGTGAGATAGTCGGCCACCCAGTCGGAGAAGGGCCCTCCGGCGAAGGTACCAAAGAAACAGCCCAGCATGCCGGCAATGAAGCATAACCCGCTCTGCCAGGCAGCAAACCCATACGTTTCGCTAAAGGCAGTGGCGAAGTTCGAAGTGACCGCCACGAGGAAGCCGATCGTCACGGACATGACGATCGTCGCCCAGAAGATCGGAGGCAGCAGGATGAGGCCAAAGGGTCGGATGAACATCCGCCACAGGGACTCATCTGTATATGTCTGACCGGACCAGAAACGCAGACTCTGCAGGTAGCTCTGCTTGCGGGAGTGTGTCTCTTCGCCCCGGGACTCGACATGCTCGGCATGCTTCTGCGTGTTGTAAAGGTCATCGACATTGTCCGTTCGACGGAATGCAGTCTCAGGGAAGAAGAAGACGACCACAATCCACAGAGCGCCGACAAGCGCGCAACCGACCCAGTAGATAACCCGCCAGGAGTGGTTGATCGTTACCAGGCCAGAGATGATGATGCCAAAGGAGACACCCGCGCTCAAGGCGGAGTTGTAGATTCTAGTGGATGGAAGGCAATCAGTTCAGCAGCTTGCACGTCAATAATCATCGTTCACTTACGCCATGCCATAGCCGCGCTGGTGGAGATAGAAGACATCGGCAATGGTGACTGGAGCGAGACACTCGCCTGCCCCTGCACCCACACCCAGGATGGTGCGCGTGGTCAGCTCACCAGCATATGTCTTGGCTAACCCAGCGCCCAGGATCATGAAGAAGTAGAGCAGGTATGCTGATATGTAGATGGGCCGCCGACCGTACTTGTTCAGGAGCGGAACCCAAATTAAATTGGAGACTCCTTGCAGTAGTGCACTGTTGTTGAAAAAGTAGGCGGCGCGAGACACACTCGAGTTGAAGTCTGCCGCGACGTCCACCATGGCGACGGTCGGACCGGCGGACATGAAGTTGCACATCACCATGGCTAGAGAGACAAGAACCGCAATGTAAATCTTGTACGAGGTAGACCTAGCGGAAGGTGTCATCGATGAGCAATATACAAGGGCGCTGGGGACGAGCATTGTACATACCATCGCAGTGGATCGTTCGGGTCGTCCGACGGAGTAGGGACCAAAATAACCTCATTGGTTTCATGATGGCGCAGGCGAACATGGCCCAACGAACGATGAGGGTGGTTATCCTCGTCCGCGATCTTTTGCACCGTCCCAATCGAGGATTTAGGGTCTCTGGCCGCCATGATGTGATTCCGTTTCCTGCGACAGTCGGGTGAGTAATGCAGTCGGTGGGGATACGGGGGAGATCTTTCTGGCCAAGCTCCTTATAAGCTACGGGTTGGCCCCTCTCTTGGCTCGTGGCTCGTGCAGACAGCAGAGACCAAAGGATCGACGTGGACTGTCAAGGGATGTGGAGTCGAAATCCGGGGTAAGAAGAATAGGGTTGTGGGGGAGATCTCGGGTGTGGCCAGTTGACTTCGGCCTGCAATGTCGACCCCCTCGTTCTGCCCGCATTGAAAAAGAGGAGGGCAAACCGGCACCTACTTGTCGCCTTGATAGCTATTCAAACTCCAGCATGAGTGGCCCTCAAGCACGGTGTCGATCCTCCTCCGGCTTCTGGGTCTCACGCACCTGGGAGCGACCTGTCTGGGATCGGCTGCCCACGACAGCAACGATGTGATGGTCAAACAAGACAGGAATTGTCTATTCGCAGAGCTTGCGTAATACAGTTTTGTGGCTGCTTGCACGTGAAGTCTATTGACACGGCTGGGAGTCGGGAAGCCAACGCCACTGCAATCTAGCCCAATCCTGCGGCTTGTTTGGACGTCGGGTAGAGCTACAGCACCAGCTTCCGATGAAACAGTTTGTGTAGTAGGGAACATATTACAAGGTACAGTAGGGCTACCTTTGAAACTAAGGGTCAACTTCCGCCCAGCCCTGTAACAGCCACCATCTACAGACGCCACTCCACATTCTAACAGTCTTACTGGACTTCATTGGATAACGGAAACGACATCCTTGATTGAGGTATGACTATTGCCACTAGCTCCTTGTTCCACTAACTGTGATAGCTGTCACATCATGTAATCACAAATGTGACATGCCGTGCCTCCCCCCAAGCACAACAAGCATCTGTTGGGGCACAGTAATGTTCCTAATACGATTGCAGACTTCCACCACCAGGGAGGGTTGTATTTGCGGACTTGATCCACGCATTCGCGGAGGAGGATGCATTGTAGTAGATACTGTATCCCTGACTCGCGATGTTGCCGTTGGTGGTATCGGCGTTGGTGAAGTTCTGAAGGTAGACGTTCTGCGTCAGCGTCCAGGTGGACGTCTTGTCGAGTGCTACTGCCAGGTATGCAGTCCCTCGGCCGGTGGAGGCCGTTCCCGTCCAGCTCGAGTATTCAGCCAGACTCCACGAGATGGAGCTGCCGTTGTAGGCCACGATGTCGCCGCTCAGTGTGGACTCAGTGACCGTCACTGTAGCTTGCGCAGGCTGGATGCTCGAATTCTCTTCCCAGCCGACGAAATGATCGAAGGATTGAGTAACCTGGGAGGCGTTGGCAATCACGAGAATACCCGACGTGGTATTCAGCTCGGTCGCATGCAGCGTCGCTGATGCAATCAGATTCCCAAACCATAGCGCTGCCATGTCATCCCCCAGTGTGGTGAGTCGAGAGTTCGAGAATGACAGGGATGCCCCGCTGCTGCGCGTAGAGGACGAGAACATGACCGTCCCTGCCAGAAGCCCGGCAGTGAAATCGACGCTTTCGAAGACAGAGCTTTGCGCTCCGTCAGAGAACAGGCTCGGTCCATTCTCGGACTTGCCGACAACATCTTTGCCGTAGCTGTCACCAAGAGTGTAGAAGATGGCGCTGCCAACCCCGGCTGTGTGGGCGATGGCATCAGTGACATAGATGTATCCCCCGGGGCTGTCACCCGAGAAGGAGGATGAGCGTTCCCCGCCTGAATAATGTCGCAGATTGGAGGCATAGATGGTCCCGTTGCCGGCTGCATACAGACCGTGGGACACCGGACCAGAACTGTACAGGTCGGTGTTGCTCACGTACACGGTGGTCCCGGTTCCATAGGCATAGATGTTGGCGGCACCATTGTGAACGGTGACGTTGCTGTGGTCAATGTAGGCCGTCGAGGCGTTGGCTACATTGATGGCCGCATTGACCCCAAAGAAACTGGCCTGGTTCAGCCAGGTTGAGTAGCCTTCCTTAATGACATCGGTATACGACACATTGACTGCCGATCCTTCCGTCACGACAAGGACGCTGGTATCGTTCGCATCCACCGTCAGGGTTTGGTGGTCGATTTCGCCGTCCTCGTCGCTATAGTAGTAGGGACCTGTGATGTTGTAAAGAAGGTACTGTGGCCCGCCGTTGTCCGTAGTATAGTCGGCTTCCAAGGTATTGTCGGTGGCGTCTGCAGCCAGATCAGCGTAGTCGCTCGGATCTAAAACGGTGATGGTGGCCAGAGCCAGCGGCAGACATGCCAACAGAAGTTGAATAGGTGCCATCATGTAGGTAATTGGGAGGGAACGACAAGACGATCACAATTGACTCAACTGGAGCTGCGCTTCAAGGTACAGCCAGTGTACCCACAGACCTATTTATCTAACTCGCCGTCGAAACTGGGGTGTCCGTGAAGCTATCGCCCACGTCATCATCATTGCTAATTGCTCAGGAAGAGTGGAGCCGTTCATGGCATTGTGATAGTTTAGTCCTCCGCGGGAATTGCAACTTCCCCAACCCTAGCGATGAGCACCCCAGTGGGGGACACTGATGTATCGGATCGTCTCTAATACTTTGGCCGGGGTGACCACAGCAACATAGAGTACCATGGAGATTATACGTGGATAGACGACTTGTCCTCTCTACTGTTCTTGTTATTGTCGATCGGGAGTATCTTGTGGAGCCGAATAAGGTTGTCAATCCGACCTCTTGCGGTATACGCAATCCATTCTCTGCCAAGACAAGAAGGAATATCCCTAATTGGCTTAAGTTCGCTGCATATATTACTATGCATGGGCAGGACATGAAAGCAAATGGGGAATCCAATTGTCTAGAAGATTGATATTAGTGGCTTTTCGAGGAGTATATACTCCTGCTCGGGTGCCTGAATGTATGAGATGACACGGCCATGCTTACCTCCACATACTCAACCGTGGCTAGTCCAGTAGCCGTACAAGTTGCCAGCTGAGTGTGGGGATGAATGGCACTTATCGGATGCGTGCGTGGCCGGCTAGTTTAGGCGTGTCGGACGCGTGCGGACCAGTTGATTTAATTGATGATTATGCCTTCCACGAAGCCTAAACCCTGTTTCCTTGGAGGAATTGCTCTTCTCTTGGTGAGTAATCAATCCAAGTGATGAACATCTGCAAGCTTAGGCTTCTGGGCGACCCTTGCAGTAGGATTCGGAAAAGTTCCGATAGTTTATTCACACACCGGCCATGTACTTCATCTGGGAGAACAAGCCTCATTGAAGCAACATGGCGAATCTGCTCTAATAAGGAGTTTGATATTTAAAGGTCTTCGGAAAGCTCGCAATAGATATCTGTGACTGCCATGAGAATCAGTATTATAAAGTAGGTTTATCTGGCCCTGCCCTTCAGCCGTCTAGAAGTACATATGATATAACTGCCCTCAATGCTTTTGACACAAGTCACTGCTATAAAATTTTAAATGGATTTGTAGTTGCTAAATGGCAATCAGACTACTGCTTCGCTTACGACAAATACATCATTTACATAGCAAGGGGCCTATTCTAGTTATAAAGAAAAGATTAATGCTCACTTTATATGACTGATACTAAGACTCTTACCACTCGCAAGCCATGATCCAGGTCTCCAGGATTTGGCCTGTCTCGCATGTTCCACCTTGATTACGGTATTTGCAGGTTGCGTCCGCGTACTTGTCGCAAACGAGCTTCCCGACCGTATCACCGTCCTGAACAAGTCCGGGATAGGAGGCTGTCATTGAGCACGTATCCCCATAAACTGTAAGACCCTTCAGGCTGGTGATCTCCTTATTGCCGGAATTGACGATTTCCGTCCAGGTCTCATCCATCGTGCAATGGTCCTCGGCGAAACCTTCATCCTCGTACTCGTGGGCTAGCAACGTGTATGTGACCCCGGACGAGGAGTCGACTTCGCGAAGGAAGAGTGCCCAAGCCGATGAGGTGCTGGTAGTCGTGCACGAGCTACGGCAGCTCTGTGACCAAACTGAAATACGTCATCCGGACACACATTGTCAATCCTGATACAAAGAATGTCCTGGAAGTCGTGTGCGGTGGTCCGTGTCCCTCGTGGCCTGGTACGACTTTTGATATAAATCAGAAGAAGAAAGGTGGCGTACTGATTAATCAGAATGGTTTGGCTTTGCTAGGAACACCCAATGGTGGAGGAGCTGCTTGGCTTCTCATTAACCATAAACAGCAGTTGAGCAGGAAAACTCCAGTCTCGGTCACAGCTTGGACGACCTCAGGGTTAGATGCAAAGGGGAACCCGGACCCATGGTACCACATGATGTTCCAATTCAGTACCTGATTGTACACACGGCTAGCTAGACAGTAGAACGGCAGACAGATATAGATGGGCGCCTTTGAGGTTCACAAAGTAGAATATGAAAGTTAACCCACTAATGTAGTCCTTTAACCTGATACAAAAACCCTTTCAGTCCTGATCCTCCATCTGCATCCGCGCATGGATAAAAACAGAAATCCGATAATCGATTTCGAAACCACAGTCAACAGGAGAATAGCCCCCAAAAACTGCTGTTCCGTCAGGGGCTGGAATAGGACCAGGGTGCCTCCCACGGGGAAATCTAGCTGAGTATAGTCCCAAACAGTAACAACGCCAGAGGTCCCAGATTGTCATACCTAGTCCCCGCCAAGGACAGGAGTCCTGAATTTGGCAGACTTGATGCCTAGCGGGATGGGTACTGGTCCGAAGCTGGCAGACTCGGAAGATACTGGCCATGCGGTTACTGTGGATCGATGTAATCCCCTGGCCCCAAATGTCCATGGGGAAACCATCCTCAGCGTCGGCGATTTTTGGGGGAGATGGAGGGCCCCAGATATCGAATTCATGCCGCAGTTGCCGTGCATTCGGCAGCTGAGATATGAGTCGTACGTCGAAGACGTGCTTCTCGTTGTAACGCTTCGTCGCCATAGCCTTTGTAGAGCGGACGACAGGACGAAATCTAACCAAAATCTCTAGGCATTCCGAAATCGTACGGACTTCTTCTCCAAGCACAACGGGTACTTGATCCCATTTCATCTGTCCAAACCACCAGTCCTCGAGATCACATTGAGGCCAGTCCAATCGCTGGCCAGCTATAGAGAGATCGGAATAGAGTTGCAGATGCCAAAGCGCACGATAGACTCGGTACTCCTCGATCCATGATGAAGGGCCAGCCTCACGCGGCTGATATGGTTCAGTGCCTTCTTCTTTAACCTTATCCCAGCATCGTGGCTGGACCTTTCGAACACGATGAAGAAATGTGGTCAAACAGGCACATGCAAGCCTTTGGATATTGGCCGCAATGCTCACCAGCTCCTTGAGCATGGCTCGGGAGATCGAAGGAAAGGAGACCATCAACGACGAAGAATGATCCTGAGCCATGAATTCAGCAAGAGTAACTTTTACTAAGGAAGGCTGGCGAAGTTTTAGAACCATCCGAAACAGGGAATGCAACTCATAGCGCATAACTGGGTTCTGCTGAAGGATCGTTTCCACCAGGCGTACGGCTTCAAGATCCGCCTTGGTGTCTGAGTCACCATTGAAAAGCTCCTTTAACTGTGGAGAGACTTCCAAAAGGCTTTCAAATCCAACCCAGTCCGCTGCATATGAATTAATAATGGATAGGAGCTCGTAGGGAATTTCGTTTAGGGCGTCCATTATTGCGATGAGGAACAAGTATCAAATCAGTGACGACTAAATTGTGTGGAGGATGTATGTTGTTGTTTCGGCAACTTAAGAGGGACTTTCACTTGGTTGAGTTTCGACCGAGGGCCCCTATCCTTCTCTTCGTACTCGTTCTATTCATTCCCCTATCGTCCCGGCTTAGCGCTCAACGTCCAAATGCTGGCCAGGGCCGAGATTAATATTTTTCCCCTACTTTAATCCCTTGGTGCTGCGGGGCCGAGCGATATGCGGTCCCAAGGGTCCGACGTGCCACTATTGGAAGACTAAATGACCCGCCGTTGTGAAATACCGTACAGACCAATCCTGACCGAACCCGAAACATCACCAGTCCTTGACTTCACCCTAAGTGGACGGAATATCCTCCGAATACTACATATCATTGAGACCTTGAGTCAGAAGTAGGTGGAGAGCTAATTAGCAACTTCTCTAGCTTCATGAAGTCCAGCAAGCTTTCGGGCCCTTTTCGCCCTTGTAGTTCCTTCCATTTTCGTCCGGTCGGTATATGGCCGAAGTCTCTAGCAAGACTACGAGGGCCCTGCGAGTCTCTGACAGGGCCATATTCCCACCCCCCCCACCCCCCCCCCCTTATTTGCACCTTCAGTAATCTTCCATTTCTTATATGAGAGTCTCTATGTCCCTCTCCGTCACAGTACAAACACAGGAAGTTGCTATATTATCGCTATCGCACCGTTTCATTCCTAAAATATTCAATCATGCTCCTCGCCCTCAGCTCTAACTGCTTTGCTCGCTACGAGAACATCCGCATGGACATCAGCACCACCGCAGTCGTCCTCAAAAACCGCCTGTAGGCACTCAATTGTCAACAACACAATCACTTTCTTCAGTCATGCTCCGATGAGCTTCTCATATGGCGTTGCAAACACTGCTGCCTGCTCAGATCGCTGCGCCGAATTATTCCAGTGCCAAGCATGGTTGTACTCTACTTCTGGACAAGAATGTCATTTGTATCGCGACCAACCTGTCTTCCACTCGCCGAACCCACTCTTCGTATCCGGGTTCTGTGTGGGAGAAGAAGCAGGAGCAGAAGCAGAAGCAGAAGAAGAAGGTGCGACGAAGAAGCCTGTCCTTTTTTCAGACCAGCGCCCACCCTTCATCCTCGCCTACTCCATCTTTAACTCTACCCTCATCCATGGTATGTTACGTCTTAGTTTTCTATACCGTCTGCCTGGACATGAATAATAACCTTACTGACTGAAAGAAAGTTACCACAATATACTCATGATCAATATACGGACTCCGAAAGTGACGCTACTACCATACCATTGGCGCCCCAATTTTATCATGTCCACCGTCGCCACAGCCACCATAACCATTGATCGTTGACCCCAGGAGCAATGCCTAGTAATGGTCCTAGGCGAGGTTGTACTCAGTAGATAATTTCCACTGGGGCTTCCTTCATAGTATTGACTTCGTCTTTATCTTCACACCGTTGAATATCAGGCCGATGTGGCTTCATGTTTTTGATATAGACATAATAGCTATTA